CGTGTACACTCCCGGAAGTTTTTTGTTTAACGCTGCATTTGCCTTTGCTGTATTGCAGGCGTGGCAGATGCCTTTGCAGCAGAACCATGTTGACTGCGGCATCTTCGTCTGCCAGTACATTCATGCGCTTGTGGAGGCGTGTTTCGAAGGTGCTGAGAACGGGGTGCGGTTCAGCATGAGCCCGTTGGCGTACCGACGTGGGTTACGGAAGGATGTATGCGCTCTTGCAGAAGGGCGGCTGATCGGCGAGCTCACGGCAGCTGGGCGTGAGATCCCTCCTGGCAATGAGATAAGGAAACCGCATGAGGCTGAGATGATTGGTGATGAGGTGGAGGATAAGGAGTGGAGAGCGGAGATGGCAAAACGGATGCATAGGCTGGAGGTTTGCAATGAGGGTCAGGCAGTGGCTATTGCCAAGCTCGAGAGGCAATTGCGTGTGCTGATGCTTTCCCGTGCTCCGCAGCATGGCGTTGACGGTGAGGCTGCAGGGGAGGGACATGGTGATGAGGCTGGGGATGGTGGAACTGGTGAACCTGCAGCTGTGGAAGTCAAGGGTGGGGTCAATGCTGGCACACATGACAGCATGGGAGGGGCACATGGAGAGGGTCTTGTGGCCGCCGTTGAGACGGGTGAAGGTGTGAAAGACAGTATGCGTGACGGTGTTGAGAAGGGTGATATGGCTGACGGTGCGAGGAGTAACAATGCGAAAGTGGGGGTGCGCGATGAGGGTGCCGGAGGCTTGCTGGGTGCTGGCGAGGCCGTGGGTACTGGGCATGGTTTGACAGCCTCGAACGCCGATGTGGATTTAGTGTCTGCATACAATGTAGGGACAGACACTACGAGTCGCAACACTGCGCGTGGTAGAGTTCCTAGCTCAGGCTATACAGGTGTAAGCAAACGGGAAGGTAAGTGGGCGGCGAAACTGTGCGTAGATGGTCCTAAAGGCAAGTTTTTAGTGCTGGGACGGTACAACGAGATCTTGGATGCCGCAACAGCCTATGCCGCAGCCGCTCACATCTGCCGACCGTCCCTCTCCGGCTCAAAGATGGTGGATTTGAGCGAGGAGGATAGGAGGTGCTTGGACGGTCTGACGTCGAAAGGGGTTGAGAGGATTGTGGAAGCAAAGAGGTGGCCGGAGTGGAGGAACTGGCGTGTAGTGCTCAGCAGCCTCCCTGAGCCTTCCACCCCAGTGGCAGCAGGAGTTCACACACAGTCCCCACCCCCCTTTTCCCACCAGCATCCTGGAGCCACGTTTGGTTACCATCTGCCAGCAGCCGCCTTTGCGGGACACGCCGGTGCAACCCTAAACCAAGGTGGATGGCAGCCGTACACCCAGAGCCACCCTCCTCCCAACCTCCATTATCCATCCCAGCCATATGCATTCAACCAAATCCCAATCCATCCATTCAGCCAGGTGCAAGCACCTATTTCTGTACATCCAGCCCGTTCAGTACCCATTGCTCCCAACCCTGCAGGCCATGCCGCAGCACAGAACACAGCACCCCATCCGCATGTCCTACCCACACCACCAGCCGTTGCACCCAGCACGGCACAACAAAGAACAGACCCACAAGCCCACCCAGTTCCGCCTTCTGAGCAAACTGCTCAGGCCAGGGTAGCTGGCATGACAGAGTCCCAGCACAGTTTGAGCATGCCTACTGCACCCAACAATCCCAACCCCCCGTCTCACGGCTCCGCACTGGCAAGCGAGCCAGCAGCAGGTGAGATGTGTTGATGTGTCATAGTAGTGCGTATCCATAGCCCGTGAAATTCCTAACCTTGTATTAATTCTTGAATTTGTTTCCTGACCGTGTGCAGGGGCGACAGACGACATAATCGATGCCTTCCTTGGTCAAGCAACGCAGTAAACGCTGTGACAGTTGGTGATACTGAAATTGGGTGATCCATAAACTTAAAATCGTTCTACTTAAACTATGGTATACATACGTAAATCCTGACATGCCAATAGATACATATGCATAGCGTTGTAACCCTACGCCTCTGCCGGCCACATGAAAGGTGTTCACGGTGTTATATAGATTTAACGGCAAAAAAAAACAGAGGACAGTAGCTACGACGTACCAAATATATTCCGGGAGAATATGTATACGGAATTTATGAATAGGTTCTACATGCTCCCTAAGCACACACAATTGATCATCATATATCCGCGCACATAAAGGTTATTGCGCGGTCTTATATAATATATGCCTGCGACTTTATATATGACGTATTTGATTGGACGCGCAATGTCAAATCATATCCTGCGAACAAAACAAACCACTCACGCCCGGTCATCTAATTTCTCGCGAACCGACTTCCCGATCATTTCAGTATATGATCGGGAATTCTACTATGGCACCTGATTGGACGCGCAGTGGCAACAAATGCACCGCGCATATTTCCTGACCAATCGAGCGCGGTTGTTATTGCTGTGGCGGTTCGTTTGGGGTCAAATGCAGCATATGATCGCGAAGTTATTTGCTCGATCGCTGATTGATTTGGAATTAATTGACCGCGCGCTCATTGGTCGCGCATTTGGCCGAAACTGACCGGCCAATGTACTGTTGGTCGGTTTCTTGTACAGTGGGCGGGCCACTTTCGCGTCCGTGAGCCTGGCGAAATTTTTGGGTGCGGAACAGAACGGTACACTACCTCGGGATACCACTCGCACGAATGAGGAATTTCGGGGCTACACAGCCCCGTAGGGTAAATTTTTTTTTTTGGTAGGTGAAATATGCACTATACACGTACAATGCAAAAACACCACGGTCGTAACCGGTGCTAGAGGGCATAGGTAGTGTATACTACCGTACCCTCCCAGATCTCTACGGAGGCTTGTAGACCAAACGCCTAAACATTTCAGCTTGCCCGCCACAAAAACCTATTGTGCCGTTGTCACACTTCAGTACTTGCAGAAGCATCTCGATTCATTCCTCATGTTGGTTTTGTCGCTTCAGCTTTGGTGGCTTGGCTCCTCCGAACCTGCCTTCCCTGGTCTGGTGAGGTTGGTTTGCAACAGAAGCAGCTCTGGGTCGCTGCTGCTGAACAGGGCCTTGGTGACGAATGTGACGCTTCAGCCTTGGTCGATTGGCTCTGACCTTGCCTTGCTGAGATTGGTGGAGTTGGGTTACAGCAGAAATTGCCCTGCTTAGAAGTTGATGCCTGACAGGGCCTTGGGGACGACGAATGTTTCCAATCACACTTGCAGTCGTTCGAGCTTGTGTGAGCGGTGTGATAGGAGCAGCTGAGAGCAAAACACCTTCAGAGGGAAAAACACCTCGAGTAGCTTGCCTTGATTCATGGCGCCGAAACACTCTGACGGCGTCATCTATTTCCTCCAAATGAAAATATGCTTCTTGTAACGTAGGGAAAATTCCAGAATCGACTTCTGTCTTCCTGTTCTTCAGAATCTTAAAGTCGGAATAACCTTCTTCACACATTCCAGTAGGAAAATAGTCAACGTCTTGAAATACTCTAGGAGCCGTGCCAAAATTTCGTGAAACGTCCCGTTCCGCCGACGTCATAAATTCAATCTGATGGAAAATTGGCTCTGGTCCATCCTTGATCGTTCCTGCTAGTGATTGAGGTGGTCTCCGCACTTGACTATGAGCTTCCTCTCTCTTTGGTAGACGATGAATCGCAGCAAAGGCAGATAAACGAAATATGTTCCGTTGTCCAGCCTCCTTGTACTTGCACTTTCCGCTTCTTTGTCTTGAACCTGTCTTGTTTTCACGGTGCCATCTTAAGCGACGGTTTGACCCGACCATTTTAACTTCCTTAGAGTAACTTGAATGTCTTGAGCTTAAAAACAGTTTCTTAACCTGAAAAACAGAGATCTTCATAGAAGCAGTTACGACTAACCGATGTTCAGCCCCGTAGGGTAATGCGCCGGTGGAAAAAAAGCCAGCAAAAATCCCCAGGCGTGGCCACTCGAGTAATTATCACCAAATTGGGTGGCCACTCGAGTAATTCGAGGCCCCCCGAGCAAGGATGAATCACCGATTTAGCCACTGGAGAAATTCTCTCTTGCACCAGCTCTCACTGACCACCTGCCAGCGAACTTCAAGCCGGATGCGACAGATCCGATCCGAGCCGTCAAATCCATAGCTTTTGTCACTGATGCCGATTCAGCCCTTGGATTCAACTTGCCCGCCACGTTTCATGACAGATCGTTCGAAGCTCATTCCGTTTGCTTTGACTTCCAGCTGAGCCATTTCTCCAGCTAATCTAGATGGTTGGCCAGTGGTTTGTGGTCACGTCTGTCATCACATCAGTCTCCCGTAACAACCCTTGCTGCGCTGTCCGTCCGTTCGTTCGTCATGGATGCATCGCCGCATCCCTCCTTCCCCAACCGAACCCTGTCCAGTCATCGCAACCGTCCATACACAAGATTTGTCATCTGCTTTGCAGTCATACCAGACGAAACCCAAGCGTCAGTCAGGCACAACCAAACCACGTGCCAATCACTTTCCCTCGCACCCTGTTGGCCAATAATCTCCTCGCCGAAGCTGCTTCACTCACCTCACCGAGCCAAATAACTCGTTCACGCGCCTCACCCGAACTACTTCCCAGACGTCTGGTATATTCTCGAGGTTCCCCCGAGCTCCATCCAACCATACATCCATGACCCAGGGAGTTTCGTGGCGATCTCCCTTGATTCCACCGCACACACCACCCCAGCGTCAGGGGAGCACATGCGTGCACCCGCCGCAACCTCCACTCCACTCCGCTCTTCTCCTGCCTACCTGCCTCTCACCTCCACGTTGAGTTGGTTGCTCTGACGTTTTGAGCTGCAGCTTCACGAATCTGACCAGTGCGCAACGACTCTTGTTCTGAAAGCTAATTATCAAGTGGATTTGGTTATATTGTTTTAGGCCTGACTATTGGTATTGCTCTAAAGGAAGCGATTCGGCCGTCATAGAGCTTAGTTATTTATCTCGGTTTTGATCAGACCAGAGACTTGCTGCTTGTGACGGTGCACATCGACAGTCTGGGTCATGGTGAATTACCCCATGAAACCGCCTCGAATAGAAGTAAGTTGCGTGCTGTCGTTACATCCTAAAGCTTCATAGCTTCCGTTTCCACGATCAAGCGGTGAATAAGTAGCTCATGCCGGCAATTCTGCTGAGACCAGTTGTCTTTCCATGAACCACTCTAACCGAAATTCCCACCCCCTCCCTCCCATCCCTCCCTACCTCCGCTTGTCCCGCAGGACGGCACGCTGTGCATGCTCGGCGCTCGCACGCACAGCAGCTGCACGCTGCACCTGCCTCCCACCCCACCCATCGCACCGTCTTCCTTAGATTCGCGGATTCCGTGTCAGCAGCAGCAGCAGCAGCAACAAAATGGGGGGCTACCTCAGCCACAGGAGCATCGCAATCAGTCAGTTTTAGGGTCGGGAGGGTCCACGTGGCCTGTCGTCCGCTCCGGCTTTAGCGCGGATAAAGGCGGCCGGCAGCGGATGGAGGACGCCCACGTGGCGGTAGATGATTTGTCGCAGGCGATTGGTGACGTGGCTGTTGCGCATCCGCGAGCTTTTTACGGGGTGAGTCACCAGTACGTTCAGCATGAGGCTCGGTTAAGAGTACTAGATCGCGTAGGCACGTCAAGTCCTGCTCAGTGGTACAGAGCTCTTTTCCCGTCATTGTCGTTCAACCTATCCGTCTTCCGACCTCCCTCCCGTCTCGTCAATTGTCCCTTCCGGCCCATCCTAACCGTCCCGCTCCTCCCGCAGATCTTCGACGGTCACGGCGGCGACGCGGCGGCGCAATTCGCGCGGCAGAAGCTGCTGGGCTACGTGGTGCGCGATGCGGCTTTCCCACTGCACGTGGGCAGCGCGCTGAGGAACGCGTTTCTGCGCACGGACCGCGAGCTGGAGACGGCGCGCACGGCGGAGGGGCACGCCATGGACTCGGGGACCACTGCGCTGGCCGTGCTGCTGCTGGGCAGGTGGGGAGACCATAGGAAATAGGGCGTATGTGTTGTGGGTAACGTGCCGTTCAGTGCGTGCAGTGCGGTAGTAGGTGCGGTGGGTGCGGTCGGTGTAGCACGTGCGGTGGGTGTAGAGAGTGTACGCATAGCGCCTTCCCTCAGCTCCATCAATTCATCCCCCCATCACGTCATCCCTTCGTCCCCCAACATCCCCACCCCCCACCCCTCTCCGCCCCCAACCCCTGCAGGTCGCTGTACGTAGCAAACGCGGGGGACTGCAGGGCGGTGCTGTGCCGCAGGGGGCAGGCGGTGGAGCTCTCGCGGGACCACCGCGCTGTCTGCCAGCACGAGCGCGCGCGCGTGGAGCGGGCGGGCGGGTGGGTGGTGGACGACTATTTGAACGACCAGCTGGCTGTCACCAGGGCGCTGGGCGACTGGCACATTGAGGGGCTCAAGACCCGTCGCTCCTCTGCAGCCGCTGCAGCTGATTCAGCTGGTGCAGCTGGTGCAGATGGTGCAGCTGGTGCAGCTGGTGCTATAGATGCTGCTACAAGTGGTGCTACAGATGCTGCTACAGCTGGTGCTACAGATGTTGCTACAGATGCTGCAGGTGGCAGTCATGCTGCAGGCAGCAGTGAAGCGGATGCGCCTGTGAGAAGAGCCAGTGGCACCACCTGTACAGGCCCTGCTGCAGGGATGGCGTCGCCACCATCCCCTGGGAGCGACAGCGACAGCGACGTTATAGAGGGGCCGCTTATAGCGGATCCGGAGGTGCACGAGGCGCATCTGTCGAACCCCGAGGACGAGTTTCTGGTGCTGGCGTGTGACGGGCTGTGGGACGCGTTCAACAATGAGGGCGGTGGCAGCAAGGAGGTGGTGGCGTTTGCTCGCAGGCGACTCAGACTGCACAACGACCCCCAGCAGTGCTCCAAGGTGCTGCTTCTTCGTTCATTTACATATGCAAGCTACCTCGAGCCAGATTTACATGATCTTTCGCTGCTGGGCCAGTCTTTCCCTGGTCTGCAACAAATCCCAATCATGTGTTGTCTGACTCATTGCACCGCACTCAATCGCTCTGTTTCGTGTCACAGGATCTAGTGGAGGAGGCGATTCGGCGGCATGCGTGTGACAATGTGACGGTGCTGACGGTGTGCTTCTCATTAGACCCCCCACCGCTGCTGCAACACCAGGAGCTGCTGCACTCGCAGCTTCCACGCAGCTTCTCAGAGTACAGCCTCAGATGTCTCAACTGAGTGGGAACGGGAGAGGCGTGAGGGGGAGGTGGGCTAAATGACGGGGAAAGGTGCCTCGATTGAAGGGGGAACTGTGTCCAATGGGGGAAGTGCTTGAATTGAAGGGGAAGGTGTCTGAAGGGAGGGGTGGGGAGTGGGGCAGGCGAGTTGCTGCAGCATGCTCTGTTTTTATGAGCCTTCATTTCTTTCTGTGGTTTGTGTTGAGCTGGCTATTATCCAGCCATGTGTGAGTTTGCATGTACCGTTTCAACGGTATTTGTTTATATATGTATATGACATCTTATTGGTGCTGTACATACCGTACTTGTAAGGAAGCTGCAGATTTTGTGCTTGTGAGCTCATCTTTTCATCTCATCCGCGTGCCCAGTTCAAGGTACAGCGCACATGCATCACATACATCTGCTCCGCCCAGATGGTCACATCCCCATCTTGTCATCACCTCAATGCACGTCAACAGTGATTAGGTAGGGTACTGTACATTCCTGGGAAGAAGTGTCTCAAAAGGGCTTGGTGGGCTCCATGATTCTTAATGACCTCAAGAGTGCTTACTTAGCATGAGTAGAATGCCACTATACAACCTGGTCTTCAGCGAGTCTATCAACATACAGGCAACTAACGGACCACCACCACCACCCTCCAACAGAGTGAAAACAGCATGCACCTCTTCACATCATGTGAACTGCACTGAGAGCGCATAAGAGTCGCCATTACAAGCAAGCATGCATCACAGCAGCAGCCAACGGCCATTGTATCATGTCAACTCCAGGCCGTGGAGTGGGTGGGGTAGGAAGAGAGGTGCTCGGATCAGGCAGCCTCGGATCAGGCAGATGACTTCACCGCTTCAGAGACTTGCCGGATCACTGCAGCAGAGACATGGAGGGACATGCACGAAGGGAGATTATTGCCGGATCACATCACAAGGCTTGCTACTACATGGAGGCTCCAAACAGTGTGTATAGTATGGCTTGGTTATGGACGCCACCTGCTTTAGGGGAAACCGCGGGAACTTCAGCAGAAATGGCGGAAGCTTCGGCCGAAACGGCGGGAAATATTGACTGGGGATCTACCCTGAAACTGATCGATGAGTGAATCTATGGCGATCACTGCGCATAAGCGACGGGAGGCGACGAGCCTGAAAGTTTACGCACCTGGCTTATCCGGCACGCCCTCCTTCCACTGCACCACCTTGTAGTACACCTGCTCGCGCACGATCGCTTGCGATTTAAGCGGCTACTTGAGGCACGCCCGCAGATGCGCAGCGCACTGATTCGCGTACGCGAGATACGTCATCCCCGCTGCGCGCCAGTACGACGAAGCCGCCATAGTTTACTACCGATTCTCTCCCTCTTCTTGACGAATACTCACGAGGCTACCCGCGAGACGAGGCGTGAGGAAATGGCGGAGGACGGATGGACGTGGCGGTGGTGTGGTGGAGAAGTGGTGATGGGGGATGGGAAGCACACAGGCTGGCGGGGGGAGTCGGAAAATAGGGTTGCTTCAATCAAGGCAGGGATGGGGGAACGGCGGGGAAAGGGCACGGCAGTGGCGCAAAGGGGGAGGAGAGAAGTGCGGAGGTATGCGAAGATTGGCTCCCTTCGAGAGTGCTCTGTAACAACGAAGGGCAATAATTTTCCCGTGCGAGCCAGTAACAAATGTCGCAAATCGTTTCGCCCAGTTTCGCAGTTTCTGCTTCCCATTTTCACCTTCAACCAGCAGCAGAAAGAAGCTGAATTCACTTCGCCTCGTACGTATATTTCCCTGATCATTTTGATGTTGATTGTTTATGGCTGCCTGGTTCCAAGCCAGGCATCTAGAACTTATAGCTTATTCGACTACCATTTCGCCATTGTTGATACACACCGTGTAATTGAGTGGTACGTCTGTGAGTCCGGAGTTGGACGGCGTTCAGAAATGACGGCATTATCTTCGCCAGCTGCGTTCGCAAGGTCTGGATTATCCACGGCGTCATCGTTCAGCCGCTCACTTTCGCTGCATTCGACGCTTGCGGTTCGCTCCGCACCCCTCAACTCTCACGTTTCCCCGCTTTCATGCCAAGCAGAATCATCCCAGTCGCCGATCCAATGTCTTGATGATTCAATAGGATCTTCAGAAGCTTCCCAGTTAACTGTCGAAGCGTCAGATTCGAATCAAACCGATCCCCTTCTGGACGCTCTGACGTGCAACGCTGATGCTGACGTGGCAAGCTTCCACTTTCCGGCTCATCGCAGGGGACTCGGAGCGCCCCCCCGTGTGCTCTCCGCGTTCGGCGCTGACGTTTTCCGTCACGATTTGCCAGAGCTACCAGATCTCGACAATCTCTTCGCGCCAGAAAGCGTCATCGCCGAGGCGCAGGAGCGCGCAGCGAGAGTATTCGGCGCGTCGGAGACCCGGTTCTTAGTCAACGGCAGCACTGTGGGCGTGCAGGCGGCCATAGTAGCCTGTTGCCGACCTGGCGACGTCCTTATTCTCCCGCGCAACGCCCACCAATGCGCGTTTTCCGGTATGGTGCTATCAGGAGCCGTGCCGCACTATATCCTCCCTGTGACTGATCATTCCTGGGGTATTGCGCACGGAGTTACCCTGGAGAGCGTTACAGAAGCAATACGCCACGTGGCTGCCACCGGAGCGCGAATAGGGGCTGTTCTGGTGGTTTCCCCGACCTATTACGGGGTATGCAGCGACATCAGGGGAATTGCCCGGGTGTGCCACGAGGCAGGCGCGCCGTTAATAGTAGACGAGGCGCACGGAGCGCACTTTAAGTTCCACAGCGCGCTTCCAGAGACGGCGCTAGAGGCGGGGGCGGACATAGTGGTGCAGTCGACGCACAAGGTTCTGGGATCGCTTACTCAGTCCGCCATGCTGCATATCGGCCATGGCGATTCAGGCTCTCCTGCTGCGAATGTGGGTGAAACCGCATCACCACCACCGTCAGAGGAACCATCGCAGTCAGCAGTACCACCACCTTCAGCAGCAGCACCACTGCCAGAAGTACCACTGCCGCCATCACCCCGTGTGAGCCCACGAGACGTGGCGCGAGCGCTGCAGCTGCTGCAGTCGTCGTCGCCCTCCTACCTGCTCCTCGCCTCACTCGACGCCACCACCGGTCACGTCGCCCGCCCCTCCTTCCCCTCCGCCCTCGCGCGCGCTCTCCGCCTCGCTGCCCGCCTGCGCTCCTCCCTACTCGCCCTCGGCCTGCGAGTCCTCCTCAGCCCAGCCCAACCCTCGAGAAGCCATAAACAGCCCGAGAGGCACGTGGGGTTTGACCCGCTGCGGGTGACGGTGAGTGTGAGGGAGCTGGGGCTGACAGGGTACGAGGCTGATGATGCTCTGAGGCTGGAGTATGGGGTGGTGGCAGAGCTGCCCTTCCTGCATGGCCTCATGTTTGCTGTCAGCACTGGCAGCACTGAGAGCGATGTGGACCGTGTTGTTGCTGCGTTTGCTGCCATGGTGGAGGAGAGAGGAGTCAGTGAGTGTGGGGATGCAGTAGAGTGGGAGGAGGGCGAAGTAAAGCTAGAAGGAGCGTTGTTTCCGGTTGCACCACCGACCAGCAACGGGTCTTCAGTGTGCTGCCCGCAACTACCCCCACGGGACGCATTTTTCTCGCCCAGTGAGGTTGTGCCAGCTCAGCAGGCGGTGGGGTGCTACAGTGCAGACATGCTGTGCCCGTACCCGCCCGGTATCCCTGTACTGCTGCCGGGGGAGGTGGTCACTGCAGAGGCACTGAAGCTGCTGCAGAGAGTGCTGAGCCTAGGAGGCTCCGTGTCTGGCCTGCCCTTTGATAGCCTGGATGCCATCCGCGTTATTGTGCAACGTGAGTAGCTCCATGTTGCAACAATGAGTTGCATGACTCGATTCACGCATAATTTTTAACGCGTTACAATACATTTCAGAAGGACAACAAGAGTATCTACACAAGAATGTTTGTCAGGAGGGCACCAGCATTGCAGAGTGCAGTACAGTATGCTAGTCATTAGCGAGCACGAGGAAGCCAATAGCGGTGTAGAGCAGGAACACAGGGTACACTGCCAGCACCCTGCGCGTCAGGAGTTGCTGTGCTGTCTGCTGTTCTGTTAGGAGTTGCTGTGCTGGTATGCTAGTCATTAGCGAGCACAAGGAAGCCAATAGCGGTGTAGAGCAGGAACACAGGGTACACTGCCAGCACCCTGCGCGTCTCCGGAACTGCCTTGGCCACGAAGGGGTAAGCAGCTGAGGAACTCCAAGCGAAAGTGACTAAAACGAGCGCCATGCGGACGAGCTTGGCAGTGGTGAGGAGGCAGAGGAGGGCGGCAAGGTCGAGCGGCACGAGGCAGTAGCCGAGCAGAGAGAGGCTCTGGAAGAATATGATGCGCCCGCCCTGTGGTGTGTGGGAGAGGGGTGCATGAGAGAGAGATACGCAGGGCGACATGAGGGGTGCAGTGAGATGCGAATGGGCATATGGTATGTGTGAGGGGCAGCAGCTGAGCAAGGAGAGGCTCTGGAAGAATATGATGCAGCCGTCCTGTGGTGTGAGGGAGAGGGGTGCATGAGAGAGAGATACGCAGGGCGACATGAGGGGTGCAGTGAGATGCAAAGGGGCATATGTGTGTGGGGGGCAGTAGCCGAGGAGGGAGAGGCTCCGGAAGAATATGATGCGGCCGCCCTGTGGTGTGAGGGAGTGATGTGAGGCACATGAAAGGACGTGATGGGGGGTCCATGAGGGGTGCAGTGAGATACAGAGGGGCATGCCTATGCATGGGGCAGCCTGCGGGGTGCAGTGAGATGCCGAGCGGCATGCCTGTGCATGGGGCAGCCTGCGGGGTGCAGTGAGATGGAAAAGGGTACACACGGGCCAGGGGAAGCATGACGGGCGACGAGGTGGCGAGAGGAACGGGAGCAGGGGCGAACATGTTTCTGGCTGAGTGTGTGCCTGAGTGTGTGCCTGAGTGTGTGGCGGAGTGCTTATGAGGCACTCACCAGCAGCTGCACGTTGAGAGTGAGGACAACGGCTCCTGTAGATACTGTTCCAAACACCACTGCAAACACATGCGCCTGAGAAACACAGAGAACGAGTGAATCAGTCAATGAGCGAGAACCTTTTATTTAGCAAATGCAAGATGGAACGGCACAGACAGTTTGCAAGTCGCATGCTGGTGGAATAACTCAAGTACCATTCGTCCAGCTCTGCACAGCTCTGCACAGCTCTGCCTTCGCTACACTCACCTTGATCTGCGTCCATCATGCTCACCTTGTTGTGCGTGGCGGACGAGGAGAGCAGCAGCGCGAGGGTGATTATGAAGAAGAACGGCCCCCACAGGTCCCAGTCTCTGAGGGAGCTCCGTTCGCTCGGTACAAGCACACACCGCAGGTTCATCCAAACTCGCTGCACGTCCCTCTGCAGGGTTACCGATACAGGCTCTGGTGGGAGGAGAAGGGGGAGAGGAGGAGTGGAATGAAAGGAAGGAAATTTAGAAAACTCAGAGTCCGGCGCCTCTCGCTCCCTCCAGAGGGTCTGTGATAAAGGGTTTTGACGGCAGGAGAGGGGGGGAGGGAGGAGGTGCAGTGGAAGGGTATGAGTAGATACCATGCGACTGGCTCCCCATGCGACCGAATCCCCATGCGACTGACTCCCCATGCGACTGACTTCCCATGCGAATGACTGCCCGTGCGACTGGCTGCCCGTGCGACTAAGTCCCCGTCGACTAACGCCCCATGCGACTGGCTCCACTGACTCACAGCCCGACCCACCCGTCAGCGTGTTCTGGAGGCGTGGCGGGGGGGCGGCGGCGATGGCTGGAGCCACGCTGGCTGCACTGGCGGCGCTGGCGGCGATGGCAGGCGCGACACCGCTGTATTCGTTCGAGAGAGCGGGCGTGGCGCGGAAGAGGTCATCTACGGAGTCTGCCTGAGATGGTAGCAGCGGCTGCGTTGTCGTCGACATGAGCGCGCCTGCTAATCTCAAGCGCACCGAATCTGGACAATGGGATGAACGCCGAGCAGCGGGTCTATGCACGAATCGCGACCGTCGAATGGCGGAATCGTAACTAGTAACTAGTGTCAATGCGTGGCGTTTCTAATTGAAACAGAAAATCCGCCCTTCAGGTTGTCAGATTATTCTACTTTCCAGTACGGCATCCGCGCTTCCCTTACGACGCGTTATAGTCTGACACTAGCACCAAATAGAGAACTCGTAGAAGATAAATACAGTTGCTGAAAGGGTCTCTTAAAGCTCTAGTATACATTTGTCAGTGAGGTTCAGGGTTTTACAGTGTGCCTCACAGTTTTGGGGCAACTTTTCAAGTTCGTAAGGATTTTGAAACCCCCTTTCAAATGTATACCGGAGCTTTAATAGCGAGGACTGATTCCAGGGGAGGAGTGCACGGCTCACCGATGATTGGGGCCGAACTTTCTGGAGGGGTGGTGGAAATCAATTGGTGGTTGCGTGTTGCGAAAGCAGGCGCCATCTCTGCGAAGGCTGTCAAGTCTTCGTAAGTCGTGACTCCTCGATTACACCGAAGGTCCAAACCAACCAAGCAACCTCGAGGACATCTGCTTTCGCTGCTTCTCATTCTTATTTCTCACGTACTAGCCGAGCTCGCCATAACTTTATTTTGAACGAGTTCGCCCATTTTCAGACGTCACACTTCCTCTTTGCACCTACCTTACGTTCTGAAGCATTCTCGTAGCGGGATCAAGCGATCGCTGTGTTTCCTCGTCCCGTATCTATCTCTTCGCTACCGTTCAGTAGACAGGATGCCGCGTGCAACCAGCAGATCTTCTGGTAGGCGTTTGTTTCTTGAGATCATCCAGAATCTCGATTCATTTTGATTCGTACGTGGTTACCGACATTCCGTTACCGCTGAATCATTGTCTTTTTGCCTGCTTTTATCTCTCTCGCCGGCAGGATCGAGGGCCTCTGCTCCAGCGAGACCAGCTCCGAGGCCAGCACCTGCATCGCACACTCACTCCGCACCTCCACCTGCACCTGGTACTCCGTCAGATTGGACCGTTATCGCCCGTTCTTCGTGCCTGATCCATCCCGATTAGTCAGATCTTCAGCTCCAGCTTTCAGAATTTCAACCTCGCCTCTTCTCTTGACACCTCGCATTCTCGTGTTCTCTCCTCCCCATCGGTTGCGCAGCAGTGCAACCAGCGCCTCCCCCAGCCCAGCCAGCAGCGGCCTCAGGAGGGGGAAGCATGCTGGGTGGGTTGATGCAGACGGTGGGAGAGGGCATGGCGTTCGGAACAGGATCCGCCATTGCCAACAGAGCGGTGGATGCCATCATGGGTCCGCGCACTGTCGTGCACGAGCACGCCAACTCCACCGCGCCTGCAGCCGCGCCTGCTGCTGCGCCCGCTGCCGCTCCCGCGACTGCCAGCTCGCCGATGGACTGCGCTCAGCTGCAGCAGGATTTCAACAAGGTGGGCATCCGTGCGAGAGATCTGAGATTTTCCTGAAAGATACGCCTTCCATGGGAATGTTATGCTTGAAATGCGGGATCTCTTTCGGTACAGAGCTTCACAGTGCACCCCATTGCTTGTCTACTCTGGGCAGTGTGTGGAGATGCATGGGAGCGACGTCTCCAAATGCCAAATTTACCTGGACATGCTTACTGAGTGCAAGCGGAACGCCGCTGCAGGTCAGTTGGAGTGTATTCTCTGCAGTTTGCATTTTTGGCAAGGTTCTTCCCGGCAGGCAGGCTTTGCCTTCACTGGTCATTGCTAAAACCATCTGTCTGACGTCCTCATTGTTATGTCACGCAGGGAATACGCTTCTGTGAAAGCATTTTGTCCAGGCTTTCATTATTTTATGGAGTTCTGCAGTTTTTATGCAACTCCGCATGTGGAAGGGCACCACCATATCATGTTATTGTAATTCCAACACCACCTTATTAAGCCAGCGTTTAATTCTTCCATAACATCTCAAAACAGGAACCAGTTACGTGGCAATAGTCTGCATAGAAGCCCAGTGCAGCTACAGTGTGATGAGTGCCTAAACAATATCCTCAATATGCTTTTGGTTGCGTCGTCACCAACCTTCGTTCGCAGGCTGTACACAGCCGTGCGTCAGTTATTACGAACAGAACACTCTAAAAGAGCCTCTTTAGCGGAAATTCTAAAGGGCATGCTAACTAGTCAGTAGTCACCTCCATCTACCCCTGGCTTAGCTGGAAAGCCTGCCTAGTGGATGCTGTTGCGCTCCACCTCAAGCCAGCTTCTGTTCGATGGCGCAGTAATTTCTTCTGCTTCTATACCTTGGCCTGCAAGAACCACAGAGGTCGCACCCATGCTACGTGCCTCCAGCAGCAGCAGGAGTAGACATTTGCAGCACAGCTTCCAAGGACCTGACCACATCAGACATGGCGGGCCTCTCCTTGGGCTCCACCTTCACGCAGCACTGCGCAATCACCGCTGCCTTTGCCACTGCTTTAGCCAGCGGCATGGGCTGCTGCTTGGCCTGGGCGGCAGCCACGATGCGCTTGTCCAGGAGGCGCGGCAGTTGGGAGCGGTCGAGGAAGTAGGGCCGCGCCCAGTCAATGATGTTCTGCTCTGTCCTCACCAGCTGCTGCTCCATGGCTTTGCGCCCGGCGATGATCTCCAGCAGCACCACGCCGAAGCTGTAGATGTCCGACTTGGCTGTCAGGTGGCCTGTGGAGGTGCCGGGTCACACGCATAGACACAGGAAGAGTCTCTTTAGAAAAGGTGCGGTTTGAAAGGGAGATAGTCGGGCGAATTGGTGATACTCAGCAAAACAAAATCCACGCAAACAAGGAACAAATTGGTGAATGGGAATCCAAGTGTAACGGTTTGGTTTGCTGAGAAAAAAGGCAGCAAATTGGTTTTTTAGACTGAAACAGAAGCAAAACAGCGGTGACTTGAACTGACAGGGCAGCAAGCACGTACCGGTGAGTACATATTCAGGAGCGGCATAACCGAAGGTGCCCATGACTCGTGTGGACACATGTGTGTTGCCTCCCTGGGGCCCATCTCTGGCCAACCCAAAATCAGACAGCTTCGCATTGAACTCCTGCAGGAGAGAGAGCGAAAAGAGAAAGGGGTGAAGGGAATGGACAGAGAGGCGGAAGGCAGGGAGGCGAAAAGCGTGATCAGCGAGTGCAGTGCTGGATCCGACCTGGCATCGGAACCAATCCCTTTGGCATGGTTTCTGGCACCATAACCCGAGGCAACATTCCTAGCAGCATGTCCCCAGGCAACGACACTAGCAGCATTCCCCTTGGCAGCGTTCCTAGCAGCGTTCCCATTGGCAGACTTCTTGCAGCATTCCCTGCAGCCTTCCCCTTGGCAACGTCTCTGGCAGCATTCCCCGCTGACAAACGTCAAGCAGCATTCCCCTTGGCAGCATCCTTAAGCAGCAAAGACTGACCCTGTCAACAAGGATGTTGGATGTTTTGAAGTCCCGGTAGATGACCTGCGGCTCCGTCTCCTCATGCAGGAATGCAAGGCCGCGAGCAGTATGCAGCGCAACCTTCATGCGGATGTCCCATGGCAACGGGTCCCGGGTGCCTGCATCAGCCAACAGAGTCAACTGGAGTCTATCGAAAAAAGACATTGCGCTCAAGCCTGGACCAAGAATCTTATGTGGAAAGGTTTTAAGCAAGAAAGATACTAGTGGCATGAATTGACTTGAAGCAAACAAGGAAACTGAGGAAACATCAACTGGGTAATCGTGCAGGCAGGGATGTTGCTCACGTGAGAAGAGGTATCTCTCGAGGCTGCCATACTCCATGAACTCATACACCAGCAAACGCTGCATGTCCTCTGCACAGTACCCTACTAGCCGCACCAGGTTCGGATGCCGAAGCTCCCCCAGGTACCGAACCTCAGCCTGGAAAGGTAAGGAGAGGTAAATGTAAATGATGGGATCTGAATGCTGCGGGTCAGAACAGATACAGTCGAGTGTGGACGATACAGTAAATGGCAACTTCAGTTAAACTATAACATCACAAGAAGTTCTCTTGAGTACAATCCTTCCTTCAGGTCACCGTTCCCTCTCCCACACGGACGGAACCTTTCTTCCCCCATCGAGACTTACCATCCATTCCTGGTCTCCTTGTGTTCCGTCCAACGTCAGCATCTTAATGGCGACCTTCTGCCCTCCTCCAGACTTGTTCGCATCAATAGTCCCTTTATACACGCTCCCAAACCCTCCCTCGCCGAGCTTTCCATCGTCTCTGAAACCCTTTGCTGCTTTCTCCAGCTCCTTAAACGAGAATTCTCTTAACGAGGCGTCAATACTCAGCTCAGTGGTCCCGATGCCGCTGTGGTGTCCTACGCTGATGATCACGCGACCAGCATCTGAGTGACCAACACTCGTGCCAACTTGACTCCCGGGTCCTGAGCCGTTTGATCGCTTGCTCTCTCCTACAGACGCGGCTCCGCTGCCTCCTCCCGAGGCAACGCGCTGATGCTGGCTTGAGGAGGTGCTAGAGCCTATTATGTCCTTAATGGAACCGACGGGGTGATCGCCAGTCGATTGTCTCTTGATCGCTGTGGAGGAAAAAAAGGGCAATTTGCAAAAGGGGGGTGACAATAGGGCTTGGGTAAAGAGCAATTTGCAATGGCAGGATGACAAAACGGCTTGGGTAAGTGAGGTTACAATAGACGAGAGATGCAGAACCTGACACGGCGACAATAGGGCGACTTCAGTTTTTGAACAGTAACAGACAGACGGGTCCGCGCGAAGAGACTCAGTTGCGTTGTACTTACTCTCTCTAGGAGTCTCAGGCTTGCGTGGTGTGGTCGGCCGTACGACCTCCTCGTCTATAGACACACAACAGCCCATGCTGACGGAAATTAACACTAGAGTTTCACTAGACGGCCTACAAACACATACAGTGCGTCGCTTCTTTCACAGCTTTTCCCATGGCACAGCCACCCTTGTCAACTACGAACTCGGAGAAACAACGAGCCGACCATAAATAATTGACCAATAAGATAGCCAGTCTAACGATATTAAATAAGCATAAGCTTTGATTTCAACGCGCCACTGAGAAGGTCAACATGCAGCAAAAACTTCCGTGCCTAGCCTTCATTAGACGTGGGTAATGGTCTAGAAAGGCAAGGAAGAGAGCCAGTCTTGAAGAAAATTGCCGTGCGGAGCTGAAACGAGCTTCTGCTTGACTTCGAAGTTTGCCGTAAAGAGTTGTGGTTCTGCGTTCTTCTGCGTGCTTCTGCGAGGTTTTATGTGGTGGAATCGACAATGTGGCTGGCTGGACAAACAGAAGTACACTTCAAAGCGGCCCATGGATGGGCCTCGACACAAATGTGCATACCGTTCATTCGAAACTGGTGTGTCTATATGAGCTTATCCTAAACAAGGATTTTTCTCATCAGTTATCCGAACCAAGCTAGGTGGTTTGGAAAGGGGAGACTGGATGAGTAAACGCGATCCGTCGAAAGCTTGCCGTATTCTGACAATTTTTCTCAATTTCCCCGCTTATTTTCTGTCCTGTTTTCGCCTCCCCTGCCAGAACGGATGGCATGGCATGATGTCATCACCCCTTCTAGATCATCCGTGGCTCTCCGCTCGCACCCACCACCACCACACCAGCAACTTCACAGATCCCTCCAACCCAGAGCTTGTAACCCTAGCAGCTAAGCTCGTGTCTGCTTAGCTCGTGTTAGCACTTCAAGAAGGTCCATTCATTGACATTAGCTTGTTGCTGTGACTTGCTGCTGTAATGGAAGGTGAAAGTGAAAAGAAGACGGGAGAGAAACCCGCGGAAGATGATGGAGGAATCGGACCGCTTCCAGAAAGGGTACACACCCATCTAGCATGTTTTCCCCGTAAATTCAAGCCACGGTTCATAATGGCCCTCTCGTTTTGGTTCACAGGTTCAAGTCGGCGGATCACCAGTGTACAAGATGGATCGGAACCTGGGAAAGGGAGGTTTTGGTCAAGTTTACGTGGGTCGTAGAGTTCACGGAGGGACTGAGCGAGTTGGCCTCACCTCTTGCAGCAACTCATCAGCTGCAATTCAGCACCTCCCCGGCTGTAGTGCCAAGCAAGCACCCCACTGACCTGCTGTAGCCGACGAGCGAGATGCCGTATCTGAGATTGGAAATGATGGCAAAGAGCCCTGCCAGCCACCAGAGAGGGGTTTCAAGACGGCATCTTGCTACATGGACCTGTAGTGGCATCTGATTGGCTGTAGCACCCTCATTCACACCTGTTGTAGCCGACAAGTGAGATGCCGTATCCGAGATTAGCGATGATGGCAAACAGACCCGCCAGCCACCAGAGAGGTGGTGAGACGTCTCAACTGATGGGCGCACCTGTTGCAGCAGGTCACTTGCTGCAAGGTCTAGCCTCCCACGCCCACCCACCTGTTGTAGCCGACGAGCGAGATGCCGTATCCGAGATTGGCGATGATTGCAAACAGCCCCGCCAGCCAACAGAGAGGGGTTTCAAGACGGCATCTTGCTACGTGCAGTGCACCTGTAGTGGCATCTGACTGGCTGTAGCACCCTCATTCACCTGTTGTAGCCGACGAGCGAGATGCCGTATCCGAGGTTGGCGATGATTGCAAACAGCCCTGCCAGCCACCAGAGCGACGGTGACGTGAGCGCCAGGCAGAGAATGCAGGGTACTGCCCCCATCAGCGTGCCCACCAGCAGCATCTGTGGTGGGGGGAAGGGAGAGCAGGCAGGGAGAGGGAAGGAAATGCAGGGGAATGGTGAGGGGAGAGAAAGCAGAGAAAGCAGAGAAAGCAGAGAATGCAGAGAATGCACGGCACCGCTCCCATCAGCAGCATCTATGGTGTGTGGGAGGGAGAGAGGGATGGGGTGAAGGTGACAGTTAGCAGAAAAGGGGGAGGGAGGGAGATATGCAGGGCAAGAGGGGCGAGGCAGAGAATGCAGGGAATGCAGAGAGTGGCACAGATCCCATCAACCCGTCCTCCCCGCTATCCCCCCCCGCTTCACGTCCTCCCAGCTTTACCTTCCCCATCCTTCCCCGTCAACATCTCACTCACCCGCCATCGCCCCTGCCCGAAATCAGCTTCGGCGCCGAAGCACACGAGGCCGATGATCTGCACCACCACGGCCCGCCCCTTCCCCACCCCCCACTCCCTATACCGCCCCTCCCATCCCCCTCCCCCTCCCCAGTTACGCACCCGCCATCGCCCCATGCCGAAATCCGCCTCGGCGCCAAAGCACACGAGACCGATGATCTGCACCACCACGGCCAGCCGGCCTTTCCTCACCTCCCCCCTCCCTTAATCCCACCCCTCATGCTCTCACCCGCCATCGCCCCTGCCCGAAATCCGCCTCGGCGCCGAAGCACACGAGGCCGATGATCTGCACCACCACCGCGCAGCCCAACCCCACTCCCCCTCCCCCCACACACTCCCTTTACCCCCCCAGTTGCTCACCCGCCATCGCCCCTGCCCAAAGTCGGCTTCCGCACCAAAGCACACGAGGCCGATGATCTGCACCACCACGGCCAGCCCGATGACGACCGTGGTGTACGCCACCGGCTCCATTGATAGCGCGCCGGCTTGCAGGTTCGGCGAGTCGTACGCCGTGTAGCTGATGGGGGAGGGGGTGGGGCAATGGAGGAGAACAATGAGAATGTGACGGCCAGCCCGATGATGACCGTTGTGTACGCCACGGGCTCCATCGACAGCGCGCCAGCGTGCAGGTTAGGTGAGTCGTATGCCGCGTAGCTGAGGGGAAAGGGGCGGGGCAATGGGGGGATGGGATGAGGCAGTGTGAGGGTCAGCCCGATGACCACCGTCGTGTACGCCACGGGCCCCATGGACAGCACGCCCGCCTGCAGATTCGGCGAGTCGTACGCCGTGTAGCTGCCACGAGGGAAGGGGGAAAGGAAATGCAGGGACGTGAGAGCCAGCCCAATGACCGTGGTGTACGCCACGGGCTCCATGGATAGCGCGCCCGCCTGCAGATTCGGTGTCTCGTACGCCGTGTAGCTGCCACGAGGGAAGGGGTGGGGAAATGGGGGGTGGGAGATGAGGGAGTGTGAGGGACAACCCGATCACCACCGTCGTCGTGTGCGCCACGGGCCCCATGGACAGCACTCCCGCCTGCAGATTCCGCGCGTCGTACACCGTGTAGCTGAGGGGGGTTTGGGGGGGGAAGGGGGATTGGGGAGGGGGGAATGCGGGGTGGGATGGGGGGTTGTCCGATGACCACCGTGGTGTGCGCCACGGGACCCATAATTAGCGCTTCGTCATGCAGATTCGGCGCGTCGTACGCCGTGTAGCTGACGGGAGGAATGGGAGGAGGGGAGAGAGGGAGAGGGGAACCCAAGGCGGGACCAAAGGCGAGGTGGAGCGGCGGAGACGGGATGCGAAGAGGACCGCTTACGCACTTGGCTCGAGACCTAGTAAGGTGTGTTTTGAGTCGACTCAAAACAGGCCGTCGTGTACTCGAAGGAACTACATGCGGCGGCGCGGAACAAGGCGCCTCGAACGACATGCCAGCTAGAAGGCCGCCATGTTGAGTCGGACCGATAAGGTTCGGTTGACGTTGACTCGACATGACAGGCCCGCGTCGCTTCGTTTACCGCTTCGTTTACCGGCGCTTCGTTTCCGCTTCGTGTACCGCTTTGTTTACCGTATTGGGCATGCACCCGCGAACCTCCGCAAGAGTTGGAATTCATGTCGCTATTTTCAAACGCCGTGTTGTTCTTTCCTACGCTAACGCGCTTCGGGGGAATACTGACTTGCACGCACAGCACGAGCGTACCCCGTTGACGTCATCAGCTGCTGCCCCTTGCCAGCCACACATTGCAAGCAGCCCGTCGTGAGCGTCGCGTTGCACTGCGGCGGCGGCGGCGCGCCGGCCTGCGTGGCGGCCTGCGCGGTGGCGAGGTAGACTAGGAGCAGCGGGAAGAAGATCGACATTGCGACGAGGGAGAACGCGTTTCCCGCCGCGTTGTAAATAAACCACCCCCACCACTCGCGACGCGTCACCGGGTCTTGCTCCTTCTCCGTCAAAATGGCCGCGCTTGCCGCCACGACTTCTGGCGGCACATCCGCGGGGAATTCATGGCCGTTAGGACCGCTTAGAGGCGCTTCCGCGGACGAATCTCGCGTCTGATCGGTCGTCATAATTGGTTCCGCTGGACGACTATAGGCAGGCTACAGCGGAAGAGCGCCGACCGGGAGTACGTGCGTTTCGCGAGATTCTTGAAGAACGGGAGTGACAGTAACGCGGTCACAGCGAGGCGTCTACATGCTAGAGTGGGAAGAGTTCTGGCGTTAGGACGACTGGGATGGAGAGGAAATATATATGTGGGAGTGACGTGGTTTGGCCCTCGCACGACGTGGGATGTTGACGGCTTGCTTGCTTGCTTCTAGTGGTTGGTTGGAATTTCAAGAACGCGCCTGGGTAGGGTGGGTGTAGGGCGGGTTGTTTAGCTCGGTGGTGATGGGTGAAAAGGGAACATATAGGGTGGAGTGGGGTAGGGGTGTGCGAAGGTCGGTGGAGGGGTGAGTGAGTGCAAGCTGGTGGGATGTGACAGAAGGGCTGCCGTGCTGTGCCAGCTGTGCGGTGGTACAGTGCACAAGTCTTGTCTGCACGCAGCTTCCGTCTCCCCTTCGACATCTTGGCGTTGCGAAGGAGAACAGTTCAAAAAGGAAGGAACCGAACCGCGCGACCTCACTCTTCGCGCTGGCGACATCAATGGTTGGTGTTCGGGACAGATTGGATCGTGGACCTCATGCTGTTCAGAGAGCTGCCTTGCACGAATGCGGTAAGGATCACATGATAAGATTTCTTGAAGAGCCTCTTTCCGCAGCCCGAATCTTTCCACCCAGTTCCACAATTCAAGGGGCCGGACGGAACGAAACTCATTGCAGCCAGCGAGTCACATTTCTGATCACTGTTCCGAGCTGGTGGGCTAGTGGCCAATCGTCTGCCAGTCACACTGCGGCCCAGCTGGCACTGTGGATCTCAAATTCCCACCGCCGGGGCTGCAACTGTTTCAGCTTGGCATTGATTCGTTCGCGTTCACGTTAAAGCCCAAGACCGTCAGGCATGCTAGCTTATCTCAATACAGTATGCCTAGTTCGAACACGAGTGGTTTACTGGGGCCTAACAAATATCCCACTAAAAGAAACAGGGTGCGCCAGAATTTCACCCGTAACAGAGAATTACACCAGGATCAAACAAAAGATGCCACCAACTCTTCATACACGGCCTCTTTTCTTGGTTTCAGCACCAACGGATTTGTCCTTTCTTTTCTTCAAAACACTCCCACCATCCATCTCCTCTTGTCCAATCTCCCCACCTTCACCACTAAACCCCAACATCGCCATCTCACTCCCCAGCTCCAATTGCTCCACAATCCCTCTCAACGCCCCCCCAGACTTGCCTCCCCCTCTGCTTCCCACATCACTCCCTCCATGCCGCCCCTCTTCCCCCTCATCCCCCTCATCACCCCCTCTTCTCTTCTTCCCACTTTTCATCTTCTTGGTTACAGCCGAAGCTGCTGCTTCCACAGCCGGTTCTCTCTTCTTCTTACGAGGCTTGGCATCAGGTGCGGAGGCGGAAGGCAGTGCAGGGGGAGCAGGAGCCAGTGAGGGGAAGGCAGCGGGAGCAGGTGCAAGCAGGTCTTGGAACTCTCGCATCAGGCCCTCCTTGCGCTGCTGCTGCTTCTGCCACGCCTCTGGGCTCTCCAGGTATCTGGTGGGTGTGGAGTGGGGAGGAGCGAGCATGAGAAGGACGTACATAAGGGGAACAGGTGAGACTGAACTGAACAGCAAGGCGCGCGAGATGCTTACTAGGGTAGACCCTGCCAAGCGTGTGAGTTTGGCACACAGAAGACGAGGAGGAGAGAGAGGACACGCAGAAGAGCAGAGGAAGCAGAGCAAGCCATGCAGAAGAGCAGAGGAAGAAGAGCAAGCCAAGCAGAAGAGCGATGACTCACTCTGCGAGGCCCATGTGGCGGAAGAGAGGCCGCTGCAGCAGAGAGGACGACGCCGACGAATAGCGCGTCGCCAGCTCAGCGAGAATCATCTGCTTGCCTTCCACCGTCATGGCATCAAATGCTGCCGACACCACAAACGCACCCAGCCTATCTGCTGCTATCGTCGTCAGGCGCGGCTTCAAACTGCGAGGGGCGGGAGGGGGGCATGTGATGAGGATTGGAGGGAGAGGTGAGGGTGACTTTTGAGACGTCTCAAAAGGGGGCGGGAGGGGGGCATGTGGATGAGGATTGGGAGAGGTGAGGGTGGGGAGAGGTTGTGAGACGCACGGCACCGCACATCACGGCACAGCACCGCACAGCACCTCACAGCACCACACCACACGTACCTGTTGAGCATGGTGGTCTTGAGGTCCAGAGGGACAGTGGCAGCACGGAAGAAGGCGGAGAGCACGCGGGTGCCCTTGACATCCGTGGCCAGATGCATGAGGTAGGAGGGGGGGAGCGCCACACACGCCTGCACCACCCGCTTAGACGCCTCCTGCATGTAGGAGGTGAGGGGTGTATGATGGGATGGGAGGGGTGCAATGGAACAGGTGAGACAACCTACATGGGAGCTACGTTAGCGCAGCCTGCCGAGCAGAGACGGACGAGGTCAGGGACACAGACGTGCTACAAACGGCTTGCTCCGTGCTGCTTTTCCCTTGCCACTTGCTGCAGCAATGAAAACTCACCAAAGGAAACGAGAAGATGGTCTGCAGCGCCATGCACCCCACGAACGACACCGCCCCACGCTCGGTCACGGGCACGGAGCCCCACCCCTGCTGCTGCTGGCGCTTCTTGGCTCGGTTGGAGCGCACATCGTTCACTCTCACTGCCAGCCACGCGTCCAGCCACAGCAGATCGCCCACTGCTGCCGCATCCCCTGCTGACGTGTCGACTGGTGATGGTGCTGGTGAGGAGGAGAGGGCTGCTAGCAGGCTCTCACAGGCCTGCAAGGGGCGAGTGCATGGGAAGGAATTGGACTTTGAGAATTCAATTCGAACAAGCTGCTTCTTGGCTCGGTTGGAGCGCACATCGTTCACTCTCACTGCCAGCCACGCGTCCAGCCACAGCAGATCGCCCACTGCTGCCGCATCTGCTGCTGCCGCGTCCACTGGTGATGGTGCTGGTGAGGAGGAGAGGGCTGCTAGCAGGCTGTCACAGGCCTGCCGAGGGAAGTTATGCGTTTGAAGAGAATCCGTCAAAGCGAATGGAAAGCAGGGTTCTTATGCAGTCAGGGAAGCAGTCAAATGGATTGGGTCGCGGGATTGCAGACCGGTAAATGGCCTGGTGTTTCGTTTCCCACTCCCGCATCCACCCTCTCGCTTCAGTCACACCACGCCATAATCACAACTCTCACTCACCCGTGCCTGAAACGTCTTGGTGCGTCCACACGCAATCAGCAGCGCCCCCTTCAGCAGCGCCAACAACCCCGCTCCCTGATTCACAGAAGTGGCTCCAAACATCACAACTCACTCACCCGTGCCTGGAACGTCTTGGTGCGTCCACACACAATCAGCAGCGCTAACACCACACGACCCTGCCCCCCTTCAGCAGCGCCAACACCACGCTCCCTGATTCACAGAAGTGGCTCCAGAAATCACAATTCTCACTCACCCGTGACTGGAACGTCTTGGTGCGTCCACACGCAATCAGCAGCGCTAACACCACACGACCCTGCCCCCCTTCAGCAGCGCCAACACCACGCTCCCTGATTCACAGAAGTGGCTCCAGAAATCACAATTCTCACTCACCCGTGACTGAAACGTCTTGGTGCGTCCACAAGCAATGAGCAGCGCCAGTACCACCCGGCCCCTTCCTCCTTTCAGCAGTGCCAACAACCCCACCCCTCTCCCTCCCCCCTCCCCCCCCTCTCCACCCCCCGCCTCCCCTCCCCCTGCCCCACTCCCCACGCCCTCCCCTTCCCCCTGCCCTCCCCCCGCCAGAGCCTTGAAGGCGCGTTTGGTGTCGGTGGGGGAGAGGAGGGCGGAGAGGGCGGTTTGCACAGTGTAGTTGGCGATGGGGTGCAGTGCGAGGGGCAGCAGGTGGGGCAGCAGGGCCACTCGCAGGAGAGAGGAGCGGAGGGATGGAGGGGCGAGCTGAATCACGGTCTGGGGAGAGGGGAAAAGGAGGGGAGTTGGGAGATAGGAGTGATGAGGGTAATGAGGAAGGGAGAACAGGAGCAGAGAGGGACGGAGGAGAACGGGAAGGAAAAAGAAGAAGAGGTGGGGTGTACGTAAGTGCTGCGTAGGGAGGTGGGGGGATGGTGAAACACAAGAGAAGCGAAGTCATGGCACTGTCGGAGCCTGTCTCACCTCCATGAACCTGGACCCACACCGGTCCTTCATCAGCTCAATCATCTGCCCCACCTCCTGAGTCGACTCAAAGGCCAGCTCATCACCCCGTCATCTCACCTCCATGAATCGCGACCCGCAGCGGTCCTTCATCAGCTCTATGATCTGCCCCACCTCCTCCTCCACCTGCTGCTCCACCTCCTCCCCTTCCTCGCCTCCCTCTGCTGCTCTTCTCCTCCCTTCCTCCTCATCTCCTTCCTCTCCCTCCTCCCCTCTCTCCTCTTCTTCTCTTCTGCTTCTTTTCTTCCCACGCCCTCCTTCTTGCCTGCCTGGCCCTGCCCGCTTCCTGTTTTTCGCCGCTGCCCGGAGCGCAGCCTCGGGCAGGTGGAGCAGAGAGGTGATGACGTGGGTGAGCAGAGCAGCATCATCGCGAATCACATCCAACAGCACCTGCACAGGCGGGGAGGGTTGCACAGGTTGCACACGTGGGGGAAGGAGGGCAAGGCCTTTGACTTGACTCAAGAGCAGAGCAGCATCATCGCGAATCACATCCAACAGCACCTGCACAGGCGGGGAGGGTTGCACAGGTTGCACACGTGGGGGAAGGAGGGCAAGGCCTTTGACTTGACTCAAGAGCAGAGCAGCATCATCGCGAATCACATCCAACAGCACCTGCACAGGCGGGGAGGGTTGCACAGGTTGCACACGTGGGGGAAGGAGGGCAAGGCCTTTGACTTGACTCAAGAGCAGAGCAGCATCATCGCGAATCACATCCAACAGCACCTGCACACGAGGTGAGGAAAGGTGCAGAGATTCAGATTGCATACACGATGCATCATCACCTGTTCCTGCTCCAAGGGGCCAGCAGGGTGAGAAGTCTATTTTTGAGGTGCCTCAGAAATCTTTTGTGCGTCATAGTCGCGGGTACGCGAGCCCCGTACGACGACCACGCCACTGCTTCCCCCGGCTCCTCTGCTGCGTTCATTCCCAGCAGCACCAGCAGCAACATGGTCAACCGCACTCCATCAGTGTCTCACCTGCAGCAGAGGGCCAGCAGACGGGTCACAAGCCAATGTCCACAAGTCCCCATAGGGCGACCACGCCACTGCTGCTGACGGCACTAGAAGCAGCATAAGAAGCAGCAGCACCACCACACTCACCTGCAGCAGTGGCCCAGCAGACGGGTCACAAGCGAGGGCCCACGAGTCCCCATAGGGCGACCACGCCACTGCTGCTGACGGCACTGCCTCGTCCGCCCCCGCTGCTGCCGCCGTCACCCCCACCACCACCTTTCGTAGCAGCGCCGGGAACCCCAACGCCGCCCCCACCCTCCTCCCTCGCTCCGCCGCTGCCGCTGCTTCTGCCCCCCCTGCTGCTGCTCCCACTTCCTTCCCTCCTGCCAAGCCTGCACCCTGCCCAGCCATTCCGGGCAGCCCCGGAAAGGTCGTTCCAGAAGACTGGGGAAAATTCCCGGCTGCCCGCTGGATCTGCGGAGGCAAACGCCCGCCGAACCTTTTTCCTGCGCCACCGTCTCTCCCCTCCTCCCCACCCTGCTCCCCGCCCTGCTCCCTCTTCTCCTCCCCACCCACGCCCTCAGCCCCATCCCGCCGGGCCTTCCTTGTGCCCTCTGCTGCTGCAGGGGTGTCGTGGATGGGGCGGCAGGCGAGGAGAAGCAGCAGGGAGCGCAGCACGTGGGAGCAAGCCGGGCTCGTCATGGCTGCTAGAGGGTACTCTGTCACCTCTTTGCAGATTTTTTTCAAAACCACCCGCACTGTTCCGGTCCATTTCGGTAAATCACCCTGACCTCCCGTCCCCTCCTCGTTTTCCTCCTCCTCCTCTCCCTCCCCATCCTGCTCCTCGTTCTCGTCGTCTCCTGCCCCGGTTCCGTCCAATCCCGCGCTGCCACGTTTCCTGCTCTCTCCAGTCACCCACGCGCGGATATTCTGCAGACCCGCTTCAATCACCCTCGACGCAAGCCCATGCGCCAATACATCCCGGCAGACATTCACCTCCCGCTCCCCCGTTCCCTCCCCCCCTCCCCCCGCGTCTTCCCCACCCTCCCCTCCCTTCCTGCGCGCGCAGCAGCAGGCGCCGGCGAGGAAGCGGGCGGCGGCGGCGGGGGGGGCGGCGGAGAGGAGCGGCTCGAGCGTGCGGCAGGTCTGGGTGTCCCACAGCAACTGGTGCTCCTTCCCCCGAGCCTCCTCCAGAGCATTGGCGGCGATGGAGGCTCGGTCTGAGGCACGGGGGAGGTTCGGGATTGGGGCCAAGTAATGGAGAGAGAGGAGGTCGGTGGGACGGAATTGAAGACCATGCGGAATGGAGGGGGCAGTTAGCGGAGAGAGTGAGAGCGATGCGCGGAAGCGGAGAGAAGAGACGGGGTTCAAGAAGAGAAGGGTTGAGGGTAGGGCGGCGGGGTTTAGGAGGAGCGAGGAGCGCACCTTGCGGGTCGGGGGTGTCTTCCCACGCGGTGGCGATCTCCGTGAAGTACTGCGAGAGAGACGGGTCCAGCACGCGTCTGGCGAAAAGGAGCGGGGGAGAGTGGGGGGTCGTGGGTGAGGGGAGGGACGATTAAGACTAGCAAGTAGGCTGGATTGATGTCACTGCGTGTGCAACGGTCGGGTGTGCGTACGGCGCAAAAGCGTGTTGCTCCGCTGTAGAGCCTCGCTCCGCGCCACCTCCGCCCGCTCCGCCGCCTGCGCCTCCGCCGTACCCGCGCCCACCTTTCCCTCCGCCACGTCCCCTCCCCCTTCCGCGCATTCCGTCGCCTCCCTGCCAGCCCATCGGCGCGCAGCAAGATCTAATGTCTGCGTTAAAGCCGCAGTCGTGCGAATGTGCTTAGACAGACGGTGCTAATGCGCAACCTTTTGAGGCGTCGAAAAGGACTAAGCTCTGTGAAAGAAAATTTCACACAAAGCTATCGCTGACGGGACAAAGCCCTGAATTCTGTAGGAGGAGGAATAACCCTCGAACCCGACAAAACCCGAAATATCAATGCAACTGGCATAGGGGTGGGTTCGTCCGCGTTACGGAGCTTCGCTATACGTAACAGTCAAAACATTATTATCATATTTTTGCAACTTCACAATCTCAACTGATGTGTAACTGTACTCGCGAGCAATACACTGCTGTCACGTCAATCACACTCCTATCTCGCCCTCCAAAGCACGCCTACAAACGCACACCCGCCGCTCCGGTTAGCACGACTGCTGAGTAGCCACTCTCGGCCCCCCCTTCGCCGTGCGGCCGGAGCGACTCGTGGTTTATCAGGTCATTAGTAGCGCACGGCGAAGGGTATTAGTGGTATTAGTGGTATTAGCTGTATTTTCACTTTCCTCCTCGGCATTGCCGCGCAGAGCTTGTTTCGAGGCATCTCGACGCGTCTCGAGGCTCCATTGCCCACTCAGAACCCACGCCACGCGCGAGGCGTGGCGGAACGATCGTAGTCCGCCTGCGCGCGGCTCCGCTATACGCGATCTCTCATTAGGTGGCGGGAGGGTGGAGGGGGAAAACAGGGAAAGGGGACATCGGGGGATGGAAAGGGATGGTTCCGCGGGGAAAGTAGAGCCGTTTCACCAGGCAGTGGCGCGGCGGCAATCAGGCGCAGGCGCAGCTGCGCGGACGGGAGCGCAGCAAGGGGCGCGGGGATCACACTCGGGGGCTTGGGCGGGGCAACCAGGGGAATGGGCGGGGGAGGCGGGGGCGGGGTGGGACGGGGACTGGCTGGGGGAGGCGCGGAGGCGGGCGGGGCCATGGAAGGGGCGACCGCTGGCGGTGGTGAGTCTGTTCGACGGGTGCGGTGCCATCTGGCAGGCGCTGCACGACTGTGGCATTCCCTTCACCGGCGTCAGCTCTGAAATTGTGAGTGCAGAGACGTCTCAAGACGTGAGGGCCTTGCTGGGTGTGCTGGTTCGGTTATGAGGCGCTGAAGCAGCAGGCGCTGCATGACTGCGGCGTTCCCTTCACCAGGGTCGGCTCTGATCTGAGGTCGTGAGTGCCTTGCTGCGTGCTCGCTCTCACTATTTCTATCTCTCTTTTTTGCAGCAGTCTTCACTAATCCTCTCACCCTTCCCTCCCTCCCTCCCACCTTCCCTCCCTCCCTCCACGCGCCCACAGGATCCGTTTGCAGCGGAGGTGATGAGGCACAGGTGGCCGGCCGTGCAGCATTCCCATGTCACTGCATATCGTCTCGTCTCTCCACACCCCTCCCCACCTCCTCTCACCCCTCCACTCCCCCACAGGATCCGTTCGCAGCGGAGGTGGTGGGGCATAGGTGGCCGGCCGTGCAGCACGCTTGAAGTGATGTGAGGTGCAGCATTCCCATGTCCCTGCATATCGTCTCGCCTCTCCACACCCCTCCCCACCTCCTCTCACCCCTCCACTCTCACAGGACCCATTCGCAGCGGAGGTAGTGAGGCACAGGTGGCCCGCCGTGCAGCACGTGGGGGACATCACCTCCCTCACTCCCACCACCATCCACTCCGCCCTCGCTGCCGCTGCTGCTGCTGGTTGTGCCACTGCGGGCGCCACTGCTGGTGCTGGTGCTGTTGCCTCTGCTGCTCACACCAAGGAACCTCGACCGAGAAAGTGCAAGGAAGGTTCACCGGGTGTTGCAGCTGGCGTCCACGTGGACCTGCTAGTGGGCGGCTTTCCTTGTCAGGATCTGAGCAGCATGAACAAAACGAGGGTGGGGTGAGTGGCGCGGCAGTAGCACGATCGCACAGCACGAACCCCACTTGGCGCCCCGCTTAGCGCCCCCACTTAGTGCCCCCACTTACCGCCCCCACTTAGCGCCCCCACTTAGCGCCCCCACTTAGCGAACCCACTTACCGCCCCCACTTAGCGCCCCCCACTATCTACCACTCCCTCTTCCCTCATCTGACATTCCATCTTCACCGCTCCGCCCTCATTCTGTCCCTCACACCCACCCCAGTCCTGCTTCCTCCCCCCACCATGCACTGCCAGCGCCTGCCAATCTGGTTGCATCACAACGAGTTTCCCCCAACACCTTCACCTTCACATTGCTCTCGCCTTTCCAGCCTCACCCACCCTCCCCTGCCCCTCTCCCTCCCCGCCCTCCCTGCTCTCTCTCCCTGCCCTCGCTCCTCTCCCCCCCTGCATGCATGCGCCAGCCTGCATGGCCCTCGCAGTGGTCTCTTCTTCCACCTCCTGCGCCTTATCCAGCAGCTCTCCCCCAAATGGTAACCCCCTCTTACCCATTCAGACTTTTTTTTAGGCGCCACAAAAATAGTCTTCCTCAAATGATAACCCGCTCTCACCCATAGAGAGTAAACTGCTACCCAGACGGCGACGCAGAATCATGGCTAAATATTTCTTCGGAGTATAAGCGTTATGTTAAACCTCGTCAATCTCAGCGTATGCATCTCGATTGCCTCTTGCTAACCCTCTCCTGTGTTCAACCTTTCATTGTTCACCTCATCCGGTTCCTACTGGGGAACATGGCAAGCGTGCAGTGGATGGATGGATGGATGGTTCACACGAGAGGGCGCGAATGCTCACACGGGAGAAGAACACAACGGTCCTATCAGTGCTTATCAGTGCTCACCCTCTGCTCTCCTCGTCCTCTCGCTTCTCTCACCCTCCCGGTCACTTTGCCTACACCCGCACCCCCACCCACACCCCCCCCGCCCCCCCCCGCCTCCCTCCCCCATCAAGTTCCTGGTGGAGAACGTGGCAAGAATGCAGTGGATGGATTGGCTTGAGAGGGGGACTCTTTAAGCTTCAAGTGGAGACCTGTCAACCCTGCCTCGCCCTCTCCTTCCTCCCCTCCTCAGTTCCCTCCTCAGTTCCCTCCTCAGTTCCCTCCTCAGTTCCCTCCTCCTCAGTTCCCTCCTCAGTTCCCTCCTCAGTTCCTTCCTCAGTTCCCTCCTCAGTCCCCTCCTCAGTTCCCTCCTCAGTTCCCTCCTCAGTTCCCTCCTCAGTTCCCTCCTCAGTTCCCTCCTCAGTTCCCTCCTCAGTTCCCTCCTCAGTTCCCTCCTCAGTTCCCTCCTCAGTTCCCTCCTCAGCCCCCTCCTCAGTTCCCTCCTCAGTCCCCTCCTCAGTCCCCTCCTCAGTTCCCTCCTCAGTTCCCTCCTCAGTTCCCTCCTCCTCAGTTCCCTCCTCCTCAGTTCCCTCCTCAGTTCCCTCCTCAGTTCCCTCCTGAGTTCCCTCCTCAGTTCCTTCCTCAGTTCCCTCCTCAGTCCCCTCCTCAGTTCCCTCCTCAGTTCCCTCCTCAGTTCCCTCCTCAGTTCCCTCCTCAGTTCCCTCCTCCTCAGTTCCCTCCTCAGTTCCCTCCTCAGTTCCCTCCTCAGTTCCCTCCTCAGTTCCCTCCTCAGTTCCCTCCTCAGTTCCTTCCTCAGTTCCCTCCTCAGTCCCCTCCTCAGTTCCCTCCTCAGTTCCCTCCTCAGTCCCCTCCTCAGTTCCCTCCTCAGTCCCCTCCTCAGTCCCCTCCTCAGTCCCCTCCTCAGTTCCCTCCTCAGTTCCCTCCTCAGTTCCTTCCTCAGTTCCCTCCTCAGTCCCCTCCTCAGTTCCCTCCTCAGTCCCCTCCTCAGTTCCCTCCTCAGTCCCCTCCTCAGTTCCCTCCTCAGTTCCCTCCTCAGTCCCCTCCTCAGTTCCCTCCTCAGTCCCCTCCTCAGTTCCCTCCTCAGTTCCCTCCTCAGTTCCCTCCTCAGTTCCTCCTCAGTTCCCTCCTCAGTTCCTCTCAGTTCCCTCCTCAGTCCCTCCTCAGTCCCCTCCTCAGTTCCCTCCTCAGTCCCCTCCTCAGTTCCCTCCTCAGTCCCCTCCTCAGTTCCCTCCTCAGTTCCCTCCTCAGTCCCCTCCTCAGTTCCCTCCTCAGTCCCCTCCTCAGTTCCCTCCTCAGTCCCCTCCTCAGTTCCCTCCTCAGTTCCCTCCTCAGTTCCCTCCTCAGTTCCTTCCTCAGTTCCCTCCTCAGTCCCCTCCTCAGTCCCCTCCTCAGTTCCCTCCTCAGTCCCCTCCTCAGTTCCCTCCTCAGTTCCCTCCTCAGTTCCCTCCTCAGTTCCCTCCTCAGTTCCCTCCTCAGTCCCCTCCTCAGTTCCCTCCTCAGTTCCCTCCTCAGTTCCCTCCTCAGTTCCCTCCTCAGTTCCCTCCTCAGTCCCCTCCTCAGTTCCCTCCTCAGTCCCTCCTCAGTCCCTCCTCAGTCCCCTCCTCAGTCCCCTCCTCAGTTCCCTCCTCAGTTCCCTCCTCAGTTCCCTCCTCAGTTCCCTCCTCAGTTCCTTCCTCAGTTCCCTCCTCAGTCCCCTCCTCAGTTCCCTCCTCAGTTCCCTCCTCAGTTCCCTCCTCAGTTCCCTCCTCAGTTCCCTCCTCAGTCCCCTCCTCAGTCCCCTCCTCAGTTCCCTCCTCAGTCCCCTCCTCAGTTCCCTCCTCAGTCCCCTCCTCAGTTCCCTCCTCAGTTCCCTCCTCAGTTCCCTCCTCAGTCCCCTCCTCAGTCCCCTCCTCAGTTCCCTCCTCAGTTCCCTCCTCAGTTCCCTCCTCAGTTCCCTCCTCAGTTCCCTCCTCAGTCCCCTCCTCAGTTCCCTCCTCAGTTTCCTCCTCAGTTCCCTCCTCAGTTCCTTCCTCAGTTCCCTCCTCAATCCCCTCCTCAGTTCCCTCCTCAGTTCCCTCCTCAGTCCCCTCCTCAGTTCCCTCCTCAGTCCCCTCCTCAGTCCCCTCCTCAGTCCCCTCCTCAGTTCCCTCCTCAGTTCCCTCCTCAGTTCCCTCCTCAGTTCCCTCCTCAGTTCCTTCCTCAGTTCCCTCCTCAGTCCCCTCCTCAGTTCCCTCCTCAGTTCCCTCCTCAGTTCCCTCCTCAGTTCCCTCCTCAGTCCCCTCCTCAGTTCCCTCCTCAGTTCCCTCCTCAGTTCCCTCCTCAGTTCCCTCCTCAGTTCCCTCCTCAGTCCCCTCCTCAGTTCCCTCCTCAGTCCCCTCCTCAGTTCCCTCCTCAGTTCCCTCCTCAGTTCCCTCCTCAGTTCCTTCCTCAGTTCCCTCCTCAGTTCCCTCCTCAGTTCCCTCCTCAGTTCCCTCCTCAGTCCCCTCCTCAGTCCCCTCCTCAGTTCGCTCCTCAGTCCCCTCCTCAGTTCCCTCCTCCTCAGTTCCCTCCTCCTCAGTTCCCTCCTCAGTTCCCTCCTCAGTTCCCTCCTCAGTTCCCTCCTCAGTTCCTTCCTCAGTTCCCTCCTCAGTCCCCTCCTCAGTTCCCTCCTCAGTTCCCTCCTCAGTTCCCTCCTCAGTTCCCTCCTCAGTTCCCTCCTCCTCAGTTCCCTCCTCAGTTCCCTCCTCAGTTCCCTCCTCAGTTCCCTCCTCAGTTCCTTCCTCAGTTCCCTCCTCAGTCCCCTCCTCAGTTCCCTCCTCAGTTCCCTCCTCAGTCCCCTCCTCAGTTCCCTCCTCAGTCCCCTCCTCAGTCCCCTCCTCAGTTCCCTCCTCAGTCCCCTCCTCAGTTCCCTCCTCAGTCCCCTCCTCAGTTCCCTCCTCAGTTCCCTCCTCAGTTCCCTCCTCAGTCCCCTCCTCAGTTCCCTCCTCAGTCCCCTCCTCAGTCCCCTCCTCAGTTCCCTCCTCAGTTCCCTCCTCAGTTCCCTCCTCAGTTCCCTCCTCCTCAGTTCCCTCCTCCTCAGTTCCCTCCTCAGTTCCCTCCTCAGTTCCCTCCTGAGTTCCCTCCTCAGTTCCTTCCTCAGTTCCCTCCTCAGTCCCCTCCTCAGTTCCCTCCTCAGTTCCCTCCTCAGTTCCCTCCTCAGTTCCCTCCTCAGTTCCCTCCTCCTCAGTTCCCTCCTCAGTTCCCTCCTCAGTTCCCTCCTCAGTTCCCTCCTCAGTTCCTTCCTCAGTTCCCTCCTCAGTCCCCTCCTCAGTTCCCTCCTCAGTTCCCTCCTCAGTCCCCTCCTCAGTTCCCTCCTCAGTCCCCTCCTCAGTCCCCTCCTCAGTTCCCTCCTCAGTCCCCTCCTCAGTTCCCTCCTCAGTCCCCTCCTCAGTTCCCTCCTCAGTTCCCTCCTCAGTTCCCTCCTCAGTCCCCTCCTCAGTTCCCTCCTCAGTCCCCTCCTCAGTCCCCTCCTCAGTTCCCTCCTCAGTTCCCTCCTCAGTTCCCTCCTCAGTTCCCTCCTCCTCAGTTCCCTCCTCCTCAGTTCCCTCCTCAGTTCCCTCCTCAGTTCCCTCCTGAGTTCCCTCCTCAGTTCCTTCCTCAGTTCCCTCCTCAGTCCCCTCCTCAGTTCCCTCCTCAGTTCCCTCCTCAGTTCCCTCCTCAGTTCCCTCCTCAGTTCCCTCCTCAGTTCCCTCCTCAGTTCCCTCCTCAGTTCCCTCCTCAGTTCCCTCCTCAGTTCCCTCCTGAGTTCCCTCCTCAGTTCCTTCCTCAGTTCCCTCCTCAGTCCCCTCCTCAGTTCCCTCCTCAGTTCCCTCCTCAGTTCCCTCCTCAGTTCCCTCCTCAGTTCCCTCCTCCTCAGTTCCCTCCTCAGTTCCCTCCTCAGTTCCCTCCTCAGTTCCCTCCTCAGTTCCTTCCTCAGTTCCCTCCTCAGTCCCCTCCTCAGTTCCCTCCTCAGTTCCCTCCTCAGTCCCCTCCTCAGTTCCCTCCTCAGTCCCCTCCTCAGTCCCCTCCTCAGTTCCCTCCTCAGTTCCCTCCTCAGTTCCCTCCTCAGTCCCCTCCTCAGTTCCCTCCTCAGTCCCCTCCTCAGTTCCCTCCTCAGTTCCCTCCTCAGTTCCCTCCTCAGTTCCTTCCTCAGTTCCCTCCTCAGTTCCCTCCTCAGTTCCCTCCTCAGTTCCCTCCTCAGTCCCCTCCTCAGTCCCCTCCTCAGTTCGCTCCTCAGTCCCCTCCTCAGTTCCCTCCTCCTCAGTTCCCTCCTCCTCAGTTCCCTCCTCAGTTCCCTCCTCAGTTCCCTCCTCAGTTCCCTCCTCAGTTCCTTCCTCAGTTCCCTCCTCAGTCCCCTCCTCAGTTCCCTCCTCAGTTCCCTCCTCAGTTCCCTCCTCAGTTCCCTCCTCAGTTCCCTCCTCCTCAGTTCCCTCCTCAGTTCCCTCCTCAGTTCCCTCCTCAGTTCCCTCCTCAGTTCCTTCCTCAGTTCCCTCCTCAGTCCCCTCCTCAGTTCCCTCCTCAGTTCCCTCCTCAGTCCCCTCCTCAGTTCCCTCCTCAGTCCCCTCCTCAGTCCCCTCCTCAGTTCCCTCCTCAGTCCCCTCCTCAGTTCCCTCCTCAGTCCCTCCTCAGTTCCCTCCTCAGTCCCTCCTCAGTTCCCTCCTCAGTCCCCTCCTCAGTTCCCTCCTCAGTCCCCTCCTCAGTCCCCTCCTCAGTTCCCTCCTCAGTTCCCTCCTCAGTTCCCTCCTCAGTTCCCTCCTCCTCAGTTCCCTCCTCCTCAGTTCCCTCCTCAGTTCCCTCCTCAGTTCCCTCCTGAGTTCCCTCCTCAGTTCCTTCCTCAGTTCCCTCCTCAGTCCCCTCCTCAGTTCCCTCCTCAGTTCCCTCCTCAGTTCCCTCCTCAGTTCCCTCCTCAGTTCCCTCCTCCTCAGTTCCCTCCTCAGTTCCCTCCTCAGTTCCCTCCTCAGTTCCCTCCTCAGTTCCCTCCTCAGTTCCCTCCTCAGTTCCTTCCTCAGTTCCCTCCTCAGTCCCTCCTCAGTTCCCTCCTCAGTTCCCTCCTCAGTCCCCTCCTCAGTTCCCTCCTCAGTCCCCTCCTCAGTCCCCTCCTCAGTCCCCTCCTCAGTTCCCTCCTCAGTTCCCTCCTCAGTTCCTTCCTCAGTTCCCTCCTCAGTCCCCTCCTCAGTTCCCTCCTCAGTCCCCTCCTCAGTTCCCTCCTCAGTCCCCTCCTCAGTTCCCTCCTCAGTTCCCTCCTCAGTCCCCTCCTCAGTTCCCTCCTCAGTCCCCTCCTCAGTTCCCTCCTCAGTCCCCTCCTCAGTTCCCTCCTCAGTTCCCTCCTCAGTTCCCTCCTCAGTTCCTTCCTCAGTTCCCTCCTCAGTCCCCTCCTCAGTCCCCTCCTCAGTTCCCTCCTCAGTCCCCTCCTCAGTTCCCTCCTCAGTCCCCTCCTCAGTTCCCTCCTCAGTTCCCTCCTCAGTCCCCTCCTCAGTTCCCTCCTCAGTCCCCTCCTCAGTTCCCTCCTCAGTCCCCTCCTCAGTTCCCTCCTCAGTTCCCTCCTCAGTTCCCTCCTCAGTTCCTTCCTCAGTTCCCTCCTCAGTCCCCTCCTCAGTCCCCTCCTCAGTTCCCTCCTCAGTCCCCTCCTCAGTTCCCTCCTCAGTTCCCTCCTCAGTTCCCTCCTCAGTTCCCTCCTCAGTCCCCTCCTCAGTTCCCTCCTCAGTTCCCTCCTCAGTTCCCTCCTCAGTTCCCTCCTCAGTTCCCTCCTCAGTCCCCTCCTCAGTTCCCTCCTCAGTCCCCTCCTCAGTCCCCTCCTCAGTCCCCTCCTCAGTTCCCTCCTCAGTTCCCTCCTCAGTTCCCTCCTCAGTTCCCTCCTCAGTTCCTTCCTCAGTTCCCTCCTCAGTCCCCTCCTCAGTTCCCTCCTCAGTTCCCTCCTCAGTTCCCTCCTCAGTTCCCTCCTCAGTTCCCTCCTCAGTCCCCTCCTCAGTCCCCTCCTCAGTTCCCTCCTCAGTCCCCTCCTCAGTTCCCTCCTCAGTCCCCTCCTCAGTTCCCTCCTCAGTTCCCTCCTCAGTTCCCTCCTCAGTCCCCTCCTCAGTCCCCTCCTCAGTTCCCTCCTCAGTTCCCTCCTCAGTTCCCTCCTCAGTTCCCTCCTCAGTCCTCCTCAGTCCCTCCTCAGTTCCCTCCTCAGTTTCCTCCTCAGTTCCCTCCTCAGTTCCTTCCTCAGTTCCCTCCTCAATCCCCTCCTCAGTTCCCTCCTCAGTTCCCTCCTCAGTCCCCTCCTCAGTTCCCTCCTCAGTCCCCTCCTCAGTCCCCTCCTCAGTCCCCTCCTCAGTTCCCTCCTCAGTTCCCTCCTCAGTTCCCTCCTCAGTTCCCTCCTCAGTTCCTTCCTCAGTTCCCCCCTCAGTCCCCTCCTCAGTTCCCTCCTCAGTTCCCTCCTCAGTTCCCTCCTCAGTTCCCTCCTCAGTCCCCTCCTCAGTTCCCTCCTCAGTTCCCTCCTCAGTTCCCTCCTCAGTTCCTTCCTCAGTTCCCTCCTTAGTTCCCTCCTCAGTTCCCTCCTCAGTTCCCTCCTCAGTCCCCTCCTCAGTCCCCTCCTCAGTTCGCTCCTCAGTCCCCTCCTCAGTTCCCTCCTCCTCAGTTCCCTCCTCCTCAGTTCCCTCCTCAGTTCCCTCCTCAGTTCCCTCCTCAGTTCCCTCCTCAGTTCCTTCCTCAGTTCCCTCCTCAGTCCCCTCCTCAGTTCCCTCCTCAGTTCCCTCCTCAGTTCCCTCCTCAGTTCCCTCCTCAGTTCCCTCCTCCTCAGTTCCCTCCTCAGTTCCCTCCTCAGTTCCCTCCTCAGTTCCCTCCTCAGTTCCTTCCTCAGTTCCCTCCTCAGTCCCCTCCTCAGTTCCCTCCTCAGTTCCCTCCTCAGTCCCCTCCTCAGTTCCCTCCTCAGTCCCCTCCTCAGTCCCCTCCTCAGTTCCCTCCTCAGTCCCTCCTCAGTTCCCTCCTCAGTCCCCTCCTCAGTTCCCTCCTCAGTTCCCTCCTCAGTTCCCTCCTCAGTTCCCTCCTCAGTTCCTTCCTCAGTTCCCTCCTCAGTCCCCTCCTCAGTTCCCTCCTCAGTTCCCTCCTCAGTTCCCTCCTCAGTTCCCTCCTCAGTCCCCTCCTCAGTCCCCTCCTCAGTCCCCTCCTCAGTCCCCTCCTCAGTTCCCTCCTCAGTTCCCTCCTCAGTCCCCTCCTCAGTCCCCTCCTCAGTTCCCTCCTCAGTTCCCTCCTCAGTTCCCTCCTCAGTCCCCTCCTCAGTCCCCTCCTCAGTCCCCTCCTCAGTTCCCTCCTCAGTTCCCTCCTCAGTTCCCTCCTCAGTTCCCTCCTCCTCAGTTCCCTCCTCAGTTCCCTCCTCAGTTCCCTCCTCAGTTCCCTCCTCAGTTCCTTCCTCAGTTCCCTCCTCAGTCCCCTCCTCAGTTCCCTCCTCAGTTCCCTCCTCAGTTCCCTCCTCAGTTCCCTCCTCAGTCCCCTCCTCAGTCCCCTCCTCAGTCCCCTCCTCAGTCCCCTCCTCAGTCACCTCCTCAGTTCCCTCCTCAGTTCCCTCCTCAGTTCCCTCCTCAGTTCCCTCCTCAGTTCCCTCCTCCTCAGTTCCCTCCTCAGTTCCCTCCTCAGTTCCCTCCTCAGTTCCCTCCTCAGTTCCCTCCTCAGTTCCCTCCTCAGTTCCCTCCTCAGTTCCCTCCTCAGTTCCTTCCTCAGTTCCCTCCTCAGTCCCCTCCTCAGTTCCCTCCTCAGTTCCCTCCTCAGTCCCCTCCTCAGTTCCCTCCTCAGTCCCCTCCTCAGTCCCCTCCTCAGTTCCCTCCTCAGTCCCCTCCTCAGTTCCCTCCTCAGTCCCCTCCTCAGTTCCCTCCTCAGTTCCCTCCTCAGTTCCCTCCTCAGTTCCCTCCTCAGTTCCTTCCTCAGTTCCCTCCTCAGTCCCCTCCTCAGTTCCCTCCTCAGTTCCCTCCTCAGTTCCCTCCTCAGTTCCCTCCTCAGTCCCCTCCTCAGTCCCCTCCTCAGTCCCCTCCTCAGTCCCCTCCTCAGTCACCTCCTCAGTTCCCTCCTCAGTTCCCTCCTCAGTTCCCTCCTCAGTTCCCTCCTCAGTTTCCTCATTCCCTCCTCAGTTCCCTCCTCAGTTCCCTCCTCAGTTCCCTCCTCAGTTCCTCCAGTTCCTCCTCAGTTCCTTCCTCAGTTCCCTCCTCAGTCCCCTCCTCAGTTCCCTCCTCAGTTCCCTCCTCAGTCCCCTCCTCAGTTCCCTCCTCAGTCCCCTCCTCAGTGCCCCTCCTCAGTCCCCTCCTCAGTTCCCTCCTCAGTTCCCTCCTCAGTTCCTTCCTCAGTTCCCTCCTCAGTCCCCTCCTCAGTTCCCTCCTCAGTCCCCTCCTCAGTTCCCTCCTCAGTCCCCTCCTCAGTTCCCTCCTCAGTTCCCTCCTCAGTCCCCTCCTCAGTTCCCTCCTCAGTCCCCTCCTCAGTTCCCTCCTCAGTCCCCTCCTCAGTTCCCTCCTCAGTTCCCTCCTCAGTTCCCTCCACAGTTCCTTCCTCAGTTCCCTCCTCAGTCCCCTCCTCAGTCCCCTCCTCAGTTCCCTCCTCAGTCCCCTCCTCAGTTCCCTCCTCAGTTCCCTCCTCAGTTCCCTCCTCAGTTCCCTCCTCAGTCCCCTCCTCAGTTCCCTCCTCAGTTCCCTCCTCAGTTCCCTCCTCAGTTCCCTCCTCAGTTCCCTCCTCAGTCCCCTCCTCAGTTCCCTCCTCAGTTTCCTCCTCAGTTCCCTCCTCAGTTCCTTCCTCAGTTCCCTCCTCAATCCCCTCCTCAGTTCCCTCCTCAGTTCCCTCCTCAGTCCCCTCCTCAGTTCCCTCCTCAGTCCCCTCCTCAGTCCCCTCCTCAGTCCCCTCCTCAGTTCCCTCCTCAGTTCCCTCCTCAGTTCCCTCCTCAGTTCCCTCCTCAGTTCCTTCCTCAGTTCCCTCCTCAGTCCCCTCCTCAGTTCCCTCCTCAGTTCCCTCCTCAGTTCCCTCCTCAGTTCCCTCCTCAGTTCCCTCCTCAGTCCCCTCCTCAGTCCCCTCCTCAGTTCCCTCCTCAGTCCCCTCCTCAGTTCCCTCCTCAGTCCCCTCCTCAGTTCCCTCCTCAGTTCCCTCCTCAGTTCCCTCCTCAGTCCCCTCCTCAGTCCCCTCCTCAGTTCCCTCCTCAGTCCCCTCCTCAGTTCCCTCCTCAGTCCCCTCCTCAGTTCCCTCCTCAGTTCCCTCCTCAGTTCCCTCCTCAGTTCCTTCCTCAGTTCCCTCCTCAGTCCCCTCCTCAGTCCCCTCCTCAGTTCGCTCCTCAGTCCCCTCCTCAGTTCCCTCCTCCTCAGTTCCCTCCTCCTCAGTTCCCTCCTCAGTTCCCTCCTCAGTTCCCTCCTCAGTTCCCTCCTCAGTTCCTTCCTCAGTTCCCTCCTCAGTCCCCTCCTCAGTTCCCTCCTCAGTTCCCTCCTCAGTTCCCTCCTCAGTTCCCTCCTCAGTTCCCTCCTCCTCAGTTCCCTCCTCAGTTCCCTCCTCAGTTCCCTCCTCAGTTCCCTCCTCAGTTCCTTCCTCAGTTCCCTCCTCAGTCCCCTCCTCAGTTCCCTCCTCAGTTCCCTCTTCAGTCCCCTCCTCAGTTCCCTCCTCAGTCCCCTCCTCAGTCCCCTCCTCAGTTCCCTCCTCAGTCCCCTCCTCAGTTCCCTCCTCAGTCCCCTCCTCAGTTCCCTCCTCAGTTCCCTCCTCAGTTCCCTCCTCAGTTCCCTCCTCAGTTCCTTCCTCAGTTCCCTCCTCAGTCCCCTCCTCAGTTCCCTCCTCAGTTCCCTCCTCAGTTCCCTCCTCAGTTCCCTCCTCAGTCCCCTCCTCAGTCCCCTCCTCAGTCCCCTCCTCAGTCCCCTCCTCAGTTCCCTCCTCAGTTCCCTCCTCAGTCCCCTCCTCAGTCCCCTCCTCAGTTCCCTCCTCAGTTCCCTCCTCAGTTCCCTCCTCAGTCCCCTCCTCAGTCCCCTCCTCAGTCCCCTCCTCAGTTCCCTCCTCAGTTCCCTCCTCAGTTCCCTCCTCAGTTCCCTCCTCCTCAGTTCCCTCCTCAGTTCCCTCCTCAGTTCCCTCCTCAGTTCCCTCCTCAGTTCCTTCCTCAGTTCCCTCCTCAGTCCCCTCCTCAGTTCCCTCCTCAGTTCCCTCCTCAGTCCCCTCCTCAGTTCCCTCCTCAGTCCCCTCCTCAGTCCCCTCCTCAGTTCCCTCCTCAGTCCCCTCCTCAGTTCCCTCCTCAGTCCCCTCCTCAGTTCCCTCCTCAGTTCCCTCCTCAGTTCCCTCCTCAGTTCCCTCCTCAGTCCCCTCCTCAGTTCGCTCCTCAGTCCCCTCCTCAGTTCCCTCCTCCTCAGTTCCCTCCTCCTCAGTTCCCTCCTCAGTTCCCTCCTCAGTTCCCTCCTCAGTTCCCTCCTCAGTTCCTTCCTCAGTTCCCTCCTCAGTCCCCTCCTCAGTTCCCTCCTCAGTTCCCTCCTCAGTTCCCTCCTCAGTTCCCTCCTCAGTTCCCTCCTCCTCAGTTCCTCCTCAGTTCCCTCCTCAGTTCCCTCCTCAGTTCCCTCCTCAGTTCCTTCCTCAGTTCCCTCCTCAGTCCCCTCCTCAGTTCCCTCCTCAGTTCCCTCCTCAGTCCCCTCCTCAGTTCCCTCCTCAGTCCCCTCCTCAGTCCCCTCCTCAGTTCCCTCCTCAGTCCCCTCCTCAGTTCCCTCCTCAGTCCCCTCCTCAGTTCCCTCCTCAGTTCCCTCCTCAGTTCCCTCCTCAGTTCCCTCCTCAGTTCCTTCCTCAGTTCCCTCCTCAGTCCCCTCCTCAGTTCCCTCCTCAGTTCCCTCCTCAGTTCCCTCCTCAGTTCCCTCCTCAGTCCCCTCCTCAGTCCCCTCCTCAGTCCCCTCCTCAGTCCCCTCCTCAGTTCCCTCCTCAGTTCCCTCCTCAGTCCCCTCCTCAGTCCCCTCCTCAGTTCCCTCCTCAGTTCCCTCCTCAGTTCCCTCCTCAGTCCCCTCCTCAGTCCCCTCCTCAGTCCCCTCCTCAGTTCCCTCCTCAGTTCCCTCCTCAGTTCCCTCCTCAGTTCCCTCCTCAGTTCCCTCCTCAGTCCCCTCCTCAGTCCCCTCCTCAGTTCCCTCCTCAGTTCCTTCCTCAGTTCCCTCCTCAGTTCCCTCCTCAGTTCCCTCCTCAGTCCCCTCCTCAGTCCCCTCCTCAGTTCCCTCCTCAGTCCCCTCCTCAGTCCCCTCCTCAGTTCCCTCCTCAGTCCCCTCCTCAGTTCCCTCCTCAGTTCCCTCCTCAGTTCCCTCCTCAGTTCCCTCCTCAGTCCCCTCCTCAGTTCCCTCCTCAGTTCCCTCCTCAGTTCCCTCCTCAGTTCCCTCCTCAGTTCCCTCCTCAGTCCCCTCCTCAGTTCCCTCCTCAGTTTCCTCCTCAGTTCCCTCCTCAGTTCCTTCCTCAGTTCCCTCCTCAATCCCCTCCTCAGTTCCCTCCTCAGTTCCCTCCTCAGTCCCCTCCTCAGTTCCCTCCTCAGTCCCCTCCTCAGTCCCCTCCTCAGTCCCCTCCTCAGTTCCCTCCTCAGTTCCCTCCTCAGTTCCCTCCTCAGTTCCCTCCTCAGTTCCTTCCTCAGTTCCCTCCTCAGTCCCCTCCTCAGTTCCCTCCTCAGTTCCCTCCTCAGTTCCCTCCTCAGTTCCCTCCTCAGTTCCCTCCTCAGTCCCCTCCTCAGTCCCCTCCTCAGTTCCCTCCTCAGTCCCCTCCTCAGTTCCCTCCTCAGTCCCCTCCTCAGTTCCCTCCTCAGTTCCCTCCTCAGTTCCCTCCTCAGTCCCCTCCTCAGTCCCCTCCTCAGTTCCCTCCTCAGTCCCCTCCTCAGTTCCCTCCTCAGTCCCCTCCTCAGTTCCCTCCTCAGTTCCCTCCTCAGTTCCCTCCTCAGTTCCTTCCTCAGTTCCCTCCTCAGTCCCCTCCTCAGTCCCCTCCTCAGTTCGCTCCTCAGTCCCCTCCTCAGTTCCCTCCTCCTCAGTTCCCTCCTCCTCAGTTCCCTCCTCAGTTCCCTCCTCAGTTCCCTCCTCAGTTCCCTCCTCAGTTCCTTCCTCAGTTCCCTCCTCAGTCCCCTCCTCAGTTCCCTCCTCAGTTCCCTCCTCAGTTCCCTCCTCAGTTCCCTCCTCAGTTCCCTCCTCCTCAGTTCCCTCCTCAGTTCCCTCCTCAGTTCCCTCCTCAGTTCCCTCCTCAGTTCCTTCCTCAGTTCCCTCCTCAGTCCCCTCCTCAGTTCCCTCCTCAGTTCCCTCCTCAGTCCCCTCCTCAGTTCCCTCCTCAGTCCCCTCCTCAGTCCCCTCCTCAGTTCCCTCCTCAGTCCCCTCCTCAGTTCCCTCCTCAGTCCCCTCCTCAGTTCCCTCCTCAGTTCCCTCCTCAGTTCCCTCCTCAGTTCCCTCCTCAGTTCCTTCCTCAGTTCCCTCCTCAGTCCCCTCCTCAGTTCCCTCCTCAGTTCCCTCCTCAGTTCCCTCCTCAGTTCCCTCCTCAGTCCCCTCCTCAGTCCCCTCCTCAGTCCCCTCCTCAGTCCCCTCCTCAGTTCCCTCCTCAGTTCCCTCCTCAGTCCCCTCCTCAGTCCCCTCCTCAGTTCCCTCCTCAGTTCCCTCCTCAGTTCCCTCCTCAGTCCCCTCCTCAGTCCCCTCCTCAGTCCCCTCCTCAGTTCCCTCCTCAGTTCCCTCCTCAGTTCCCTCCTCAGTTCCCTCCTCCTCAGTTCCCTCCTCAGTTCCCTCCTCAGTTCCCTCCTCAGTTCCCTCCTCAGTTCCTTCCTCAGTTCCCTCCTCAGTCCCCTCCTCAGTTCCCTCCTCAGTTCCCTCCTCAGTCCCCTCCTCAGTTCCCTCCTCAGTCCCCTCCTCAGTCCCCTCCTCAGTTCCCTCCTCAGTCCCCTCCTCAGTTCCCTCCTCAGTCCCCTCCTCAGTTCCCTCCTCAGTTCCCTCCTCAGTTCCCTCCTCAGTTCCCTCCTCAGTCCCCTCCTCAGTTCGCTCCTCAGTCCCCTCCTCAGTTCCCTCCTCCTCAGTTCCCTCCTCCTCAGTTCCCTCCTCAGTTCCCTCCTCAGTTCCCTCCTCAGTTCCCTCCTCAGTTCCTTCCTCAGTTCCCTCCTCAGTCCCCTCCTCAGTTCCCTCCTCAGTTCCCTCCTCAGTTCCCTCCTCAGTTCCCTCCTCAGTTCCCTCCTCCTCAGTTCCCTCCTCAGTTCCCTCCTCAGTTCCCTCCTCAGTTCCCTCCTCAGTTCCTTCCTCAGTTCCCTCCTCAGTCCCCTCCTCAGTTCCCTCCTCAGTTCCCTCCTCAGTCCCCTCCTCAGTTCCCTCCTCAGTCCCCTCCTCAGTCCCCTCCTCAGTTCCCTCCTCAGTCCCCTCCTCAGTTCCCTCCTCAGTCCCCTCCTCAGTTCCCTCCTCAGTTCCCTCCTCAGTTCCCTCCTCAGTTCCCTCCTCAGTTCCTTCCTCAGTTCCCTCCTCAGTCCCCTCCTCAGTTCCCTCCTCAGTTCCCTCCTCAGTTCCCTCCTCAGTTCCCTCCTCAGTCCCCTCCTCAGTCCCCTCCTCAGTCCCCTCCTCAGTCCCCTCCTCAGTTCCCTCCTCAGTTCCCTCCTCAGTCCCCCTCCTCAGTCCCCTCCTCAGTTCCCTCCTCAGTTCCCTCCTCAGTTCCCTCCTCAGTCCCCTCCTCAGTCCCCTCCTCAGTCCCCTCCTCAGTTCCCTCCTCAGTTCCCTCCTCAGTTCCCTCCTCAGTTCCCTCCTCAGTTCCCTCCTCAGTCCCCTCCTCAGTCCCCTCCTCAGTTCCCTCCTCAGTTCCTTCCTCAGTTCCTCCTCAGTTCCCTCCTCAGTTCCCTCCTCAGTTCCCTCCTCAGTCCCCTCCTCAGTTCCGTCCTCAGTTCCCTCCTCAGTTCCCTCCTCCCCTCCTCAGTTCCCTCCTCATTTCCCTCCTCAGTTCCCTCCTCAGTCCCCTCCTCAGTCCCCTCCTCAGTCCCCTCCTCAGTCCCCTCCTCAGTTCCCTCCTCAGTTCCCTCCTCAGTCCCCTCCTCAGTCCCCTCCTCAGTCCCCTCCTCAGTTCCCTCCTCAGTTCCCTCCTCAGTTCCCTCCTCAGTTCCCTCCTCAGTTCCCCTCCTCATCCTCAGTCCCCTCCTCAGTCCCCTCCTCAGTTCCCTCCTCAGTTCCCTCCTCAGTTCCCTCCTCAGTTCCCTCCTCAGTTCCCTCCTCAGTCCCCTCCTCAGTCCCCTCCTCAGTTCCCTCCTCAGTTCCCTCCTCAGTTCCTTCCTCAGTTCCCTCCTCAGTTCCCTCCTCAGTTCCCTCCTCAGTCCCCTCCTCAGTTCCCTCCTCAGTCCCCTCCTCAGTTCCCTCCTCAGTTCCCTCCTTAGTTCCCTCCTCAGTTCCCTCCTCAGTCCCCTCCTCAGTTCGCTCCTCAGTCCCCTCCTCAGTTCCCTCCTCCTCAGTTCCCTCCTCCTCAGTTCCCTCCTCAGTTCCCTCCTCAGTTCCCTCCTCAGTTCCCTCCTCAGTTCCTTCCTCAGTTCCCTCCTCAGTCCCCTCCTCAGTTCCCTCCTCAGTTCCCTCCTCAGTTCCCTCCTCAGTTCCCTCCTCAGTTCCCTCCTCAGTTCCCTCCTCAGTTCCCTCCTCAGTTCCCTCCTCAGTTCCCTCCTCAGTTCCTTCCTCAGTTCCCTCCTCAGTCCCCTCCTCAGTTCCCTCCTCAGTTCCCTCCTCAGTCCCCTCCTCAGTTCCCTCCTCAGTCCCCTCCTCAGTCCCCTCCTCAGTTCCCTCCTCAGTCCCCTCCTCAGTTCCCTCCTCAGTCCCCTCCTCAGTTCCCTCCTCAGTTCCCTCCTCAGTTCCCTCCTCAGTTCCCTCCTCAGTTCCTTCCTCAGTTCCCTCCTCAGTCCCCTCCTCAGTTCCCTCCTCAGTTCCCTCCTCAGTTCCCTCCTCAGTTCCCTCCTCAGTCCCCTCCTCAGTCCCCTCCTCAGTCCCCTCCTCAGTCCCCTCCTCAGTTCCCTCCTCAGTTCCCTCCTCAGTCCCCTCCTCAGTCCCCTCCTCAGTTCCCTCCTCAGTTCCCTCCTCAGTTCCCTCCTCAGTCCCCTCCTCAGTCCCCTCCTCAGTCCCCTCCTCAGTTCCCTCCTCAGTTCCCTCCTCAGTTCCCTCCTCAGTTCCCTCCTCAGTTCCCTCCTCAGTCCCGTCCTCAGTCCCCTCCTCAGTTCCCTCCTCAGTTCCTTCCTCAGTTCCCTCCTCAGTTCCCTCCTCAGTTCCCTCCTCAGTTCCCTCCTCAGTCCCCTCCTCAGTTCCGTCCTCAGTTCCCTCCTCAGTTCCCTCCTCCCCTCCTCAGTTCCCTCCTCATTTCCCTCCTCAGTTCCCTCCTCAGTCCCCTCCTCAGTCCCCTCCTCAGTCCCCTCCTCAGTCCCCTCCTCAGTTCCCTCCTCAGTTCCCTCCTCAGTCCCCTCCTCAGTCCCCTCCTCAGTTCCCTCCTCAGTTCCCTCCTCAGTTCCCTCCTCAGTCCCCTCCTCAGTCCCCTCCTCAGTCCCCTCCTCAGTTCCCTCCTCAGTTCCCTCCTCAGTTCCCTCCTCAGTTCCCTCCTCAGTTCCCTCCTCAGTCCCCTCCTCAGTCCCCTCCTCAGTTCCCTCCTCAGTTCCCTCCTCAGTTCCTTCCTCAGTTCCCTCCTCAGTTCCCTCCTCAGTTCCCTCCTCAGTTCCCTCCTCAGTCCCCTCCTCAGTCCCCTCCTCAGTCCCCTCCTCAGTTCCCTCCTCAGTTTCCTCCTCAGTTCCCTCCTCAGTTCCCTCCTCAGTTCCGTCCTCAGTTCCCTCCTCAGTTCCCTCCTCCCCTCCTCAGTTCCCTCCTCATTTCCCTCCTCAGTTCCCTCCTCAGTCCCCTCCTCAGTCCCCTCCTCAGTTTCCTCCTCAGTCCCCTCCTCAGTCCCCTCCTCAGTCCCCTCCTCAGTTCCCTCCTCAGTTCCCTCCTCAGTTCCCTCCTCAGTTCCCTCCTCAGTTCCCTCCTCAGTCCCCTCCTCAGTTCCCTCCTCAGTCCCCTCCTCAGTCCCCTCCTCAGTCCCCTCCTCAGTTCCCTCCTCAGTTCCCTCCTCAGTTCCCTCCTCAGTTCCCTCCTCAGTCCCCTCCTCAGTTCCCTCCTCAGTCCCCTCCTCAGTCCCCTCCTCAGTCCCCTCCTCAGTTCCCTCCTCAGTTCCCTCCTCAGTTCCCTCCTCAGTTCCCTCCTCAGTTCCCTCCTCAGTCCCCTCCTCAGTCCCCTCCTCAGTTCCCTCCTCAGTTCCCTCCTCAGTTCCTTCCTCAGTTCCCTCCTCAGTTCCCTCCTCAGTTCCCTCCTCAGTCCCCTCCTCAGTTCCCTCCTCAGTCCCCTCCTCAGTTCCCTCCTCAGTTCCCTCCTTAGTTCCCTCCTCAGTTCCCTCCTCAGTCCCCTCCTCAGTTCGCTCCTCAGTGCCCTCCTCAGTTCCCTCCTCCTCAGTTCCCTCCTCCTCAGTTCCCTCCTCAGTTCCCTCCTCAGTTCCCTCCTCAGTTCCCTCCTCAGTTCCTTCCTCAGTTCCCTCCTCAGTTCCCTCCTCAGTTCCCTCCTCAGTTCCTTCCTCAGTTCCCTCCTCAGTCCCCTCCTCAGTTCCCTCCTCAGTTCCCTCCTCAGTTCCCTCCTCAGTTCCCTCCTCAGTCCCCTCCTCAGTCCCTCCTCAGTCCCCTCCTCAGTCCCCTCCTCAGTTCCCTCCTCAGTTCCCTCCTCAGTCCCCTCCTCAGTCCCCTCCTCAGTTCCCTCCTCAGTTCCCTCCTCAGTTCCCTCCTCAGTCCCCTCCTCAGTCCCCTCCTCAGTCCCCTCCTCAGTTCCCTCCTCAGTTCCCTCCTCAGTTCCCTCCTCAGTTCCCTCCTCAGTTCCCTCCTCAGTCCCCTCCTCAGTCCCCTCCTCAGTTCCCTCCTCAGTTCCTTCCTCAGTTCCCTCCTCAGTTCCCTCCTCAGTTCCCTCCTCAGTTCCCTCCTCAGTCCCCTCCTCAGTTCCGTCCTCAGTTCCCTCCTCAGTTCCCTCCTCCCCTCCTCAGTTCCCATCCTCATTTCCCTCCTCAGTTCCCTCCTCAGTCCCCTCCTCAGTCCCCTCCTCAGTCCCCTCCTCAGTCCCCTCCTCAGTTCCCTCCTCAGTTCCCTCCTCAGTCCCCTCCTCAGTCCCCTCCTCAGTCCCCTCCTCAGTTCCCTCCTCAGTTCCCTCCTCAGTTCCCTCCTCAGTTCCCTCCTCAGTTCCCTCCTCAGTCCCCTCCTCAGTCCCCTCCTCAGTCCCCTCCTCAGTTCCCTCCTCAGTTCCCTCCTCAGTTCCCTCCTCAGTTCCCTCCTCAGTTCCCTCCTCAGTCCCCTCCTCAGTCCCCTCCTCAGTTCCCTCCTCAGTTCCCTCCTCAGTTCCTTCCTCAGTTCCCTCCTCAGTTCCCTCCTCAGTTCCCTCCTCAGTCCCCTCCTCAGTTCCCTCCTCAGTCCCCTCCTCAGTTCCCTCCTCAGTTCCCTCCTTAGTTCCCTCCTCAGTTCCCTCCTCAGTCCCCTCCTCAGTTCGCTCCTCAGTCCCCTCCTCAGTTCCCTCCTCCTCAGTTCCCTCCTCCTCAGTTCCCTCCTCAGTTCCCTCCTCAGTTCCCTCCTCAGTTCCCTCCTCAGTTCCTTCCTCAGTTCCCTCCTCAGTCCCCTCCTCAGTTCCCTCCTCAGTTCCCTCCTCAGTTCCCTCCTCAGTTCCCTCCTCAGTTCCCTCCTCCTCAGTTCCCTCCTCAGTTCCCTCCTCAGTTCCCTCCTCAGTTCCCTCCTCAGTTCCTTCCTCAGTTCCCTCCTCAGTCCCCTCCTCAGTTCCCTCCTCAGTTCCCTCCTCAGTCCCCTCCTCAGTTCCCTCCTCAGTCCCCTCCTCAGTCCCCTCCTCAGTTCCCTCCTCAGTCCCCTCCTCAGTTCCCTCCTCAGTCCCCTCCTCAGTTCCCTCCTCAGTTCCCTCCTCAGTTCCCTCCTCAGTTCCCTCCTCAGTTCCTTCCTCAGTTCCCTCCTCAGTCCCTCCTCAGTTCCCTCCTCAGTTCCCTCCTCAGTTCCCTCCTCAGTTCCCTCCTCAGTCCCCTCCTCAGTCCCCTCCTCAGTCCCCTCCTCAGTCCCCTCCTCAGTTCCCTCCTCAGTTCCCTCCTCAGTCCCCTCCTCAGTCCCCTCCTCAGTTCCCTCCTCAGTTCCCTCCTCAGTTCCCTCCTCAGTCCCCTCCTCAGTCCCCTCCTCAGTCCCCTCCTCAGTTCCCTCCTCAGTTCCCTCCTCAGTTCCCTCCTCAGTTCCCTCCTCAGTTCCCTCCTCAGTCCCCTCCTCAGTCCCCTCCTCAGTTCCCTCCTCAGTTCCTTCCTCAGTTCCCTCCTCAGTTCCCTCCTCAGTTCCCTCCTCAGTTCCCTCCTCAGTCCCCTCCTCAGTTCCGTCCTCAGTTCCCTCCTCAGTTCCCTCCTCCCCTCCTCAGTTCCCTCCTCATTTCCCTCCTCAGTTCCCTCCTCAGTCCCCTCCTCAGTCCCCTCCTCAGTCCCCTCCTCAGTCCCCTCCTCAGTTCCCTCCTCAGTTCCCTCCTCAGTCCCCTCCTCAGTCCCCTCCTCAGTTCCCTCCTCAGTTCCCTCCTCAGTTCCCTCCTCAGTCCCCTCCTCAGTCCCCTCCTCAGTCCCCTCCTCAGTTCCCTCCTCAGTTCCCTCCTCAGTTCCCTCCTCAGTTCCCTCCTCAGTTCCCTCCTCAGTCCCCTCCTCAGTCCCCTCCTCAGTTCCCTCCTCAGTTCCCTCCTCAGTTCCTTCCTCAGTTCCCTCCTCAGTTCCCTCCTCAGTTCCCTCCTCAGTTCCCTCCTCAGTCCCCTCCTCAGTCCCCTCCTCAGTTCCCTCCTCAGTTCCCTCCTCAGTTCCCTCCTCAGTTCCCTCCTCAGTTCCCTCCTCAGTCCCCTCCTCAGTCCCCTCCTCAGTTCCCTCCTCAGTTTCCTCCTCAGTTCCCTCCTCAGTTCCCTCCTCAGTTCCGTCCTCAGTTCCCTCCTCAGTTCCCTCCTCCCCTCCTCAGTTCCCTCCTCATTTCCCTCCTCAGTTCCCTCCTCAGTCCCCTCCTCAGTCCCCTCCTCAGTTTCCTCCTCAGTCCCCTCCTCAGTCCCCTCCTCAGTCCCCTCCTCAGTTCCCTCCTCAGTTCCCTCCTCAGTTCCCTCCTCAGTTCCCTCCTCAGTTCCCTCCTCAGTTCCCCTCCTCAGTTCCCTCCTCAGTCCCCTCCTCAGTCCCCTCCTCAGTCCCCTCCTCAGTTCCCTCCTCAGTTCCCTCCTCAGTTCCCTCCTCAGTTCCCTCCTCAGTCCCCTCCTCAGTTCCCTCCTCAGTCCCCTCCTCAGTCCCCTCCTCAGTCCCCTCCTCAGTTCCCTCCTCAGTTCCCTCCTCAGTTCCCTCCTCAGTTCCCTCCTCAGTCCCCTCCTCAGTCCCCTCCTCAGTTCCCTCCTCAGTTCCCTCCTCAGTTCCCTCCTCAGTTCCCTCCTCAGTTCCCTCCTCAGTCCCCTCTTCAGTTCCCTCCTCAGTTCCCTCCTCAGTTCCCTCCTCAGTTCCTTCCTCAGTTCCCTCCTCAGTTCCCTCCTCAGTTCCCTCCTCAGTTCCCTCCTCAGTCCCCTCCTCAGTCCCTCCTCAGTCCCCTCCTCAGTTCCCTCCTCAGTTCCCTCCTCAGTTCCCTCCTCAGTTCCCTCCTCAGTTCCCTCCTCAGTTCCCTCCTCAGTCCCCTCCTCAGTTCCCTCCTCAGTTCCCTCCTCAGTTCCCTCCTCAGTTCCCTCCTCAGTCCCCTCCTCAGTTCCCTCCTCAGTCCCCTCCTCAGTCCCCTCCTCAGTCCCCTCCTCAGTTCCCTCCTCAGTTCCCTCCTCAGTTCCCTCCTCAGTTCCCTCCTCAGTTCCCTCCTCAGTCCCCTCCTCAGTCCCCTCCTCAGTTCCTCCTCAGTTCCCTCCTCAGTTCCTTCCTCAGTTCCCTCCTCAGTTCCCTCCTCAGTTCCCTCCTCAGTTCCCTCCTCAGTCCCCTCCTTAGTCCCCTCCTCAGTCCCCTCCTCAGTTCCCTCCTCAGTTCCCTCCTCAGTTCCCTCCTCAGTTCCCTCCTCAGTCCCTCTTCAGTCCCCTCCTCAGTTCCCTCCTCAGTTCCCTCCTCAGTTCCCTCCTCAGTTCCCTCCTCAGTTCCCTCCTCAGTCCCCTCCTCAGTTTCCCTCCTCAGTTCCCTCCTCAGTTCCCTCCTCAGTTCCCTCCTCAGTTCCCTCCTCAGTCCCCTCCTCAGTTCCCTCCTCAGTCCCCTCCTCAGTCCCCTCCTCAGTCCCCTCCTCAGTTCCCTCCTCAGTTCCCTCCTCAGTTCTCTCCTCAGTTCCCTCCTCAGTCCCCTCCTCAGTCCCCTCCTCAGTTCCCTCCTCAGTTCCCTCCTCAGTTCCCTCCTCAGTTCCCTCCTCAGTTCCCTCCTCAGTCCCCTCTTCAGTTCCCTCCTCAGTTCCCTCCTCAGTTCCCTCCTCAGTTCCTTCCTCAGTTCCCTCCTCAGTTCCCTCCTCAGTTCCCTCCTCAGTTCCTCCTCAGTCCCCTCCTCAGTCCCCTCCTCAGTCCCCTCCTCAGTTCCCTCCTCAGTTCCCTCCTCAGTTCCCTCCTCAGTTCCCTCCTCAGTTCCCTCCTCAGTCCTCCTCCTCAGTTCCCTCCTCAGTTCCCTCCTCAGTTCCCTCCTCAGTTCCCTCCTCAGTTCCCTCCTCAGTCCCCTCCTCAGTTCCCTCCTCAGTCCCCTCCTCAGTCCCCTCCTCAGTCCCCTCCTCAGTTCCCTCCTCAGTTCCCTCCTCAGTTCTCTCCTCAGTTCCCTCCTCAGTCCCCTCCTCAGTCCCCTCCTCAGTTCCCTCCTCAGTTCCCTCCTCAGTTCCCTCCTCAGTTCCCTCCTCAGTTCCCTCCTCAGTCCCCTCTTCAGTTCCCTCCTCAGTTCCCTCCTCAGTTCCCTCCTCAGTTCCTTCCTCAGTTCCCTCCTCAGTTCCCTCCTCAGTTCCCTCCTCAGTTCCCTCCTCAGTCCCCTCCTCAGTCCCCTCCTCAGTCCCCTCCTCAGTTCCCTCCTCAGTTCCCTCCTCAGTTCCCTCCTCAGTTCCCTCCTCAGTTCCCTCCTCAGTTCCCTCCTCAGTCCCCTCCTCAGTTCCCTCCTCAGTCCCCTCCTCAGTCCCCTCCTCAGTCCCCTCCTCAGTTCCCTCCTCAGTTCCCTCCTCAGTTCCCTCCTCAGTTCCCTCCTCAGTCCCCTCCTCAGTCCCCTCCTCAGTTCCCTCCTCAGTTCCCTCCTCAGTTCCCTCCTCAGTTCCCTCCTCAGTTCCCTCCTCAGTCCCCTCTTCAGTTCCCTCCTCAGTTCCCTCCTCAGTTCCCTCCTCAGTTCCTTCCTCAGTTCCCTCCTCAGTTCCCTCCTCAGTTCCCTCCTCAGTTCCCTCCTCAGTCCCCTCCTTAGTCCCCTCCTCAGTCCCCTCCTCAGTTCCCTCCTCAGTTCCCTCCTCAGTTCCCTCCTCAGTTCCCTCCTCAGTTCCCTCCTCAGTTCCCTCCTCAGTTCCCTCCTCAGTTCCCTCCTCAGTTCCCTCCTCAGTCCTCTCCTCAGTTCCCTCCTCAGTCCCCTCCTCAGTCCCCTCCTCAGTCCCCTCCTCAGAGGTCACCCTCTGCTCTCCTCGTCCTCTCGCTTCTCTCACAATGGCCCGATCACTTTGCCCACACCCGCACCCCCATTCCCCCCCCTCCCCCCCCGCCTCCCTCCCCCATCAGGTTCCTGGTGGAGAACGTGGCGAGCATGCAGTGGATGGACCGGGACGAGATCTCCAAGTATCTCGGAGTGCCGCCCGTCTGCATCGACTGCGCCGACCTCACCGCACAGGGGCGGCGGCGGCTGTTTTGGACCAACCTGCCGCTGCCAGCTCAGATGCCGCCCGTGCGCTGCCACCCGTCCACGCTGATGCAGAGCAAGCTGTTTGACGCGATCGCCACAGAAGACAAGTGCGGGGTGGGTGGGAGAAAGGAGGGCGACGAGCGATGAAGGGATGGGGGAAGGGTGGGGGAAAGGGCGGTAGAGGGATACGTGAAGTGTGAGTGTGCGCTGCTACCCATCCACCTTGCTTCAGAGCAAGCTGTGTATTGCCATCGCCACTGAAGACAAGTGCGGGGTGGGTGGGAGAAAGGAGGGCGACGAGCGATGAAGGGATGGGGGAAGGGTGGGGGAAAGGGTGGTAGAGGGATACGTGAAGTGTGAGTGTGCTCTGCTACCCATCCACCTTGCTTCAGAGCAAGCTGTGTATTGCCATCGCCACTGAAGACAAGTGCGGGGTGGGTGGGGGGGAACGGGGTAGGGGATGGGTGAGTGAAGTGGATATGGGGTTGTAGAGGGGCGTATGGAGGGTTGTCATTCGCTCTGCTAGTTGTGATAAAGAACAACCTTCGCACGCCAGGCAAGGGCCGCACCGCACCTACCAGGTCATCGGCCTCCTGCCACTCCCACTCCCCCTTCTCCCTCCTGCACCCTCTATCATCCCTGTGTATCAACTGCTAACCCTCTCTTACCCCCTGCCTTATGCCCACTCCCTCCTCCAGTGATGAAGACCAACTTCCGCACGGCCGCGTTAACCAGGTCACCCTCTCCTCTGCTTCCCCCACAACCTTCCATATACCCTCTGCCTTGTCCCCTCTCTCTCCCCCCCAGCCCATCATGAAGACCAACTATCGCACAGCTGGCAAGGGTCGCACCAACCAGGTCATCTGCCTGCGATCCCATGCCGCCCGCTTACCCCACACATGCACCCCTCAATATAAATCTCCTGCCCTCTCTCACCCCCTGCCTCATCCCCCTTCCCTCTCCCCCAGCCCATCATGAAGACCAATTACCGCACGGCTGGCAAGGGCCGCACCAATCAGGTCATCTGCATGCAATCCCATGCCGCCCGCTTCTTCCTCTCCCACGAGATCGAGAGAATATTTGGATTCCCGCCCGGATACACCAAGATCCCCGCCGCCCGGTTTGCTGCTATCAAGGCGGGGAGGAGAGGGGCGGGAGGGGGGAAAGCAGGGACGGGGAAGGGGCGAGAAACTGGTACGGGGAATCGGAATTCTGTTGGGGCTGATTGCTTGAGAGAGGAGGAAAAGGAGGAGGAGAGTGATGACGTGAGGGAGGTGGTGAGCAGGGGAGGGGTGAGAAGCAGCGGTGGAGGAGCGAAGAGCGAAGAAGGGGTGAAGATCGAGAGAGGAGTGAAGAGTGAAGGAGTGAGGAGGGAGAGAGGAGTGAAGAGTGAAGGAGTAGTGAGGAGCGAGGGAGGGGTGAAGGAACTCAATGCAGCAGCTACCAGTGACCCCTCCGTGCAGCCTTTCTCCCCTGTGCGAGTGCTAGGCAGGGCTGTGTTCGATGGGGTGAGGGAGGTGAGAGAGGAGGAGGGGGAGGAAGCAGAGGTAAGGGAGGTTAAGGAAATGGGGGAGGTGAGGGGGGTGAGGGAGGTTAAGGAAATGGGGGAGGTGAGGGGGGTGACGGAGGTTAAGGAAATGGGGGAGGTGAGGGGGGTGAGGGAGGTTAAGGAAAAGAGGGAGGTGAGGGGGGTGAGGGAGGTAAGAGAGGAGGGGGGGGAGGAAACGGAGGTGAGGGCGGTTAGGGAAATGGGGGAGGTGAGGGGGGTGAGGGAGGTGAGTGCATTCATTGTTCGGGGAGATGAAGGAGGAGCGGGAGGTGAAGAGGGGTTTGGTGTGGTGGGAAGAGATGGTGGGAAGTGGGTGTTGGGCGTTGCAGCAAAGGCGTGTGGTGAGAGGCGAATACACAAGGGCGGAGAGGCGAGGAGGTGGGTGGAGGGGAAGAGGAATCGGGTGGCGAATGGAGAGCGGGAGGGAGGAGGAGGAAAGAGGAGGAGAGTCTGGAAGGGGCGAGATGGAGGAGAGTTGCAGGGTGCGGCTCGGTGTGATGCGGTGAGAAGCGGTGATTGTGTGGATGCTGATGGTGATGAGGGTGATGAGGATTGTAGTGGTTATCATGGTGCTTCAGAATTGAAGTGTGATAATGCGTTGAAGGGTGGTGATGTTGGGGTGTTGAAGGGTGATAATGCGGTGGTGAACGGTCATGCCACGGATCATGCAGATGATGATGACGATGTGGTTGAGGTGTCGGCGTCAGAAATGAGAGACGAGAAGGGTGGAGGGAAGAAGGGCAGAAGGGAGGAGGACGGAGGAGGGCAGGGCGACAGGGGCAACGGACGGACAACCGGGGATTTGAGAGCAAGCGATCACTCTCCTCCTGCTGCTGCTGGCGTTGCGTCTGCTGGTGCTGCACCTGCTGCTGCTGGCGGCAGCAGTGGGAGGTCGCTGCGAGCGAGGCCAAAGATTGGATTCTACAGCGAGTCAGAGCTCATGTGCGTGGGAGATGATTGAGAGGTGTGAGAGGTGTGAGAGGTGTGGTTGAAGGTGAAAATGAATGTGTGCGAGTGGAGTGATGTTGGCTAATAGAGGTGGTAGCGGAAAGTGTGGGCCAAGTGTGATGTGAGGTGGTTTGTGAGCAATGCTGATGGGCATGTGAGCAATGCTGATGGGCATGTGCCGCGAAGGTACCAACACAAGTCAACCTCACTCTTCAACGCACGGCTTGTCATTACATGTCTTCCTCTCCTCGCCCCTCCTCTCCTCGCCCCTCCTCTCCTCGCCCCTCCTCTCCTCGCCCCTCCTCTCCTCGCCCCTCCTCTCCTCGCCCCTCCTCTCCTCGCCCCTCCTCTCCTCGCCCCTCCTCTCCTCGCCCCTCCTCTCCTCGCCCCTCCTCTCCTCGCCCCTCCTCTCCTCGCCCCTCCTCTCCTCCCCCCTCCTCTCCTCGCCCCTCCTCTCCTCCCCCCTCCTCTCCTCGCCCCTCCTCTCCTCCCCCCTCCTCTCCTCGCCCCTCCTCTCCTCCCCCCTCCTCTCCTCCCCCCTCCTCTCCTCGCCCCTCCTCTCCTCGCCCCTCCTCTCCTCCCCCCTCCTCTCCTCGCCCCTCCTCTCCTCCCCCCTCCTCTCCTCGCCCCTCCTCTCCTCGCCCCTCCTCTCCTCGCCCCTCCTCTCCTCGCCCCTCCTCTCCTCCCCCCTCCTCTCCTCGCCCCTCCTCTCCTCCCCCTCCTCTCCTCGCCCCTCCTCTCCTCCCCCTCCTCTCCTCGCCCCTCCTCTCCTCCCCCCTCCTCTCCTCCCCCCTCCTCTCCTCGCCCCTCCTCTCCTCGCCCCTCCTCTCCTCCTCCCCCCTCCTCTCCTCGCCCCTCCTCTCCTCCCCCCTCCTCTCCTCGCCCCTCCTCTCCTCCCCCCTCCTCTCCTCGCCCCTCCTCTCCTCCCCCCTCCTCTCCTCGCCCCTCCTCTCCTCCCCCCTCCTCTCCTCGCCCCTCCTCTCCTCCCCCCTCCTCTCCTCGCCCCTCCTCTCCTCCCCCCTCCTCTCCTCGCCCCTCCTCTCCTCCCCTCCTCTCCTCGCCCCTCCTCTCCTCGCCCCTCCTCTCCTCGCCCCTCCTCTCCTCCCCCCTCCTCTCCTCGCCCCTCCTCTCCTCGCCCCTCCTCTCCTCCCCCCTCCTCTCCTCGCCCCTCCTCTCCTCCCCCCTCCTCTCCTCCCCCCTCCTCTCCTCCCCCCTCCTCTCCTCCCCCTCCTCTCCTCCCCCCTCCTCTCCTCCCCCTCCTCTCCTCGCCCCTCCTCTCCTCCCCCTCCTCTCCTCCCCCTCCTCTCCTCGCCCCTCCTCTCCTCGCCCCTCCTCTCCTCGCCCCTCCTCTCCTCCCCCTCCTCTCCTCCCCCCTCCTCTCCTCCCCCCTCCTCTCCTCCCCCTCCTCTCCTCGCCCCTCCTCTCCTCGCCCCTCCTCTCCTCGCCCCTCCTCTCCTCGCCCCTCCTCTCCTCCCCCCTCCTCTCCTCCCCCCTCCTCTCCTCCCCCTCCTCTCCTCCCCCTCCTCTCCTCCCCCTCCTCTCCTCGCCCCTCCTCTCCTCCCCCCTCCTCTCCTCGCCCCTCCTCTCCTCCCCCCTCCTCTCCTCGCCCCTCCTCTCCTCGCCCCTCCTCTCCTCGCCCCTCCTCTCCTCGCCCCTCCTCTCCTCCCCCCTCCTCTCCTCCCCCCTCCTCTCCTCCCCCCTCCTCTCCTCCCCCCTCCTCTCCTCGCCCCTCCTCTCCTCCCCCCTCCTCTCCTCGCCCCTCCTCTCCTCCCCCCTCCTCTCCTCGCCCCTCCTCTCCTCCCCCCTCCTCTCCTCGCCCCTCCTCTCCTCCCCCCTCCTCTCCTCGCCCCTCCTCTCCTCCCCCCTCCTCTCCTCGCCCCTCCTCTCCTCCCCCCTCCTCTCCTCGCCCCTCCTCTCCTCGCCCCTCCTCTCCTCGCCCCTCCTCTCCTCGCCCCTCCTCTCCTCCCCCCTCCTCTCCTCGCCCCTCCTCTCCTCCCCCCTCCTCTCCTCCCCCCTCCTCTCCTCCCCCCTCCTCTCCTCCCCCCTCCTCTCCTCCCCCCTCCTCTCCTCGCCCCTCCTCTCCTCCCCCCTCCTCTCCTCGCCCCTCCTCTCCTCGCCCCTCCTCTCCTCGCCCCTCCTCTCCTCGCCCCTCCTCTCCTCCCCCCTCCTCTCCTCCCCCCTCCTCTCCTCCCCCCTCCTCTCCTCCCCCCTCCTCTCCTCGCCCCTCCTCTCCTCCCCCCTCCTCTCCTCCCCCCTCCTCTCCTCCCCCCTCCTCTCCTCCCCCCTCCTCTCCTCCCCCCTCCTCTCCTCCCCCCTCCTCTCCTCCCCCCTCCTCTCCTCCCCCTCCTCTCCTCCCCCCTCCTCTCCTCGCCCCTCCTCTCCTCCCCCCTCCTCTCCTCTCCTCTCCTCTCCTATCACCGCCACACCAGGAAGAGGGGCGTGCAGCAGTGGGCCCAGGAGAAAAGGCACAGGCGAAGCGGGGCCAGTGAGAGACCGACTCAACCTCTCACCGCTACCTCCCCTCGACTATCCCTCCCTCCCTCCCTCCCTCCCTCCCTCCCTCCCTCCCTCCCTCCCTCCCTCCCTCCCTCCCTTCCCCCTCCACTATCACCACCACACCAGGAGGAGGGGCGTGCAGCAGCAGCCCCAAGAGACGAGGCGGAGGCGGAGTGGGGGCAGTGAGAGGGGCGAGCGGGAGGGCGGATGGGATGAGTGGGAGGGAGGAGACGTGTCGGTGGGATGAGAGTAAGCAGGAGGAGCTGCAGGAGAGGGACCGATGGGGCCTGCTAGGGAACTCATTTCCAGTTGAGTGTCCCTGCCCGCCTGCCACTCACCCTTTTACTGGTTCTTCTCCAACTTGCTAAGCCTTCCTCTATGCTGCTACCTTCCTCTAAGACTTGACAGCCCTCTCTTTACGCCCTTCCACTGTCCTCTTCCCCCATAGGTGGCAGTGATATCATACCTGCTCACGCCGCTGCTCTCCCCATCGCTGCGCCTCTCTGCTCCCCCCTGTGCGCTGCCTGCCTGTGTGCCTCCCCACGTCACCCGCGCCAAGTGCGCCCTCATGGTGCCGGGGGAGGTGAGAGCAGTGAGCGCGTGTGCATGGGGCATGGGGCAGTGGCAGTGCAGGGCAGTGGCAGGGGCAGTGGCAGGGCAGTGGCAGTGCAGGGCAGTGGCAGGGGCAGTGGCAGGGCAGTGGCAGTGCAGGGAGTGGCAGTGCAGGCAGTGGCAGTGCAGTGGCAGTGGCAGTGCAGGGAGTGGGAAGGGGCTCTCTGCACCCCCCTGTGTGTGCCTCCCCACGTCCCCGCGCCAAGTGCGCCCTCATGGTGCCGGGGGAGGTGAGCGCACGTGAATTGTAAGGGTGTGTGGTAGCAGGGCAGTGGCGGGCAGGGCAATGGGCGAGCAGGGAATGTGACGGGCGTCTCTCCGCCCCCCCCTGTGCGCTGCCTGCCTTTGTGCCTCCTCACGTCACCCGCGCCGAGTGCGCCCTCATGGTCCCAGGGGAGGTGAGTGCACGTGAGCATGGGTGTGTGTTGGGGTAGGTTATGAGTAGAGCACGGTGGTGCAGGGAGTGAAAAGGGGCGTCTCTGCTCCCCTCTGTGCGCTGCTTGCCTGTGTGCCCGCATATGTCACCCGCGCTAGGTCTGCTCTCATGGTGCCAGGGGAGGTGAGCACAGTGAGCGTTGGTGCGTGGGGGTAGGTTGTTGTGAGTAGAGCTTGGGCGTGTAGGGCAGTGGGTGGGGAGGGGCACCTGCTCCCCCATGTGCACTGCTCGCCTGTGTGCCGCCACGCCACATGTCACCCGCGCTAGGTCTGCTCTCATGGTCCCAGGGGAGGTGAGCGCACTGACCGTTGGTGCGTGGGGGAGGTGAGTGGTGAGCATGGGTGCATAGCAGGGGCCGTGCAGGAAGTGTGTGGTGTGGGGTAACAATCTGAGTGATATGGGAGCTGATAACACATTCATTCCTCTCTAGTGCACTTCCCTGCTCATCCATCTACCCACCCATCCCATCCCTCCCCTCCCTACCACACCATCTCCACCCCTTACCACCCCCATCCCATCGCACCGTGCCATTCCCATCTCTTTCCACCCCTCCTCACCCCACCCCACCGCGCCATGCAGGTGTGGGCAGCATACAGCTGGTCCAAGCTACCCAATTGGTACGCGCTGATTCTCTCCGTGGAGGGCGGCAGATTCGATACCGAGTCGCTTCGCAAGCCAGCACCACTCGCCATCACCTAGTAAGCCCCCATCACAGACCCAGTAATGCCACTCTGTCTCTGCGCTTCACGTCAAGGAGAGACCCACCTGGAATTTGAGGCGCCCCACCTGGATTTCTTAGACGACCTTGATCCGTGTCAATCCTGCCTGCTTCCCTTCGCTCAGAGCTGAGATTCGTGACACATTATTCGGCCGAGCACACCTTTTTGTTGCGTCTGTCCGCACCAGCCACAGTCTCTCAATGCATCTTGAGATTCGATTTCTGTACTTGCTTGCTACTCGCAGGTTGCGACCTGTTGAAGCATACCTCTGAAACTGTTGTTCCTGGTTGCCTTGAAATGCTTCTTGACCACATTGCTTCTTGACCACATTGCTTCTTGACCACATTGCTTCTTGACCACATTGCTTCTTGACCACATTGCTTCTTGACCACATTGCTTCTTGACCACATTGCTTCTTGACCACATTGCTTCTTGACCACATTGCTTCTTGACCACATTGCTTCTGCATATCCTCTCCTCTCCGCCCTCCCACATGCCCTTCCCTCCACTCAGTCGGTACTTCTATCTCGTGGATGCTCACTCAAATGGGCATCCTGCGTATGGGAAGAGGGAAGAGAGGGAAGAGCGTGAGAGTGGTGACGAGGAGGAGGAGGAGGAAGAGGGGGATGAGGATGAGGAGGGGGAGGAGTACAAGGAGGAGGAGGAGGATGAGCACACATGGCATGGAGCAGGGCTGTATGAGATGGAGCAGGAGACTCACACGGCCACCAGCCTCACTGTCTTCAGCCACAGGTAATGTCATGTCAATGCGTATCTCTGCCCTGCCAGCCACAGGTAATGTCATGTCAATGCGTATCTCTGCCCTGCCAGCCACAGGTAATGTCATGTCAATGCGTATCTCTGCCCTGCCAGCCACAGGTAATGTCATGTCAATGCGTATCTCTGCCCTGCCAGCCACAGGTAATGTCATGTCAATGAGTATCTCTGCCCTGCCAGCCACAGGTAATGTCATGTCAATGCGTATCTCTGCCCTGCCAGCCACAGGTAATGTCATGTCAATGCGTATCTCTGCCCTGCCAGCCACAGGTAATGTCATGTCAATGCGTATCTCTGCCCTGCCAGCCACAGGTAATGTCATGTCAATGCGTATCTCTGCCCTGCCAGCCACAGGTAATGTCATGTCAATGCGTATCTCTGCCCTGCCAGCCACAGGTAATGTCATGTCAATGCGTATCTCTGCCCTGCCAGCCACAGGTAATGTCATGTCAATGCGTATCTCTGCCCTGCCAGCCACAGGTAATGTCATGTCAATGCGTATCTCTGCCCTGCCAGCCACAGGTAATGTCATGTCAATGCGTATCTCTGCCCTGCCAGCCACAGGTAATGTCATGTCAATGCGTATCTCTGCCCTGCCAGCCACAGGTAATGTCATGTCAATGCGTATCTCTGCCCTGCCAGCCACAGGTAATGTCTCTCCGCCCTGGTGCACTCTCGCCTCACATATCCCCACTCTGCTCAGCTACCGTTTCAGTGCACAGTGCCCAGTAGCATCTCGTTTGAGGTGCCTCAGTGCCTCCAATGGGCTGTACGAGATGGAGCAGGAGACATAGAGACGAGAACAGGGATGGGGCTGGTAGTAACTGTGCCACCAGCCCCACTGTCTTGAGCCACAGTTATTGTTCTCACTGCGAATCTCTGCGCTGCCAGCATTCTGCTGTGCTTGTGTGTGCCACCACGATCATCACACACAGTCATCCCCATCACCCCCATCACCCCCATCACCCCCATCATCCCCATCACCCCCATCACCCCCATCACCCCCATCACCCCCATCACCCCCATCACCCCCATCACCCCCATCACCCCCATCACCCCCATCACCCCCATCACCCCCATCACCCCCATCACCCCCATCACCCCCATCACATCACATCACCCCCATCACATCACATCACATCACCCCCATCACATCACATCACCCCCATCACCCCCATCACCCCCATTACCCCCATCACCCCCATCACCCCCATCACCCCCATCACCCCCATCACCCCCATCAACCACATTAAGCCCATCATCCCCATCACCCCACCCATATCGCACATCAGGGTGCGGCGAGTGACGAGGGTAGCGGGGGGCGCGGGCAGGAGTGTTTTTGCAGTGTATCTCCAGCCAGGCACCATCTTGGGGCTCTCAAATGGCCCTTCAAACGCCACTCTCATCCCCATCATGCCCATCATTCCCATCACCCCCATCACCCCCATCACCCCCAACACCCCCAACAGGGTGCGGAGGGTGCGCAGGGTAGCGGGGGGCCCGGGCAGGAGTGTGCACGCGGTGTATCCCCAGCCAGGCACCGTGTGGGCGCTTAAATGGCCCTTCAAACGCGACTTCTCCCTCGTTGTCAGTCTGATGCACTGCACCGCACTGCATTGCGCTGCACTGCACTGCACTGCACTGCACTGCAGCATGCTTCCATTCAGCTGTACTTTTGTTGCTGCGAGCACGTGACTGTTCGATGCGCATGCCACTGTGCTGTTCTACACTCACCAGTTTATCTTCCCTCTCTTATGCCCCCGTACCTTATCCCTCGCCTCATCACATCCTTGCCTCCCGTTTCATCCATCTCCCCTTTTTGTTTCACTCTCTTGTGGACTCCCCTCACATCCCCCTCACCTCTCCCTATCCCATCTCCTCCTCCCTCCCTCTTCCCCAACCCCTCCTGCTCGGTTGTACCGCCATGAACACAGTACGTGGTAACCAGCAGCATCGAGTTCAACTCTCCCAGCCTATCCTCCCCATCGCCCTCCTCCCACCCCTCCCCCGCCAAATCCCCAACTCTCCAACCCTCCTCCACCTCCCCCACCCGATCCTCTCCCATCTCCCCCATCACTTCCCAAGCCTCCATTCGAGGCTTCAATGCGACAGTGCGGGCGCTGGTGCGGCGGCGGAGTGTGAAGGTGGGGGTGGGCATGGATCCGCTGTGGGGGGTGCACGAGCACGAGTGGCAGGTGCACGACCTCTCTGCCTTCGCCTTTGAGGCGCCCTTCCACTTCCACAGCGACCGACACACCCTCGTGGTCGAGCCACAGACCCACAAGGAGCCCGAGTAATGGTGCTGACTGGGTGATCACGGCCTTCGAATGGGTGTGAAAGTGGGGGGAGTGGGGGGGCATGCACGGTGGATCCGCTGTGGGGGGTGCACGAGCACGAGTGGCAGGTGGACGACCTCTCTGCGTTCTCCTATGAGGCGCCCTTCCACCTCCACAGCGACCGACACACCCTCGTGGTCGAGCCACAGACCCACAAGGAGCCCGAGTAGAGGCGAGGCGACTGCTTTGTCACAGGTCACAGGGCCTTCAAGTGGGTGCGCAGGTGGGGGGGGCCATGGTGGATCCTCTGTGGGGGGACTGACACACCCTCGTGGTGGAGCCACAGACCCACAGATAGCCCGAGTAATGCTGGTGACTGCGTTCTCAGGGGCCTGTACTTGGGTGTGAAAGTGGGGGGGCAGGCATGGTGGAACCTCTGTGGGGGGTGCACGAGCATGAGTGGCAGGTGCACGACCTCTCTGCTTTCGCCTTTGAGGTGCCCTTCCACTTCCACAGCGATCGCCTCACACTCGTGGTGGAGCCACAGACCCACTCGTCGTAGAGGCGACTGCTTTGTCCAGGGCCTTGGCAGGTTCCCTCGTCAGGTGCCTCGTCGGGTGCCTCGTCAGGTGCCTCGTCAGTTGCCTCGTCAGTTGCCTCATCAGGTGCCTCGTCAGGATGGGAGAACAGAGAGGAGTGGAAGAGGGACCAGGAGCAAGGGTAGCTAACCACAGTATTTATATAAGCAGCATCACTAACAGGCTTGCTAACCGATTATTGTATGATGCGATATAATTGTGAGGATCTCTCTAATTATTGTGCCCCAAGAGGCGTGTGGTGGAGTGACAGAACCAGAAGGACAAGTAGAAAAGATGGCCATGGTAGAAACCATGACATGTTAGGGCTGTGGAAGTAGACTTGTAACACATTTTATAGTGGCCATGCATGTGCTGTAAGTCCTTATGCATGGCATGAGTAGCCATGTGCCTGTCTGTTCTATGCATGTATTCCATGAAAGAATGCACCCATACATTCAGTGACTTGTAGTGCACTCTAATTGGGATGAACATGTGTGAAGACCGAGGGAAAGGGCAAATCATTATTCTGGCCTTGACCCATGCCACACTGACCCATGCCACATTGACCCGTGCTTCTCATCCCCTTCCCAGTCTCCTCATCACCCCCTCTACCTCCTCCCACCTCATCCCCTCCGCCCCACTCCTTACACCCATCTGCATCACCCCCATACCAGCCCACACGCCATCCAGCCTCCTCACCGCCTCCTCCCCCACCACCACAGCAAACACACTGTCAAAGCCCCCCGCGCCCGGCACACCTGCCATCACCACCCCCGGCTGCTGCATGGTAGCGTCAAGGAGAGCGGTCTGCTGGGGGGGTTCGATGGGCGTGGCGGCTGCAGAGCCCATGGCAGAGAGCAGGTGGCGCACTGAGAGGAAGGAGGACCGCAGAGTGAGGAGGGCGTGTAGGATGGTATTCCGGATGTCACCTCCTTGCTGCTTTTGTTCTTTCTGCGATTCTTGTTGTTGCTGCGGTTGCTGTGGTGCGTGTGGTTGTACGGTGCTGCTTGTATGGCTGGTGTCGCAGCTACCATGCTCCGGTGTGCCTGCCTGCGACTGTTGAGTAGACTCCGGAGGTACCTCAGCCTGGAGATCTTCCGCTGCCTCGTTTGTGGCACACAAGGGGTTCTCCTGGGTTGCGGCAGCAACAGGCGCCACTGGGGTTGCTGCAGTGAGAGGCACGTGCTGCAGGCGGTTCAGAGTGGTGGAGAAGGCGTCTGGATGGGTGCGTGCGAGCAGGGACAGGTGTGAGGGCAGCAGCAACTGCCGCATTGGCCTCTTTTAGGCCTTCCCATATGGGCTCTGCTTCATCTGGTGATTGCCGCCGCCACCTGTGGGGAGGGGGAGGAAACGGGGAAAAGGAGAAGGAAGATATGATTGCATGGGGTCAGGGAGAGGTGAGGGACTGCTGCAGCAACGAACTGCAGAGTGGTATGGGCGATGGCATGATGGCATGCTGGCATGCTGGTAAGATGGCATGATGTCAATGTGGGGTGATGAAATCATGGGTGTTAAAGCAGCAGTATACATTTGACAGCCGGGTTCAGGGTTTTACAGTGTGCCTCACGATTTCGGCCCCACCATGTACCATTTATAAACTTTTGGCACTCGCCCTGCCAAATGTATACTGCTGCTTTAACTTGAATAAAGTGACGCCTGAATACGCCCGTAGCAGTGCGATTCACACTAAGAGCGATCGAATAATGTTGCAGAATGGCCACGCTCACACTCACTTCATGACAGCAGAAAGCATGGAGGGTGTGGCGGTGCCCCCTGTGCCTGGCTCGCCCAGTACCTACCATGCAGAATCACCAAGTGAAGAAGAAAGAAGGCATGAGTGGGATAGTGAGAGGGGAATAAAGAGATGCTCGTGTAGGAGAGAGTGGGAGAATGGGATAGTGGAAAGAGAGAGTGTTGAAATGGGGAAAAGGGAGAGTGGGAGGGGTGCATACCAGGAGAAGGCCTCGTGGGAGGTGCAGGGGAGCGATGGTGTGATCCCAGAGAGGAGACCGCAGCGTGGCTGATACGCTGCTCACTGTCATTGCTGCCTCTGCTCCCTGCCACAACCCCAAGGTTCACACAGGAGGGCACATGCGCAAGGTGGTGCGTCATTTTTCCTGCAGCTCTGATCACTCATTATGGCCGTGCGCATGGCACAGACCATCATGGCACAACGCAGCACAGCAGCACCCAGCACGAGGGCACCCACCATGAGCGAGTGCATGACGGCGGGGTTGAAGCGCTGGTAGCACATGGACCCAAACACGCCAGATGCCACATCAAACCCGCTGCCCGCCTTGCCCTGCGCCAGGCAGTGCGCCACCTGCGCCACCCTATGCACCACCTCCTCCCTCCCCACCGTCCCCTCACTCCCCACCGCCTCCTCTTGAGAGCCCTCCTCTGCTCCACTCCCCATCGGCCGCTCCTGACAAACCTCATCAGGAGCGCCACTCCCTGTGCCCCCCAGCACGCCGAGGAAGCGCAGCAGGGCGGCGGAGACAGCAGCAGTCATGGCAGCAGACGACCCCAGCCCTGTCTTCGCCACCTCTGGCACGTGGCCCCTCGTCGCCTCTGCTGCTGCTGCTGCTGCTGCTGATGCTGCGACTGCTGATGTTGATGCTGGTGCTAATGCGTCTGGGGCTGCTGTTGTGACCGGGGGTGCTGATGTATCTGGGGCTGCTGATGAAGGGTTGCTGACGATGGGGGCGAAAGAAGGAATGCGGGCGAGGGAGGACGCAGAGAGTGGCAGGCCCATCCGTTGCAGCTGCACACACACGGCGGGGTGTGCACGGAGGGGTGTGCGTGGAGGAATGTGCAAAGAGGAATGTGCATGGGAAATGGGTATGAAGAAATGTGCATGGAGAAATGTGTACGAGGGAATGTGAATGGGAAAATGTGCATGGGGGAATGTGCATGGGGGAATGTGCATGGGGGAATGTGCATGGGGGAATGTGCATGGGGGAATGTGCATGGGGGAATGTGCATGGGGGAATGTGCATGGGGGAATGTGCATGGAGGAATGTGCATGGAGGAATGTGCATGGATGAATGTGCATGGATGAATGTGCATGGTGGAATATGCATGGGGAAACGTGCATGGGGGAATGTGCATGGGGAAACGTGCATGGGGAAACGTGCATGGGGGAATGTGCATGGAAAAAATGTGCATGGGGGAATGTGCATGGGGAAATGTGCATGGGGAAATGTTCATGGGGGAATGTGCATGGGGGAATGTTCATGGGGGAATGTGCATGGGGAAATGTTCATGGGGGAATGTGCATGGAGGGGCAGCGTACAGTGTGTCGGTGCGAATAAAAGTCGTTGTCTCCTGCAATGGTGATGCGCACTCCTGCACTCGCCAACTTCTTCCTCAGCCGCCGCTTGTCCGTTGCTGCGTCCCCCGCTCCTCCGCGTGTCTCCCCCAGGGCAGCTCCCACGGCCACCTGAACCACCCTTTCCACGTACGGGTTGCCTGAAACCCTCTGCGCGCTGCCTCCCTCGGGCTGACCTTTCTGTCCTGTGCATGCATTCGCACATGCGTCACCTTCCCTGCACGGACATTCAGGGAGAATGGACCTTTGGAACGTAGCGCCAAGCACAACGTGTTAACAGTGCCAAGTGAGAAGCACGGGCTTAGTCGTTATGCCACTGAAGTCGTCTCCCGCTATTTAGCGATATTCACCTGCGATTGCTGATTGCGAGATCTTCAAGGGACAGGTCGAAACAATAGCAGCTGCCTCGTTGAGGCGAATCCACGCAGACGGTCATCAGGCTCTCTCTGCCCAAACCTGCTGTTTCCGCTGTTTCCGTAACCTGCTTCTCCCTCTCGGAGATTAGCGGCTGCGCAATGGCGTAGAAGCGCGCGTTCGTGGCGAGTACGAGGCCTTGATTAGGAGGCTCTACTACGAGGTACCCTCCCACTAGGAGCACCTTTCCTGGAGCCGAGGCGGCTACAGCTAAATCCAACGCCATTGCACTCCCAATGCCTGAATCAAGGGCCTGCTCAGTCAATGCGAGGAAGAATTTCCGTACGGTAACTCAGAATGTCTTCACAGCATCGCCTAGAGACATCTCCTGCCTGACTTGTCATGGGAAAGTCGGCGGCTTGTCGGTGGAAGCAGATGACGACGGAATGCTGTGGTTTGTTGATCCACCGAACTGAACTGGCGTGGGTATCAACGAAACAGTATACGCGGACTTTGTCTCACATGGGTTGTTTAGAAATCTGACCAGAGCCTAAATAATGAACCTCACGGCTGGACTAGTGTTTGGGTAAATATAGCTGGTTGCTACAGATGAACAATGATACGAGATGTGAGACTCATAACCACTACTGCTGGTATGGAATGTGGGGTCCAATTGAACAGACCACCTAGCTACAGCTTGAGAGCAATGGCAAGCCCAACCTTGCCTGACTTGTCAAGAGCCTTGGAGTCAACCTCTCCTGCAATGGTGACCTTGGACTTGGGCCGGAACTCGTGCTGGAGGAGAGCAGCAACTGTGCCACGGTTGTTGAACCTCAGCTTGGCCTCTGTGAGGGGATCAAGCTCGAAGGAAGCACCTGCTGTGAAAGTAGTGTCGCTTTTGGAGAGTTTGTGCGCTGCCTCAACAGCAACCTCCACGTTATCCTTCACCTTCTGGAAATAAGCTGCCTTCAAGGTGTCCAGCTTGTCAGCACTGCACACAGGTAGGCATTGCAGGCTTAGTCAACCACTGGTGTGGTGCAAAAAATGGGAAACAAAAGAGCGGGTAAGGCAGGCTTACATCAACAAGGAAGCGGCGAAGTCGGATTCGGAGTAAGCCACGCCAAGGTTGTACTTGGTCGCGCTGTTAGTAGCAGTGTCGTAGCCAAGCTCAGCACCAACAACCACTCCCTTGGTTCCGACGGAAAGAGCACCCTCGAAAACGGGTTGTGTAACAAGACCGACGGTGGCATTCACGTGTAGCAACTCTTGCTTGTAGGTCAGCTCTGCCTGCAAGACCCCGAGGTACTCATGTCATGCAATAATCTAGAAATGAAACTCAAATCATTCCGCGCGAGCAAACACTGAGTGATGATCAGGGTTCACTACTCACCTTGGTGGCTTTCGAGTCCGGAACGATTCCAGTTAGGGCAAGCTTCAGACCAGGAGCAAGATCCTCGTAAACGGCCTTGAAATAAAGCTGAAACACAGGGAAGGACACGTTTTCCAGATCAGACTGTCAGCCCGTGGCTGCTGCTAAGGCACATTATATTCTTACTACACATTCCCGTACGTACCTTGGACTTCGTATCAAGCTTGAACTCCGCCTCAACGTTTCCAATCTCGACCTCAGTCTTCACATCGCACGACACCTCGTCTCCCTTCTTCACTGATGCGGTTTGAAACTTCTGCATTTTTTAAAGAAGGGAGCATTAGCACTACTGGATCTTATCCTGGCTCAACCTGAGTTGCATCTAATAATCTTACCAAGCCCGAATCAGTCTTTGTGGAGATGTTGATGCTGTGATCGTAAGCGTAATGCTTGAAAAGAAGCTCTGTTCAAGATCCATAAATGCTCGATCAGAACATACATACGACGTTTGTCAGCAGGGTTCAGGGTTTAGGGAGTGAGCCTCACAGGTTTGGGGCAACTTTTCAAATTTCAAAAGTTTTTGAACTCTTCCTTTCAAATGTATACCGCAGCTTTAAGTAACGACTACACGGTAACTGTCAAGACGAACGGTCTTACCCTTGGCCTTCTTGCCAATGTCTGAGAAGGAACCAGGACCCTTTCCCATGGCGGTCGACGCGAGTTACGAGAAAGGAAGAGATTATTGCTAGGGTTCGGCACAGAAAGCACGAACACTAGAGAATAGAGGAGGATTTGCTGGTTCGCTGAACCAAAATGAAACTCTGATGCTGGAAACTAGAAAGACGTGGAGGAGGAGGAAAACGAATCCACGCAACGTGGCGAAGATATTGACGAAGGAAGATGCTGGTTTTCCTTCGGTAAAATCACACAAAAATCGTGGTCCCCTGAGTCAACCCTATGTTTCTGTAGAATCGACTGAACAAACTGGACGGAAACGCAATGTAACAATCATAGTCATGGAGAAAGTTTAGTGTTTCCTCTCGGAATCGTGGGTGCTTGTCGCGAAACGCATCCGTGTGCAGAGTGGTGTTTTTGTGGCGGTCTTCCAGATACGAGTGTCGGAGCTCCTCCTGTTGTTCCTCTGGCTGTCAGAGCTCCTTGGTTTTGGGATCCATTATTTCCCTTGGTGACTGACTAGGTTGTCCTTCAACGACAACGACCTTACGAGTTTTTCTCCTGAGGCCTGAGTTGTCGTCGTCTTAGTGTCACGAGCATAGCATTCTGTCCTCGTAATGCTGCAGCTTCTATACTGCTATCCTCGTTATGCCAAGGCTCGCTAACCATGCATTCATGGGACAGCTTAGAGTCTGCCACGTACATGCTCGTCTCTGATCGGAGGCTTGGACGGCCGCATAGTTCAATTCCTAGGCTACGTTTCATAGTCTATAGCTCGTCGCCGTCAATTCATATTATTCCTGAATTAGATGGAGTGCAATAGAGAAGACGCGACGAAGGCTAAGGAGCTAGCCGAAGCGGCTCTCTCAAGCGGCGATTACGCCAGGGCTCGTCGACTAGTATCGAAAGCCCAATCCCTCTTTCCCAATCTCGACGGGCTCACGCAGGTCTCCGCCGTGGTTGAAGTCCACGAAGCTTCGCTGAACCGCGTGGGAGGTGACGTGGACTGGTACGCGCTTCTCCAAATCCCCGCATTCTGCGATGACGACAGTCAGATCAAGAAGGCGTACCGTCGCCTGACGCTGCTGCTGCATCCGGACAAGAACAAGACCAGCGGAGCGGAAGCAGCGTTCAAGCTGCTCTCTGAGGCGTTCACAGTAGTATCAGACAAGCAGAAGAAGGCCGTGCATGACGCCAAGCGACGACTAAACGTAACCACAGGGCGAGCAGGAGCAGCAGCAGCATCAGGGGGGCAGGGAGCGGGGAATCAATTCGAGACGCGGTGTCCGACGTGCGGGACGCGGTTCTTGTGCTTGCGGGACGCCATGGCGGTCGTTGTACAGTGCATCATTTGCAAGAGCTCGTTCAAGGCCATGCCTGCCACCGCATCTGCCGCTAGTACCGCGGCTGGTAAACAAAACGGCAGCGTGCCGCAACCACGGACGCAGTCACAGGCAGCAGCGCAGGCACACGCGCAAGCACACGCACAGGCACATGCACAGGCAGTAAGGCAGGCACAGGCACAAGCACAACAGGCACAGGCACAGGCACAACAGGCACAGGCACAGGCACAGGCACAGGCACAAGCACAACAGGCACAGGCACAGGCACAAGCACAAGCGAGGGGTGCACCTCAACAGCCCAACTTCATGCCCAATGGCGGAATGCAGTACGGCATGCCAGCGTCCTATGGCTCTGTGCATTCCTCTGCCAGCGCTGCTGCCGCAATGGCAGCTGCTGCAGCCGCGCAGGCCGCTGCTGTCGCGGAATCCCTGAGGGGCACTGGGGGAGGCGCGGCTGCTGCTGCTGCGGCGGCCGGGGACGCTGCTGCTGCCGCTGCTGCGGCAGCTGCTGCGATTGCAGGGCAGTTTGGAGGGATGGGGACTGGGGGAGCTTTCCCTGGTGCTGCTAACTTTGAACAGTTCTCGTTTTCGGCGGATGGTGCCGGGGTGTATGGCAGTCAACAGTGGCAACAGCAGCAGCAACAACAGCAACAGCAACAACAACAACAGCGGCTTCAGCAGCAGCAGGAGCAACTGTGGCGACAACAGCAGCTGCAGCAGCAGCATCTAGAGGAGCAGCGGCGGCTGCAGGAAGCACAGAGGCGACTACAGCAGCAACAGCAGGAGGAGCATCGGCGGCAGCAGCAGCTGCAGCAGGAAGCCCAGCGGCGGCAGCAGCAGCTGCAGAGGGAGCAGCATGAGAAAATGCGAGCAGCGATGGGGGCAGGTGCACCAGGGTTGGGTACGCAGCAGTTTGGCCAAACAGGAAGCGTGGAGGAGGCGTTGAGGGCTAGAGCGGAGGAGGAGAGGGCGCAGAGGGAGAGAGTTGCGGGGGAGGTGCAGCAGGAGCAGGCAAAGGCGCAGGTGAGGCGGCAGATGCAGATGGATGAGCTGCTGGAGCGCAGGCAACGCCAGCAGGCGAAATACGCCGCCGCTGCTGCTGCTGCTGCTGCCGGAGCTACCAGTGCTGGGAATGGCGCTGCAGGTGCGCAGGAAGCAGCAGCAGCAGGTGGTGAGAGTGAGAGGGGTGGTGGGAAGCAAGCAGGGCGGAGGAACAGGCTGCGGAAGAGGAAGCAGGGGGGAGGGCGAGGGGGCGCAGGGGACAGCAGCGACGATGACGAGGAGTGGGACTTCCGTATGGATGCAGACAGTGATGATGATGATGCTGGTCGTGGTGGTGCTGGTGGTGGGGGAGGAAACAGGGACCCCTTGCAGGGGGGTTACGAGGGGTGGCCGGCCGGGACGGGGCAGGCACAGGGAGAGGGCGGAGGAGTTGGGGAGGATGAGGAGATGGTGGGGGGTGGTATGAGGCGGTCGGCGCGCAGCAGGAAGCCGGTGGTGTACCACCTGGGGGATGACAACGACGATGATGACGTCATGGAGGTCACCGAGGCTGAGGCGGGGATGAAAGGGGTCAATGGGACGGGCGCAGGGAGCGGCGGTCAGCCCAGGAGACCCAGGGATGATCAAAATGCATTTGTGGGGGGTGATGTGAGCAAGGGCGCTGGGGTTGATGGTAGACCTGGGCTGGCTGGAGACGCCTCAGGGAGGGTGCAAGGAGAGGGGAATTCCACGGATGTGCCTATGGAGGGCAAGCCAGGGGTTCCAAGCCATGCAGCAGGGAAGGAAGAGGGGAGGAGTGGTGAAAGGCGAGCGGAGGGCCGTGGCAGCAGTGGTGGGAAGAAAAGTGGTGATGGGAAGAGGAATGGTTTTTGCATGAAGGGGAGGTGGTGGAGATCATCTCGTCTGATGAAGAGGAAGAGGAGAGCGAGGAGGAAGAAGCGGAGGATGTGGAGGAAGCAATGCGCTTCTCCGTTCCAGATCCTGACTTCCACTGCTTTGATGATGATCGCACCGAAGAAACGTTCCGACAAGGCGATGTGCGTTCCACTCCATCGCACACGCCACACACAGCACACAGCATGCGTGTGCATGGTGCATTACACCCCATCCGCACCTCACCTGGCTTCTGAGCTCATCCGAATCTCGAAAGTCCTTGCGTTGGCTCATACTCATCCTTGTTTCCACACTTCACCATTGTTTTCTGCTCCCGTTTGTTCGCCTCTCACCCCCAACCCAACAGGTGTGGACTCTCTACGATGACTCTGACGGCTTCCCCCGCTTCCTCGGCGCCATCCGCCAAGTGTCCCACGCGCCCTTCTCCTGCACCATAGTCTGGCTCGAGCCCGCAGCTCTTTCCAAAAAGCGCACAGCTGCCTCCGCCGCCCTCACTCAGACCGAGGCTGCAGCTGCTCTGGCCGACCCAGCAGAAAGAACAGAGCCCAGCATTGGGTATTTCAAATTCGGCAAACCCACAACGCTCGACTCTGTTAACACCTTCTCCTTCCGGATCTCCAAGCTGGCTTCCCCAAACGCGCGTACGGCTACGGTTTTGCCGGAGATAGGGCAGGTGTGGGCGCTGTATGCGGAGAGGTCGTTTGACAGGCGGAGGTACTACCTGGTGGAGGTGATACCTGCTGAGTCGTCCATACCGCTGCCGAGTGACCCTGCAGCAGCGTTGGCAGCAGCAGCAGGAGTGCAGGGGGTTACAGCAATGGGGTGGAGGGCTGTGTGGTTCCTGGAGAGGGTCCCTGGTGGGGTGTTCAGCTCGCTTTTTCAGGTGTGTTTGCATGGGCTTGTGAATGCGTACGTGCATGGGTATGCTTGCAAGTGTGCACACACAGGACATGCATATGTTTATGGTAATGGGATCAGTTTCCAACTTTGCAGATTAGCTGTTTTTTCCACCCTCTGTGTCTGTCCCTTCTCTTGGTGTCTGTCCCTTGGCCACTGCCAACCACTCACTTCCCCTTGTCTCCTTCACCTGCCACATATTCCACCTCAACAGAGAATTCCTGGAGGTACGCGGTTTGTTCGCCTCAACAGTTTCTCACACCTCGTTCCAAACTTCCACCTACAAGGCAATGAGAGCAGCCCTAAGAGATTACCCCCTCCTCCCCGTGGTGCTTTAGAGCTGGATCCTGCTGCCACTCCCTCCAATCTTGCTCCATTTCTTCCTACAGTAGAGTTGTGATGATAGATCGTGTACACAGCGTAAAGTGAAGCTTACGCGACCACGAAGGGTACAACAGAAGTCCTCAGTTGCAACATTCAGGTTGCTCAACTTGGCAACCTATCTGTCCATAGGATCTAAAATCGTAGATTGCCAATCACTTGTATAAAAATCAGTTTTACCAGGCTCGTACATGTTGCACACAAGTCATACATCTATTCCAATCTCTCAGCATTCCGTGAAAGTGAGTCGAATGTACGGAATATGTGTAGCGAATCCCACCATGAGTGTCTGTATTTGATTCATTTCGACATGGTTATTCTCACCCAATCTCGGAGTCATGCCCTCGAGCATGTCCGGAGAGCCGAGCCGCTTGGCTCGAAAATCTCAAGAAAGGCGCCCCCTGCTGCACTCAGCAGATGGTCAGGTAGGAGTCAGTCAGCCTGATAATCTCACGCCAGACTGACACCCCTGTCGCCATTTCTCTGACAGCCGCCGTTTACGTTGTCTACTTGAGTGACAATCGCACCGCCTTTTCACTAAGGCAGCTCTAGTCCTTCCGCATGTATATTAATCGTCCACGAGACCTAGTGTGCACATTTCGCAGTTGCTCCGGAACTGTGATAACATCTCGCTGACGCCATCCTCTAATACCGTTCTCGCCTATACTCTTAGCATTCATGGCTCCGATCAACACTCCGTCGAACATGGCGATTGTTCCATGCACCACAAGCCCGAAGAACAAGTTCGGGAGGGGCTTCAGGTAGTACATTCCACTGCCTCCGGGGTTTTCTGTACGGCGGGCTGTCCTCATCCTTCAAGCCAGCAAGACTTACATTCGTTTGCTGCTGTTTTCAGGGAGTACGACGAGGAAAACGAGAGGAACACGACGGTCGAGAACGTCTACCACATTAACCATTCCAAGCAGACCCTGGGATTCGTAAGTCTGGATGCACGCTCAGCTTTTGTCGTCTCAAGTGTTACACGTCCACACCGTACTGATTGTTTGTCTTTGTGCTGACGTGAATTCAGGTGCTCGCAATGAAGGATCGGCATCTGAAGCTGGACAAGGCCGAGATGAGCGTGTGGGAAGCGGCGGAGCTGCTGAACGAGCTCGTGGACGACAGCGATCCCGATTTGGATATGGCGCAGATCGAGCATGCACTACAGGCAGCGGAGGCGATCAGGAGGGACCACCCGAGCGAGGAAGAAGACTGGTACCCACTCGTTGGGTTCCTTCACGGTACGTAATCTCTAGTCCTTGCACTCTGTCACCTTTCGGTGTGCATTCAGCTGCCAATTTGACGAATTGTTACTGTTTCTTCTTCAGATATGGGAAAGGTTCTCCTGCATCCAAAGTTCGGCAGCGAACCCCAGTGGGCAGTTGTTGGTAAGTCAGGCCGTTTTGGGTGCACGCAGCAATTTTCACTGATGCTTGGTTACTAAGAGACTCCTGTGGTTTTAATGCAGGTGATACGTTTCCTGTTGGCTGTCGGTTTAGCAGCAAGGTCGTCCACTCAAAGGTTGGAGCATCTGAATGTATAGTTGCCTTGGCTGAAATTTCTACAAGCAAAATCTTCGAAGCTGACGTTTTGTTCGTTCTCCCTCCTGCAGTTCTTCAACAGCAACCCAGACTCGTCGGTGGAAGACCTGAGTACAGAGTGTGGTATTTATGAGGAAGGATGCGGTATGGACAAGGTCCACATATCCTGGGGCCATGACGAGTATATGTGAGTGGCAATTGCACCTCCTTACAGACTGCGGTCTTCTTTAAATCCCTCAAGCGAACTAAAGCATTAAATATTCTTCTGCAGGTATCAAGTCCTTGTCCAAAACGGTTGCAGTATTCCACCCCAAGGCCTCTACATTATCCGCTACCACTCATTCTATGGTAAGTACAGCAAGCATTACGTAGATGTGCGTTGACGTTGTTATTTGGCCGTGACACTTCAGTTCTGACCATATCACTGGCGCAGCTCTGCACAGGGATGAGGAGTACCAATACCTGATGGACGACTTTGATCGGGAGATGCTTCCATGGCTCAAAGACTTCAAGTAAGTACACTTCACTCGCTTACCTACATCCCTGGTACTCATTGATGTGTACACTTTGAGATCTAACCTTCTGCTTTGGACTTGTCCCCTCTCAGCAAGTACGACCTGTACAGCAAGAGTGGACAGCGCTTGAACGTGGAGGAGCTGAAGCCGCACTATCAAAGGCTCATTGCCAAGGTACAACATGTTACTTACGGTACTTCCTGCTCGTCCTTTATGTTCACATCTTGCCAATGTAAGGTACTAATCTCACCTCTGATGCATTGCAGTACATCCCCAAGGCGACTCTCAAGTGGTGAAGCAAGCCCGCGTTGTAGCTAGATGTAGTTTGACATCAGTTATGTACGGTAGTATTCTGGAACCAAGAGTGCAGAGGGATGTCCTAAGGTATTTAGGGCGTGCGCCTAAGAGCAGGCTTTGATTGTTTGAAGGACTGATTAATGGAGGTCAGCATGGGTCATACATCATCAACAAGTCAACAGAGCAGAGACCTACCTACACCAAAGGACATGACAACCAACCAGCTGAAAATGGAGCAAGAGCAGGAGTGACACATGCCATGCTCCAATGCAGGTCTCTGGCCATCTGTTCCCCCACAATGCACATACCTCAATCCATCTGCCATCCCCCACATCAATTCACACATTCCCAGACAGACCATGCCAGCAGCACAAGCCACAGGACAACCAGGGCAGGCAGGAGAACATGGTCCATCCCAGCAGCCAACTGTGTGCCGAGAGAAGGCAAGCTAGCAGCACACCGAGGCATCCCATGCTTGCAGTGAAATGGAATCACAAAGCAGGACAAGCCGACCAGAGCGCTTCAGCCAGAGAAGACAGAAGGACAGATGGCACGAGCTGCCTTGCCTTGTGTGCGTTTAATGGCTGGCTGGCTGATGCCCCGCTTGATGCACAGTCCATGATGGAGTGTGGATGAAGGCCCCACATAAATGGAGTTTAGCTGCCTGTGCTGGTGGTCAAGAGTGCCCTGCATTGGCTGACACTTCAGAAAAGTGATGCACATATCATGCACACGTGCTCAGGCATGACATCAACATTCATCACATTAATGCAGATTCATGCGCATTGATGTAAATTCATGACCATTGATGCACACTCACGCTTGACACACATTCATGCACAATGAGCACACTCATGCGCATTCATGCACACTGATGCACATACACATCAATGCACATCCATGCAGATGAGCAATAATGCACATTCATCCCAACCAGCATGACCCATGCTATCAAAAACAAATCCAATATGTGCCACTCCCACAGAATCCACGGGCTCCGAACAAGACCATTCTCAAGCCGCCTTCTCCCAAACGCCATCAAGGGAAGAGTTCAGCGTGAGGCCTGAAGAAATAGCAGATAGACTTTGGAACGCGTTGCAGCTGCAGCAGTAGTAGAAGCAGCAGTAGTTGCGGGGCCAGCAGCAGTTGCAGACACAGCAGCAGTAGCAGAAAAAGAGTGGAGACGAAAAACTAAAAGGTTCTTGCGAAGGTGTGGTGGCAGGCAGACGGTTCTAAGGAAGAGCAAGCTCCAACCCAGACAGGAGTCGAATCACGCAGCCTATGCAAAAGCCAAATCAGTCGCTGCGAGAAGGAGAGTCGTCATCGGAGGCCGGGCGGCGACTGTCCTTGCCACGGGCAGGAGAGAGGGAAGGCGAGCGACGCCTGCAGTGCAACAGATTTAAAAGGAACAAATGTTACAGCCAAACATTAAAGTATGCTCCAAAGCACAGTACAAGGAGAAGGAGAAAGTTCAGAAGTTTTGGAACACGGGTAAAGCACAAACAGACCTGGAGCGGTGGCTGCGGCTGTGGTGCTTCTTATCCTTAGAAGACCGCCCCTTCTCCTCATCAGACTCATCTCGCCCCGACCTCTTCCTGCTGCTCCGCCTTCCACCCTTCTCCTCCTCCTCATCAGACCCTCTCTCCTTCCGCCTTCCCCCACGACCACCCTCCTTCCTGTCCTTATCATCTCTCTCGTCCTCATCAGACGACCCCTTTTTTCCTTCCTCCTCATCCTCATCTTCGTCGTGGCGGCTGCGCCGCCGCTTGTGGCTCTTCTTGCTCTTCCTGCTGCGCCTGTGACGCCGCTCCTCCTCATCCTCCTCGCTCTCCTCGTCGTCATCACTGGCCGGAAAGCACAAGAGGAGAGCAAAAGGAGAAGAAGCACCAGATTCTTAACTCAGACATGACTGGTTAAAAAAATGATAAACACCCAGAACAGCGGCTGCTAACACTCAGACAGGCCATCCTAGGCACCTACTATAGCAAAAATTTATTGAAGAGAGTCCTGTCTCCCACTTCCCACTTACCGGTTCTTCCTCCGGCGGTGCTTCCTCTTCTTCTCCTTGTGCCGCTCGCTCTCCTTCTTCCTGCTCCTCCTCTCCTTCTCATCCTCATCCTCCTCCTCCTCCTCTCCTCCCTTCTTCACGGCTGCCTCATCCTCAGATCCTCCTTTGCTTCCATTCTCAATCACCTTCTCTTCACTCTCATCCCTCTCCTTCTCCTTTTCCTTCTCCCTCTCATCCTCTTTCTCCTCATCACTCTCATCCCTTCCCTTCTCCTTTTCCTTCTCTTCCTCGCTCTCGTCCCTTGTCGTCTTCCTCTCGATTTCTTTCTCCTCTTCGCTCTCATCCCTTTCCTTCTCAATTTCCTTCTCCTCTTCACTCTCATCATCCCTTTTCTCCTTCTTATCTACCTCCATCTTCTTGACCCTCTCTCCCTCACTCTCCCTCTCTTTCTCTCCATCACTCTCCTCACTGCCTGCACGCCGTGACCTCACATCCTTCACCTTCTCCTTCTCCTTCACCTTCTCCTCGCTTTCCTCCTCCTTCTCAACGCTCTCACGCCTTTCCTCGCTCCCACTGCGCCTCTCCTCCTCCTCTTCTTCATCCTCTTCCACTTTCTTCTTCACCCTCCCTCCCTCCCCTTCAGAACGGTCACTATCGTCCTCCTCTTCCAACTTCTTAACCCGCCCTCCTTCCCCTTCCGAGCGATCACTCTCGTCCTCCTCGTCCCGCCCTACCTTCCTCTCAACCCGCTCGCCCTTCTTCTCCTTCCGCTCCTCCTCGTCCTCCTCTTCCTCTTCGTCCTCCTCCTTCGCGCCTCTCCGCCTCTCCGCCTCGCGCCTCTGCCTCTCCAGCTTGTCCCGAAGCAGTTTCTCTCTCAACTCCTTCTCCCGCCGCTCCGCCTCCTTCCGCCCGCCCCTCCCCTTCCCCCTCTCCTCCTCATCCTCCTCCTCGTCCTCCTCACTCTCCTCAATCGCGCCCCTACCCCTCACCTTCCTCGCAGCTTCCTTCCGCCTGGCCTCCTCTCGCTCCTCACTCTCCTCCTCCGAATCCGGCTCGTCACGAGCTCGACCTTTCTTCCTCTCAACCCTCTCCTCCTCCTCATCCTCCTCATCCGACTCATACTTTCCCTTGTACCTCTCCTCATCCTCAATCCTCCCTCTGCCGCGCCTACCCTCGTACCTCTCGTCCCGCCCACGCTCCCTCGCCCTTTCTCTTTCCCTCTCCTTCTCACGCTCCCTAGCCCTCTCCCTCTCCCTCTCCTTCTCCTTCTCCCTCTCTTTCGCCCTCTCCCTCTCTCTTTCTCTCTCGCGTTCCCTCTCTCTCGCCCTCTGTAACTCCCTCTCCTTCTCCCTCTGCCGATCCCTCTCAATCTTCCTCTCCCTCTCCCGCTCTCTCTCCCTCTCCCTCTCCTTATCCTCCGCCTCCCAGTCCCTAGTGCGGCTGTACTTATAAGAATGATTATGGCCCCGCTCCCGCCATCCGTACCCCCGATCCCGACTCCGGCTTCTAGGCCGTCGATCCCGATCGCGCGATCGCGACCGTCCGCGGTACCGCGGGGAGCGGGAGCGGGACCGCCCGCGGTGGCGGTCGCGGCGCGACGGGGAGCGCGACCGCGAGCGCGAAGAGGAGCGCGACCTGTCAGACCCGCTCCCGTCCTTCCCCTTCCCGTCCCCGTCCTTCCCATCCTTGTCCTTCCCGTCGCCCTTCCCCGCGCCGCCCGCCGCAATCGCGCGGCTGATCTCTTTCGCGCGCTTGGTGGCGAGTTCCGCCTTGGTCTTAGCCTCGGAGCTGCGCACCTGCTGCGCCAGCGCCTGCTGCATCGCGAGCGCCTGTTGGAACTGCATGAACGGCATTGCGACGGCCTGCTGCATCGCCATCTGCGACGTCGCAGCGGCCGTCGCAGGGGACGGCGCGAGGGCGGCGGGCGCGGGCGCGGGTGCGGGGGCGGGGGCGGGCGGAGCGAGCGCGGTGAGGACGGCCTGGCGCGTGGCTTTCGCGGTTTTCGCGAGCTCGACTTTGAGCTGTTTGTCGCCGACCGCCATGTTGTTCAGCGCGAGCGCCGCTTTCGCCTCGTCGGCTTTCCCGAACCGCACGTGTGCGACGGTTTTCTTGTCGTTGAGGAATTCGCAGCGGGTAACCGTGCCGCAGAAGGCGAAGAGCTGGCGAAGCTGCTCGGGCGTGAGGATGGCGCTGACGTTGGTGACGTGCATCGTTCGCTCCAACTCGTCGTCGTCCATCGCCGCTGCCAGTCGCACAGACAGTCGCAGAGACAGGATGGCGATCAGAAAGGGACCCGTGGTGTGACGTGATTGGAGTCACGGATAAGAAGTAGAGTGGAACGGTGCGAGAGGGGAAGGTTTACGAAGGGGGGGTGTGGGAATGACGTGCGACAGGAAACCAGGGGTGAGAACATCGCACAGTGCGTCGCACGGTGCATCACAGGCGACATATAACGCGGAAGGCGAGGGGGACAGGAGCACTGCGATTTTCGGCGCGCGGAGAAACGAAGACACGGGATTACAACGGCAAACACAGACGGAAAGTGTGGTACGTGGGGTGCAGTAAGCGGGATGGAGTAGGCGGGGTGGGGCAGGGAGGTGGGGGTGCGGGGAGGTAAGCGCACTTACAATAAAAGTCCTCGATGTATTCGCTCTTCTGCTGCAGCAGCTTCTGCTGTTGAATCGCCGCCGCTGCCGCCGCCGCTTGCGCCTGAGCCTGGGCCTGCGCCTGTGCGTGCACTTGCGCGTGCGCTTGAGCTTGCGCTTGCGCCTGCGCCTGCGCCTGTGCTTGCGCCTGCGCCTGCGCCTGCATGGCTTGCACCGCCATGATGCTCTGCGCCGCCGCCATCGCCGCCGCTGATGGCGCAAGAGGCATGTTCGTCAATCCTCCTACAGCATTCAGCACACACGAAGACAAGGGACAACCGTACATTAATTCAATGGAAATAATCCTGCAAACAAGACCAGATTTCACCAGCCAAAAATAACAATAATACAAACGGAAAAATACAACATAAGTAATGCTTGTTCGAGGACAACGGACCCGATGGATCTAAAACAAGCATCCGAACAGCATGCTAGTTCTAAATTCGCGCACACAACAGAAACACAAAAAAAAAACCCCATCTCAATCTCACCGGTTCCGGGGAGCACGCCGCCCGCCATGCCGGGGTACGGGCTGGTGAAGGGCATTCCCCCCATGCTCGGCAGCAGCCCGCGGAACTGCAGCGCCGCCGCCATCAACGGGTTATGCATGCCCGGCGCCATTTGCGGCGTCGGCAGTTGCGGAGTCGGCAGCGACGGCGTCGGCATCAGCGGCGGTGCCGGCGCCGCGTTGACCGCCACCGGAAGCTGCGTTGACGCCTGTTGACCGGCTGTAGCGGCGCTGAAGAAAACCGGGAACGGGCTGCCCATGATGGGACTACCGTTGACTTCCGCGTTGACCGTGTAATCTCCTCGGTGCTGTACGGTGTAAGCAGCCGTGTACGACCCGTCGCCGTGGTCCTTGATCGCTGCGATCTGCTCCTGGCCAGGCACGCCCGCCTTTGGTGTCACCTTCACCGTCACCTTCGCGCCGCCCGCTAAGATCCGCCGCCCGTCCTCGTCTTTAAGGACTATAATGAACGACACGGGCGCGCCCGCCGATCCACCCCCGACGCCGGATCCCGCGGCGGAGCACTTGGCGGGGCAGACGGGGCCGATGGGTTTCTTCGCGAGTCGCTGCGCTTCGTCCTCCTCCTCGTCGTCGCTGCTGTCGGTGTCGTCGCCTCCGCCTGCTGCGCCGCCCTTGGCGGCGGCGATGGCTGCTGCTCGAGACGCTTCTGCTTTAGCCTTCTCCTCCTGCTCCTTCATCCATGCCGGCTTCGTCAGAGCGATTCCGCGACCGGCCATGCCCTAGAGGCCCGCGGGCATGAGACGACGGGAACCAAGCAGCTCGCTAATTACTAGCGAAACAAGATCTACGGCTGGGTACAAGATATAGCGACGAAATGATGAAAACCTTCTGTTGGGAGATATTTTAGTTTGGAAGGGGAATGGCAGTGAACGGATAAGCCCTAGGGCGAGAGGAGGGAGAGGATTGATGGGAATGGCGAAGCACGACGGAGCGACGGTGTTACACCTGCGTGTCGCACGCTCGAGAGATGGCTATCCCTGGCCGCTTGGCGAACGACGATAAATTCGCAAAAACCCGCACGATGAGGGAACCAGTCAACCACGATCGCTGTGACACGATTTGGTTGAAAGACTCTAGAACCATTTATTACAACAGTTGGTGTACAGATCTACTAAATCTACCTCAACAATATATAATTGCCTGCAGGTATTCAAAGAAGGCAGAAATCTGATAAACCAAGGAAATGAATGCCATTTTGCACGTTATTGGCGTCAATAATCGAAGCACTCCACACCTCGTGTTCCACGCATCAATATCAAACCTCATCCTCTTCAACCGACACCCGTGGCTCATGCTCACGTCCTTCCTGCTGCAAGCCCTTCATCCACATCCCTCGGATGTTACGCCGCCGCTTGATCAGATCTTGAACTAACAACCACCGCCGATCGGTCTTTGGCGTTTGCCGGCGCTGCAAAAAGCAAGAATGCACAGGCAGGTGTATGGACACACCAAGAGCAAGACCAAGAAACAGGTCAGGTAGTGGACACTGAATTGCAGGACACGCACGAAACATTTGCAATCTGCAATGCTGTGAGCAAGAGCAGCAAGCCAGCAAGCGAAGCGATAAACCCTGAGCCACAGCATCCCTAAACCCTAAGACTGCCCACGAGCACTCACAGAATCCCACCCACCTCATTAACCCTGAGCCCCTTCTCACCCTTATTGCCCACCACATCCTTCTCATCACGCCCGTCCCGCCACACTCACCCTGAGAGCGCGCATGAAGTCCAGCACAGCATCAAACTCGGGCGCCTGGTGCTTCGCCACCACGTGGTCAAACAGCCTCTTCGCCGCCGCCATGCTGCGCCTCTGCCATGCCATAATGTGGGAGCGCGGGGAAGGGTGGGAGTAGGGGGAGGGGGGGATAGGGGATTTGAGGGAAATGCCGCTTCGCCACCACGTGGTCAAACAGCCTCTCCGCTGCCGCCATGCTGCGCCTCTGCCATGTTGCGAGGTTGGGGGGGAAGGGGGGGTTGGGGAGGAACAGACACACAGTTTCTGCGCATCTCCTACAATTCACCATATGGTGCTTCTGCATGCCCACTCACATGCCTGCTCGCTCATATGACTGCTCGCTCACATGCATGCTCGCTCATATGCCTGCCCACTCATATGCCTGCCCACTCATATGCCTGCCCACTCATATGCCTGCCCACTCATATGCCTGCCCATGCCTGCCCACTCATATGCATGCCCACTCATATGCCTGCTCGCCCATCACTCAGAATGCACATGGCTGCACTCACATCGCTCGTGAGCGCCTCCTGCAGCAAGTGGCTGCCCTGCTTGCACATCACTGCACGCCCATATGGCTGAATCACATGGCTGCACGCGCATCTCACATCATCACATCACACTCACATCGCTCGTGAGTGCCTCTTGCAGCAGCTGGCTGCCCTGCTTGCGCGTGAAGTAGAAACCGTGGTTGAAAAACAGCTCCTGGTATGACCACATGCAGGGGTGTGCAGGGGGGTGCAGATGGGTGCAGATGGGTGCAGATGGGTGCAGATGGGTGCAGGGGGACAGAGTGAGCCGGGTTTTCGCATGCAGATTGGCAGCAAGGGCATGTTGAATTATGCATAAAGGCGTTAACGCAGTGCGGGTGGGAGTGTCAGGAGGCAGAGAGAAGAAGGGGGCAGTTATATATGCGACAGAAGAGGACGGGGTCTAGGCATGGTGGACGGTGGGACGTGGGCGAGAGAGGGCGAGAGTGGTTACCAGCAGTCGCAGGGCGAGATTCATTCCAATGGGGCGCAGCTCCCTCAGGCTGTACGAGATGGCTTGCTGCCATGCATGATGGATGGCACACATGGCACGGCAGGGCATGGTGGGGCGTGCAGGGGGGGCAAGAATTGAGGGGAGAAGGAATATTAGAGTTCGCGGAAAAGGAAAATATCCTCAATGCAACTCGCCTCAGCGCAACTCTCCCATCTCTCCTCAGTGCATCCCTGCGCAGCGCATTGCTAGTGCAACCCATCTGTGCTCACGGCTCACCATGAACTGGTCGATGTGGGGTGGGGCATGCACACGGTGGGTAGCTGAGACTCTCAAACACTGCCTCGGCGCTGCTGTGCTCAGCGCTGCTGTGCTCGGCACTGCTCTGCTTAGCTGCTCTGCTCAGCGCTGCTGTGTTCACGACTCACCACGAACTGGTCGATGTAGGGTCGGGCTTGTGGGCCATAGTAGAGGTCTGCCAGCTTGAGCGCCTCTGCCTCGTTGCCCGCTTGAAGATGCACCCTGATGCATGCATGCACGCACGTGTGCACGCACATGCCCATGCACATGCACATGCATAAGCACATGCAATGAGGGCAGTGAAGGCAAGTAGGGCAAAACAATAATAGACGGGAGTTGCAGAATCAAACCAGAGCGACAGAAATACATCATCATAGATCAGTCTGCCACACCATGCCATGCCATGCCAGGACATGCCATGCCACGCCATGCCACGCCATGCCACGCCACGTCATACCGTGCTATGCCACGCCATGAGAGGAACAAAAACCCACCTGAAGAGGATGGTCTGCAGGGCAGCATCCGGAACGATGTTGCTCTCCTCTATCATCCGCACCAGACGAAATGCTGCCTGCATGCATGCATGGGAGGGAGTGGTGGCACATGCATGACTTTTGAGTCGACTCCAAAGGCAGCATCCGGAACGATGTGACTCCCCTCTATCATTCGCACCAGGCGGAATGCTGCCTGCATGTATGCATGGGAGCAATGGCACATGCATGCATGGCAGTGGTGGCACATGCATGCATGGGAGTGGTGGCACATGCATGCGTGGGAGTGATGGCATGTGTGTGTGTGTGCGCACACAAGCACACATGGACATGCAAGCACACGTACACATACACATTCTTAGCAACCAAGTATCGCCATCATCGGCCATGAAAAAACACACCGCACGTGCCCACTCTACTCTCCTGCACCTCCCACCCTTTCCCCCACCTCCATCAGCCACACACCTCCATCAGCCACACACCTGCAAATTGTGCGCATCCAGAAACGCCCTAAGCACAGCACGATGAACCACTCACTCCTCAGGTGACCTTTGAGTGAACCTAGAGCACACCTGATCCCACTCAGAGCGCACCTGCAGCTGGTGTGCGTCCAGGAACGCCCTCAGAGCAGCGCGGTGCACCACAAGACCCGCATTTGCACATGCATTTCCCCCTCTCCCCCACCTCCATCATCCATGCACCTGCAGCTGATGTGCGTCGAGGAACGCCCTCAGCGCAGCACGGTGCACCACAAGACCCGCATTCGCATACACCAGCCCGCCTCCTCCCCTCGCCCCTCCTTTCCCCTCTTCCCGCCCACCGTATTCATCCATGCCCATGCCCATGCCCACCCCGCCATCCTGCTCCGCCAGTGCCATCTCCTCCATCTCACCCATCTCCGCCTGCTCCTCTGACAGCGCCGCCGCACCCGCGCCCATGCCCATACCACCAGCGGGCGCCATGCCAGGTGTGTGGGGGGGCTCAGTGGCTGCTGTGGAGTGCGTGGCGCTGCTGCTGGCATCTGATGCAGTGGCGACATCAGCAGTGGATTCAGCAGTGGATTCAGGGGTGGATTCAGCGAAGTGATCAGTGGTGGGGCCAGTGGCGGCGCCAGGGTTGCTCGCAGTGGTGGGGGTGCTGGCGGCGGTGGCAGTGGTGGTGGCGGCGGGGGTGGAGGTGGCAGGGGTGGAGTCGGGTTCAAGGCTGTAGGTGGGTGCTGTCATGGACTGTTCCAGAAGAGAGAATATCTGTGGGGAGGAATGAAGTGAGGGGGAGAGAAAATCAGGGGGGGAGGAAAAGGGAGAGAAAAGCAGGGGGAGAGAGAATGACTGGAGGTTGTTTGAGTGAAGGGATAGCAAGGAGGAAACGTGTGTTGCGATATTGATTCGCCATCGCCACCACAGCCCACATCCATCCTTGCGCCCATCCCCCCAACAATGCGCCCCCAATCATGCGCCATTCCCCCAAAAATGCGCCCCCAAAAATGCGGCCATTCCCCCAACAATGCGCCCATCCCCCCCCACTTTCCCCCAGTACCCCCCAGTATCCCCTCCCTAGCACGCTTCTGACGCCCACCTTGGCAACGATGCGCGGGGAGGAGGGGCGCATGCGCTGGTGCATGGCAATGAGCGCCCACCCAGTGCGCCCATCCTCCCTCCCCTCGGCGCTCCCCCCACCCCTCCTCCCCCACCTTACCTTGGCAACAATGCGAGGGGAGGAGGGGCGCACGCGCTGCTGCATGGCAATGAGCGCCCACCCAGTGCACCCATCCCCCCTCCCCTCGGCGATCCCCCCACCCCTCCCCCACCTTACCTTGGCAACGATGCGCGGGGAGGAGGGGCGCACGCGCTGGTGCATGGCAATGAGCGTGGCGTAGCAGAACTTGTTGAGCGCCACGCCATCCTTTTTCATTCGCTCCTGCACCTCTGCCCTGGGAGCATGGGGTCGTGAAGAGGACACAGACGGTACCAGTGGGTCATGGGAGCAAGAGACGAATGGGTGGGTAGAGGGTGCCATAGCATGGGGGCCTATGGGGCGCTGGTGCCTGGCAATGAGCGTGGCGTAGCAGAACTTGTTCATCGCCACGCCCTCCTTCTTCATTCGCTCCTGCACCTCTGCGCTGGGAGGTGCGGGGAGTGATGGGTGGGTGGGAATAGGGTAGCAAGGCATGGGGGCATATGGCCCTCTGGTGGTGCATGGCAATGAGAGCAGCGTAGCAGAACTTGTTCAGCGCCACGGCCTCCTTTCTCATGCGCTCCTGCACCTCTGCGCTGGGAGGGAGGTGCGGGGGATGACGAGAGCGCATGGGGCGCCATGTTATGAGGTATCCGCAATCTGAAATGAGGTGGAACGAGGGAAGGTAAAAGACATGTTATGCGCTCACGTATGCTCAGCATGCGGGCAGAGGGGAGGGGAGTGGAGAGGAGAGGATAGAGCAGTGGCGAGGACCGGTGAGGAAGAGGAAGGGCAGTACGCTTTGTCGAAGCGGCCGGTGGTGGTGCAGGCGGTGAGCAGCGCGTGGAAGGTGCGGATGTTGGGGGGAGACAGGGGGGGATCAGCACCAGGCGAGACGGACAGAGAGGAGAGCAGGGCAGTCGAGAGGAGGGAGGAGAGGGCAGGGCAATACGCTTTGTCGAAGCGGCCGGTGGTGGTGCAAGCGGTGAGCAGCGCGTAGTGGTAGGTGCGGATGTTGGGGGGCAGAGCAGAGGATAGGGAGTGGTCGAGAGGATAGGGAGCAGACAAGTGGCAGAGCAGGGCAGGGCAGTTGATTACGCTTTGTCGAAGCGGCCGGTGGTGGTGCAGGCGGTGAGCAGCGCGTGGTAGGTGCGGATGTTGGGCGGCCGCCCTGCAGCGCGCATGTCCCAGTCCACGCGGAACACCCGCTCCACGTGCCCGCTGCGGCTGTACGCCGTCATGACGCAGTTGAATATGTATCGCTGATTGAGGTTGGGAGGCGGTGGGGGTAGGGATGAGGGGGGGAATGGGGGAAGGGAAGGGGGAGAGGCAACACGAGAACACCTTGTTTTCGTGGCCGCTGCGGCTGTAGCGCTGAGGGGGAAGGGTTGGGGGGAAGAGGGGGAAAGGCCACACGACGAACCACTTGCTCCGAATCAGGTGTGACGCAGCGGTTCACATCAACACTTGCTATCCCATAAATGCCACGTGCAAGGCGATCCTCTCACAACACAACACATGCCACGTGTAAGACAATCCTCTCACAACACAACACATGCCACGTGTAAGACAATCCTCTCACAACACAACACATGCCACGTGTAAGACAATCCTCTCACAACACAACACATGCCACGTGTAAGACAATCCTCTCTCAACACAACACATGCCATCCCCTGAACGTGCTCCTTCTCACATCAGGCGTGATGCCGCGGGCGCACATCTGGTTAAAGGAAGAACACAAGGCCGTGCAGGCGGGTGGCGCGATCAGCACGTGGCGTCACCTGAATGCAATGTGCAGGATGATTCCTCTCACATACATCGGGCGTGATGCCGCGCGCGAGCATCTGGTTGAAGAAGAACACAAGGTCGTGCAGGCGGTTGGCGCACTCAGCACCTGCCATCAGCAACGAGCAATGCTAACGACTAAACGTGCTGCTCAGTGCTCACATCGGGCGTGATGCCGCGCGCGAGCATCTGGTTGAAGAAGAAGACGAGGTCGTGCAGGCGGTTGGCGCGCATGCACGCCGTGATGGCCGCGTGGAACGTCACGAAGTTGGGTTGTATGCCGTCCATCAGCATGTCTCCGTACAGCGTGCGCAGCAGGTACGGCCTGGGGGGGGGAGGGCGGGAGGGGGGGTGTGGCGCGGGGAATGGGGCAGGGGGGTGGTTGGGGGGGGGAACGTCACGAAGTTGGGCGCCACGCCGTCCATCAGCATGTCTCCGTACAGCGTGCGCAGCAGGTACGGCCTGGGGGGGAAGAAGGGGGGAGAGGGGGAGGAGGGGGCAGATGAGATATCAGGTGCGGTCTCAGGTCGCTGGTTAGGAAAGAGCGTTGGCGGGGGGAAGAGGGTGGGGAGAGCGCGTGAGCGTGGGCGCGCGAGCGTGAGCGTTGGGGATGAGGGTTCAGCTGGGGTGGAGGCAACCAGGCAGCGCCCCGAGGGCGGATCCTGATGGGAACCGAGGATCAAGAGCGAGATCAATGCGAGAGCGTAAAACTGAACCCATATGGGAAGACGCGACGCTGATAAGCAGCAGGGAGCGATGCGGGATAATGAGGCGATGGGAACCCAAGGACAGTGTGCGAACAGCTAGTCGTCACCCATCACGAGATTCGCGAGTGAATCCCGGCGAATCGCGACGCCACGGCGGCTCACTTTCGCGATCGCGAGAGCTCGAGCGCCGCGGCGTTGTACTCGTTGAGATTCCGCGCGTACACCACCGCCTCGTGCGCGTCATGCGCCCGCTTCATCCTACCCCCGCTAAAGTCACTCCCCTCGCGCCCCTCACTAACGCCGGCGGATGTTCTTGCAGCGAGGGAATAGAGTCGGCTGAAAAATTGGCTCCCGAAACGAGGGGACGTGCTTTCGGTATGGTCACACCCAGCATCGTGCGATCGGATTGTGGAGGGAAGGATCGGGAGCGATGTGAGGAGCGTGCGATCAGGATCGCCGCTTCGAGATCCGACGGATCGGATGAACGCATCGTACGGCTGGCCGCGACAAGCGCCGTCAACGACGTCGCTCACTCGGAACGCGCGATGGACTATGCCCCTACGCGCGGCGACAGCCGCGGCCACGTGGCGCTGAGCCATCGGCGAAGCCGCGCGACGCGAGGCTGTCAGAGGTACGCGTCTCTCAGAACGTGGACTAGGGACAAGCAGTGACAAAAATCGTCAGCATGACAATACGACTGGCCATACTCGATACAGAACGAGCCGCCATAAAACTTTTGGGCCTTCTTAGACGATGACGACATCACAGCTCCCTTCCTTCAATTGACTGGTAATGATTTTATTGTAGACACTTTTCAAAATGAAACAAGATCAGGTTTAGCATAAAAACACCTAAGAACACTGACAGCCTCGTTATTTTTTTGGGGCTAGTGAGGAGCTATCCATGTGCCCAGCTTCTAGCAACTCCTCTTGCAATCCCTCCCTCCTTTCAACCCTCCCTCCTTCCTCATCCCCTTCATCCCTTCCCCCATCACCATCTTTCCCCTCCACCACCCCATTTGTCATCTCTATCGATCCTCTCTCCCCTCCCTCCCCTCTCCCCTCCTCTCTCCTCTCTTCTCCACCAACCTCCACCTCCCCCTTCTCACCCATATCACCATCCTCACCATCCCCCCCACTCCGCCCAAAGTCATGAGGGGGAGAGCCCATATAAGCATCAAGCTCAACGCTCGACCCCTCATTGGCCGAGATGTATGTAACTTCCGTTACAGGCCACCGTGCCAGCAGTGCGAGGGAGACGACGTAGATGAGGAGCGCGAGGGCTATGGCAATCCCAAGGGGGATCCGGGCGGCCTGGGGCAGGTTGTCTGATACCAGATACTCCACGCAGGCTTGAACCACGAGCACACAATTAACAAAGATAACTACAGTGCCGATGATGTATGCAGCTACAGTGACCTGGACGGAGTGAGTGGAATGGAGGGAACAAAGCACATGTAGCAAGCTGTGTGATGAGGACGGGCAATGTAGTAGGGAGCATGCACAGGGATGTGATGCAAGCAGCTATCCCTGCGTGTCACAAACAGTGTGGGTCATGGTGAGTTCCGCAGGTGATACCCGGTATGCTCACTGTGGCATGCTATGCTCTGCTGTGGATTGAGCAGAGCTGTGCTCACCGTGGGGTGGTTGGTGAAGGGCCCCATCTTGACAGGGCTGCTCGTGAACTTGAGCAGAGGGATGAGCGCATACGGCAGGCCGAACGACAGGATGATCTGCAGGCGCGAAGGGTGGGAGGAGAGGGGCATGGGAGTCAGGCCCAAGAGATGGGGTGTCGGCTGAAGGCGATGATGAGGGAGGGTGGGCAGTGGACTTGAGAAGAAAGCAGACAGCGTAGATGGAGCAGCCAAGAAGATACAATCCAATCCACACAAGAGACGCCCACTGCCACTCTCCGACCCCCTGTTTCCCTCTTTCCAACCCACCGAGGACGCAATGATGAGGTTGCCGGCACCCGTAGCGCCAGCCACAATGGCGACAGCCAGCGACGGCACGATGGCAACGAGGCGTGTGAGCAGGTTGCGCAGCCACGAGGCGAGGTGCAGCTCCAGAAACCCCGACATCACATACTGCCCCGCGTACGTCCCCGTGATGGTTGAGCTCTGCCCTGAGGCCAGCAGTGCGATGCCGAAGAGCGTGGACGCCCACGCGCCCAGCACGTCCCGGAGAAGGAAGTAGGCGTTGCTGAGGCTGATGTCGCTGCAGCTCGCCTGCACTTCCGGGGAGAGGTCCGGCGCGGAGCAGACCGCGCCGCCCACGCAGATGACTGCCACGTTGATGGCGAAACTGATGATGAGCGCCGCTGCCACTTCTAATAACGAGTAGAAGCACCCGTCCTGAAGGGCATGAAGGGGGGATGAGGGGAGAGGGGACAGTGTGGGGTTGGAAGGGCAACAGAGGAAGGGGCCGCCCACGCAGATGACTGCCACGTTGATGGCGAAACTGATGATGAGCGCCGCTGCCACTTCTAATAACGAGTAGAAGCACCCGTCCTGATGGGCATGAAGGGGGGATGAGGGGAGAGGGGACAGTGTGGGGTTGGAAGGGCAACAGAGGAAGGGGCCGCCCACGCAGATGACTGCCACGTTGATGGCGAAGCTGATGATGAGCGCCGCTGCTACCTCTAATGACGAGTACAGGCACCCGTCCTGACCAGGCGCAGGGGGAAGGGGGAGGGCGGGGAGACGGGTGGGGTTGAGGGGGAGGGGAGAGAGGAGAGGCGATGACAAAGGGAGGGGCACAATGAGGGGTTGGACAATTGATTCGACTCACGGCGAACATCTAGGAAGAGAAGGGCGGGGCGGGGAAGTGGATGAGAAACAGTGGAGGGGCTGCATGCGAATGGGAGCAGCATGCAGCCCACCAGAACCTGCAACGAGAGCAGCGCACCTTGATGCCTTGACTGGTGCGCTGGGGCTTGCGGCTGAGCACCAGCGCGGAGTGCAGGAAGAGGTTGTGTCTGGGAGTGGGGAATACGTGTGGGGGGAAAGATGAGGTGGGAGAGGTGGGGAGGGAGTTGGTGTGACGCCTTGACTGGTGCGCTGGGGCTTGCGACTGAGCACCAGGGCGGAGTGCAGGAAGAGGTTGTGCCTGACAGGGACGGGCGGGGGGGTTGAGAGAATGTTGGAGGACGAGGAGTGAGAGGAATAGCCGGGGGAGGAGGGGAGGAGGGAGGAGAGATGTGTGGGGGAGAAACTAGATGAAGAATATTTAAGTGTATGATTGATTTCGACAATGCAACGGACAGACCGAGGTGATGCAGAGAAGACTCAGGGTGGAAGCACCCCATCATGGATGCAATGCAATGCAATCATGATGGCAACAGTCACTCCATCCTCACACAGTCACATCACATGAGTGCACCAGATACGAACATGGGTGACGCATCTCACAACATGCAGCCTCCATGTCGAGCCATGACTCCTAGGGCCCCCAGGTCCTGTATGCGTGGCACGAACATGCCCTCCAGCACGCCATGCCGTCCACTGGTGCGTGCCCCATCCCGATTCTCCATTCATCCCACACCATCACTCCATCTCCCTCCATCTTCCTCCAACCCCTCTCTCCTTCACCCCCAACTTACGGCATGACCAGAGCGCCGATGAGCGAGATGGAGATGGTAAGGGCCCCCAGGTCTTGTATGCACAGCACGGACATGCCCTCTAGCATTGCCATACCATGCAACAGGATGCAAACACATCTCCCTCCACCCCCCTCCCATTCACCCCAACTTACGGCATCACAAGGGCGCCGATGAGAGAAATGGCAACTGCGAGAGCCCCCAGGTCCTGAATGCGCGGGACAAACATGCCCTCCAGCACCGCCATGCCATCCATTCACCCACCCGCATTCACTCATTCTTACGGCATGACCAGAGCGCCGATGAGAGAGATGGCAATGGCAAGCGCCCCCAGGTCCTGTATGCGCGGCACAAACATGCCCTCCAGCACTGCCATGCCATCCACTGGCGCGTAGCCCATCTCTACAAAGAAGCAGCACGCTATCACCATCACCAGCAGCGCTATGAACACCTCTAGGTTGCGCACCTGTGGGGAATGGGGGGAGGGTGAGGTGTGGGGGAGAAAGGAGGCAATGAGTCACTTTTAAAAGCAGCACGCTATCACCATCACCAGCAGCGCTATGAATACCTCCAGGTTGCGCACCTGCGGAGGAAGGGAGGTGAGGTGAGGAGAAGAAAGAAGGCACTGAGTCACTTCAAGAAGAATCACGCTACTACCAGCACCAGCAGCGCTATGAACACCTCCAGATTGCACACCTGGGGGAAGGAAGGGGGTGAGCAAAAGAAAGAAAGCATTGAGTCAACTCCCGAGTGTCGAGAGGGAGCAGAATACGAGACGGGCACACACATGGACACGGAATTAAACAGCACACACATGGTTGCAGGCAGCAAGGTGTGTGTGAAAGAGGAATGGTGCAGGTGCAGGGAGAAGGGAGAGAAAGGTCACCCCGAATCGCTGGAGGCCGAGGAAGAGGAGCGTGCTGAAGCCGGTGATAATGACTCCCGCCCACAGGCGAATGCCAAACAGCATGTTGAGCGCAAAGGCCGTTCCTATCACTGCCATGCATGCACAGGTGCACACGCCCACATGCACACTCACATGCACACTCACATGCACACGCACACGCTCGCGCATGCGCATGCACAGACACACATGCACAAATGCATCCGCACACAAACACAAGCATGCACACACACACACACACACACACACACACACACACACACACACACACACACACACACATGCATTGCAGAGGAAAGATTGAGTGCAAAGGCATGTGCAAGCCATACAGAACCGAGTGTGCGCGAGTGTTGAGCAGTGGTGGATACAAGCCATGCATTCCAGGCAACGAGCGGAAGAGAGAGGAGGAAAAGAGGCGAAGAGACGAGGGAGAGAAGGAGAGAGAGGGAGGGAAGGAGAGACGAGGGATAGATAGAAGGAGAGACGAGGGAGAAAAGGGGAGACGAGGGAGAGAAGGAGGGATGAGGGAGAGGAGGAGAAACCTTCTGGGATGTCGCTGGCGATGATCTCTATCTCTGCAATCACCCATAGCGCGAGGTTCACACCTCGGGGGTACTCCGCCCTGCAATGCTGCGCCAGATGCTTGCCTGCCATCGTGCATTGCCGCACCGCACCGCACACCACAGCACCGCATAGCACAGCACACCGCAGCACAGCACAACACAGAGAAGCAGAGCCATGTACACATGAGGTGAGGTTGTATCAGGCCATGGAATAGCAGGGCATGGCACAACATGGCATGGCATAGCAAGGCATGGGCATCTCATAACCATGGCATGGGATGGCACGGCATGGCATGGCATAGCATGGCTTGACATAGTCAGGCATGGAATGGCATGCAGGGTTGAAGGGCGGCGGCATTGGAAGATTTGGAACCACACTGTGGCTCCTTGTCTCTCCCCTGCTGGTGGGTTGAGAACTAACCTGTGACTATACCGAGGTTGGCGGACAGTGACTGTATCAGGAGGCCCGCTAACGATGCCAGCAGAAGAACCCAAAGAAGCTGAAAATGGGAAGGAAACACACAAAAAGAGACAGATTGGCATGGGGTGGATGAAGTGTGCGTGGAGCCGTGCAGGATAATGCAGACATTATCACGGGAGAATAAAGTAACAAGCTGCTGATGGCTGGTAAAAAAATAACGGAGATTGAGGTGTAAGCTGTGACCTACCGAGTATTGGTATGCTGCTCCTGCCTTGAGGTCACTCTCAACTGCACAAGAGAAGAATACGAGAAGAAAGACAGGGGAGGGGTAGAGAGAGGGAGTAAATGCATGGAGTGAGTGTGTGTGATTGTGATGGGAAGGAGAGGAAGAGACGGTGAGAGCGACGGCGCCTGTACCGCCCCGATTCACCACGACCGTGAGCGCACGACGGGCAGGGATGGTGTGTTCCGATCCGCATGGAAGATGAGTGCATGCAAGAGCCACAGTGTAAGCGATACTGTGAGTGAGCACCTGACCAGCAGCCTAAGTGACTCACAATTGGCCGGGTCGATGTAGGCTATGGCGACGAGGAATCCCGGGCCGACGTACGCCCAGAATTTACTCCATCCTCGCTCCTGCGATCACTCACGCATGGACACGCACGGGTAAGCTGAATGCCAGCCACACAATAACTGCTGCGACCGACCTCATTTACCTAGTATACGATCGTTGATTTTCAACGCTCGACACCGAACTCAGAGATTTCTGATTCCGCGTTCCGATTAGGAGCGGAAAGCTTAGATCCCTAAATGAACAGTGCGCAGCATTCTCCGGCCGAGTCTCGCGCCAGGGCGGAATTACCTCGGGAACGTGCACTTGACCCTCGTCTTGATCCTTGCGGTCTGCGCCCTCAGTCGCCATGCTGCTGATCAGCCCGATGTTCTCCGTCATAAGGCCACCAGTCCGCCAAAATCGATCAGCTTTCGTGCCTATACCTTTCGACCGAATGTAGAATCAATCAATAAATAATTAGCAACCGTAGATTCATTTGGATAAAAATCCACTAGCGCGTGTTGTCGTAACCCGCCAACGTAAAAGCCTCCTAAGATGGTTGGCCTATGTTATGGCTAGCTTGCATTGTTCCGTGGCTGGTGAATTGGGGCGAAGCGAACAGCAGTAGCCATCAATCAAAGAAACGGCTTGAAATGGAAGCTTGGTGCATTGCACGCCCCCCCCTCCCCGCTGTACTCTTGTCCAGCGTCGCATCGCAACTCGAGGAGGTGGGTGCGTGGGTTCTCGACTCGACACGTCGATTTACCAGATAACGGTATGAAACTGTACATAATATTTTAAAGTAGGGATGAAATGCATGGAAGTACGCATGTTTTGAGCAATGAAACTTACCAAGTAGTGGTGGTTATGCATTTATGCAACCTTATTACATATCCGCACACTGCATTACACATACTACACCAGCATCGAAGCAGGAAACAGCAGTGGTGTGTTCCGATCAACATTGACGTTGAATGCTTATTGCGGCCAATGCAGGATGTATAAACGAGAAAACTAGTTAACGACTCTGTTGCAAGCTGTATTGCACAACTCAACAGCCGCTGGAGTGGTCGCCTTCTTGCAGCACTGGCTACATCTCAGAATAGGAATGCAACGGAATGTGTGTAACTAGAAAGTGTGAGAGTACAAATATGCAACCCTAACAACTTTACCCCCTATTGTGCTACTCACTGTAGCCTACAAGCATAGAATTACATTTGACACACCCCCATAGGTTAAGTGAGGGGCATCAAAGTAAGCAAGGTGAACAAACGGTCACAAGACCAGTCAAAGCAAGAAACAAGGCAAGCTCAGGGTGGATCTCAAGGACACCACACAAATTCCGAGCGCAAGCAAGCGGCCACAAGGCCAGTTCAAAAGTTCACTAGGATATAAATAGGAAGCACAACAAGCAGAGTAAACAACAAGACTACAGCAACCGAGGGCCTACCTCAACAAGCCCCAACTGCACACAGAACCTGTGGTGATTACCAAGCGCCAAGGCCTTGGTGAAGACGTCTGCAGTGTTGGCCTCTGAGGCCACAAAGTCCAGGCGTGCCTGGCCGCGTCGCTGCAGCTCTCGCAGGAGGAAGTACCTCACGTCAATATGCTTCACTCTGCTCTCCAGTCGAGGCTCTCGACACAGGAGGATCATGGCCTTGTTGTCAGCGTACAAGGTCGGTGCAGAGCGAGGCCGCTTACCAAGGTCGGCGAGCAAGAAGGTCAACCAGCGAAGCTCCTGTGCCGCCATGGCACCAGCGTAGATCTCTGCCTCTGCACTGGAAGTAGCCACAGACGACGACCGTGTAGACCTCCACGACACAGCACCAGCTCCCAGACTGAAGCAGTAACCCTGAGTCGAGCGCTGAGTCTCCACGTCGTCAGCGTAGGAAGAGTCGCAGTGACCAGTCAACGCCACTGGCTGAGTCCCTCCAAGCACAAGCCCCATGCCTGATGTAGTCGCCAGGTACTTCGCCACCCTCACAGCAGCTGTCCAGTGGACAGGACGGTGTCTCCCAGTCGCAACAAAGCGAGAGAGGATGCTGAGGGGAAAGGCGAGGTCCGGCCGAGTACAAGTCATCAGGTACATGAGGCAGCCCACAAGCTCTGCGTAGGGACCACTGGACTCAAAGGGCTCGTCAGGAAAGGGGCCAGTGAGTCGGTGGTCAACAGCAAGAGGAGTGGGCTGTGTGGTGGAGAACTGGAAGTCGAACCGCCGAAGGACCTGCTGCACCATGTGTGACTGCGTCAGTGTGATGGTGCGAGCGGCTCTGTCCCTGGTGATCTGCAGGCCAAGGTAGCGCTGCAGCTCACCCAGGTCAGTGCACTTGTGTCTCTTCTGCAGTTCGGACTTCACCTGAGCCAGGGCTGCCCTGTCTGCGGTAGCAAACACCAAGTCGTCGACGTAGACAAGGATAAAGAAAGGAGTAGAACCCGCTCGAACAAACAGCGATGGGTCGGCGGAGGACGGGCTGAACCCAAGGTCACGAAGCGTGGAGCGAAGAGTGTCGTGCCACTCACGGGGCGACTGGCGGAGACCGTAGACTGGTCGCCTCAGGCTCCACTGGGTCCCAGGTGGGAAGGTGTCAGTGAAGCCAGGAGGACGGCGCAGCCAGATCTCCTCGTGCAGTCGGCCCTGGAGGAACGCAGTGGAGAAGTCGAGGGAGTGCAGCTCGTAGTCTCGCTGCGCTGCTATGTGGAGTAGCACCCGAAGAGTAGTCATCTTCGGGGTCGGGGCGAAGGTCTGGAAGAAGTCAACTCCCTCACGCTGACTGAAGCCCCTAGCCACGTAGCGCGCCTTGAACACCGGCGGTGCTCCAGGCGGCCGCTTCACCTTGAAGAGCCACATGCCATCGACTACGTTCGCCCTGGGAGGGGGAACTGCGTCGACGTAGGTGCCTGTGGATCTCCAAGACGCCAACTCTGAGTCCATAGCCGCTTTCCACTGAGAGGCTCACGCCCCTGACACTGCCTCGCGGTAAGTGCGAGGAGTCGGTATGTCAAGGGCGTCGGGGTCTCCCTCAGGGGAGAGCAGCATGGCACACACAGAGGGAGAAGCGGCTGCCTAGTACTCCAGCTCAGACTCTCTGTCCTCTAGGACGTCACAGCCAAGGGCAAACCCACCCCCAACGGACAGAGGACGGTAGGGAGGAGCTGGCACCACACGGGTGGCGTAGTCAAGGCGGCTGGCGGCAGCAAACTCAGCGACAGCGGCAGTAAGAGCCGAGACAGACGACGGAGGGAAACGAGAGTCGGTGACAAGAGTGGCGAGGACACGTGCGGCAACAGGACGAACAGCGCGGTAGTAGTCAGAGATAGGAGTGGGGAGGGCTGGGAGAGAGGACGGAGGAGGAGACGGGAGAACGGACACAGGAGAACGACGACGAGACGAACAAAGGAGGGCTGTGTGAAGGTCAGTAACAGGGGACGAGTGACGAGCACGCGGAGGACAACGAGTGATCAAGTCGTGACGGACAGAAGGAGGAGGAGACTGGAGAGGAGGAGAAGACCAGACCGCCGGACGGTCGTCAGGAGGAGGCAACGGAGGGACAAACACAGGAGGAGACTGGGAGCGAACAGGAGGAGAGGAGGAAAGGCCAAGGGCCCGCAGGCCACTCACAGGTGGGAACAACCGCCGCTCCAGAGGAAGCTGCGGTGGCGGCTGCGGCTGCTGCTGCTGCGGCGGCGGCTGCGGCTGCTGCTGCGGCGGCTGCGGCTGCTGCTGCTGCGGCTGCGGCTGCTGCTGCTCCTGCTGCTGCTGCTGCTGCTGCTGCTGCCGCTGCTGCTCCAGAAGGTCCAGCACCCGCAGCTCCTGCCGCTCCCTCTCCAACCGCTCCTGCTCCTCACGCTCACGCCGACGGGCAGCCTGAAGACGTGTGTCGTGTCGGTGGGGAGGCGGAGTGGACTCCGCAGAACCAGGGTCTCCAGCGTCAGTCTCCTCAGACTCAGCACCCCCAGAACCTGCACCTCCAGTGCCAGGACCTCCAACTCCAGCACCCCCAGAACTAGCACCGCCAGTGCCAGCACCTCCAGCTCCTGCACCCCAAGAACTAGCACCTCCAGTGCCAGCACCTCCAGCTCCAGCACCCCCAGAGCTAGCGCCACCTGCGCCAGCACCTCCAGCTCCAGCACCCCCAGAGCTAGTGCCACCTGCGCCAGCACCTCCAGCTCCAGCACCCCGCGACCGAGTACCCCCAGACCGAGCACCGCCAGCGGCTGCACCTCCAGCTCCAACACCAACCGAGTCCACAGTAACCTGTCGCGGAAGTGCCGAAGGCTGCTGAGGGGACTGTGAGGAGGACTGCGGGGAGGGAGACGCTACCTGACGCGCGACCGAGGGTAGAGGGGTAACGTGGGACACACCAGACGGGGCAGGACCAGGGGGGGGCGGGGGTACCGGAGGAGCGGGAGCAGGTTGAGGAGAGGGTGCGAGGAAAAGAGGGGGAGGGGGTACCGGGAGACCTCGACAGGGGTATTGGGTGTAGTAGGACACGGACTCGTCAAACCGGACGTCACGGGAGTCTAGGAACTGGTGGAGGGGAGGGTGGTAAAAGGACCAGTCGGCAGAGTCCACTGGGAAACCAAGAAAGACACAGGGGACGGCGCGTGCCGAGAGCTTGTCCGCGGAGGTGTCGCGAACAAGCGCAAGGCAGCCCCAGACTCGAAAGGCCGACCCGACACCAGGGGAACCAGTCCAAAGACTGGTCGGTGAAGCCTCGGGACGCGAGACACGCGGCTGGAGGTTCAGCTGGTGTGCGGCGTAGCGAACCGCGTGGGGCCACAAAAAATGGGGCGCACGGGCATGGATCATGGACGTGCGGGCGATGTCCATGACCAAGCCTATGCGGCGCTCAGCAACCCCATTCTGCTGTGGGGACTCTGGCAGCGTCCAGGACTGGGTGATGCCCTGTTCGCCGCAGAATCCGCCGAGAATGCCGGAGCGAAACTCGCCCCCACGGTCGGAGTGGAGACAGCTGACTCGACGACCACGCGTGCCCTCAGTGGCTAGAAGCCACCTGATCAGCGTAGCAGTCACCTCGGACTTCTTCGCAAGAGGGAACACTGTGGTATACCTGGAGAAGTCGTCGACGACCACCAGAAAGTAACGCTCCCTCCGAGACCCCTGCGTCGGGGCAGGGCCCCAGACGTCCAAGTGGAGAGTCTCGAAGGGAGCGGTGGCCGGACGAAGGGAGGAGGAGTGGGGAGTGGCGCGTAAGCGACCGGCGACGCACAGAGAGCAAGGAGGGGCAAGCGAGAGAGGGAGCGACGGGAAGGTGCGTGGGAGACCTGAGACAAGTCCCTGACTGAGCATGCCACGTAGGCGAGGGATCGACGGGTGGCCAAGGCGGTGGTGCCACAGGACGGTGCGGTGGGTGAGAGAGCGACAGGAGCAAGACGCAGCGACTGGACTGGACACAGCGACCGGACCGGACACTACTACCTGGCTAGACACAACAACTGGACTGGGGACCTGGGCCGGAGAGGACGCAACGACCTGAGGGGAGGACGCGACCGGGGAGCGCTCGGTGTGGAGAACGTAGAGACCGGAGCGGGGCTCCCTGGTGAACGTGGCCAGAACAGCACCTGTGGTAGCGTCTGTACAGACTGCAGTCCGCCCACCCCCCACGAAGGTAACCGTGATCCCCCTGTCCTGGAGGTATCCAACACCCACCAAGTTCCGAGTGAACGAGGGGATGTGGAGGCCGCGCAGGACACCAGAGGGGACCACAGGGCGCGGGAGGGTGGTGGAGCTACGCGCAACGGCTGGTCCAGAGGTAGGATCAGCCAGAGCCACTGACACAGGAGTGAGGAGTGGCGTAAGGGTCGTGTGGTCGCGGAAGAAGCACTGAGACGCGCCCGAGTCCAGCGTGAACGACAGAGAGGCCTCAGGCGGAGGGTCACCTGACCCAGTCGCTACACAAGCACCTAGAGCAGCAACACAAGCACCTAAGCTAGACAGGCACAAGGCTACACTAGCAGGAGGCAAGCAGGCTAAACTACGAACACGCGAGCACACAGATCCCTCAGCACTAAAGTCAGCATCAACATACAAAGCATGCTGACGCGCATCGTCCATGGACAAATCAAAGACATCAATCTTACGGGTTAACAGACGAGACCAGCGAGGCGTGACCGCCAGGGGGCCCCAACGAGCCCGGTAGAGGTCGTCGAGGCGGCGGAAGCACCGCGCGGCAGAGTGGTCGTCGCGACCACAGAGACAGGGGCTGCCCGGCCCGGTGAGGCACCAGTGGGTGCAGGGGCCAGCGTCACGGCGAGGGGGGCGAGGGGCCCAGCTGGAAGAGCTGCTGCTGCGGCCGGTGCTCCCAGGGCCTCCCGGACCCCACTGCGGCGGGGGACCCCAGTGCTGCTGCGGACCCCACTGCAGCGGGGGCCCCCACTGCTGGAACTGTTGCGGTGCCTGCTGCTGCTGCTGTCCCTGCTGCTGCTGGTGCTGCTGTGGCTGCTGCTGCTGGGGGGCAGCACCCCCACCGGTCGGGCCACCACCTGTGGGTGGACCTGTCTGTCCTGCGCTTCCTCCAAGGCCCCCTCCCCCTGGTGCACCACCGCCGCCGCCGCCGCCGCCGCCTCCACCACCACCGCCGCTCCCACCTCCACCGCCCCCTCCACCGCCACCTCCTCCGCCCCCACCGCCCCCCTTCCCGCCCTTCTTGCCACTCTTGCCCCGTTTCTGCCAGTCTGCGGCAGAAATGGCAGCGGTGTCCTCAGAGACCGACACAGCAGCAGAAGCGCGGGTAGCGGTGAAAGTGGGAAGCTGAGGGGCGGCACACCCCGCAAAGAGACGGGGGGCCATCGCATCAGTGGCGGAGGCAACGGTGAGGAGGATGCTCTCGATGGTCCCGAGAGCAGTCTGAAGGAGGACTATAGTGAGTTCAGTGGGGTGCTTCTGAAGAAGCGCGTCGCGGGCAGTGGCAAGGCGGTCAGGAAGGCAGGTGACTAACCAGTGCACAGTGAGCCACATGGGGGGGGGAGCAACAAGGAGCTGTGCGTCGGTACAGGCCGAACGAAAACCAGCGTCAAGCGAGCGGAGATGAGTCACTAGGTCGGAAACAGTCGCAAACGAGCCTAGGTCGGGAGACACGAACGGCATGAGGAGGCGACTGAGGGAGGCGGAGGAGGGGGTGGAATAGCGAGCCACAATAGCATCCCAAACCCCCTTGGCTGTCTCCACCTGGTCAAAGTGAGCGGCCTCAGTCGGGGGGAGAAGCTCCGATAGCGTGAGGGCGGCGGCCGCGTCACGAGAGAGCCACACGTCCCGAGCCAGGACCCGACGGTCGTAGTCCGCCTGGGCCGTAGGAGTCGGCTCCGGGGCGGTCGGCAGGGCGGCGGGGGACGGAGGTGCCGCGAGAGCACCCGGCGCGTGGGCCCACAGAGTGGCGCCGTCCTGACGCTGGCTGGTGAGGAAACGTGTGGTCTGGCGCTGCCAGGTACCGAACTCGATCGGGCGTCCCTCAGCATCGAAACGGAGGCGACGGGCCTCCATAGCGGAGCCCATGCTAGAGGCGACTGGAGCACGGCGGAGGCGAAGCTAAGAACGAGGAGGAAAACTACGAAGGGCTAGGGACGCCAGCGGGGAAAACGTTGAGAGACAGTCGGCGAGAAAATAGTCGTGGGGCGGGGCTCTAACCGAACCTAGGTGGCGCTACCGGAGGGAAGAGCGGCTGCCAGCCGCTGAGCCGGGAGCCAAGTGCAGTAGGAATGGCGTGGGACCGGTGCACAGGTGAAGGGGAGAGAGATGCAGTAAGCGCACAGAGTGATGCGGTAAGTGTACGCAGGTGTGCGGTAAGCGCACTCAGGTGTGCGGTTAGTGCACGCAGGTGTGCGGTAAGGGCACGCAGGTGTGCGGGAAGCGCACGCAGGTGTGCGGGAAGCGCACACAGAGTGATGCGGTAAGTGCACGCAGGTGTGCGGTAAGCGCACGCAAGTGTGCAGTAAGTGCACGCAGGTGTGCGGTAAGCGCACGCTGGTGTGCGGGAAGCGATGACGGAGGAGGGCGCGCGACAGGCGGAGGGGAGGGCACGCGACGGTCTAAGGAGGGCGCGCGACGGTTGAGGAGGGCGCGCGACGGTGGGGGAGGGCGCGCGGCGGTCTAAGGAGGGCGCACGACGGTTTTGGAGGGCGTGCAACGGTGGGGGAGGGCGCGCGACAGGCTGGACAGCGCGGGAGGGCGCGGGCTAGGCGCGTGGAGGGCGCGGAGGGCGCGGAGGGCGCGGAGGGCGCGGAGGGCGCGGAGGGCGCGAGAGCACGGAGGGCGCGTAGGGCGCGGAGGCTAGCTAAAAACGAACGAGGATCTAACCTACTCGTGATACCATCTCAGAATAGGAATGCAACGGAATGTGCGAAACTAGAAAGTGTGAGAGTACAAATATGCAACCCTAACAACTTTACTCCCTATTGTGCTACTCAGTGTAGCCTACAAGCATAGAATTACATTTGACACTACACTGCTGCTTGCTGTTGCTTGAAGTCTTGGGTGCACACACTGGAAAAGAGAACCAGAGAGAGACACATCAGGATTGAATTGTGTGCGGAACAGCTTCTCGTGCATGGGATTGTGGCAATCATGAATCCGGAATCTCAGGGAATGACTTTAGCACTTACTGACGCATCCAGGCACAGGCTTGCAGTTGACAAACTTCCCATGGATGCAGGAGCAGCGCTGGCAGAGGTCGCCAGCCTTGGTCATGTTGTGAGCTCCGTTCTTCACAAAAATTGGACCCCATCCTGGTCCAGCACTTACGCACTCGTGTGGACCCTCTGAGGGAAATGGAGGGAAAAGCACATCGAAGTGGACAAGGGTGAGCCGGAAAAAGGACGGTCGATCAAGAAATCAACGATGCCATACACAAATAGCTTATTAGCACAGAATGCAGACGGAATGTAAGGGGAATGGAGCTCACGAGCACTCTTGATGCAGTTGCCAATGTATGTGTCGTTGACAAACCGTGATACTTCACACCTGGTGGTTGACGGAGAAAAAGGAAGTCAAATAATGCACAGAGAATGAAGAAAAACGTCAAGTAGCGCATTCAGGAGTTGCCTTGAAGCAAGTCAGATGATTCTCTCTGCTGGTTAATCTCACAGCCCACGCGACTCAACTGGTTCTGTCTGGTGTCCTTGCATCGCGTGCCGCCCTTCCATCGCCCCACCGCGTCCTGCTTGCACAGCTTTCCCAGCGGACACACGCAGGTGGGGCCGGACTTGAGCTTCTGGCACGTGCAGCGCGGACAGATGGTCGAAGCTGTGATGCCGCTGGTACCCGGTGCGAACATGACGGAGCGGAACATGCAGTACTTCTGATTTATCTGATCGACTGGTTAACAACGTCAGGAACAGAAAACGGAGAAATGATCAGAAGAAGAAATACTCTGCGGTGTTTTCAAGCGTTTCTTGCGGTAGAGAGGGTCGCAAGAAAAACACATTGTCGGTAATCGATGGCTTACTAGGCACGTCGGAGGCGCATTTCCCCTTGAACAAGAAACGGGGTGAGTTTTTCACCACCTTGGTCACCAAACACCTGAAACGATCAATTTAGCAAACAGATGGCATTAGATACAGGCTAGAAATTCGCTCTCGTCAACAACTCTGCCCGTGATGTCCCGCTATTATCACAGTGGGACCAGCGTACCCGAAGTCTCGCTTGCATAAGGGCTTCATGGGGGTGTAGTTCTTGTCGTAGTAGCATGTGGATCCGTCAGGTAAGCCTGACGCAGCTCCAGTTGCACAGACAACCCATGGCCCTGCATGTTTTACCAGGCATCAGGATCCATATTCGAATGTAAAATAGTATGTCGCGCAAGCGCAAGCACTTCAAAGAAAGTCCTCGCATCACCTGAAGTTGAAGCGAGGAGCAGCAGAAATGGAAGAGATGCGGCGAGGATCTTCATTGCCGATGTCTGATCGCTTTCCGCTGCCTGCTATGATGGCCCGAGAAGCAACAGGAGGTCACTATTCCAGGTGATGTAAATTACTGTGTCCGAAAGATTCAGGGCTATTGTATCTATAGCGCATCTGAAAGCTTATCCAGGAGTCGCATGATCGGCCATGCTCATGGCAATGGTCCGCCGATGATGTCATGGAGAGGGGTGGCATAGGGGAGGGAGTTCCTTCCGTTGGTTCAACAAATGTGCGAGGGATTCGCGAACGCGCCGCACCATCAGCATGTCAGTGCTGAAAATGTCCTCAGAAGATGTTACAAGTCCGTACCATTCATACACACATTTGTGCTTACTTACATTTACCAAGTCAAACAGCTCACTGGGGTAGCAAAGTAGTGGTGTCACTTACGGTATGTGTTGTATTTTCAGTGTCTGGTGAAAGAAAAAAAGGATTCTGAATCACCTCTCAGCAGAAAACCGTGGCTGAAGTGTTAGTTGCCGTAGGTGGCAATAATGACATTTGCCTTTCCAGCCCCTTCCATACCTTTGTATCAACACCTCTGGAGGATGGATGGGGGCTCAATTATTTTGTAAACAAAAATACATACAGCTCTTAGGTCGAGAGGATATGAGATTACGGGCTGGTGGGCAAAAACTAACGAAGGCTCAAGGGGAGCCAGTGATGGCATGTTAAAGTCAAAGTGTCGTAAGACATGCCGGCAAGGTAGGGCATGGCATACACGCTTCGTCTTACTAAAGGTTAAGACGGGCTGCTTGAAGCCTGCTGATAAACCCTGTTACATGCTGTTTCACACAACTCAACGCCCTCAGGTGTGGAGGCCTTCCTGCAGCACTGGCTGCATTGCTGCGCGACGTTGCTTGGGCTCTTTGGAACACACACTGAAAGCGCAACAATGGGGCAACACAACAACGAGAAGATATAAGGACCAAGGGCTTGCACATTCTATTGAAGAAAGTGGACGCTACAACACATTCCCAGTTGCACATTCCCACAGACTGACATGCAACTTACTGGCACATCCGGGTACAGGCTTGCAGTTGACAAACTGTCCTTTCATGCAGGAACAGCGTTGGCACAGGTCACCAGTCTTGGTGATGTTGTGAGCCCTGTTTCTCACAAAAATGGGACCCCACCCTGGTCCTGCACTGATGCACTCGTTGGGACCCTCTGATAGCGTTGGAATAGAAAATTCAGGGAAGGGAAAAGGAGTTGGGGGAACGTGATGAGAGAACTACATGTTGAAGGATGGGAAAGCGAACATGTTGCAGAAATAATTAGATGAGTAATAGTGTAGCAACAGATGAACAATAGGAACAGTAAGCACGAAAGCGGTAAGGAGGCAAGGAACAAAGATGGAGGGGGGGGAACTGACGAGCGGGGTTGATGCAGTTGCCAACGTATGTGCCGTTGACCACCCGTGACACTTCACACCTGGTGGTGCAATGAAGGCATGGGAGGGAAGATTCGCACAATGTGCTCCAGAAATAAACCCAGGGCAATGTATCTGTGTGCAGAAGTGTCAGAGGCACGAAGTTCTCAAATTCGTACCTACCACATGCGTAAGTTTCTTCGAATCTCCCCTTCGGCCAACCCCACTTTCCCATTTCCCCTCACTCCCATCCCCTACGCGACTCAACTGGTTCTGCCTGCTGTCTCTGCATCGCGTGCCGTCCTTCCATCGCCCCACCGCGTCCTGCTTGCACAGCTTGCCCAGCGGACACAAGCACGTGGGGCCGCCCTTGAGCCCTGGGCACGTGCAGTGCGCACACATGGACGTCGCCGTGATGCCGCTCGTCCCCGGCGCGAACATCACGGAGCGGAACATGCAGAACCGCTTGGTTATCTGGTCCACTGGGAAGGAGATCCAAGGATCGTGAATGACATTGTAAAACCAAGAAAAAAAACAACTTTGTTTTGCTTGTGTTTTTTTTTTGTCTCCGTGAGCAGCGTTTCCTGCATGATGTCGCGCTCAGTGCAGAGGCACAAGAAAGAGGGGCTAAATGAAGTCTTACGAGGAACGTCGGAGGCGCATTCGCCCTTGAACTTGAAATGCGGTGAGTTGCGAACCACCTTGATCACCACACACCTGCAAAAATATCATGTCACGAACACGGAAGGAGTGTCGGCAAAGAGAAAGAGCTGTGCTTGCATGGCGGTGAAGCCGCTCCCTGAAGTAATAGCATCTCTGATAGTGGATCGCTGGATAGGACTGCCGGCACTTCAGGCTTAAAAAATGATGGTTTTCGCAGCTTACCCGAAATCTCGCCTGCAGTAGGGCTTGATGGGGGTGTAGTTCTTGTCGTAGTAGCATGTGGATCCGTCAGGTAGACCGCCGGCTACGGCACCCCACGGCACTGCCACGTACGATAGCGTCGCGAGAGATGGGAGTATGGATGTGTGCACTGAAGGTCTGAATGCACGAACGTGTATCACGAACGTCCGCGTTTTAATGCTTAATGGAAACGCGAATCGTAAAATCATTTAAAAAAGGTTTGTGAACAAGTTCACGAGGTCCTGACGAAGCGCTGAGAGTAGCACCTGAGGTAAACGAGAGAAGAAGCACCAAGCTAAACGATGCGTGTAGCTTCATTCCTGCTAGTGTAGTTTGTTCCACGGCGAACTGTGCTCTCTGTGCTTCGACCAACCTCCGGCGAGGAAATCCAGACGTAGAAATTGACAGAGAGGGGGGGGACTCGGAGTCTCCTAGTCTCTTTAATATAGCTGAGCTAAAGCGAGAAGATATTGCAAAATGTATCCTTAATCCTCGTTAGTGTTAAGGTCGTGCAGTAGCAGCGTCTTCAGCCCTTGGACTCACTCCAGCTAACAACGATTGCAACGAGGTGGATGCATCGCTAGCAAGTAAGGTGCAACGGAGAAACTTCAATAACCTTGAGGTAGTAACAGTTCGAAGAGAGTTTATGACGTTGGAGCTTCCTGCAACTAGCTAAGCGGTGAGGTACTCGGAGAGGCTTTCTCAATTTCACAAGAAATCAGCCAACCTGAGCAAATATACTCCTGAGGGGAGCAGTCCAGCAAGCCGAGCTATGCGAAGCATCTCAAATTCGCCAACGAACCGCAAGCACTGCAACTCCATGCGGAAAGTGTGCGCGACTCTGTGATGGCGACAACATGTGCGACGGTGTCATGTGGGCATGCGGGAGGGAAAACCATGTGCGACATATGTGGGTGGGAGGGAATTCCCGAAAACCATAAATTTGATGTATCCTCTGCTTTCGCTGCAGGTCCTAGTCGTGTCGCAGCACGAGCCGCTTGGTGAAATGAAATCTCCTTTCACAATCGATTCCATCCCATAGCCTTGGCCGTTGGATTCCGTTGCTGAAAGGGATGTGTTTCTACGTCCCCGTTAGACGGTGAACTCATATGTTTGTTTTATGCGGGCTGTGACTCGTTGCTCACCATGAAGTAACATTGAGTCCGATTGTATTGATTTTAGGCAGGACTGAGACAGTTGATGCAACTTTTGCCAGCACTGTTAATCAATCTAAGCATTATAATGCTACAAAAGAAGAATTTAGCCTATACTATTGCCTCCACAGCTGCAGCCACATCCGCAATGCTCTTAAACTGCTGCCTCTCCTTGACGAGCTGCTTGCCGAAATTGAGAGCCCTGCGCTCGCAAGCTGCCCTCACATCAGGGTCGGCAATGGACTCCAGATCCTCCACATGCGCGATGCCAACAATGCGCCTGCAAGAATAGAGAACCCACGGACACTCGGAAGTCAGGACTTCCATTTTTCCCTCTCAGATTTTGGCGGACGGCAAAACGTGACACCTGAAATCCTGCTAGCATATGGCAAACCACCCAAACCACTACCAGCTCCTGCGCTCACCCAAGCCTCTACCAGCTCCCACCCAAGCCTGCAGCAGCTCTGACCTGATCATCTTGGCCCCGGCGAATCCCAGCGAGTCCAGGAAAACCTCGCGCAGGAAGGCGGTCTGGGCAGCGGAGAGCAGCGCGGCATTGTCGTGGTACAGTGCCTGGGGGTACGCGTCCCCCTTGGCCAGCGCCTTGTCGTTCCACAGCGCCAGGAACTTGGCCTCAAACTGCTGCCACGTGTCCACGAAGCACTGCAGGACCCACTTGGCCGCCTGGGCGAGGGATGGGGAGAGGCGGGTGAAGGGTAGGGAAGAACAGGGAAAGGATGGTGATAAGAAGAGGCCTTCTCGTTTTATGTCTCCGCGAAGCACTGCAGGATCCAATTCTTGGCCGCCTGGGCGAGGGATGGGGAAGGATGTTGAAGGATTGTGACGATGGTGAAGGATAGAGGAAGATGGAGAAAGAAAATGATGGTGAAAGGAACAAGATGGTGAAGAATGGTGAAGTGTAGTCAATACTGTGCACTCACAGCACGGGAGTCATCAGTGGTGGCGTGGCCGTCCTGACTGAAGTAGGCCAGCAGCAGGTTGCCCAGGAAGGCCCCGATGTCAAAGCCCATCGGACCGTAGAACGCAAATTCTGGGTCGATCACGACCGTTGATTCCTCCGTGACCATGACCGAGCCAGTGTGCAGATCCGCATGCAGCAGCGCCTGAGCGCGTTCACAGAACCTGTCAAGGGTGTAGGTTGCGATGGGGAAAGGGGTAGATTGTGTCAACATCACACACAATACGTGTGTGTAACAGAGGGGGAATACAAGAGGAGGTGGAATATATGGGCCGTTGAGAGGCCATCTGGCCTGAGTGCACCGAGTGCAACCAAGATGCCCCACACTTGTTCTTAAGCTCGGTGATGGCAAGCTTCAGAGGCACGTCCTCCCTCAGCGCAGCTGCATCGGCGTCCAGCTGCGGCGTGGTCCAGCGGTTGTTGGTGGCGAGCACGTAGGGTTCGGTGAATATGACCTGCTCCGTCAGCCGACACATCTCCACGTTGCCACAGAACTCCCGCACTGAGGGGGCAGCAACGAGGCGGAGGAATGGCAGAGCATTGAGAACAGGATTTAGAGACCTCAACGTAGGGGTTTCGTGAAAATCACTTGCACCGTGAGGTGGGGAGACGGTGGAACAGAGCGTTGGGAGGTCACGAGTTCAGTGCCTTCCTTCATTCAAAGCAGCCCACCTTTATCGCGGTAGACCTCGGTGTTGATGGCAATGAGCGAGGAGAGGAACAGCGTGCTGGCGAGGAACGACGACATGTGCTCCGCCAGCAGCGGGTACACGCGCCCCTGCACCAGCCCCTTCCGCAGCACAATCGCGGGCGGCGCCACATACCGCATCACAAGCAGCGCCATCGGGTGACTGAAAAAGAACACCTCAGGCACCAGCTCCGGCACCCACGCAAACTGCTGCCGCAGCGCCAGCGCCTCATAATATATCCTATCGAGAGTCATGGGCCAGGACTCGCCCACCACCCGCACGTACGGCAGCGCCTGCTTCACCACTAAGGCCCCTCCCGGCCCTTCCACAATATACACGAAGTTGATGTTCCCGTCTCCCACCTCCCGCACGGACCACTCCGCCGGGCCGCCGCCGAGCCTGGCGGCGAGGTCCGGGTGGTCCTGGAGGAAGGCAGGCACGGTGTGCTCGCTGACGGGCGTGAAGCGGGAGGCTTCCAGAGCGTCTTTACGGATGCGGTCCTTGTGGGGGTCCGTGTGCGGCTGCGCATCGTCCTCCTTGGGGTGCGGGTTGTTGGAGGCGGGCGGCGGGTAGATGGGCGAGGAGGGCACGGGGGCGCCGAGGGAGTGGAGGAACCCTCGAATGTCGAAGACTGAGGCACCTTCCTTCTTCCAGATGACACCCTGCAGGGGGTGCGACGGGGGCACAGGGCAGAGGGCACGTGAGAAGGAGGAGTGGAGGGGCGTGTGAGAGAGGCTTCGAGGGCGTCTTTACGGATGCGGTCCTTGTGCGGGTCCGTGTGCGGCTGCGCATCGTCCTCCTTGGAGTGTGTGTTGGTTGAGGGAGGTGGCGGGTACATGGGCGAGGAGGGTACGGGGGCGCCGAGGGAGTGGAGGAACCCGCGGATGTCGAAGACAGAGGCACCTTCCTTCTTCCAGATGACGCCCTGCAGAGGGTGAGGAGGGGGTGAGAAGGCAGCAAGGGCGTGTGAGAGAGAAACGGGCAGGGTGATCACGCATGACATGGCATAGAAGCGAGGGCGTGTGATATAGAATGGAGTCCCCTGACATGAAAACACCACCTCCCTCCCTCTCACCCACCTTGTCAGTGATGAGCCCTGTGATGAACTGCGCTGGTGTGATGTCAAACGCCGGGTTCCACACATCAATGCCGTGAGGCGCCACCTGCCAGAAGAGTCGAGCAGTACACCATGGGCACAGACAGCAGCACATGGAGAGAGGCAGTAGATTTGAAAAGTAATCAACAGGAGCGACTATGGATTTTCAAAAGCTAGCACAACCTTCAGTGCTCTTGAGGAATGCCTCCTACCGCACCTCAGGCCCCACAACAACCCCCCAAAGCTCCAACTCACCTGGGGCCCAGCCCCTCCCAGCGAGTGGGTGAGCTCATTGGCGTGCCTCTCCTCCACCACAATCTCCTCGCCCGTCTTAATTGCTGCATCGATGGATGTCAGCGGCACACCTGAGTCCCTCAACCCCTAATACATGTGATGCCCAGCACCCAGTAACGCACATGAGGCCCAGCGCCCCCCAGCGAGTGAGTGAGCTCATTGGCGTGCCTCTCCTCCACCACAATCTCCTCGCCTGTCTTAATGGCCGCATCTATGGATGACAGCGGTGCCGCCACAAAGAAGGGCGTCTTGTGGTGGAAGGCTGATAGCGCCAGCGAGTACGTGCCGATCTTGTTTGCCGTGTCACCTGGTGGCAGTGCAGGGGAAAACAAGTGCTTGGACAAAATAAGTGTGCAGGGCACCTATATGGTGCTCCTGAATGGTGCTCTCTCAAACACCTGGATGCCAACAGCAGGCAGCAGACAGCAGGCAGCATGCAGCACGCCGCATACAGCAGACAGCAGGCAGCATAGAACCCACCATTGGCAGCAATCCGATCCGCCCCCACAACAACAGCGTCGATACGACCAGCGGCCTTGAGGGAGGCAGCAGCGGAGTCAGCAATGAGCAGCGCGGGGATGCCGTCGTGAGTCAGCTCAAACGCCGTCAGCCGCGAGCCCTGGTTGTAGGGGCGCGTCTCCGTGCACACGGCCGTTTCCAGCAGACCCTGCGCGTGCAGGGAGCGGATGACACCCAGAGCGGTACCATAGGCAGCTGTGGCCAGGCTGTGAGGGTGGGAACAGGAAACAGGGAGAGGGGAGTGCTTGTCAGCTGCGAGCCCTGGTTGTGGGGACGCGTCTCCGTGCACACGGCTGTTTCCAGCAGACCCTGGGCATGGAGGGAGCGAATGACGCCCAAGGCTGTGCCGTAGGCGGCTGTGGCAAGGCTGCGAAGGAGGTGAGAAAACAGGAAACAGGGAAAGGGGAATATGGAATGCCCGTCAGCATCGAGCGCTGGTTGTGGGGGGCGCGTCTCCAGCAGGCCCTGGGCATGGAGGGAGCGGATGACGCCCAGTGCTGTGCCGTACGCTGCTGTGGCCAGGCTGTGCGGGCGAAATGGGATCGTATGGGAACGGGAAGAGAGTATGTAAAGCAATGGAGACACCAGTAAGAAGATGGTGAGGAGTCGTTGCATGTACCGCACTGAGTGACCACCCTCACCTGCCGGTGTTGCAGTGGGTGAGCACGCGCAGGTTCTTCCCCTCAACGCCTTTCTGCGTCAGCGCCTCCACCACGGCCTGAGCGCCAAACGCGCCGATGCGCTTGTTGCCCGCCACGTCATCGCTCAGCATCGCCTCCGCTGCCAGCACCGTGGCCTGTGGTGGGGGGGGGAAAGGGGGGCGGAGGGGTGGTTGGTTGGCAGATGGCATGGAAATGTTGGGCTGGAAATGGGTGAGAACAACAAGAACAGCCACGTCATCACTCAGCATCGCCTCCGCTGCCAGCACTGTTGCCTGAGAGTGGGGGGTGGTGGGCCCGGGGGGTTGGTTGGCCCAGAGGGGTGGTTGGCAGACGGCAGGGAGATGAAGGGTGAGGTCAAAGAGGAGAGCACCGTCATCACCCAGCATCGCGTCCGCTGCCAGCACCGTCGCCTGAGAGTGGGGGGCGGGGGTGGTTAACAGATGGCAGTGATGGGGTGCGAAGACGTGAGAACCGTCATCACTCAGCATCGCCTCCGCTCCCAGCAATCGCCTGGGGGGGAGGGGAGGAAAAGGGAGGCGCATGGGAGGAAGTCGAAGGAGGGGGGGAGAGTGAAAACAAAGCGGATAGCCACATCATCACTCAGCATCGCCTTTGCCACCCGCACCGTTACCATTAGACCGTTACCATTACACCGTTACCATTACACCGTTACCATTACACCGCTACCATTACACCGTGACCATTACACCGTTACCATTACACCGTTACCATTACACCGTTACCATTACACCGTTACCATTACACCGTTACCATTACACCGTTACCATTACACCGTTACCATGACACCGTTACCATTAGACCGTTACCATTACACCGTTACCATTATACCGTTACCATTACACCGTTACCATTACACCGTTACCATTACACCGTTACCATTACACCGTTACCATTAGACCGTGACCATTACACCGTGACCATTACACCGTTACCATTACACCGTTACCATTACACCGTTACCATTACACCGTTACCATTACACCGTTACCATTACACCGTTACCATTACACCGTTACCATTACACCGTTACCATTACACCGTTACCATTACACCGTTACCGTTAGACCGTTACCGTTACACCGTTACCATTACACCGTTACCATTACACCGTTACCATTACCACCATTACCATTACACCGTTACCATTACCACCATTACCACCACTACACCGTTACCATTACCACCATTACCACCACTACACCCAGCACTACTTGGGCTCACCAGCACAACCGCCTCGGGCGTGGGTTCCTCCTCGTCTCCACTACCACTCACCACTACCAACACTACCATTACTGCTACCTGATGAGCTCACCAGCACAACCGCCTCGGGCGTGGGTTCCTCCTTGGCTGCCTCCTCCGCCACCCTCTTGAGCTTCTCTGCCGCGTCTGATAGGTTCACTGCCGTGGGGCGACTGGAATGGGGGGCGGAGGGAGGGAGAGGGGGAGTGAGGGGAGAGTGTGAGAGCAGCCCAGGCGGAAGCACACACCTGGGCACAAGGTAATCAAGGCGATGGGTGATATCGTGGTCACGCACCTGGACACGAGGTAGTCAAGGCGATCAGTGATGTGCTTGACAGCGGCATCAGCACTCTCAAACACGCTGTGCTGGTGCACCTCCACTGCCAGCGCCAGCGCTGCTGCGATGGCGATCGCCGGCGCTCTCCGCACCACCATGTCCTTGATGGCGTGCCTGAGGGTTGTGATGGGTGCGGTGCGGTGGAGTGTGGTGCAAGGGGATTCACAGGAGCATTAACTGGCATGTTCGTGGTCGCATTTCCAGGGTTCCAAACACAGAGCATGATAATGAGAATTCTGAACCCACCAGGCAGCTTCGGTGGTTGGAACGTCGAGGTAGATAGACTCGTGAGGAAGCTTCCGCTGGAATGGAGGCAACATGCGGGGCGGGCGGGGAATGGAAGGGAGAAAGAAGAAGCAGCGCCTCAGTCTGGTTCAACGCGCGCGTTCTTACGTCTTACATCGGAGCCTTTACGTAAGACGCACCCTTTACAAGAAGGGTGCGACAGTTTCGTGCGTAGAATTTTCACAATATCATTTTTTTTTTTTTTTTTTTTTTTTTTAGTTCGCCAACACGACTCGCCTGGTCCAGCAGCTCGAGCTTCCCTCGTGTTAGGGTTGGTTCGCCCAACCACGGAACCTATGGCGAAAGTCTCTACGACGGCGGAATGACGGCGAAATGGAAGCACGTGGATGATTCTAGGTGAAACGGTGGAATTCGGCCTACGGTGGATATTGGAAGCTACGGCGTGAGAAACGGGAGAGAGATCGGGAAGATACTAGAGAAATGGAGGAGAAGAGTAGAGAAGTATCGAGAATGAGATCGACGGGGGAAATTGTGGTTCGAGCTCGAGGCGTGTTCGAGAAGGTTCGAGATTCGGGCTCAAGGAGTGTTCGGTGAATTCGGTTCGGTTGTGTGTGCGACTCGGGGTGAAACGAGGCGCGCGCGAGATTGCTTGAGAAACAAGTTACGTTACGAATCGCATTTTGTGACTTGCTTGACTATAAATCTGCTTGTACTCATTCTGGAAATCACAACATTGGACAACATTGAGATTCTGAAATTGCTGAAGTGTGTATTGACAACTTCAAGCAGAGCTGCGCATATCGTTGGATTTGGGAGATCGTGGAGAACACGATAAGCAATAGCAAGTAGACTATTGCCGACTAAGGTGTTTACGATCTTAAGAACTGGTATCAGAGCTTGGCAAACAGGCGCGTCGATCGTCGTGAATTCACTTGGTGCGCTAAGTGAAATTAGTGGAGAAGAGGAGTCGTTCACGCCTACGCTATGGGAGACGAGGCGAGTTCGGGTTCCAGTGTGAGTCTTGGAGACCCGCAGTTGAAGGCTCTTCTCGAGGCCCTTGCGAGTGGCCGATTGGTGGCGAAACCGACGATCGGGCTCAGTGAAGCCCAGCGCTTCAACGGGAGTAACTACAACGTGTGGCGGAAGAAGTTCATTCGAAGGGCAGAGGAGGTGGACCTCTTGCCGTACTATCGTCCCGACGAGGGGACGATGGAGGGAGTTGCGCCATCCCCGACGGATACGAAGGAGAAAATAGCGGCGTTCAAAAAACAAAGCAAGCAAGCGTTCTTTCAGCTTTGTCACTCAGTTGCCGATGGAATCGCGGTGGATTTGGACCAGTTTGCAGGGGAGCTGAACTCTGCACAGCGAGCGTGGGAGTATTTGGAGTCCACGTACATGGGCACGAACGATGTCAACAAGAAGGCGATACGGAAGCAACTCCTGATGCTGAGCATGGAGAAAGGCGAGAAAATCATCACCTACATCAACAGGGCGAAAAGCTACAACGACGATTTGCGGGTGATGGGAGCCGCGGAGACGGAGCACGAGATGATTGACTATATCATCCAAGGCCTTCCTAAAGAATGGGAATCCGACATTGGAATGTTTACGTACCAACCGCCGGAGAGTTTGACGAAGCTGCAGGAGATTCTGCAATCGCTTGAGACGGTGAAGGAGATGAGGAAGAAGAAAGCGGCAGTAGCAGCTACTGAATTTGACGAGGAAAGGCCGGCTTTGGTGAATGCCACGAAGGCGTTTGGAGCGTGCTACCAGTGTGGAAAGAGGGGGCATAAGGCGATAAACTGCTACGAAAATCCGCGAAGCAGAAACTACAAGGGTCCGTCGCAGGAGCTACAAGGGTCCGTCGCAACAGAGGAATGTGGCGGCTAAGGCGAATGTAGCGGAAGCGAACGAGGATGATGTGATCCTTGGAGGAGCGCATCGTGCGAACGTGGTGCGTTTACCAAAGGAGGTTCGGCAGACGGACGGACGTGAGAAGACGGCATGGTTCATGGACAGCGGATGCACGCGCCACATGACATTCAGGTCAGACTGGATGGAGAATGTGAGGGAGTCGAGTGAGGATTATATTCTGCAAGGTAACAGTGGGAAGTTACCAGTGACAGGAGAGGGTGACGTGGTGCTGCAGAGTCCGTATGGAGAGGTGAAACTGGAGAGTGTACTCTTGGTTGAGGATTTGAAGGTGAACTTGGTCAGTCAGTCACAGCTTGATGACTTGGGGTGCAAGATATTTTATGACAAAGGCGAGGTTACAGTGTTTGGTCCTGAGTGGGAGAAGTATGCCGATGGATACTTCAGTGACGGGTTCTATGAGATGAACTTGATAGCGATGAACGACAAGGATGAGATCTATGAGGATCCTGAGTCTACTGAGGTTGATGAGAGCGAGGACACGGATGATACGGGAGCGAGTGTGGAGGCAGTAGTGAAGCAGAAAGAGGAGATAGTCGCCATGGAGGCAGCAGCAGTGAATGGTGGCGATGGAGATGGTGTCAACACCTTTGCAGCAGCGATCGTGGTTGAAGATGAAGCAGTAAATGCTAAGAGTGAGGGAGTTGAAGCTGTGAAAGGGGACATCATGGTGAAGGGATCAAAGGTGAAGCAACTGCAAAGGGGTGAGTGCTTACGAAAGAGGAACACGTTGAGGGGTACGAGGCCCGAGATGTGTTGGGTGTTAAGATGCCGAGGAGAAGTGAGAGGCTTAAGGATATCTCTCAAGGTTTGGACGTCAAGGCGCTCAACTTCAAGACACGTAAGCAGAGGTTCAAGGTGCAGGAGCTGCAGGGGAGCGTGAAGCCGACTTAGACCCTGTGAAGGTTACAAGGAGCAGGGGAGGAGTGCGAGTGGTGTTCGTGGTTGACGAACAACAGGGGAGATTGTTAGGGTTGGTTCGCCCAACCACGGAACCTATGGCGAAAGTCTCTACGACGGCGGAATGACGGCGAAATGGAAGCACGTGGATGATTCTAGGTGAAACGGTGGAATTCGGCCTACGGTGGATATTGGAAGCTACGGCGTGAGAAACGGGAGAGAGATCGGGAAGATACTAGAGAAATGGAGGAGAAGAGTAGAGAAGTATCGAGAATGAGATCGACGGGGGAAATTGTGGTTCGAGCTCGAGGCGTGTTCGAGAAGGTTCGAGATTCGGACTCAAGGAGTGTTCGGTGAATTCGGTTCGGTTGTGTGTGCGACTCGGGGTGAAACGAGGCGCGCGCGAGATTGCTTGAGAAACAAGTTACGTTACGAATCGCATTTTGTGACTTGCTTGACTATAAATCTGCTTGTACTCATTCTGGAAATCACAACATTGGACAACATTGAGATTCTGAAATTGCTGAAGTGTGTATTGACAACTTCAAGCAGAGCTGCGCATATCGTTGGATTTGGGAGATCGTGGAGAACACGATAAACAATAGCAAGTAGACTATTGCCGACTAAGGTGTTTACGATCTTAAGACCTCGGGAATACCGAATGGCCTGAAGCACCTTCGACTCGCCCGACGCGCCCACCTTCTCCGCCGTCACCGTCAGATCTGCAACCGCTGCTGCCATTGCTGGCGAATGTTGACGGAACCGAATTGCTGACGGATCGTAAGACACGAATTCGCGAAACTACGCGAACACAGGCGACGGAAAGGTGTGGTGGCGACACGGCAAGGCGGAAGGAATGTCACGCCTGCGAAGTGCGGCGAGAGGCGCTAGATGCGGAGCAAGGATAAGGGGAAAACTGGTCGGGGGTTGGAATGGTGAAGGAGAAGAATTACAAATGAGCGAGGAAAGGATTTGAGAAATCTGTGGCAGTGAGCTGGGGCGTGGTCCCCCCTCCGCGGTGGTAACACTTGTGCTGCGATGTGAAAAAAATCGCAACACCAAGCAATTTTCCGCTGCGACGAACTCTGGCGACCGCGGCTATGTTCGCTGAATGCTTTGCCTAACAAGCAGAGAATCGAGACACGTGGAAAGGTTCGAAAAAACCCGTCATAGTGAGCACACAGCACAGCATACAGTACAGCACACTACTACACTGCGTTACCTCATTACTGATCTTCACCTCATCACATCATCCCCCCGTCATGTCGATTCTCCGTGCTGTTGCGAGTTTCTGACCGAAATCACAGGCATCAGATAAAAAGCTTCATTACTTTCAGTGGCGGTTTTTTTTCGCCATCCTGTAACTCTTTCTCCCCGCGGGTGACCTCTTCGCGTTGGGTCGGCTGTCGTGAGAGGGAGAGAGTTCGAGGTTGAAAGTAGTTTTCTTTTTGTGTTTTCCTTGCCAGGAGCAAGCTATAGGTGATGATCGCACATGCGACGCACATGGGCGAAGTGCGACGGACATGGACGCAGTGCGATGGACATGGGCACAGTGCGACGGACTCGGATTATTCTCGCCCTGTTCAGACGCCCGCGATGGACATGCGGTTACATTGACGCCCGCGGCGCGCTCCCCCACCACGCCCTCCAGGCCGTGCACGGCGTCGCCCTGCCACGTCACCTCCCCTCTGAGGCAGATGACGGGCCAACGCCTGTGTAACCGCATGTAACCGCATCCGCTCCTGTCGCTTGCGCCTTGCACCGCACATGGCCGCTTCAGACCATGCATTCGGAACTGGTGAGCCGCTTTCGTTCGTCACGCTTCACCGCGCTACACCGCCCTGCACCCAATGCATGTGCTTCACCGCGCTGCATATTCATTTACATCGAAATCCGTCTCCTCTCCTTGGTCGTTGGCAGGTCGGAGCATGCAGCTAGAGCACAGGGGGCAGCTGAAGCAGAGGGGACTTGCTTTTGACACTTGTTGTCTTCAACATGAGTGGTATGATCGTACCACTGCCATGCTGACAGGAGATGTGCACTACAGGTGAGATGTGCACTTCAGGTGAGATGTGCACTTCAGGTGAGATGTGCACTTCAGGTGAGATGTGCACTTCAGGTGAGATGTGCACTTCAGGTGAGATGTGCACACCCGCTCAATCTCGCTCTCACCACATATCCCCGCTCCCAGCACATACACTCGGCACAGATATTCGCCCGGTCTCGCTTCCAGCACATATGCTCCCTGCTTCTGCTCCCAAGTGTACAGATTTGTCTGTAAGCCTCCAGCATTGTTTGTAAGTTTCCCAGTGTGACTCAGCGCACAGTTTTCTAGGCGTGCATACACTCAACATGAGTGGTATGATCGCACCACTGGCATACAGGGGATGTGCACTTGAGGTGAGATGTGCACTTGAGGTGAGATGTGCACTTGAGGTGAGATGTGCACTTGAGGTGAGATGTGCACTTGAGGTGAGATGTGCACTTGAGGTGAGATGTGCACTTGAGGTGAGATGTGCACTTCAGGTGAGATGTGCACTTCAGGTGAGATGTGCACTTCAGGTGAGATGTGCACTTCAGGTGAGATGTGCACTTCAGGTGAGCAGAGCACCATTCTTGCAGACTTATGCAGGCATTACTCACACACACACACGCTCAATCTCGCTCTCACCACGTATCCCCGCTCCCAGCACATACACTCAGCGCACATACACTCAGCGCACATACACTCAGCACAGATATTCGCCCGGTCTCGCTTCCAGCACATATGCTCCCTGCTTCTGCTCCCAAGTGTACAAATTTGTGTGTAAGCCTCCAAAATTGTTTGTAAGTTTCCCAATGTGACTCAGCGCACAGTTTTCTAGGCGCGCATACACTCATGTGTCTAGTAGTGTCCAAAATTGTCCGGTTACTTGCACTTATCATGTTTTCCCTGCCTCCTGTTTTCCCAAACTGACAGGCTGTGGTGAATTCTCGTCGGCAAATCTGGGCTGCATGTGTGGGCTGCATGTGTGGGTGGCATGTGGGCAGCATGTGTGGGTGGCATGTGAGCAGCGTGTGAGCATATCCCCCGTTTCAGCATATGCGCTTGTATTGTCTCGTCTAAGACACTTGTTATCACCTGCTGTGGCTGTTGCTGTGGTGATTATGCGTGGGCAGCATGTCCGTGGCATGTGGGCAGCATGTCCGTGGCATGTGGGCAGCATGTCCACGGCATGTGGGCAGCATGTCCGTGGCATGTGGGCAGGATGTCCGCGGCATGTGGGCAGCATGTCCGCGGCATGTGGGCAGCATGTCCGTGGCATGTGGGCAGCATGTCCGCGGCATGTGGGCAGCATGTCCGTGGCATGTGGGCAGCATGTTTGGGTTGCATGTTGGCACACAGCACAGCACACAGCACAGCACACAGCACAGCACAGCACACAGCACAGCACAGCACACAGCACAGCACACAGCACAGCACAGCACAGCACACAGCACAGCACAGCACAGCACAGCACACACCACAGCACAGCACACAGCACAGCACACAGCACAGCACACAGCACAGCACAGCACACAGCACAGCACACAGCACAGCAGACAGCACAGCACAGCACAGCACACAACAGAGCACACAGCAGAGCACACAACACAGCATACACCACAGCTGACTGCACACCACAGCTTCGACACAGCACACCACACAAAACGCACAACACAGCACATCGAACAGAACAGCAGTCAGCACAGCGAACAGAACAGCAGACAGCACAGCAATTCCTGAACATCTCAGCATATGAGGACTTCCCATGAGTCTCTGTTGGTGATGCCTCAGCATTGCCAGAATTAGCAACACGAATAGCGATGTCCCATGTTGGAGAGGAAATGTTGAGATGTGAGAGGGAATTGGCCTCTCATGCATGTTACTGATCAATTTGCATCAAATAATTTACTGAATGTGAGAGGATCTTCTACTGTTATGTTGGTAATGCTGTTTATCTGCGACACTGCACCTTATGCTTCCCTGGTGGTGCATGTTACCTATTTCCAAGCGACCAGATCTACCACTATCACTACTTCAACAATTATATAAATCTAAAATATAAATATAAAATCATTCGGTCAATAGTAGAGTGGTCTTCGGTCTTCTGGGCCCCTCTTGGCCACTAGGGGGGTTAACCCCTAGTGTTACACCCACACACCACGTTGAGGTGGGGACCCTTCGTGTGGGACCTGCATGGAAACCACGGCGAGTTAGGTTAATAAAAAAACGGGAGAGCAGAGCGACTCACCGATACCTTACCCACCCTTGTCGTTGTCGCCTTCCGCAGCCCCTAAACGACACGAGCCGGGCTGCAGCGTCCCACAAGCCCAACTCAGACCAGGTGGCGTAACACCTGGCCAGGCGAAGGCGGGGTGAGGAGGCCGTCAGAGTTCAGGGAGCGTCCCCCCATCCCTCGTGAGAACACTCAACTCACACACAGGGGCGCTTCAGGCGCGGGCCGCGTCCGACCCAACGCCGTCAGCAACCCCTGCCGCACAACACCTATGCCGCAGTCGGAGGCGGTCTTCGGGTCTTGGACACCTGCCAGCTGCAGAGCGACACACAACACAAGACAAACACAACACACGATCAAGTGAAACAGGCACCACGAATACATGTAACGCGAAAAAACAGAAAGAAAGCAAGACGAATCTGAGAAAGAAAGCAAGGCGGAAACGAACAAGGGAAGAGGCTTAACCCCGTGCAGCGATGGAGCAGCACCTCACCTCCGACCGTGCCGCCCGCCGTGTCGTCTCCACGCTGCCCGCCATGCTGAAGGGAATGGAAGGGGGGGGTTAACCAGAGGGACGCCTCTTGATGCGCGCGCGCTGCCCCATCGCCCTCCTCGCCCCACGTGAAGCCCTGAAGGGAATGGAAGGGGGGGGGGGGGGGGGTAGAGAGACAAACAGAAGAAAAGGATCAAGTGAAACAGGCACGACAAATACATGTAATGCGAAAAACAGAAAGAAAGCAAGGCGGAAACGGACAAGGGAAGAGGCTTACCCCGCTGCAGCGATGGAGCAGCACCTCACCTCCGTCCGTGCCGCCCGCCGTGTCGTCTCCACGCTGCCCGCCATGCTGAAGGGAATGGAAGGGGGGGGTTAACCAGAGGGACGCCTCTTGATGCGCGCGCGCTGCCCCATCGCCCTCCTCGCCCCACGTGAAGCCCTGAAGGGAATGGAAGGGGGGGGGGGGGTAGAGAGACAAACAGAAGAAAAGGATCAAGTGAAACAGGCACGACAAATACATGTAATGCGAAAAACAGAAAGAAAGCAAGGCGGAAACGGACAAGGGAAGAGGCTTACCCCGCTGCAGCGATGGAGCAGCACCTCACCTCCGTCCGTGCCGCCCGCCGTGTCGTCTCCACGCTGCCCGCCATGCTGAAGGGAATGGAAGGGGGGGGGTTAAGCAGAGGGACGCCTCTTGATGCGCGCGCGCTGCCCCCTCGCCCTCCTCGTCCCACGAGTAGACCTGAAGGGAACGGAAGGGGGGGGGGGTGGTAGAGAGACAAACAGAAAAAAAGGATCAAGTGAAACAGGCACGACAAATACATGTAATGCGAAAAACAGAAAGAAAGCAAGGCGAAAACGGACAAAGGAAGAGGCTTACCCCGCTGCAGCGATGGAGCAGCACCTCACCTCCGTCCGTGCCGCCCGCCGTGTCGTCTCCACGCTGCCCGCCATGCTGAAGGGAATGGAAGGGGGGGGGTTAACCAGAGGGACGCCTCTTGATGCGCGCGCGCTGCCCCATCGCCCTCCTCGCCCCACGTGGAGCCCTGAAGGGAATGGAAGGGGGGGGGGGAGTAGAGAGACAAACAGAAGAAAAGGATCAAGTGAAACAGGCACGACAAATACATGTAATGCGAAAAACAGAAAGAAAGCAAGGCGGAAACGGACAAGGGAAGAGGCTTACCCCGCTGCAGCGATGGAGCAGCACCTCACCTCCATCCGTGCCGCCCGCCGTGTCGTCTCCACGCTGCCCGCCATGCTGAAGGGAATGGAAGGGGGGGGTTAAGCAGAGGGACGCCTCTTGATGCGTGCGCGCTGCCCCCTCGCCCTCTTCGTCCCACGAGTAGACCTGAAGGGAATGGAAGGGGGGGGGTGGTAGAGAGACAAACAGAAAAAAAGGATCAAGTGAAACAGGCACGACAAATACATGTAATGCGAAAAACAGAAAGAAAGCAAGGCGAAAACGGACAAGGGAAGAGGCTTACCCCGCTGCAGCGATGGAGCAGCACCTCACCTCCGTCCGTGCCGCCCGCCGTGTCGTCTCCACGCTGCCCGCCATGCTGAAGGGAATGGAAGGGGGGGGTTATCCAGAGGGACGCCTCTTGATGCGCGCGTGCTGCCCCATCGCCCTCCTCGCCCCACGTGAAGCCCTGAAGGGAATGGGGGGGGGGGGGGGGGGGTAGAGAGACAAACAGAAGAAAAGGATCAAGTGAAACAGGCACGACAAATACATGTAATGCGAAAAACAGAAAGAAAGCAAGGCGAAAACGGACAAGGGAAGAGGCTTACCCCGCTGCAGCGATGGAGCAGCACCTCACCTCCGTCCGTGCCGCCCGCCGTGTCGTCTCCACGCTGCCCGCCATGCTGAAGGGAATGGAAGGGGGGGGTTATCAAGAGGGACGCCTCTTGATGCGCGCGCGCTGCCCCATCGCCCTCCTCGCCCCACGTGAAGCCCTGAAGGGAATGGAAGGGGGGGATTAAGCAGAGAAGTCATCTTGCTGCCCCGCCTCCCTGCCCCCTCGCCCTCCTCGCCCCACGTGAAGGCCCGTACTGAAGGGAATGGAAGGGGGAGGAGTGAGGACGGAGTGCGGGTCAGGAGGACGTGAGACAGAGGCATGGAAGAGGACAGATCCAAGGGCCAAGGTGCTGGAGGTATGTGAGTAGCCGCAGAGGCCGAGGGTGGGCCCCGTGCTTCAAGACAAGACCAAGAGAGAGTGGGGGCCCCCACTCTCAAATGACCGAGTCCATCCGCCCCTCGTCTGCTGCATGACTCTCACTCTCCATTCAACAGCACCCCTCCTTGTAATCGCCTCAATTCCGCCCGTCAGTCGCTCCGTCTCGTTCCTCCGCCTCACCCCATGGACGCAGGGGGAGAAGCCAGCACACGTGGGAGGAAGACGCCTCGTCGCAGCGCTGTCTCAGCGGCTTGCCTCCGAGCGAGTTATCAGCAGGGCGGGTAGGAGGCAGCCACACGCCTGTGACTGCCGGCCGTGCGTCATCCCACCACGGTCGCTCTTCCGTGTGCCTTGGAGAGAGATGATTAAGGAAAAGCGACTCAAGGCAGTGGTGAGCAACACGGGGGGAATCAAGGCAGTGGTGAGCAACACGGGCGGAATCAAGGCAGTGGTGAGCAACACGGGCGGAATCAAGGAAGTGGTGAGCAACACGGGGGGAATCAAGGCAGTGGTGAGCAACACGGGCGGAATCAAGGCAGTGGTGAGCAACACGGGCGGAATCAAGGCAGTGGTGAGCAACATGGGCGGAATCAAGGCAGTGGTGAGCAACACGGGCGGAATCAAGGCAGTGGTGAGCAACACGGGGGGAATCAAGGCAGTGGTGAGCAACACGGGGGGAATCAAGGCAGTGGTGAGCAACACGGGCGGAATCAAGGCAGTGGTGAGCAACACGGGCGGAATCAAGGCAGTGGTGAGCAACACGGGGGGAATCAAGGCAGTGGTGAGCAACACGGGCGGAATCAAGGCAGTGGTGAGCAACACGGGCGGAATCAAGGCAGTGGTGAGCAACACGGGGGGAATCAAGGCAGTGGTGAGCAACACGGGCGGAATCAAGGCAGTGGTGAGCAACACGGGCGGAATCAAGGCAGTGGTGAGCAACACAGGCGGAATCAAGGCAGTGGTGAGCAACACGGGGGGAATCAAGGCAGTGGTGAGCAACACGGGGGGAATCAAGGCAGTCGTGAGCAACACGGGGGGAATCAAGGCAGTGGTGAGCAACACGGGGGGAATCAAGGCAGTGGTGAGCAACACGGGCGGAATCAAGGCAGTGGTGAGCAACACGGGGGAAATCAAGGCAGTGGTGAGCAACACGGGGGGAATCAAGGCAGTGGTGAGCAACACGGGGGGAATCAAGGCGGTGGTGAGCAACACGGGGGGAATCAAGGCAGTGGTGAGCAACACGGGGGGAATCAAGGCGGTGGTGAGCAACACGGGGGGAATCAAGGCAATGGTGAGCAACACGGGGGGAATCAAGGCAGTGGTGAGCAACACGGGGGGAATCAAGGCAGTGGTGAGCAACACGGGGGGAATCAAGGCAGTGGTGAGCAACACGGGGGGAATCAAGGCAGTGGTGAGCAACACGGGGGGAATCAAGGCAGTGGTGAGCAACACGGGGGGAATCAAGGCAGTGGTGCGCAACACGGGGGGAATCAAGGCAGTGGTGAGCAACACGGGGGGAATCAAGGCAGTGGTGAGCAACACGGGGGGAATCAAGGCAGTGGTGAGCAACACGGGGGGAATCAAGGCAGTGGTGAGCAACACGGGGGGAATCAAGGCAGTGGTGAGCAACACGGGGGGAATCAAGGCAGTGGTGAGCAACACGGGGGGAATCAAGGCAGTGGTGAGCAACACGGGGGGAATCAAGGCAGTGGTGAGCAACACGGGGGGAATCAAGGCAGTGGTGAGCAACACGGGGGGAATCAAGGCAGTGGTGAGCAACACGGGGGGAATCAAGGCAGTGGTGAGCAACACGGGGGGAATCAAGGCAGTGGTGAGCAACACGGGCGGAATCAAGGCAGTGGTGAGCAACACGGGCGGAATCAAGGCAGTGGTGAGCAACATGGGCGGAATCAAGGCAGTGGTGAGCAACACGGGCGGAATCAAGGCAGTGGTGAGCAACACGGGGGGAATCAAGGCAGTGGTGAGCAACACGGGGGGAATCAAGGCAGTGGTGAGCAACACGGGCGGAATCAAGGCAGTGGTGAGCAACACGGGCGGAATCAAGGCAGTGGTGAGCAACACGGGGGGAATCAAGGCAGTGGTGAGCAACACGGGCGGAATCAAGGCAGTGGTGAGCAACACGGGCGGAATCAAGGCAGTGGTGAGCAACACGGGGGGAATCAAGGCAGTGGTGAGCAACACGGGCGGAATCAAGGCAGTGGTGAGCAACACGGGCGGAATCAAGGCAGTGGTGAGCAACACGGGCGGAATCAAGGCAGTGGTGAGCAACACGGGGGGAATCAAGGCAGTGGTGAGCAACACGGGGGGAATCAAGGCAGTCGTGAGCAACACGGGGGGAATCAAGGCAGTGGTGAGCAACACGGGGGGAATCAAGGCAGTGGTGAGCAACACGGGCGGAATCAAGGCAGTGGTGAGCAACACGGGGGAAATCAAGGCAGTGGTGAGCAACACGGGGGGAATCAAGGCAGTGGTGAGCAACACGGGGGGAATCAAGGCGGTGGTGAGCAACACGGGGGGAATCAAGGCAGTGGTGAGCAACACGGGGGGAATCAAGGCGGTGGTGAGCAACACGGGGGGAATCAAGGCAATGGTGAGCAACACGGGGGGAATCAAGGCAGTGGTGAGCAACACGGGGGGAATCAAGGCAGTGGTGAGCAACACGGGGGGAATCAAGGCAGTGGTGAGCAACACGGGGGGAATCAAGGCAGTGGTGAGCAACACGGGGGGAATCAAGGCAGTGGTGAGCAACACGGGGGGAATCAAGGCAGTGGTGCGCAACACGGGGGGAATCAAGGCAGTGGTGAGCAACACGGGGGGAATCAAGGCAGTGGTGAGCAACACGGGGGGAATCAAGGCAGTGGTGAGCAACACGGGGGGAATCAAGGCAGTGGTGAGCAACACGGGGGGAATCAAGGCAGTGGTGAGCAACACGGGGGGAATCAAGGCAGTGGTGAGCAACACGGGGGGAATCAAGGCAGTGGTGAGCAACACGGGGGGAATCAAGGCAGTGGTGAGCAACACGGGGGGAATCAAGGCAGTGGTGAGCAACACGGGGGGAATCAAGGCAGTGGTGAGCAACACGGGGGGAATCAAGGCAGTGGTGAGCAACACGGGGGGAATCAAGGCAGTGGTGAGCAACACGGGCGGAATCAAGGCAGTGGTGAGCAACACGGGGGGAATCAAGGCAGTGGTGAGCAACACGGGGGGAATCAAGGCAGTGGTGAGCAACACGGGCGGAATCAAGGCAGTGGTGAGCAACACGGGGGGAATCAAGGCAGTGGTGAGCAACACGGGGGGAATCAAGGCAGTGGTGAGCAACACGGGGGGAATCAAGGCAGTGGTGAGCAACACGGGCGGAATCAAGGCAGTGGTGAGCAACACGGGGGGAATCAAGGCAGTGGTGAGCAACACGGGGGGAATCAAGGCAGTGGTGAGCAACACGGGGGGAATCAAGGCAGTGGTGAGCAACACGGGCGGAATCAAGGCAGTGGGGCATAGTTCGGTACCAGTGATCAGCAGGGCAGCAGAGTGGCCTGCCGTGCGTCATCCCACTGCCGCCATCCCACAGGTGCAGTGCAGCAGCCTCCGCCCCTCCAGTCGACACCCGTCCGTGCCGCCCGCTGTGCCTTCCGCCGTGTAGCCCTCCGCGCTGCCCGCCATGCTAAAGGGGGTGATTATGCTGCCCACGCGCCGCCCCCTCGACCTCCTCGCCCCACGTGAAGCCCTGAAGGGAAGGAAGGCGGGGATTAAGCAGAGAAGCTCCTCTTGCTGCCCTGCCGCGCTGCCCCCTCGCCATCCTCGCTTCTCTCGCGTGAAGGCCCGAACTGAAGGGAATGGAAGGGGGAGGAGTGAGGACGGAGTGCGGGTCAGGAGGACGTGAGACAGAGGCATGGAAGAGGACAGATCCAAGGGCCAAGGTGCTGGAGGTATGTGAGTAGCCGCAGAGGCCGAGGGTGGGCCCCGTGCTTCAAGACAAGACCAAGAGAGAGTTGGGGCCCTCCACTCTCAAATGATCGAGTCCGTCCGCCCCTCGTCTGCTGCATGACTCTCACTGTCCATTCAACAGCACCCCTCCTTGTAATCGCCTCAATTCCGCCCGTCAGTCGCTCCGTCTCGTTCCTCCGCCTCACCCCATGGACGCAGGGGGAGAAGCCAGCACACGTGGGAGAAAGACGCCTTGTCGCAGCGCTGCCTCCTCGCCGCCACCTCGCCCGAAGTGCTGCCTCCGAGCACGTGGTCAGCAGGGCGGGTAGGAGGCAGCCACACGCCTGTGACTGCCGGCCGTGCGTCATCCCACCACGCTCGCTCCCCCGCGTGCCTGGAAGATGAACACACAATGGAGTAAGCAGCAGGCACACATACAACCGAACATGCAAGCACACACAAGGCAGTAAGCAGCAGGCACACTTACAACCGAACATACAAGCACACACAAGGCAGTAAGGAGCAGGCACACTTACAACCGAACACGCAAGCACACACAAGGCAGTAAGCAGCAGGCACACTTACAACCGAACACGCAAGCACACGCAAGGCAGTAAGCAGCAGGCACACTTACAACCGAACACGCAAGCACACGCAAGGCAGTAAGGAGCAGGCACACTTACAACCACACACGCAAGCACACACAAAGCAGTAAGCAGCAGGCACACTTACAACCGAACACGCAAGCACACGCAAGGAGTAAGCAGCAGGCTCACTTACAACCGAACACGCAAGCACACACAAGGCAGTAAGCAGCAGGCACACTTACAACCGAACACGCAAGCACACACAAGGCAGTAAGCAGCAGGCACACTTACAACCGAACACGCAAGCACACACAAGGGAGTAAGCAGCAGGCACACTTACAACCGAACACGCAAGCACACACAAGGCAGTAAGCAGCAGGCACACTTACAACCGAACACGCAAGCACACGCAAGGCAGTAAGCAGCAGGCACACTTACAACCGAACACGCAAGCACACGCAAGGCAGTAAGCAGCAGGCACACTCACAACCGAACACGCAAGCACACACAAGGCAGTAAGCAGCAGGCACACTCACAACCGAACACGCAAGCACACACAAGGGAGTAAGCAGCAGGCACACTCACAACCGAACACGCAAGCACACACAAGGCAGTAAGCAGCAGGCACACTTACAACCGAACACGCAAGCACACACAAGGGAGTGAGCAGCAGGCACACTCACGAGTGGCGAGAGGAGGAGGTAGTGGCAATGACGGCGAAGGCGAGCAGTGAAAGAATGAGTGGAAATAAGAGCGTGAAAATATCAAGAGAAGGGAGATTTCTTAGCCGTATTCAGGAGGGGTCGAAGCTCCATGCAGGCGCGCTCGCCAGCAGCGGCACTTCTCCCTCCTCGCCTTGCCGTTCCTCCGCAGGCGAGCAGTGATCAGCAGGGCAGCAGTGGTGCCTGCCGTGCGTCATTCCACTGCCGCCATCCCACAGGTGCAATGCAGCAGCCTCCGCCCCTCCAGTCGCCACCCGCCTCCTCGCACAGATGCAGTGCAGCAGCCTCGTCGCCTCCTCGACTCCTCCTCCGCCGCGCCTTGCCTCCGAGTGAGTGGTCAGCAGGGCGGGTAGGAGGCAGCCACACGCCTGTGACTGCCGGCCGTGCGTCATCCCAACACGCTCGCGTCCACGTCAGCCATGCGCCGTCCACGTCAGCCACGCGCCCATACGCCTCCCATCCCCTTGCATGCGCTTGCGTTGAGTGCGCTGCATGGAACAACAAGCACGGTGGTGAGTCGAGGAACCGTGAACAAGCAAGGAAGCGAACGGAGCGAAGAAAGAAGAGACAGCAGCAACAAGGAAAGACGGGAACACGACGAGCGACGTACCGTGAGTGTGGGCGCTGGAGGTGCTGCAGTCTGCAGCAAGGCGGGGTCTTCTCACTCCCCAAGGTGGCGCGTTGAAGGCGCTGCAGCAACGCACGAGCGCGTACCCACGCCCGTGCCCGTGCACGTATGCACTCACCAGTCGAGCTCGCCCCAGCCGTTGCCTCGTGTGCCTCACACGCTCGGGCCTCTGCCCGCTTGCCTCAGGGCACTGCCCCTAGCTAGCCAATGTCCAATCCAAGCCTCAATGTCCAATCCAAGCCTCAATGTCCAATCCAAGCCTCAATGTCCAATCCAAGCCTCAATGTCCAATCAAGCCTCAATGTCCAATCCAAGCCTCAATGTCCAATCCAAGCCTCTATGTCCAATCCAAGCCTCAATGTCCAATGGCCAAGCCTCAATGTCCAAGGCCCAAGGCACAATGTCTGCTGCTGCTGCTGCTGCTGCTGGGAGGTGCATGCAGGGACAGCGGTGGTCAGCAGGGCACGCCCAGGCCGTGTGTCATCCCACCGCCCCGTAGCTACCTCTGCCTCCTCGCCTCAAGTGCGCGGGCGACCTGCACAAGTGACAGAGCACAGCATCAGTCCCTGGCTATTCAGATCTGACAAAAACAGAAGAAAAAAAGGACGCTAAGATTTCAACGCACCAGGGCGGAACGAGTGGTGGAGGGCAATTTACAAGGTGAATGGCAGAGGAGCCCCGCCAGTCAGTGATTCTGGCACCTCCTCTCCTCTGCACCTCCTCTCCTCTGCACCTCCTCTCCTCTGCACCTCCTCTCCTCTGCACCTCCTCTCCTCTGCACCTCCTCTCCTCTGCACCTCCTCTCCTCTGCACCTCCTCTCCTCTGCACCTCCTCTCCTCTGCACGTCCTCTCCTCTGCACCTCCTCTCCTCTGCACCTCCTCTCCTCTGCACCTCCTCTGCAGCTCCTGGCCTCCCCACGCCCATGCGTTGTGCCCTGGAGTCACGTCAGCCCTGTGCCTCTGCAAGGACGGGGAGGAGAGCACGTGGAGACAAGGAGGTGAGCCAGCGCACGAGGAAAGCGATAGGGGCAATGAACCAGCCAGGGCAATGAAGCGAAAGGGCATTGCTTCAAAAGAAAACAAGGCGGTGAGAGCAGGTGGGAGAGGGTGGCAGGGCCGGCCAGGGTGTGGGGTGGTGAGGGAGAAAACACACATAAGCTGGGCGGGTAGTGAACTCACATAAGCTGGGTCGCAGGTGGGAGAGGGAGGCCATCCCACAGGTGCAGTGCAGCAGCGCTTGAGACACTCAGCGTCTTTTTCCTTGCCTTAGCAGCAGGTGAGACACTCGGCACGGCAGTGCTCCCAGCAACAGGTGAGACTGCACTCGCTCCTTGCTCCTTGCCGAGATGCCTTGCACCGAGCTTCCTGAGAGGCGAGCAGTGGTCAGCAGGGCTGCCTGCCGTGCGTCGTCCCACTGCGGCCCTCTGCTGGCTCTGCACCGTGCTCCCTGAGAGGCGAGCAGGTGAGACAACGCTGCCCTTGCTCTGGAAACAGCGGGGAAAGGCAACCGAGAAGAAACAAGGTGTAGGAAGAAAAGAGTGAATGTGGAAAACGGCGAAACCCAGAAGAAACGAGCCTAGTACGATGCGAGAACGGTAGCATGGAAACTGAAGAGCAGTGGGCGGGCAAATGAACTGAAGGTACGGAGAGCAACGTAGGGTGTGAAAGCAGCGCACCTGAAAGCAAGCAACGTAGGGTCTGCACGTGGCTGCAGTGCCGCCCGTCGCTGCCTCGCCCTCGCTGCCTCGCCCTTGCTGCCTCGCCCGTCGCTGCTTCCCCCTTGCTGCCTCGCCCGTCGCTGCTTCCGCGTCGCTGCTGCCCCCCACGTATGGCGTGTGCCGGCCTGTAGGCGTGCAAGCAGAGGATGCGGGCTGGAGGAGAGGGTGGGCAAATGATTAGTAAGAGATATGGAGAACTGACAAGCATGCATGCAAGCAACGAAAAATGCAAGACGATTAACAGGTGAAGGTGAAGGTGGTGTGAGTGGCAGTGACAGTGCAGTGGAGTGAGTGACAGTGCCAGCGGCAGCGGCACAGCAGCAGCAGCAGTGTCAGCGGCAGCGGCAGCGCAGGCGGGGTGGTGGGTGGCAGCTGCAGGGCGGGCACCAAAGGACCATACCGTACCTGAGCACACCTACTTACGCATGATGCCGCCGTTACCTGAACACACCTGGGGAATGGTCCAATGGTGCCGCCGGTGCGAGCTGGAGGAGGAGGAGCGAGTGGCGCGAGGAGGAGGAGGCGGCTATGAGGGCGGAAGCGAGCAAGTGCGAATGAGTGCAAACAAGTGCGTGAGTAAACGAGATATCTTAGCCTTTTTTCAGCAGGCAGGGGTCGAGGCAGCGGCGCCCGTTCCTCCTCGCCTCAGCCGTCGCTCCGTCCGCCCGTATCCTCCTCTCGCCGCTACCGCAGTTTGCCGCTCGTCAGCTCCCTTGAGTGCACCGTGCTCCCTGAGAGGCGAGCAGGGGTCAGCATCAATGACTAGATGATGGAGTTCCTAAAAAAGCAACAAATAAAAGAGAATCACTCGGGTTTCCAACATTGAAGGTGCTGAAGAACAGATTCAGCAACGTAGGGAAGGCAACTCACAAGTTCCTCCGGTGCGGCAGCAGTGGCGCCATTCCTCCTCGCCTATGCGCTCGGCAGCAGTGCAGCAGTCGTTCCCTCAGCCTCAGGTGCAGCAGTGCAGGAGTCGTTTCCTCAGGCTCAGCCTCAGGTGCAGTAGGAGCAGCAGGCCTTGGACCTGCACAGGTCAAACCGGACAGCATTAGTATCTGAACATTCACTGAATGCAAACAAAATAGAAGATGATGAAGAAACATTGCTCAAGGTTTAAATATGCAAAGTGATGAAACATTGCCTCAACTTACCATGGCGGAATGCCTCGCACAGCAATTTACGAGCTTCGTATGCTGCGCCTCCTCGCCAGCAGCGTGATTTTTGCACACCATCGCACGCAGCAAGTCGCCATCCCGTACACGGTCAGCAAGTCGCCGTCGCGCACACGGTCGCACGCAGCAAGTCGCCGTCGCGCACACGGTCGCACGCAGCAAGTCGCCGTCGCGCACACGGTCGCATGCAGCAAGTCGCCGTCGCGCACCCGGTCGCACGCAGCAAGTCGCCGTCGCGCACACGGTCGCATGCAGCAAGTCGCCGTCGCGCACCCGGTCGCACGCAGCAAGTCGCCGTCGCGCACACGGTTGCGTCGCATTTAAGCTCTCTGATTCCGCGCAAACACCAACTCAGCGCACACTTTCCGCTGCGCGGTTCTGTTTGCGATCGTCGCTTATTCGCGAACTGACTTTTCATGTTTCGTCTCATGTTTTGAATTCAGTGGGCAAGGTTACAGCGCCAGTTCCCGCACTCTTGGCGCGCCAGACTCATCTGGCGCGCGGGCCCATCACTCAACTCCGCGCTCCGCTGATGCCCATCACTGATTGCACTTGCTGTCCTTGAAATGTTATCCACGCATCCCAGGGTAGAAATTGAAGCTTTTAAAAGCGGTGAGAAGTGTGAGACAGCCTGGTTAATGCCGTTTTTCACCCCTTTTCTGTGAAACCCAGCGCTTAAATGCCAAACACTCTTCCGGAGATATATATTTCTGCCCAAACACGCGCTAACCCACATCTCCCCCCCGCCACTTTCTGTCACCCTCGCGGCGCCTGGCGCAATCCTTCTCCCCATCCACTGACACCACTTTTGGTTTGACCCTGATCACCCCCGAGCCGAGCCAACACCACCCCGCCAGCCAGCGAGCGAGAGTCACCTCACCACTTTGGGTTGACGCTGGTCACACTCGAGCCAACGCCACCCCCTCACCCCAAGCGAGAATCACCACTGTGGGTTGACCCTGGTCGCCCTCGTCAAGCGACACTCCCAGATTCGCAAGGCCTTCCACCGCTTTCTCCCACATTCCACGCCTCCATTGTTCCGACTTCTCTACTCACCAGATCTGAAGGCCGCCATGGATTTCGTGAAAAGTACCGCCTATGTTTTTTCGCTGTGACTCCCGTCGCTATGTCTCCTCAAGTCACCAGTGCTTTCTTACTCTCCATGAATCCCGTCGACTTGGAGTAGAACCGCTCTTTACAGAACAGAATTCGGTCGGGATTAGTACCTTTCAGTTACGGAGAGTGAAAGTATTTCTTCACGGTGTTCCGCCAAGCTGACATCCAGCGGCTAGGTTTCAGTCATTTAGTTAAATCCATGGAGGTGTTTATTAGTAATAAGATTATATCAAAGAGCTTAAGAATGGACGGCGCTGCAGTTGAAGAACGGACGGCTGCTGAAGAACGGACGCTGAATATCGGCCATGCAAGATACCGTCGCACATCACCTACGCCTCCCGAGTAGCAGTTCGTGCGACGATGTTCGACTTTGAATTCGAGCTTCTCAAGGTTGGCTCCTGAAGCACTAAAATAGTCGCAGTTGAATTTCGCAATCAATCATTCTCTATGAAATTCGGGTTTCTAATCATTCTGATATGCGTTATCTTGGAACACAGGCGCATTCGTCGAACCCAACGATTCCACGGCTCGCTCTAACGGACAAGTGAAGCTCTTGAAGCGACGGACAAGCGAAGCTCTTGAAGTTCCGCCATCATGGTAAGTCGAAACAATGTTACGGATTGAAATCCTGAGAGATGCTTTTGTATTTCCTTTTTTTTGTTAACGAATCTGGTTTTGTATTCCCTTTTTTATTTGTTCATGCACTAAAGCTGTCCGGTTCAACTTGTGCAGGTGTCAGGCCTTCGCTGCTGCACTTCGCTGCTGCTTCTGCTGAGCTTGATGAGGACCTCGCGAAACGGGAGCTATGGTAAGCTAGATTTGTTTTTTTTTGCACTTTCCGTGCTGGAAACCTCAATGTTTTTGTTTCGCTCTTGTTTTGCAAATCTGATTGTTCAATCACTGATGCTGTGTGGCTTGACATGTGCAGGTCGCCCAACGCCTGCTGCTGCTGCTGCTGCTGCTGCTGCTGGCGAGGAGGTGCTGGCGAGGAGGTGCATGCTGCTCCAGCTCCAGAAACGGCGGTTCAATCTGCCAAGGTGAGTTGAAGCTATTCTTAGGCGCTTTGCATAATACAATATTGAGTAGTTTTAACTTCATTTCCGTGTTTACGAATCTGAAATGTTCAGGCACTGATGCTGCTTTCTGACTTGTGCAGGTCTCCCAAGGTCTGCTACTGCACTTCGCCGCTCTCCACTGCACCTTGTGGAAAGAAGCAGTAGTTTCAACCGTTGAGCACCTGAGGCTGTGAAACGACTGCTGCACCTGCTGCACCTGAGCCTGAGGCTGTGGAAACGACTGCTGCACCTGAGCCTGACGCTGTGGAAAGGACTGCTGCACCTGCTGCACCTGAGCCTGAGGCTGAGGAAACGACTGCTGCACCTGCTGCACCTGACCCTGAGGCTGTGGAAACGACTGCTGGCAGCCACGAAGCTTGTGAAGTTCCTACGAATCATTCCGCCATGGTAAGTTGAAGCAATATGTTTCAGCATATAAAATTTCCGAGCATTGTTTCACCATTCCTATGAAATTCCGAGTGATGTTTCTTGAGTTGCTTTTATTCGTTAGCGACTAAATGTTCAGGCACTGATGCTGTCTCGATTGACTTGTGCAGGTCCAAGGGCTGCTGCTGCACGTTGCTGCTCTCCTGCTGAGCCTAATGAGGAGCAACGGCTGCTGCTCACCACTGAGGCGATGCTGCTCACCACTGAGGCGATGCTGCTCACCACTGAGGCGATGCTGCTCACCACTGAGGCGATGCTGCTCACCACTGAGACGATGCTGCTCACCACTGAGGCGATGCTTCTCACCACTGAGGCGATGCTGCTCACCACTGAGGCGATGCTGCTCACCACTGAGGCGATGCTGCTCACCACTGAGGCGATGCTGCTCACCACTGAGGCGATGCTGCTCACCACTGAGGCGATGCTGCTCACCACTGAGGCGATGCTGCTCACCACTGAGACGATGCTGCTCACCACTGAGGCGATGCTGCTCACCACTGAGGCGATGCTGCTCACCACTGAGGCGATGCTGCTCACCACTGAGGCGATGCTGCTCACCACTGAGGCGATGCTGCTCACCACTGAGGCGATGCTGCTCACCACTGAGGCGATGCTGCTCACCACTGAGGCGATGCTGCTCACCACTGAGGCGATGCTGCTCACCACTGAGGCGATGCTGCTCACCACTGAGGCGATGCTGCTCACCACTGAGACGATGCTGCCGCACCAGAGGAACTTGTAAGTCGCCTTCCCTACATTGCCTTATCTCGGTCAGCTGAATCTGTTCTTTCAGCACCTGCAATGTTGCAATCCCGACTTCTTTTTTCCTTTTGTTTTCTTCTTTTGGAATTCCGTGATTTAGTCACTGATGTTGTTTGGTTTAACCTGTGCAGGCCTGCTGCTGCATGGCGAGGCAACGCTGCTGGCGAGGAGGCGACGCTGAGCGATGCCGCGAGGAGGCGAGCGGCGACTGGAGAGCGGCAGGCAGCACTGCTGCTGCCCTGCTGACCACTGCTCGCCTCTCAAGGGAGCTGGCGAACGACTGCTGCACCTGAGGCTGGCGAACGACTGCTGCACCTGAGGCTGGCGAACGACTGCTGCACCTGAGGCTGGCGAACGACTGCTGCACCTGAGGCTGGCGAACGACTGCTGCACCTGAGGCTGGCGAACGACTGCTGCACCTGAGGCTGGCGAACGACTGCTGCACCTGAGGCTGGCGAACGACTGCTGCACCTGAGGCTGGCGAACGACTGCTGCACCTGAGGCTGGCGAACGACTGCTGCACCTGAGGCTGGCGAACGACTGCTGCACCTGAGGCTGGCGAACGACTGCTGCACCTGAGGCTGGCGAACGACTGCTGCACCTGAGGCTGGCGAACGACTGCTGCACCTGAGGCTGGCGAACGACTGCTGCACCTGAGGCTGGCGAACGACTGCTGCACCTGAGGCTGGCGAACAACTTCTGCACCTGAGGCTGGCGAACGACTGCTGCACCTGAGGCTGGGGAGGTGGCGAGGAGGCGAGGCGTGGGCGAACCTGCCTCCTTCTCTTACCTGCGACCCAGCTTATGTGAGTTCACTACCCGCCCAGCTTATGTGTGTTTTCTCCCTCACCACCACACACCCTGGTCGGCCCTGCCACCCTCTCCCACCTGCTCTCACCGCCTTGTTTTCCTTTGAAGCAATGCCACGGATATTCTCTGCCCTGGCCGATTCATTGTCCCTTTCTCTTTCCTCATGCGCTGACTCAGCTCCCTTGTCTCCACGTGCTCCCTTCCCCGTCCTTGCAGAGGCGCGGTGCTGAGGTGACACTGGGGCACAACGCATGGGCGTGGTGAGGCCAGGAGCTGCAGAGGAGGTACAGAGGAGAGGAGGTGCAGAGGAGAGGAGGTGCAGAGGAGAGGAGGTGCTAGAATCACTGACTGGCGGGGCTCCTCTGCCATTCACCTTGTAAGTTGCCCTCCACCACTCGTTCCGCCCTGGTGCGTTGAAATCTTAGCGTCGTTTTTTCCTGTTTTTGTCAGATCTGAATAGCCAGGGACTGATGCTGTGCTCTGTGACTTGTGCAGGTCGCCCGCGCACTTGAGGCGAGGAGGCAGAGGTAGCTACGGGGCGGTGGGATGACGCATGGCCTGGGCGTTCCCTGCTGACCACCGCAGTCCCTGCATGCACGTTCCGGCAGCAGCAGCAGCAGCAGCAGCAGCAGCAGCAGCAGCAGACATTGGACATTGAGGCTTGGATTGGACATTGTGCCTTGGGCCTTGGACATTGAGGCTTGGATTGGACATTGAGGCTTGGATTGGACATTGAGGCCTCGCCATTGGACATTGAGGCTTGGATTGGATTGGACAATGAGGCTTGGATTGGACATTGAGGCTTGGATTGGACATTGTGCCTTGGGCCTTGGACATTGAGGCTTGGATTGGACATTGAGGCTTGGATTGGACATTGAGGCCTGGCCATTGGACATTGAGGCTTGGATTGGACATTTAGGCTTGGATTGGACATTGAGGCCTGGCCATTGGACATTGAGGCTTGGATTGGACATTGAGGCTTGGATTGGACATTGGATTGGACATTGGCTAGCTAGGGGCAGTGCCCTGAGGCAAGCGGGCAGAGGCCCGAGTGTGTGAGGCACACGCGGCAACGGCAGGGGCGAGCTCGACTGGTGAGTGCATGCTTGCAGCAAGGTGTGTGCACGGGCGTGGGTACGCTCTCGTGCGTTTCTGCAGCGCCTTCAACGCGCCACCTTCGGGACAGTGACAAGACCCCGCCTTGCTGCAGACTGCAGCACCTCCAGCGCCCACACTCACTCACGGTACGTCGCTCGTCGTGTTCCCGTCTTTCCTTGTTGCTGCTGTCTCTTCTTTCTTCTCTCCGTTCGCTTCCTTGCTTGTTCACGGTTCCTCGACTCACCACCGTGCTTGTTGTTCCATGCAGCGCACTCAACGCAAGCGCATGCAAGGGGAGGGGAAGCGTATGGGCGTGTGGCTGAGGTGGATGGCGCATGGCTGACGTGGACGCGAGCGTGGTGGGATGACGCACGGCCGGCAGTCACAGGCGTGTGGCTGCCTCCTACCCGCCCTGCTGACCACGCGCTCGGAGGCAAGGCGCGGAGGAGCAGGCGAGGAGGAGGCCAGGTGGAGTGGAGCGATGGGTGGGTGGAGGAGGATGGGTGGAGGAGGATGGGAGGAGCCTGTGAAATGGCGGCAGTGGGATGACGCACGGCAGGCACCACTGCTGCCCTGCTGATCACTGCTCGCCTGTGGAGGAACGGCGAGGCGAGGAGGGAGAAGTGCCGCTGCTGGCGAGCGCGCCTGCATGCAGCTTCGACCCCTCCTGAATACGGCTAAGAAATCTTTCCTCTCTTGATATTTTCACGCTCTTGTTTGCACTCGTTCTTTCACTGCTCGCCTTCGCCGTCATTGCCACTACCTCCTCCTCTCGCCACTCGTGAGTGTGCCTGCTGCTTACTGCCTTGTGTGTGCTTGCGTGTTCGGTTGTGAGTGTGCCTGCTGCTTACTCCCTTGTGTGTGCTTGCGTGTTCGGTTGTGAGTGTGCCTGCTGCTTACTCCCTTGTGTGTGCTTGCGTGTTCGGTTGTGAGTGTGCCTGCTGCTTACTCCCTTGTGTGTGCTTGCGTGTTCGGTTGTGAGTGTGCCTGCTGCTTACTCCCTTGTGTGTGCTTGCGTTTTCGGTTGTGAGTGTGCCTGCTGCTTACTCCCTTGTGTGTGCTTGCGTGTTCGGTTGTGAGTGTGCCTGCTGCTTACTACCTTGTGTGTGCTTGCGTGTTCGGTTGTGAGTGTGCCTGCTGCTTACTGCCTTGTGTGTGCTTGCGTGTTCGGTTGTGAGTGTGCCTGCTGCTTACTCCCTTGTGTGTGCTTGCGTGTTCGGTTGTGAGTGTGCCTGCTGCTTACTCCCTTGTGTGTGCTTGCGTGTTCGGTTGTGAGTGTGCCTGCTGCTTACTCCCTTGTGTGTGCTTGCGTGTTCGGTTGTGAGTGTGCCTGCTGCTTACTCCCTTGTGTGTGCTTGCGTTTTCGGTTGTGAGTGTGCCTGCTGCTTACTCCCTTGTGTGTGCTTGCGTGTTCGGTTGTGAGTGTGCCTGCTGCTTACTGCCTTGTGTGTGCTTGCGTGTTCGGTTGTGAGTGTGCCTGCTGCTTACTGCCTTGTGTGTGCTTGCGTGTTCGGTTGTGAGTGTGCCTGCTGCTTACTCCCTTGTGTGTGCTTGCGTGTTCGGTTGTGAGTGTGCCTGCTGCTTACTCCCTTGTGTGTGCTTGCGTGTTCGGTTGTGAGTGTGCCTGCAGCTTACTGCCTTGTGTGTGCTTGCGTGTTCGGTTGTGAGTGTGCCTGCTGCTTACTGCCTTGTGTGTGCTTGCGTGTTCGGTTGTGAGTGTGCCTGCTGCTTACTGCCTTGTGTGTGCTTGCGTGTTCGGTTGTGAGTGTGCCTGCTGCTTACTGCCTTGTGTGTGCTTGCGTGTTCGGTTGTGAGTGTGCCTGCTGCTTGCTGCCTTGTGTGTGCTTGCGTGTTCGGTTGTGAGTGTGCCTGCTGCTTACTGCCTTGTGTGTGCTTGCGTGTTCGGTCGTGAGTGTGCCTGCTGCTTACTGCCTTGTGTGTGCTTGCGTGTTCGGTTGTGAGTGTGCCTGCTGCTTACTGCCTTGTGTGTGCTTGCGTGTTCGGTTGTGAGTGTGCCTGCTGCTTACTGCCTTGTGTGTGCTTGCGTGTTCGGTTGTGAGTGTGCCTGCTGCTTACTGCCTTGTGTGTGCTTGCATGTTCGGTTGTAAGTGTGCCTGCTGCTTACTGCCTTGTGTGTGCTTGCATGTTCGGTTGTAAGTGTGCCTGCTGCTTACTCCCTTGTGTGTTTATCTTCCAGGCACGCGGGGGAGCGAGCGTGGTGGGATGACGCACGGCCGGCAGTCATAGGCGTGTGGCTGCCTCCTACCCTCCCTGCTGACCACGCGCTCGGAGGCAGCACTTCGGGCGAGGTGGCGGCGAGGAGGCAGCGCTGCGACGAGGCGTCTTTCTCCCACGTGTGCTGGCTTCTCCCCCTGCGTCCATGGGGTGAGGCGGAGGAACGAGACGGAGCGACTGACGGGCTGGCTGAGGCGATGCTTGGATTGAAGGGGATGCTGTCGTATGGGGATGGGGAGTCACGCCAAGGGAATCTGACGGCTTGATCTTGAGTGGGGCGGGCGCCCTCCACTCTTTCCGGATCTCGTCCTGAGGTGGCCCCGCCCTTGGCCTCTGCTCCTCATCTTTTCCTTCAGCACCTTCGCCGCCTCTTCCATGCCTTGACGTCCTCCTGACCCGCACTCCGTCCTCACTTCTCCCCCTTCCATTCCCTTCAGTTCGGGCTGCGAGGAGGGCGAGGGGCCAGCGCGGGGCAGCAAGAGGTGTCTATCTAACTTCCCCCTTCCATTCCCTTCAGTTCAGGCTGCGAGGAGGGCGAGGGGCCAGCGCGGGGCAGCAAGAGGCGTCTATCTAACTTCTCCCTTCCATTCCCTTCAGTTGAGGCTGCGAGGAGGGCGAGGGGCCAGCGCGGGGCAGCAAGAGGCGTCGATCTAACTTCCCCGTTCCATTCCCTTCAGTTGAGGCTGCGAGGAGGGCGAGGGGCCAGCGCGGGGCAGCAAGAGGCGTCTATCTAACTTCCCCCTTCCATTCCCTTCAGTTCAGGCTGCGAGGAGGGCGAGGGGCCAGCGCGGGGCAGCAAGAGGCGTCTATCTAACTTCCCCCTTCCATTCCCTTCAGTTCAGGCTGCGAGGAGGGCGAGGGGCCAGCGCGGGGCAGCAAGAGGCGTCTATCTAACTTCCCCCTTCCATTCCCTTCAGTTCAGGCTGCGAGGAGGGCGAGGGGCCAGCGCGGGGCAGCAAGAGGCGTCTATCTAACTTCCCCCTTCCATTCCCTTCACTTCAGGCTGCGAGGAGGGCGAGGGGCCAGCGCGGGGCAGCAAGAGGCGTCTATCTAACTTCCCCCTTCCATTCCCTTCAGTTCAGGCTGCGAGGAGGGCGAGGGGCCAGCGCGGGGCAGCAAGAGGCGTCTATCTAACTTCTCCCTTCCATTCCCTTCAGTTGAGGCTGCGAGGAGGGCGAGGGGCCAGCGCGGGGCAGCAAGAGGCGTCGATCTAACTTCCCCGTTCCATTCCCTTCAGTTCAGGCTGCGAGGAGGGCGAGGGGCCAGCGCGGGGCAGCAAGAGGCGTCTATCTAACTTCCCCCTTCCATTCCCTTCAGTTCAGGCTGCGAGGAGGGCGAGGGGCCAGCGCGGGGCAGCAAGAGGCGTCTATCTAACTTCCCCCTTCCATTCCCTTCAGTTCAGGCTGCGAGGAGGGCGAGGGGCCAGCGCGGGGCAGCAAGAGGCGTCTATCTAACTTCCCCCTTCCATTCCCTTCAGTTCAGGCTGCGAGGAGGGCGAGGGGCCAGCGCGGGGCAGCAAGAGGCGTCTATCTAACTTCCCCCTTCCATTCCCTTCACTTCAGGCTGCGAGGAGGGCGAGGGGCCAGCGCGGGGCAGCAAGAGGCGTCTATCTAACTTCCCCCTTCCATTCCCTTCAGTTCAGGCTGCGAGGAGGGCGAGGGGCCAGCGCGGGGCAGCAAGAGGCGTCTATCTAACTTCCCCCTTCCATTCCCTTCAGTTCAGGCTGCGAGGAGGGCGAGGGGCCAGCGCGGGGCAGCAAGAGGCGTCTATCTAACTTCCCCCTTCCATTCCCTTCAGTTCAGGCTGCGAGGAGGGCGAGGGGCCAGCGCGGGGCAGCAAGAGGCGTCTATCTAACTTCCCCCTTCCATTCCCTTCAGTTCAGGCTGCGAGGAGGGCGAGGGGCCAGCGCGGGGCAGCAAGAGGCGTCTATCTAACTTCCCCCTTCCATTCCCTTCACTTCAGGCTGCGAGGAGGGCGAGGGGCCAGCGCGGGGCAGCAAGAGGCGTCTATCTAACTTCCCCCTTCCATTCCCTTCAGTTCAGGCTGCGAGGAGGGCGAGGGGCCAGCGCGGGGCAGCAAGAGGCGTCTATCTAACTTCTCCCTTCCATTCCCTTCAGTTGAGGCTGCGAGGAGGGCGAGGGGCCAGCGCGGGGCAGCAAGAGGCGTCGATCTAACTTCCCCGTTCCATTCCCTTCAGTTCAGGCTGCGAGGAGGGCGAGGGGCCAGCGCGGGGCAGCAAGAGGCGTCTATCTAACTTCCCCCTTCCATTCCCTTCAGTTCAGGCTGCGAGGAGGGCGAGGGGCCAGCGCGGGGCAGCAAGAGGCGTCTATCTAACTTCCCCCTTCCATTCCCTTCAGTTCAGGCTGCGAGGAGGGCGAGGGGCCAGCGCGGGGCAGCAAGAGGCGTCTATCTAACTTCCCCCTTCCATTCCCTTCAGTTCAGGCTGCGAGGAGGGCGAGGGGCCAGCGCGGGGCAGCAAGAGGCGTCTATCTAACTTCCCCCTTCCATTCCCTTCACTTCAGGCTGCGAGGAGGGCGAGGGGCCAGCGCGGGGCAGCAAGAGGCGTCTATCTAACTTCCCCCTTCCATTCCCTTCACTTCAGGCTGCGAGGAGGGCGAGGGGCCAGCGCGGGGCAGCAAGAGGCGTCTATCTAACTTCCCCCTTCCATTCCCTTCAGTTCAGGCTGCGAGGAGGGCGAGGGGCCAGCGCGGGGCAGCAAGAGGCGTCTATCTAACTTCCCCCTTCCATTCCCTTCAGTTCGGGCTGCGAGGAGGGCGAGGGGCCAGCGCGGGGCAGCAAGAGGTGTCTATCTAACTTCCCCCTTCCATTCCCTTCAGTTCAGGCTGCGAGGAGGGCGAGGGGCCAGCGCGGGGCAGCAAGAGGCGTCTATCTAACTTCTCCCTTCCATTCCCTTCAGTTGAGGCTGCGAGGAGGGCGAGGGGCCAGCGCGGGGCAGCAAGAGGCGTCGATCTAACTTCCCCGTTCCATTCCCTTCAGTTGAGGCTGCGAGGAGGGCGAGGGGCCAGCGCGGGGCAGCAAGAGGCGTCTATCTAACTTCCCCCTTCCATTCCCTTCAGTTCAGGCTGCGAGGAGGGCGAGGGGCCAGCGCGGGGCAGCAAGAGGCGTCTATCTAACTTCCCCCTTCCATTCCCTTCAGTTCAGGCTGCGAGGAGGGCGAGGGGCCAGCGCGGGGCAGCAAGAGGCGTCTATCTAACTTCCCCCTTCCATTCCCTTCAGTTCAGGCTGCGAGGAGGGCGAGGGGCCAGCGCGGGGCAGCAAGAGGCGTCTATCTAACTTCCCCCTTCCATTCCCTTCACTTCAGGCTGCGAGGAGGGCGAGGGGCCAGCGCGGGGCAGCAAGAGGCGTCTATCTAACTTCCCCCTTCCATTCCCTTCAGTTCAGGCTGCGAGGAGGGCGAGGGGCCAGCGCGGGGCAGCAAGAGGCGTCTATCTAACTTCTCCCTTCCATTCCCTTCAGTTGAGGCTGCGAGGAGGGCGAGGGGCCAGCGCGGGGCAGCAAGAGGCGTCGATCTAACTTCCCCGTTCCATTCCCTTCAGTTCAGGCTGCGAGGAGGGCGAGGGGCCAGCGCGGGGCAGCAAGAGGCGTCTATCTAACTTCCCCCTTCCATTCCCTTCAGTTCAGGCTGCGAGGAGGGCGAGGGGCCAGCGCGGGGCAGCAAGAGGCGTCTATCTAACTTCCCCCTTCCATTCCCTTCAGTTCAGGCTGCGAGGAGGGCGAGGGGCCAGCGCGGGGCAGCAAGAGGCGTCTATCTAACTTCCCCCTTCCATTCCCTTCAGTTCAGGCTGCGAGGAGGGCGAGGGGCCAGCGCGGGGCAGCAAGAGGCGTCTATCTAACTTCCCCCTTCCATTCCCTTCACTTCAGGCTGCGAGGAGGGCGAGGGGCCAGCGCGGGGCAGCAAGAGGCGTCTATCTAACTTCCCCCTTCCATTCCCTTCAGTTCAGGCTGCGAGGAGGGCGAGGGGCCAGCGCGGGGCAGCAAGAGGCGTCTATCTAACTTCCCCCTTCCATTCCCTTCAGTTCAGGCTGCGAGGAGGGCGAGGGGCCAGCGCGGGGCAGCAAGAGGCGTCTATCTAACTTCCCCCTTCCATTCCCTTCAGTTCAGGCTGCGAGGAGGGCGAGGGGCCAGCGCGGGGCAGCAAGAGGCGTCTATCTAACTTCCCCCTTCCATTCCCTTCAGTTCAGGCTGCGAGGAGGGCGAGGGGCCAGCGCGGGGCAGCAAGAGGCGTCTATCTAACTTCCCCCTTCCATTCCCTTCACTTCAGGCTGCGAGGAGGGCGAGGGGCCAGCGCGGGGCAGCAAGAGGCGTCTATCTAACTTCCCCCTTCCATTCCCTTCAGTTCAGGCTGCGAGGAGGGCGAGGGGCCAGCGCGGGGCAGCAAGAGGCGTCTATCTAACTTCTCCCTTCCATTCCCTTCAGTTGAGGCTGCGAGGAGGGCGAGGGGCCAGCGCGGGGCAGCAAGAGGCGTCGATCTAACTTCCCCGTTCCATTCCCTTCAGTTCAGGCTGCGAGGAGGGCGAGGGGCCAGCGCGGGGCAGCAAGAGGCGTCTATCTAACTTCCCCCTTCCATTCCCTTCAGTTCAGGCTGCGAGGAGGGCGAGGGGCCAGCGCGGGGCAGCAAGAGGCGTCTATCTAACTTCCCCCTTCCATTCCCTTCAGTTCAGGCTGCGAGGAGGGCGAGGGGCCAGCGCGGGGCAGCAAGAGGCGTCTATCTAACTTCCCCCTTCCATTCCCTTCAGTTCAGGCTGCGAGGAGGGCGAGGGGCCAGCGCGGGGCAGCAAGAGGCGTCTATCTAACTTCCCCCTTCCATTCCCTTCACTTCAGGCTGCGAGGAGGGCGAGGGGCCAGCGCGGGGCAGCAAGAGGCGTCTATCTAACTTCCCCCTTCCATTCCCTTCAGTTCAGGCTGCGAGGAGGGCGAGGGGCCAGCGCGGGGCAGCAAGAGGCGTCTATCTAACTTCCCCCTTCCATTCCCTTCAGTTCAGGCTGCGAGGAGGGCGAGGGGCCAGCGCGGGGCAGCAAGAGGCGTCTATCTAACTTCCCCCTTCCATTCCCTTCAGTTCAGGCTGCGAGGAGGGCGAGGGGCCAGCGCGGGGCAGCAAGAGGCGTCTATCTAACTTCCCCCTTCCATTCCCTTCAGTTCAGGCTGCGAGGAGGGCGAGGGGCCAGCGCGGGGCAGCAAGAGGCGTCGATCTAACTTCCCACTTCCATTCCCTTCAGTTCAGGCTGCGAGGAGGGCGAGGGGCCAGCGCGGGGCAGCAAGAGGCGTCTATCTAATCTCCCCCTTCCATTCCCTTCAGTTCAGGCTGCGAGGAGGGCAAGGGGGCAGCGCGGGGCAGCAAGAGGCGTCTTTCTAATCTCCCCCTTCCATTCCCTTCAGCATGGCGGGCAGCGCGGAGACGACACGGCAGGCGGCACGGACGGAGGTGAGGTGCTGATTCATCGCTTCAACGAGGTAAGCCTCTTTCCTTGTCCGTTTCCGCATTGCTTCTTTCTGTTTTTCGCATTTCATGTATTTGTCGTGCATGTTTCACTTGATCCTCTATTCCTGTGTGTCTCTCTAATCCCCCCCTTCCATTCCCTTCAGGTCGACTCGTGGGGCGAGGAGGGCGAGGGGGCAGCGCGGGGCAGCAAGAGGCGTCTCTCTAATCCCCCCCTTCCATTCCCTTCAGCATGGCGGGCAGCGTGGAGACGACACGGCGGGCGGCACGGACGGAGGTGAGGTGCTGATTCATCGCTTCAACGAGGTAAGCCTCTTTCCTTGTCCGTTTCCGCATTGCTTTCTTTCTGTTTTTCGCATTTCATGTATTTGTCGTGCCTGTTTCACTTGATCGTGTTTTCTTGTTTGTCTCTCTAAACCCCCCCTTCCATTCCCTTCAGGTCGACTCGTGGGGCGAGGAGGGCGAGGGGGCAGAGCGGGGCAGCAAGAGGCGTCTTTCTAATCCCCCCCTTCCATTCCCTTTAGCATGGCGGGCAGCGCGGAGACGACACGGCGGCGGCACACGGACGGAGGTGAGGTGCTGCTCCATCGCTGCAGCGAGGTAACCTTCTTCCCTTGTCCGTTTTCTCAGATTTGTCTTGCTTTCTTTCTGTTTTTTGCGTTACATGTATTCGTGGTGCCTGTTTCACTTGATCGTGTGTTGTGTTTGTCTTGTGTTGTGCGTCGCTCTGCAGCTGGCAGGTGTCCAAGACCCGAAGACCGCCTCCGACTGCGGCATAGGTGTTGTGCGGCAGGGGTTGCTGACGGCGTTGGGTCGGACGCGGCCCGCGCCTGAAGCGCCCCTGTGTGTGAGTTGAGTGTTCTGACGAGGGATGGGGGGACGCTCCCTGAACTCTGATGGCCTCCTCACCCCGCCTTCGCCTGGCCAGGTGTTACGCCACCTGGTCTGAGTTGGGCTTGTGGGACGCTGCAGCCCGGCTCGTGTCGTTTAGGGGCTGCGGTCCCACACGAAGGGTCCCCACCTCAACGCGGTGTGTGGGTGTAACACTAGGGGTTAACCCCCCAAGTGGCCAAGAGGGGCCCAGAAGACCCAAGACCGTGGCGCACTCTATTATTGCCCCAGTGATTTTAGATTTACCTATTTTAGATTATAATTGCCTAGGTAGATACCGTGATGGTAGCTCTGGTTAGGTCATCAATCAGACAACTAGGTCTCAGCATGGACGATTGAAAATAGGTAACACACACCAGGGAAGCACATGCTGCAGTGTTGCAGACCAGCTGGAAATCATGTGGACCTGTATGGGGGGACCTGACCTTCAGCATACGGTACAGCACATTATTTCATGCAAAACAATCAGGAACATGCAACAGAGGCCAATCCCTTCTGACAAGGCAACATGTCCTCTCAAACATGGGACTTCGCCACTTGTGTTGCTACTCCTGGCAATGCTGTGTGCTGACCACCCAACAGAGACTAATGGAAGTCCAATGACAGCACCAAGCAATGCCACTATCAGAAACAGGATGTATTCATGCTAAATGTATGTACATGGCTGCATATTATACCCAACCATGCCAAAAAGAATGGCCACCAACACTACACGTGACAGGCAGCAACTAACCTATGTTCTCCTTCCTGATACCAGCTCGTGTCTTCAGCTCCACCTTCCAGCTTGCGCTCTCCTGTGCAGCTGCGATAAGCTATCCTGCAAACAACGCTGCAGAACAGCGGTCATTCTCTCAAGTATACCCGGCATTGCCCCCCCGCTACGCCTCAGCAGGAGCAGCGTATGCCTGGGCCCCCACAACAGGCCCAGCCATGTTCCAATCCAGAAGCTTCCTTCCCGATCCCCAGAAGCTTCCGAGACTGAGCCCAATTATAGACATGAGCACAACAGAGACCGAGGCAGGCACCGTGTGGGTGGACCCGAGGAACTGAGATGCCAGCAGCATGGCAAGCGTGCTGCTCTGCATGCCACCGCACAGAGACAAAGTTCTCGCCACGTCATCGCTCTGCGCCATTCCAGGAAGCTTTGCGGACCAGAAACCAGCGGCGAAGGACGCGAGGTGGAAGGCGAGGACAGGCGGGAGCAGCATGAGGCCGCTCAGGCACACGATCTGGGACCGGTTGATGGCTAGAGGGCTGCCTATGCAGAGGGACGTGCAGACTATGGCTAGCAGCGGCATGATTGGTCGAATCTGATCGACGAATTTCCGCGCGTAGGTGTTGAGGATGAGGCCGAGGGAGACGGGGAGGATGACGACTTGCAGGATGGATTTGGACATGGCTAGGAGGTCGACGGGGACGGCTGAGCCAATCAGGAGCGAGGTGAGGATGGGGGTGAGTGCCACGGAGGCGAAGGTGCTGAGGCTGGTGAGGACGATGCAGAGCGCCACGTCAGCCTTTGCCAGATAGGACGCGTAGCTGGAGAGCTGCGCGCCAGACACGCTGGCGGTGAGGAGGAAACCGGCTGCGAACGCGGGGGGGAGGCGGAAGGTGGCGGCTATGGCGGCCGCGATGAGCGGCTTGACAGCGTACTGTACTAGGACGCCCAGTATGACGGAGAGAGGCCTGGCGGGGGAAAGAGCGTGAGGAGAGGGGAGGAAAGCAGTGAGCACCGGTGCTAAAAGCGCTAATTAGCCAGAGAGCAGACAAACTGAAGAACGGAACTGGGGGACAGCTGACCAGTTGCAGCGGAATGCGGTAGCAAAAATAGATCACCCACATATGAGGGAGGTGCAGAACAGAAAGAGGTGGCCATTCGGGTCAGTCGAGGCGCGTCTTACTTTTCAATGGCGGCCTTGAAGTCTTCGACGGAGAGCTGCACGCCGATGGAGAGCATGATGCCGCCGAGTGCGGGCGCGTAGTACTGCTTGCTGAACCACGAGAACGTCGCCGGCCACGTCAGCGCCGACACCGCCGTCGCCACCACCACGTACGGCAGCAGCTGCGACAGAAATTGCCCAAGGTTGAACCCCTTGGTACCGCTCTGCACCGGCCGGGATTCCGCCGGCGGAGCTGCTCGGAAGGAGGTTTCCGAGAGATTTCCTAGCCTCCGCATGGAGCCGACGTTACTGTGGACGTGGGTGCATCCGGCAATCGTGCACGCGAACTCGTCGCTGGGAGAACAGCTTGTCGCCGCGCCTGGCGCCGCATTTGGCGCCGCCATTGGCGGCATTGATCCCTCGGAGCCACTCTGCCATCCTGCCTCAAGCTCCGCGCGCTTCGATTCTGCGTCGCTCTGGTCTCCGCTGGTACCGCGCTGCGACGCGTCTTCCTCCACGAATCCGCGCACCTCCTTCCGCCTATTCGCGGAAGAGAAGGACGCGGCGCTCACGGAGGTCACGCCGATGTGGTTGCGCAACCGCGCCCAGTTAACACCTCCCTGGGATGCACCTGCACCGCGTTTCGCGTCCCCGTATAGTCCCTGCTGCGCCCGTTGTGGGCCCGATGCGGCCGGGGTTGCTGACGTGGAACGGATGAGAGGGATTGCGCGTTCTGCTGGAAGAAAATCATTGGCTGCTGAGTTGCAATGCGCGTCGCCTTGGCTGCGAATGGCTACGAACGGCTGGCCCGACGAGGACCGACGCGTCGCTGTTTTAAGAGAGCGGTTGACTGGAGAACGGGTGGCAAAACGGCATGATTCATGAGTTCCGAGGAGAAAAGTTTGCTGAAGATGGCATGCCATGGTACAGAGCCTTCAGCGAGATCAAGTCTCGCAAGTTAAATCTCTTATTGGTTCAAATATCTCGAGAGTCCAGCACGTGGTGGCGAGTGCGAGCCCGGGAACCGCAGACAAGATCCTAACACGAGGAGTCGACGTGGAGTAAAAGGTCTGTCTGGAAATGGGGGGATGAGAGAAGCAAGTAATCTCGTGCTCAACTTTGGCAAACGCAATGGCTTCTTTATGGGCGCTTATTTCCAGCGAAAACCGTAAAGAAGAAAGACAGGGGGAGGATGGGCTTGCCTCCCCCGTCCTCCCCACCAACCCTGCCATTCAGCCACTGACTGATGTGATGCTGCGCTGCCCTTGGGGTTGGCTGGTTGGGTGGGTGGATGGATACGCAGGGAACGCGTGGTGGGGTGTGGTGGTTCCCCCCCGCATCCTACCATCCCATGATCCACCCGATGTTGGATGGGCAATGGATGGATGGATGTGGGCCAAGCCCGTGTCCTGCAATGCACGCCATCGATTCCTTCCACGAATCTGAGCCGCGGAAGATGCCTAAATACACTTTGTGATGAGAGTCTTGTGAGTGGCGATTGCCATGTCACCACAGCTATTCACATCAAAGGTGCGGTTTGGAGAAAATCTCGCTGGCTGGTTGTCAAAGGCGCGTGTTTCCTTATGGCTTGGTGGATCATGCATTGTGATCCGTGGATGGAAAAGCTGAACGAACGGTTCGAGCCAGTTCCGTGAGGCTCGCAGCTGTGAGCCCCACGTTATCTTCCACGTGGCGGACACCCAAGGTTCAATAGGCACTTTAGCCTCGCGTGAGCACTTTGGTTGGTGAGCGAACCTGGAATCCTGGATATTGGTCATAAAGTCTGACTGACGGTTCGAAGGCAATTGACGGTGCACCACACCATAACTTGTACAGTATTGCACACGTGGATGCATGTCAGTGGTGGTTCATTCCAAGGAGTTTTCGAGATCCTTCTTTCCATCCAATACCGCAGTTGATCAGGATGCTCGAAAGCAACATTGACGTCTAGAACCTGATGAACAAGAACGACGCCAGTTGCAAACTGCCGTCCGTCAAGTGTTTTTCACACACATGAGGGGATGTTGTTGAGAATGATATATGATACAAACAGTGCACAAGTTTTCAGTGGTAGTCATCAATACAGATTCATTAGAAGCCACTGATTTGTTCAACCACAATGCATTTTACTGCTTCCAAGTCACTTCAAAGCTGCTCTACAAGCAAACACACAATGTTGTCCCAGTGCTTCACAAGTGAAAAAACGGGTTCAAAATGTAGAAGCTTTGGCTGAGTGTCTGCCATCAGGGGAGCTGCACTGCAACACACCAAACAAGAACCAACATGCATTCAAGCCACTTAAGCCACTTTCACACAGCATCTTGAGCACAGCATCATGAGCACAGCATCATGAGCACAGCATCATGAGCACAGCAGCACAGCATCGTGAGCACAGCATCGTGAGCACAGTCGTGAGCACAGCCTCAATGAACACCTCATCAGACTGCAGTGCTTGTCTTCACAAGCGGGCCTGCTCGTGCTGCAACTTGCGTGTTTTTGACCCAAGTCCACACCATGTGCATCCTTCCCCAAACGAGCATGAATGTTTACAGCATGACGCATCAACCAACTCATCCTGTGTGACTGCATCTTTGGACTAAAAAAACAGAGACATTGACACTAGCACTGGGAACCGCCATTGCTGCAAGAATTGAGGCAGGAGAAGAGAGTGCATACGGTAATGGGGGAAGGAGACAAGTGGGGGAAGGAGACAAGTGGGGAAAAGAGAGAATAGGGGGGAGATTCATATGAACAGCGACTGACACCCAACATCCGTGAGACAAAATCTACTAACAGCTGCTTCCCAGAAACGGTTTTCTTGCAATTGCGGCTTGTAACCACGACCTGGTAACCACAGCCAGTAATAAGCAGGGGCCCCTCTGAGTAGCTCCTACCTTACCCTCTGCCCTAACTTACCTTCTTCTCCCCCGTGCCCTGGTCCCCCTTCCCACACCCAATGGAGTCCACAGGCAGATGCCGCCACCGCACTTCTCCGTAATTTCTTGACTGCTGCCACCACACCCCACCCCTCCCCACCCCTCCCAACCCCTCACTCTTCACCTGCCCCGCAGAACTTCAGCTGCTTTGCCACAAAAGTTTCTCAGGTGCTACACATGCTTCATTGCATGCCATGTCGCTATTGTCCTCGTTACAGTCCTCCTAGTTACTGTACACGTTCTGGACAATAATGGTAGGCTTCCTCCCCCCGCGTACACGCCTGCTGTATAATCACGTCCGTCGTCTCCGCGCACTCTGTCTTCATGCTACATCCTCCCCGCCCATACGCACTCCCTCGTAATCGTACATACTCCGCCCCCTCGCACGTCCCTGCCAGCCAACCGTCCCCTACATCCCCCCCGGTCCGCGGTAGCTCAACAATCCCTAGGTTTCTCATGCCGCTATCAGCGCCTTTGTGTGCTGAGCGCAGAATATCGAATATCGGCGCGTCGATGGGCGCGACGCGAACGGGCGGGCGGAGGAGACGAGTAGGGGGCGCATGATGCTGCGCTGCGGGCGAGCATTGGGTACGGGAGCATTAGGCGCGGAGGAGCATTTGCGCGAGGGAGGAATAGGCGGGGGAAGCATTAGGCGCGGACGCTAAGCAAAATACACAGCGCGACATTCACACGGCGACGTGCGATGCACGCGTGCGAGTCGAGACGACTGCAGGATCACTGAGCACTCGCACTGCGGTACGACGTGCATGGGAGGGAAACGCAGCCGTGATAAAGTCCGCCATGACGATCAAGGAAGGGAAAACGAAAAAAAAAAATGTCGCGAACGTGGATCCTTCAGCAACGCCACAGGAGGGGCGAGAGGCAAAAAACTAATACGAAAGAGAAGAAAGGACGCAGGGGAAGCAGTAGTGGGAGGAGGATATTGGAATGGTGTGAAAAAAGGGTGTGGGAATGGTCTCGTGGCCCGAGCCTGCGAGGGAAACCCCGGCCGCGCACTCAGCCTCGCTATCCCTCCACCGCTGGGAGCGGGGGGTTTTCGCTGCTCGGTTTCCCGCCTCACGCGGTGCCCCCCTCTCTAATTGCCACGTCATCACCCCTGCCGGGGTGCTGCCGCTGCGGACTCTCAGCTTGGAGTGGACGTGTCATCGATGTGGCAGGCCGAGGGTCTCGCAGGTGTGCGACAATCCCAAGGTTTGGCCCCCGCTCGGGTTACAGTTAGGCGCGACCCTGACCTATTCATAAAGTCGAAATGTGTGAAGTTGTAGCCTTTGGGAATACCAAGAAGTTTTCGGTGGTCCCGTGTTGGCCGACGTGTCCAGAATCCGCGCCAGCTGTATGCAGCAGACGAGCTGGTTGGAAATCGAACAGCTGGCCTACAAAAGCCCCCATCTCCAAGTTTGAACGCGTGCTGCTGTTTTTACCCTACCAAGCTGGGTACTCTGGCATTTACATAAATATGTCTTCTGAATCCTGAAGGAAGAATCACCAAGGCATGCTTGCATCCTACACTACAAGTCCGTAGAAACATTCTATTTATCTTACCTTGGAGAGCCAGCCCTGGAAGAAACAGACGAGCTAGTCCTAGAAGGAACAACCGAAGTGGTTCTAGAAGGAACACTCGAGCTATTCCTGGACGATACGACCGAGCTTGGCGCCGTCGAACGCATGAACCCCATCCCTGGCAAAAGCCCGGGGTTCAATACGTCGCGCCGGGGAGACCTAGGGTCAGACGTGAGCGCGAGGTGGTGGTTACCACCAGTGAGGGTTACCTGCTGGCCTGCCATGTGACCAGCAGCAAGCACCGGGGGAGGGCAGGAGATGCCGTTGCGGGGCGGGGAGAAGACGAGCGGGAGAAACTCCTCCGTGTCACAGGCGAAGCGCGAGTTGCGAAAATGTTCCTCCAGCGCCGCCCGACCCTGTACATCGAACCATTGTGACGTAAACACCCTGGTCAGAACGACAGCACAGAACGACAGCAAAGTCTTGGCATGGAATGCGAAGCTCAATGGCACCTGAACAACGCGCCTTCCTAACAGAGCACATCAGCTACTTGACTGAAACCACGCACCTGCACACGCGCGTAGGAGATGCGGCAGACCTTGCGCGAGTTGAAGGCCTCCCACGGCTGCAGATGGAAGGCGCGGAACAGCCGCAGCGCTGCCGTGACCGTCGTCAGATTCACAAATGCGTACCCCAGGTTGCACCGGTTCCTGAAAGCAGTGGAGCAGCGCGGTCGTGAGCCGTGAGCGGGAGTGGCGGAATAAATGGGTGGATACACATGCAAACGCACGCACACGAGTACGAGCACGAGAATAATCACCAAAATCGACTGGGAGGATCACGCACTTGAAGTCGATGGGCAGGTAGACAAAGTCATAAGCAGAGAGCGGCTCCCAGTGCTCCTCCTCCGTCTCGCCCCCACCACTACTGCCACTGCTGCCACTGTCACTCCCCGTATCACTGCCATTGCTCCCATCTCCATCAGTACAACCGCCAGCAGCAGCAGCAGCAGCAGCAGCAGCAGCAGCAGCAGCAGAATCAACACGATCACCATCATCATCACCACCACCACCACCACCACCGCCATCACCCCGAGCATCTCTCCTGCCTCGTGCTCCCCCTCCTCCCACCGCCTTCCCAGCAGCCCAGGGCCGGCAGGGCGGGTGCGAGTTGCAGTGCAGGCAGTGGGCGTCCAGCAGCGCCAGCAACATGGCCTGGTTGTAGCGGTTGGGTATGTTCCGCACCATCACCGTCGTCCTCGTGCCGTCCCGCCGCCCCCTCGCCACCCCCTCGCCCACCTGACCGCCCACCTGACCGCCCACCTGACCGCCCACCTGACCGCCCACCTGACCGCCCACCTGACCGCCCACCTGACCGCCCACCTGAGCACCCTCCTGGGATTCCACCTGAGCACCCTCCTGGGATTCCACCTGAGCACCCTCCTGGGATTCCACCTGAGCACCCTCCTGGGATTCCACCTGAGCACCCTCCTGGGATTCCACCTGAGCACCCTCCTGGGATTCCACCTGAGCATGTGGCTCTTCCTGTCCCCATCCCTGCTTCTTCTCCTTGTTCGAGCTGACTTGCTCTCGGGCATCATTTGCACCTACGCCTCCTACCTCCCCTCCTTCTCCTGTTGCCTCCTCCTCTTCTCCCAATGCCTCTTCTCCCGCTCTCATGCTCTCGTCTCCTTCTCCTATTGCTACACCACCACTCCCAGCACGTGTAACACTTGGGAGCGACACCACCACCCGCCCTGTGCCCTTCCGATAGTCACTTGAACCTGTCAAGCCACTTTGGACCAGATCAGTCAAACACGTCAGAGGGCGATGCGCCTTTGCTCTCCCCTTCCCTGTTTCTTCGGCAGTGCCACGTGTCCGTCCGTGATGGTGCCACCTGCCAGCTGACGTGGCAGCCAGCTGGGTGGCCTCTGTCCTGGCCGCCGCTGCTGCTGCCTCCTCCACAAATGCGAACTGGACGTGGGAGAGAGATGGGGGGAGAGAGCAAAGGGGGAACGGAGACGAATAGGGGGGTGAGGATGACGGGAAGACACATGCGAAAATAACAAACAGGAGAAAGAGACACGCGCGCAGGTGAATGCGATGCGATAACAGCCAGCTCTGTCATCAGTGGTCACCATCAGCATCTGCCATGTGAACACCAACATGACACGACACTACAGCATCTTATTACCTCTGCCATGTCATCTTCGTCTCCCCCCGTAGCATGCTGCCCCTCCCCATGACCATGCACACGGCCATGTGTATGGGAACGGCTATGGGCATGGGCATGGGCAGGGGCATGGGTATGGGCATGGGCATGTCGATACTGCAGGTGCCCACCCATTCCCCCCACACCCCACCCCTCCATCCAACCCTGCCTTGCACTTCCGCCCATCGCTTCTCCCCTCCCTGCTGCTCCCCCCATCCACATCCCGCCCATGCCTCCTGCTTCTCCCCCTCCTCCCCCACCCCCACTTCCTTGCGCCACGAGCACGTTCCAATGCATCAGCATCTGCCCGGGACGGGCAGATGGAAACATTCCAGCTGCTGCTCCGACGATTCCTATTGGAGGATATCCCACGCCCATGGGTGTTGGTGTAGCATGGCCGTACATAGCAAACCCGGTAGGGGCAGTGGGGTTAGCAGGGACAGCAGGGTTAGCAGCCCCAGGGGCAGCAGCAGCCGCAGCGACAGAAGCATTGGAGGCACTTGCAGTGGGGGTGGCAGGGAATTGGGGAGAGGAGGAGAGAGAAGTGGGGAATGAGACGGCAGGAGACGCACCCCCAGCAGACATTGCAGCAAGGGAAAGATGAGTCGCAGCAGAAGGAGGGGGAGGAGGAGGAGGAGGCGGAGGACGGAGAAGGGAAGAATCCGCAGCATGGCGAGAAGGATAGTGCAGTGGTGGAGGAGGAGGGTAGGGCAGATAAGCAGAGGAAGCAGCCCCACCAGGTGGGAGATACGGCATTCCTGGGGCGAAGGAATAAGCCCACGAGGGCGGGCCGTGGCCGTGAGTGTGAGGTGCGGAGGGCGGGGCGTGGGGCATGAGGGGCATGAGGTGGGAGTGAGCGTGTGGGTAGGCAGTGTGGGGATGTTGAAGCACAGGCACCGAGACAGGGGCCTGAAGAGACTCATATGGACCGGGATGCTGCTGGTGCTGCTGCTGGTTCTGGTGCTGAAACTGCAGCTGGTACTGCTGTTGCTGGTACTGCTGTTGCTGCTGCTGGTACTGCTGCTGCTGGTACTGCTGTTGCTGCTGCTGGTACTGCTGCTGCTGCTGCTGCTGCTGCTGCTGGTACTGCTGTTGCTGCTGCTGCCCCTCATGCATGTAACACCCTTCGTGGCCTCCTTGCACATGCTGCCCCTCGTACTGGCTCCCCAAGGCCTGACTGCCCGGGACGAATGTCTGTGTGCCAGGGGGACTCAGGTTCGGCACAGGCGCGGCCGAACGTGGTTGAAAGAACGGGGGATTAAAGGGTGGTTGGACGAAGTTAGGAGGGGTTGGAAAAGGATGCCGGAACCAGTCGGGTGTGACTACTGGAGTTGCTGCTGATGCAGCTGCTGGTGAGGTTGCTGGAGCAGCAGGGGAGAAGTGCGCCTGCGGGTGGTAAGAGTAGTTGTACCCCATGTTACCAGTGCCGTCACTGCCATGCCCGTGCTGCCTGTATCCATGCGAGGAGGCAGAATTCGGTGGAAGGTGCAGGGACGGGTGAGGCAGAGGGGTCACAGAGGTGGCCTGCCCGTGCCAACTGGTGCTGGCGCTGCTGCTGCCACCGCCAGTGCTGATGCCACTGGCACCGCCACTGCCGCCACCACTGCAACTGCCAGTCGTGCTGGCGGTGCTGTGTGCACTCGTGTCTGACCTCCATGTGTCTGGAGAGCTCTGGGCGCTCGCTGTCGCGCTGCTCATGGGCGTGCTGGTGTTGAGTGCGGTAGCAATGGGTGCGGTGGTGATGGGTGCGCTGGTGTTGGGTGCGGTAGTGATGGGCGTGCTGGTGTTGAGTGCAGTAGCGATGGGTGCGGTAGTGATGGGTGCGGTAGTGATGGGTGCGCTGGTGACTGGAGTAGTGCTGTCAGGGTTGCCGTCCCCTGGCGTGCTGTCATCCATCCTAGATTCTTCACCCGGAGATGAGACAGGAAGTAGCCTCTCTAGGGCCAGCTCTTCTTGTTGCAGCGCCGGCTCATCAGCCAGCCCACCACCTCTTGACCCGGCACTCTCCACACCACTCTCGCCCTCTCTCTCTCCTGCTGAACACCCATCCTTCACCACTGCATCCTCTACCTCCTTTCCTTCCTCCTTTACCGCCTCTCCCTCCTCCTCTCCCCCTTCCACATTAACATCTGCTGCTAACCCAGCTTCAGAAAATCTCTCAGAAGCTTCATCAGAAACCTCCTCAGCTCTGTCCCCAAGCATTTGTTTTAATACCTTCTCAGCTACCTTTAATAATTTCTCACCTTCCTTCAATACCTTCTCACAGTCGCCTGTAACCTGCTCCTCTAGGGAAGCTACAGCATCCGCCCCTCTCACTGCATCCCCCCTGGTGCCGCCTGGACCAGGCGCGGATCCTGATAGCAGCAACCCATCTGCACCCATCTCCCCCCTGCCACCACTGCTCTCCACCCCTGGACTTCTCAAGTCAGAGCTTTCACACCCGGGAGCTTTTGGAGAATCACCACAATCGGAAGGAGCAGCAGCAGCAGCAGGAGCAGACGTGGAACTGGATGCAGCCGCAGGAGAGGCCCCTTCTGGAGGCTCAGACTCATGACGGTGCGAGGCAGACGTGCCTTTGAAAGGAGCGGGGGGATCAGGGTTGGGCTGGGTGGGCGTGTGCCCAGGCGAGTGCGCCGAGCTGCTGCTAGCAGTCGATGCGTTGGAGGGCGAGGCTGACCCGTGGGAGGGAGACGCTAATTCGTGGAGGGGAGAGGTCAAAGACGCCTGACTCGATGAGCTGCTGCCGCCTCTGCTGCCGCTCATGCTGTCACCCCTGCTGCCATTTCCCCTGCTACTGCCCCTGCTGTCACTCCTGCTGTTGGCGCGAGCAGCATATGACCCCCCGCGTTTCCCATGTGAGGACCATTCTCTTCCTCGACTCCCCTGCCATGCATCCACTGCTCTTGATCCCACTGCTCCCACTGCTCCCACTGCTCCCACTGTTACCCCTGCTCCCGATCCTCCGGCTGCTCCAACTGCTTCTGTCATGACTCCTTCTCGTGCAAACTCAATCTTTATCTGCCTGCCCGCCAGCTCTGTTCCGGTCAGCTTCTGCAGCGCGTGGGCAGCTGCCCGGATGTCAAAAAATTCCACAAGGCGGTGAAGCTTCTGAGAAGGAACTGCTCTGACCTCCTTAACGTCTCCTGCAATGCGAGAAAAGCAAAGAAATCAAAGAGAGTGATAGACCGAGAGGAAGCATCAGAAACAACAGGTGTAAGCATGACGGAGGGGACCCCAAAAAAGTAAAAGAAGTAGAAAATTTCACAACAGCCGAGGCATAATCCAGTATTGGAGCATAATCTAAGCTCATGGCGCAAAGCTCATGGCACATAAGCTCCCAGCACATACCGCATGTTGCCAAGAGTGCACGCAGAGAGTCCATTGAGACGGAGGGGTCAACGTTCCACACCACCACGCACCCATTACCACCGTCCCACAGCCCTCCCTGCTGCTCATCCCGCCCCTGCCATAACCCTCCTTGCTTGTGTTGCAGCTGCTGCCCCAACTGCTGCTGCTGCTGCTGTTGCCCCTGCGACTTGTGTCGCTGGTGACGCCGCTGCACCGCACCGAACCTCCCTTCACCGCCTCCACCATCCGCCCCACCTCCCCCAAACCCCCTCCCACGCCCAGCCCCCGTCCCCTCTCCCGCCCACGCCCCTCCCGCCCCATCAGGATCCACCGCTTGCGCCCACACCACCCACCCGGCAACCAATCCCAGCCCTTTCAGCGGAACAGGCTCGTTCGGCAGCGGCCGGTAAGGGTCTTGAATAATCTTCTCGGGGGGTTCCCTGGTGTGTATTTGGCGCAGGCGGAGGAGAATGCGGTGGTGCGTGCGCTGCTGCTGCAGCCAGTGCTGCTGCTGCATGTCCCGCAGTGCCGCCCTGGCGTGGCGCAGGTCGTAAAAATGTGCCACTGCCACGCCTTCCCAGCGACGGGACAGGTCGAGGAATCTGAAACGAGGAGAGGAAGGGAAAGGGCAGCGGTGGTAGAAGGAAAGAGAGGCATGGAAGGGTGAACTGTACTGCTGCCATAAAAGCCTCAATAGCGAATCTTCGCATGCAGTGACGGAGGCACGAATAATTTGCTGCGGACGCAAACAAGGATGGGAGAGTGAAAGGGGCTAAGGGTGATAGCCGCTGTCACCCTTTCTTGAACAACAACTTCCACCTCACCTCAAAGGACCCCACGTTGTCTCTATCTCCTGCGCCAAAAAGGCGTCAGGTAGTTGTTCAGGTGGTGGCAACAGAGAGAGCATGATAGCCCGGGAAACCCTGTCATCCGCTGTAGCCAAGGGCGTGGGGGGTGTTGGAGGAGGAGGAGGCACCAGAGCCTCCCCCATTTCATACCCCATATAAGGAGCCCTGAAGCCCGCGTGTGCAGGCAATGGTGCCTGTGACTGTACATGTAATTGAGGGTTAGTATGCACAAACGGATGTGAGTATAACGGTGTTTGCTGTGACTGTAATGGCTCCTGTGGCTGTACAAAATATGCAGACGAAGCCCCTTCCTGTGGCTGCTGCAGCTGTTGTTGTTGTTGCTGCTGCTGCTGCTGCTGCTGCTGCTGAAAAGGTGCGGGATGATAATGTGTAGTGTTACTGTAAGGAGCACTGTACATGCCAGTCACGTGGTATGGTGTTACAGCAGGAAAGGCGTGCTGAAAGGAAGCTGCGACAAATGCAGTACCAGCAGCAGCAGCATCAGAAGAAGCACCGTCACCAGAGGAGGCAGCAACAGCAGCAGCAGCCGCGGAAGATGAAGACGAAGCATCACCGCCCAAAGAATGCAAGTCGAGATAAACGTATGATGGGGAAACTTTAACATCCTCCAGGCTTCCATGCTTGCTGCTTCCAGAGCTGCTGCTCCTGCTGCCTCCACCCCGCATACCACGAAGATTCCGTTCCCCTCGTCCACTCCAACCACACTCCCACCGACTGTCGCCACGTGGAGGCACGGGAGAAGACCGTCGCGGGCCTATGGGAACAACCTGGGAGATGGCCGGGAACGGACGGCTAAGATTGAAGGCAGGAATCGTGCTGCCGGTAACGAGGGGAGGAATGAGTGGGGGAACCACAAACGAAGCGGATGAAGCAGCAGAAGAGGCACCAGCTGTGGTCGCAGAGATGTCCGCAGCGGCAGTGGAGCTGAGAGGGTTGTAGTTTGAAAAAAACAGCGTTGCAGCAACTGCTGATGGGGAAGGCGCGAAGGACGGCGTGAACTCAGCTGCGTTGGGGTCAAGAGACATCTTCTTGAGCGCCAGCTCCGACTCGGATTGCAAGACCTGGGTAGTACCGTTCCTATCACACTCTGCCGCTCCGACGGTTTCTGCTGTCGCTGCTTCCTCTCCGTTCTCTCCGATTTTTATTTTCTCTGCTTCATCTGACACGGAGACACCCTCTGGTGAATCTACCGAGTCCGAGAGCACAGACTCCTCTTCTCGCTGCTTCTCGTCGCCTGACGCCTCGATAGTACCACCGCTCTGTGCCTCTGATGCTGCTCCTTCCTCCCCGGGAGTCTCCCCACGAACACCCTCGCTCAGACGATGAGTCAAAGACGGACTTCCACTAATAGCGGCTCCACCTTCGTCCCGAGCCTGAGAACAAGCCTTTGTTTGACGGGACATTTGCGGAGCCACTTCGCCGCTTTCCGCAGTCAAATCGGACGTGCGATCCTGAACTTCCATGGCGCCGTCGCAGCCAGAAGCATCACCCGCAAGTAGCTGTTTTCTTGGCAGAAATCCGTTCCGCGGCTCGGCTTCCAACACAGACTTCCAAGAACGCTCGATGACCGACGTGATTGAACTGGGCTTAGCTACCCTACCACCCACTGATGGAAGCCTAGTAGTCTCTCGTATATAATCTTCCCTAGTGGTTCGTGAGAAGCCACTTCCAGTACTAGCACTTAACGTCGTCACACTATTGGATGCTCTAAGAACCGCTCTAGGCGCCGAGCCCTTGATACCGGGTGGCGCTATAGCCATGCTCAGTCATGGATATGAGCTTCAGCGACGTTCTCTAGCTTATCTCGAAATCATGTCAGTCATAGAAGTCTTCCGCACGAACCATGACATGTGAATGGTAGTAAGGACCATGAGCTATGGCGAAAATCTGCACCGAGGACGAAAGCTGGTCATAAAACCGCTTATGGCGTTGAAGCATCATATCCATGATTCCGCGCGCTATCCGTGCGCAATAGGAGAGCCTGATGCACCGAGACGAAGACATCGCATGATGCGTGATGCTTCTGAGCACTGCTGAACCGACGATGTCGGCTGTGGAAAGGAAATCCCTCCAAACATCAGCAGCACGTAGCAGCAGAACAGGCTGCTTTGGTTTCTGCTACTTCAACTCTAAACGTCCGTCTTCGCTTCCTTCGCTTCAAGCACATCTGTGGAACGCGACGGCTGCTTTTCTCCTCTACGCAGCCTTATCCCTCCATTTTCGATATCTTCGCGTCAGGACCTCGAGATTTCCGCATTCAGCCAGCCAGGCAATCCCAGAAACCATCAAGCTCGGCCGCCGAACGAGCTGAGCTCTTCTCGGGGTTGTCGCGACAGTAACGAACAACCTTGCATCCATCAGGTCCAGGTGGTGGAAAAAGGCGGTGCAGAATGCAGGGCGTCCCGGGCCGAGAAGGGCTTGCGGACGGTTGGATGGGGTCAAAGCCAAGCCTTCTCGCCATGTGTTATCATCCCAGCGTCGTTTCCAGCTTTGGTAGGACGCCTGGTGAAAACCTTGGTCCCTCCCAAACCAATCCATTCAGTCGCATCGCTTTGCGATCCGCTGCCAAATCTCGCTGAACTGATGGCACATCATGAGATGGCATGGTGGGTAATGTCTTCTGCCCACAAATGGGTAACCCCGTAATCTGAGCGAGGATTATTTCCTGTCGCCCACCGTCATTTTCTAGTAAGGCCATCAAACGGAGATTGCTTGCGGAAGATGTGCAGGGTAACATCATCGCAACTTCGAAGTCCAAAGCCCAACGAGAGTCCGTGTGACGTGGCTGCGCTTCGCCATGCGTGGATTGAACAGAAATTTGACGTGTCGAGGGCGAATCCACGCAGATTGCTTCTGCCCCACGCTCACCGCGCCGTCAACATCTGCTCTTTCACATAAGCAGACCCCGAATACACTGCAACCACACTGGCCTATGAAAATGATTCCATTTGAAACAACCCCATAAGATGAATGGAAATATTTTGTAGAGCATTGTTGGCCAAATCGTCGAGAAACAGTAGCTTGTGGGAGGTATTCCTTCACCATAAATCGCCAAGCTTTCCTTCCAGATCACAATCCTCATCCTCTTCATCGACCAATTCCTCATCCCCCAAGTCCACCTCTCCAATAGCTCTCTCCCCCTTCGACTGAGAGCTACCACTGCGAACCAGGAGAATACCATCATCAGCGTTATCAGCCAGTTTAGCATCAGGCACGTGTCCACCCTTCTCCTCCACTGCAGCAGCTGCAGCAGGGGCAGAAACAGGGGCAGCGGCCGCACCAGGGACATCATCCTTTTCCACATCCTCATTATTAGCGCCTCTTGCCCCTGTGCCTGCTACTGTTGCTTCTCCACCCGCTGCTTCTGCTCCAGTGCCTGACGCTTCTGCTGCTGTGCTTGCCGCTTTCGGCCGCTCTTCTCCGCCACTGCGCCCACTCAGCACCCTCGACAGCCTCCTGGTCTTACCCACGTTCCCTTCACCCTGCCCACCTGTCATCTCCAGTCCCACCAATCTCCTCTGCCTCTCACCAACAACCTTCTGCTGTGCCCCGCCACCAGCTCCCCCACCTTCAGACCCCTCCGTTCTCACTATACTTGCCCGCCCCCCACCTCCCTCGTCACTTGCTCGCTTGCGCTTGAGAAGCTCTGAGAGCGGCCGAGGGCCCGAGAACAGCCCAGCTGTTTTGCCAGCTGTCGCTCCGGCCGCCTTGCCAGCTGTCGCACTAGCTGCCTTGCCGGCTGTCGCACTAGCCGCTTCACGACTACCATTCGCAGGATTCTGCATTGCTGTTGCCTGAACTCTTTCTCCAGCGCTCTTGGCAGCAGACCCACCCGCAGCCCTAATGAGCTGTGCCTTGGGTCTTGATTGAGTCGCACTGGCTGGGACTCCTGCTGCTGCTCCTGTACCCCTGCTCGTGCCCACTGCTCCAGGTGATGGCGATGGTGCTGACGTTGCCGATGCTGCTGGTGCAGCTGATGCTGCTGATGGTGATGGCACCGCACCAGCCCCCTGGGCTTTCCTCTTCTCCGCCAGGATCTCTGCCAGGCTTCTCGGTCGGAACCCGCCTTCTCCCCCTCCTCCTGCTCCTGCTGCTTCCCCCACCTTCACAACAGCAGCAGCAGGGGTGGCAGCAGCAGCAGCGGCGGGAGCAGTAGCAGCAGCAGGGAGAGCAGTGGCAGCAACAACGGCACCAACCCTGGGACTATCAGAGCCGCCTCCTGCCCTAGCTACATTCGCCTTGCCCACAGGCCCTGACAGCCTGGCAGCCAGTCGGTTCTTGACACCTGTCACGCCTGCATTGTTCACAGCACCGTTCCCTTGCCTGACGCCTAGCCCATTAGCTTCAGGCAATGCACCGGCACGAGGGTTAGCACCAGCAGCAACACCAGTGGCACGAGCACCAGCAGCAGCACCAGCAGTGGCAGCACCAGCAGTAGCAGCACCAGTGGCAGCAGCCGCACCGCCCATTGCAGCAGGGCGAGCATCAGCACCAGCACCAGTGCTAGTCACTGTGCTAGCAGCACCACCACCCAGACGCCTCTTCACAGACAATCTACCATCCCCTTCCGAACCTCCACCACTGATTGGAGAACCTCCCAAACCTCTAACAGGCTCGGCGAGTCTGCCTTGCAACCGGCCTACCCCAGCCTGCCCCTGCCTGGCCGTATCCTCCTGCCCTGACTGAACCCTTGCACGGCCCGAACCTAATTCCCGAACCACATTCCCCGGAGCAGCCTCCGGCTCGGACCGGACCCGCTTCAGGTCCCTCCTCCCTGGTGGGACTTCAGAGCCAGATGAAATAACCTTCACAGGCTGGCGCAGGTCAGATGCCCGAGCGGCATGGGTAGCATGGGGTGCTCCTGGTGCTTGGGGCGTGTGGCGAGTGTGGGGTGTGTGGGATGGATGGGATGCTTGAGAGGGAAGGGACGCATGGGAGGCAGGGAGGGAAGGCGCCTGCACCACACGTTGAGAGGACGCGGATGCGCCATCCACTCGCGCACGAATCACTAACCCCTGCCCCACCGCTCTCCCCTGAACCTGCCCTTGCTGCTGCTGCGTCTGCTGCTGTATCTGCTGCTGTGGCTGAAGCTGCTGTTGATGACCTTGTTGCTGTTGGAGAGGCAGAGAGCGAGAACTGGTTGCAACGACTCTCCCAGCACTGTCAGCGTTGCTCCCTACTGCCACCACCAGCCTACGACCCTTCAGAGGAACGTTCGCTGCTGGTGTGGTGATGGTGTCGGGTGCTGCACCCCTGGCCGCAGCTGAGGTGGCTGTATTGCTGGCTACTCTGCCTGTGCCTGCTCGCACCCCTCTTGCTGCTGCTCCTCCTCCTGCTGCTGCTGCTGCTGCTGCTGCTGCTGCTGTTGCCGCTGCTGCAGTGCCGCCAGTTGCCGCCAACACGCCTGAGGCACAATATTCAAGCAAACAAGAGGAAATGGTAAACATCTGTTTAAAGCGAACTCGTATCCTTGTTTGCTAAATGCTCTCAAGGTAATACACACAACGAGTTTCCAGAAAAGAAGCAAGCGTGTCATGCAAGGAACCAGAATAGTAAGTGTGGATTCTTACCTGGCATGGGAGATGGCGGCAACTCAGGTACCTTCACCCCACCATGTGCCATGTGCTGTTGAGCGGACCTTTCTCCCACAAATCTCCCTCTAAGGCCAACGTTACCCTCCTCCCCTCGCCCTCTACTGCCGCCCTCCCTTCTCCCTGCTTCCCCACTGAAACCCCTTGGCCCAGGGCTTGGCCCCCGTGAGGCTGTAGCGGCAGCAGCGGCTGCTGCAGCTGACTTTAGAGTCGACTCAAAAGTCCCCTCCTGTCTCCCTGCTCCCACGCTCAAACCCCTTGGCCCAGGGCTTGGCCTCCGTGGTGCTGTGGCGGCAGCAGCGGCTGCTGCAGCTGCCTCCTCCATCACCGCCCGCACCCCCACTGCCCGCCCGCGCCCCTGCACTGCCCTGTGCCCGTGCTGAGTCACCGGGTGCCCGTGCTGACCTGGAGCTTGACCAGGGTGACCTGGAGTGTGACCAATGGCGCGATCATAACCACGTGGCTGGGCGGCTGGCTGAATCTGCTGCTGCTGATGCTGCTGCTGCTGCTGATGCTGCTGCTGCTGCTGCCTGTTTTGGTGGTTGAAATGATGGTGATTCTGCTGTTGCTCCTGCCATTGCTGCTGCTGCTGCTGAGGCCAATCCTGTTGCCCCTGCCCCTGCCCCTGCCCCTGCCCCTGCCACTGCTGCTGCTGATGATAATGTTGCTGCTGATGGCTGTGGTGGTGCTGATGTTGTTGTTGTTGCTCCTGCTGCTGCTGCTGCTGCTGTTCCTCATAAGCCATATCTGAATAAACCCGCGCAGGGCCTCGCCCTACTCCGAATGCTGAACCTACTGGCAGCGTTGATCGACCACCTCTGCCCCCACTAGCCACGCCTCTCTCCTCTGCCTCCCCAAACCCACTCCCACCTCCAGAGAACCCCCTCCCTGCACCCGGTCCCATCCTTCCCCTCTCCCCATCCCTCCTTCCGCCTGTCCCTGGATCAATTTGAGAATCCCACCCCCCTGGTGCTCCTGCCTCCTCTTCTGCCCCTCTACCCGTACCTCTACCCATACCTCTAACTGAACCTCTACCCAAACCGGTACCCAAGCCTCTTGACGGCTCCTTTTCCACTTCAGGAGCAGCAGAGGCGACAGGAGCGCGGCCGGAGGGAGGGTCAGAAGCAGCGTCAGCATGATTTGCGGCGGCAGCAGGACTAGCAGCAGCAGCAGTTGCGGAGGTGTCAGGGGGAGGGGTCTCGTGGCGGAAGGGGCAGAGGTCCCCCTTGGCGCACGCACCCCTGGCGAAGAAGAAGCAGGGCGTGCGCGACTTGTCCTCCGCCAAGGGGAACGCGGGAGGGGGAGCCGCGCCAGGCGGCCTGCCTAGTGGCTGCAAGGGAAATGAGGGAGAGGAAGCGAGGCGGAAGCGGGGAATACCATGGTTTTACTGAAATTAATTAAACTGGCAGGGGTTGCTCATACCAATGTGTGCGGAATAACATGGCTGTACGAATACAACAAAATTAGCAGGACTCGAAGCGAAGCGAAGCGGGAATAAAGAGTAGCGGGAAACGAGACTCGCGGGAACCAACTCGTACCGGATGCCTGAAGGCGCAGTCGGCCTTGTTGCACCCCCAACTGATCCAGTAGTAGCAGTCGCGCGGGTTCCGCCTCGCTGCTTCGGAATGGCGAAACTCGCATGTCGCTCCCTGCGCGGATAGTCACAGACGAACGGAAATTAAGAATTTCTCGCCACAATGACAGAAAGCCTTCAATTGAAACATTAAGATACCTAATGAGCTTGTCTGTCGTCTCAAGTTATTCACCTTCTTGCACATTAGCGGCGATGCGAGAAAAAAGATGCAATCTGTTCGCGCTTTGATCAACAACGCGTCCTCTCCCTCCGCTGTCGTAGCATCCCCTTCGAGATTGTCGTTATCTCCGATAATGTCATCCCCAGCCTGACCCGCGTGCCTCTCCATTCTAGGCTCGCGATTAATCCCTCGCGATTACCTCCAGCCCTTTAGTGCAGAAAGACAGTGGGAAAATCTAGTGCGGAAATTCAGGCGCATCCACCGGAACAAGCACTGGCGTATATCATAGAGCTAGTTAGTTGCCGCCATGCCTGAACCGATCAGCAGCGTTGCGACCGTTGAGTGGTCATGGTGAAGCGAGGGAGATGCGGTCTGAAGCATAGATACCGATTTATACACGTGATATATTTTATGGATATTCTCTCTAAAACAAGAACAAATAAGGCCTTGGAAGGGGCATCCTGACGCAAGTGAACCATCCTTCAACATGGAAGTGAGGAACGTTTTAGCGGAGTTAAATCGGGACGGGGAGGTCAAGTCCGGGTCAACCTCCTCGTCTTCTCTGCGCGCACCAGACAGACTCAACCTCTGCGCTGCGCCTGACCAAGCGGGAGTTTGACTAGCTGAGCTCCCCCCCGAAAAGCCAACCTCCGCACCGACGGTTTCCGCTGGTCCAATCGAGTCGGCTGGGGCAATATTCACGCCCCGCGCAGCTGCGTGGCCAAGGAAAGCATCCGGGGGGGCAGTGAACAGTGCACGAAGCAGATTGCGGAGCAGATTGCGCTTTGCGCAACGACTTGGTCCTTCGCGTAGTGCTGTGCTGCATGGTGCGAGCGCGGCATTTTCAGGGTCAGGGGGGGAACTGTGGCTGCGAACTGCTGGGGTGGCGGGGAGACTCCGCGGAGCACGAATTGCAATGGCGGCAAGCTCTTGGATTGTGTGGCTCAGCTGCTTGCCTCGAGAGGATGGCATTGCATGAGCATTTCGTTATCTGCAATAGACGGGAAGATGGTTTCTGCTGATTCCACGTTTCAGTCATTTGTTTGACCAAGTAATTTCAGTTAGTCTTCGTATTTCAGTCCTCCTGAGTCGTCTCTCTTCTCCTCCGCTTGCGCTGTTGTTGATGATTTCCTTTCTTTTATTTGTACCTACTGCCATGAACTAGTCGGGGCCTGTACTCACTAGCTAACGTTTCAATCTCACTCGAAGCTGGACGATGATTTGGGCCGATAAGCTTATATCTTCGAATTAAGCTCAATCCACGTCATTGCTGTCCCCGCGATGCGCTCGCTCGAGCCTGCCAGGAGCGTCTAACCCTAACATACCGTTCCACCCCATCGAGCTCCTACCTCAGCGCTCGTTAGTGCCATGATGACTTCTGAGTCGACTCAAAAGCCGCACGTGCCTGCCAAGAGCGTCTAACCCATCAGCCCGTCGAACATACCTAACATACCATTCCAGCCCATCAAGCTCCTATCTCTCAGCGGCTCGTTAGCGCCAGAATCGCTAGCCATGGAGCTGTCGGATGCCGCGCCTCCGAGCCTCCTTCAGAGGGTCCCGAGCCTCCTTCAGGCTCGGCAAGACCACTACACCCCGTCCGTTCGGTCCGTTGGAGTCGCAATGAGCGGCGACCTGCTGCCGCCGTCTGATATAGAGCTGGGCGAGCGACGCGACCCCATATCCCTCGAGCCAATCACCAGCCCGCCTTCCATCCGCCGGACCGCGTCGATAGGTACCAGCAGCGGTAGGGACTTCTGCTTATCGCTGCCTCAGATTCCTCCTCCCGTTACTCCGCGACCCGACCTAATAGCACCTCCAGAAGAGGCCGATTTAGACATGGGAATTACCATAATTTGTCCACCCAGAAACGGGCTTCTATTAAGCCCTACTGACGAAAGCGATAAATCTGGCGAAACCGGCGAAGGCGGCGCGTCCAGCAGCAGGCGAGGCACATCAGGCCGTTTGGGCACGTCCGGAGCTGGCCCGGCGATTCGGAAAGGCTCGCCGAGCCTGAGCCGCGCCAGGCTCGGGTTGGGGGAAATCCGGCTGGACCTGGGCGCGTTGCGCGCGCGCACGGAGCGGGATTTCAACGCGGAGGCGATGGAGGTGCGCGCGCGGAAGGAGAAGTTCGCGTTCTTCCAGAAGGACTGTAGCCGCGTGCTGGAGCACGTGTTTGTCGGGAGCGATTACGTGGCAAGAAGTCGCGAGATCCTGCGCGAGGCGGGTGTGACGCACGTGCTCAACTGCGTGGGATTCGTGTGCCCCGAGTACTTTCCTGGAGATATCGTGTACAAGACGCTCTGGCTGCAGGTGAGAGGAAGGGAGGAGGGAGCGAGGCGGGTGTGACGCTCGTGCTCTACTGCATGGGATTCGTGTGCCCCGAGTACTTTCCCGGGGATATCGTGTACAAGACGCTCTGGCTGCAGGTGAGCGGGGGGAGGGAGTGGGGCCTGGGGGAAGGGAAGGGGGGGGAAAAGGTGAGGGGGAATGGGGCGCAAATGGGGAGAAGGGGTGAGAGGCCACGACTGCTCATCCTCACACCTATCTCCATCCCTCCTCCCCCAACAGGACAACACAGCGGAGGACATCACATGTGTGCTCTACGACGTGTTTGACTATATCGAGGGCGTGAGAGAAGCCACGGCTCCTTACCCTTGCTCCGTTTTCTGTATTCCCCACCCCTCACTGCCCCCATCCTCCCATCTTCTTTTTCCAAACAGGACAACACAGCGGAGGACATCATATGTGTGCTGTACGACGTGTTTGACTACATTGAGGGGGTGCGGGAGGGCGGGGGACCACGGTTGCTCATCCTTGCACCTCTCGCCATCTCCCCTCCCCCTCCCCCCACAGGACAACACAGCGGAGGACATCACATGTGTGCTCTATGACGTGTTCGACTACATTGAGGGCGTGCGGGAGGGCGGGGGGCGCGTGTTCGTGCACTGCTGCCAGGGCGTCTCGCGCTCCACGTCGCTTGTTATCGCCTACCTCATGTGGACACAGGTGGGCAGAGCAGGAGTCTTATAACGAGTACGGCGTGTTCGTGCACTGCTGCCAGGGCCTCTTGCGCTCCACGTCCCTCGTCTATAACAAGTAAGACGTGGTACGTGTCTCTTGTTGATGTCCCTCGTCCCTTCACTGCATGTGGACTCATTCAAGGCAATCGCTTGTTGCTTGCCGCGGATGCCAACAGGCTGAAAAAGAAGCTGCTTCTTACGTTTCGCGTGCCAGTGCACCCTCATTTAATGACTTTTGAGTCGTCTCAAAAGTCACTCGCAACCATCGTGCTGCCTTTCCATCCTCCCCCTTTTTCCCGATCTCCCTCCCCCTGTCTCTGTGTCCCTCGCCCCCTCCCGTGCACCCCTTCAGAGGATGGAGTTTGAGGAGGCGTTTAGGCGGGTGAAGGCGGTGAGGGGCGTGGCGAGTCCCAACATGGGCTTCGCCTGCCAGCTGCTGCAGTGGCAGAAACGAGTCCTGCCGCCCAAACCAGCCGCCCCTGCACCTGCAGCAGCTCTCCCAGCGCCAGCTGATCCGCCAACAGTAGCACCAGCGGCAGCAGCAGCGCCGGCATCGTCTGAAGCGTCGGGCGGCGTGGTTCGGCAGCACATGTACCGCATGGCCCCGCACTCCCCGTACGACGCCCTGCACCTGGTGCCCAAAACCGTCCCTTTCTCCCGCCACTCCCTCGACCCGCGCGGGTGCTTTGTGGTGCAGGCGGGATCTGCTGTGTTCTGCTGGGAAGGCAAGCAGTGCCATTCCCTCATGGCCCAGCAAGGGTTGGCCACTGCCAGGCAGACTATCAAATATGAAAGTCTGGGCGGGGAGGCGGTTATGGTGACGGACGGGCAGGAGCCGGAAAGTTTTTTGGCTGCCCTTGGGGATGGGGGTGTAGGGCGGGAGGGGAGGGTGGGTGGGGGGGGTGGGGCAGGGGCTGATGCTGAGTTGATGAAAGTGGTGGCTCGGCAGGGGTTGACGTACCTCGGGCAGGACGCGAAACCTTTAGATGGTGCCCGAGATAGTTGTGGCTGTGAGGTGTCCGAAGGGGCTGCAGCAGCAGCTGCTGCGGCTGAATCAGCAACGAGTGGCAGTGCATTTAGTGCACCAGACGCAGCAGTAGCAGCACATGAAATAGCACCACCACCAGCAGCAGCAGCAGCAGCAGCAGCAGCAGCAGCAACACCAGCAGTGCCAACAGCAGCGTCCTCAGCAGCCCAGTCACCTCCATTAGCAACAAATTTATCTGATTCTCCTCTCTCACCCTCCACTCTTTCCTCCACCTCCCAGTCAACAACCCCATCTCAGCCCAAGCCAACAACCCCGTGTAAACCCAAAACACTAACCCCTTCCCCACCCAAACCTAATTCATCACCCACACCTGTGAGCCCTCTTGTTCCCTCGCTGCCTCATGCCGCCTCTGCCCCAAACGCCCCTCACACCCCCACCTCTCCTGAACCTCCCAACCTCTCTTCTCAGCTCACGCCCCCGAACCTGCCCTCGACATCTGCCGGACCTAGCCAGACGTCCGGGTCTCCGGGCTTCTCTGCTGTCCGAACCTCGTCCACACTCTTAGGCTCGACCTCGCTCTTTGGTGCGGTAGACAGGTTTGCGCAGAAGCTTCGGCGCCGAAGCTGGGACCGCAAGGAGGCGGAACAGCTTCGGAAGATGGCTGCGGCGGCGGAAAAAGAAGTATCGGGAAGGAAAGAGAAGGGGAAGGAGGGGAAGGGACGTAAAATTGACAGCCCTTCAGAAGGGAAAGAAACAGCAGCAGGAGACGCAGAGGGATCAGGAGGAGGAACGGGTAGGAGCAGGAACACTGAGGGGCGCGTGAGGAGGAGTGAGAGCCTCTCAGAGGAGCAGCTAGAGGCGCTAGCAGGGCAGCTGCAGTGCGGTGGGCTGCTAGACCCGTCTGATATCCGCCTGCGCCGCCCCTTCCTGCGCGGCCTGGGGCGCACTGGGGGAGGCGCGGACTGGGGCAGGCGGAAACTGGCGCAGGGGGAGGCGGGGAGGGAGGAGGAGGAGGGGTGTGGGGCGGGTGAGGCGGTGGAGGAGGGGGAAGGGAGGGTGGGAGGCGAGGGGGAGGAAGGGAGTGTGGAGGAGGAGAGGGAGAGAGGGGAGGGGAGGGTGGCGGGTGAGGAGGCAGGGGGGGGAGAGGAGGGGCGGGCGGAGAGGGGGAGGGGGCGGGAGCGGAGGAAGAGGGGCGAGGGGCGGGGCATGCGTGGCCTGTCTCCCATGCGCCTGCTGGCGAAGCTGTCAGGGGCAGCAGGGGGGGAGAGGGAGCAGAAGGGGGCGGGAGAGGGCGGAGCAGGCGGAAATGCAAGTAGCAATGCAGGTGGCAGTGGGAACGCAATCAGCAATGGGAGTGGTAGTGGGGGTGGCAGTGGGAGAGGCAGTTCAAGTGGTAGTGGCAGTAGCAGCGCCAGTGGCAGTGCAAGCAGCAGTGCAGTGACGTGTCTGCGTCTGACTGCTGTGTCGTCACCAGTAGTGCCTGGCAGGGTGGGTAGGGCCGCTGTGCCTCCCCTTGCTGCTCTGCAAGGCACCAGTGGCCTTGATGGCCCTCCAGCCACCTCTGCTGCTGCTGCAACAGATGCAACAGCTGAGCCACCTGCTGCAGCACCCACATCACCTGATAAAGCACCTGAAGTGCTATCTGGGCCAGCACCCAGTTCACCTGCAGCCGCACCTGTTCCCATCCAAATTCCAAACTTAACTCTCGTGCATAACTCACCCGCCCTCCCCCCCACTGCATCCGCCTCCTGCTGGTCTGCCCTCCCCCGCCCTCAATACGACACTGACTTTGATTACTTTGAAAGGGCTCTAACGGGCGGCACGCCCCGTCCTGTAGCGGGCTTCGTCTCCCTCTCAGCCAAGCCGAACGTGCTGCCTCACAAGGGCCGCGGGTGGCTCTCTGACGAACCAGCCTGGAATGACAACCCTTCAGGTTCGGCGGCTGGTTCGGGCATAGGCTCGGTAGGAGGGAATGCGTTTGGTTCCAAGGAATGGCCGAGCTGGATCCCAAAGAACAGGTTCGGGGTGCTAGGCTTGGCGGGCGGTCCGGGACTGCCGTCTCCATCATCATTCTCCCCCCGTTCACTCGCGTTCTTCCCCCCTGGCGGCATGGGCATATACGGGCAGGAGCTGATGCGCTCTGTGTCCAAGGCACAGCAGGAGGGGGCGGGGCAGGGAGTGGGACAGAATCAAGGGCAGGGGAAGGAGAATGGTGGGGCAGAGTCAGATGCAGGTGCTAGTGCAGCTGCGGCTCTTCCCTCAGCAGCACAGGGGATGGGGTCTGGAGGATGTGGGAATGTGGAAAGTGGGGGAGTGGGGTTCACCCCAAGGGGAGTGGGTCCCTTTGGGGGCTTCTCGCAGGGAGAGCTGCTTACTACCCCTCGTGGCGCCAGGTCTTCTGTGAAACCGCCCTGGGAGGTAGGCACGGATAAATTTGCCAGTGCAGGCTGGGGTGGAGGTCCGGGAGCTAGCTCCGGTACCAGCAGCAGCAGCAACAGCAGCGGCAGCAGTGCAAGATTGCCCAAAGTGCCAGTTAAAGCCCCATTACCGGCAGCTGTTTCTAACAACAGGAGTACACTCTCTTCGGTACAAGAGTCCAGCGCTAGAGAGGACTGCTCGACAACCACCCCTGACAGCTCATTATCGAATGGTTCACATATTGCGGTTACAGCGAATGGCTCAGAAAACCGCTCTAACAATGACAATGGGTTTTATGATGGAGCTGATGGCTACAGTGCTGGTCTTCCCTTCGGGATGACTCCTAGAGGACGTCCCCCTCCGACGTCCTTTGCTGACTCAGACAAAAAGGGGTTGGGTGGTTGGGGTAAAGATGGTGCCAGCAAGGCTCCCTCGTTACCAATGTCGAATAGAAAATGATATTGTAACTTGGCTTGCTCTGACCTGACCGATATTGCTTTATTTGTTGCTGAATGAAGGCCAGCTATGGGCAGTTTTTTTAAAGCATTTTTTAAGATACGTTTTTAGCTTATGATCATCGTTCTGGTGCTTCAGATACACTTGGAAACCCTTGAAAACACCCACGGATTTGGGGGTTTCGGATTGCTTGGATTCGCGATCCATCTGGCTGACACGTCAGAAACGGAGGGAGCAACGTAATTGGCTCGCGCGGTGCTGTAACCCTTCAGACCCATCCTGCACGGTTCGTCTGCTATCCCTTTCGCCGCTTCTCTCGGACAATTTCAAGGCCATGGCTTTCCCACTCCGCTGCGGCCGAAATACATATTGGCAGGGACGATGAGTTCGCGGCATGAATTACCGCATGCGAGACATAACGAAGTTAGGTACCAATCGTCGCCAAGTGTTCGTTACCTCAGTCAGTTCGCGAAGTTACCGTTTCTATGGACGCCACCACGCCTCTCCTCCCCCTCTAGCCTCTCTAGCCTCGACAATTTTATCAGGCAACCCTCCTAGATTCGTCCTTTCGTCATTCTGTAGTCCAGTCCAGGCTAGGTTTTCGCAACCGGGTCTAAGTACTGCTTTCTATAGGTCTGCTAGAAACAGTTCTTTATCTCCGGGTCGCTAGTTCGTGTAGCTGTACCTTGTGCGGATTTGTAGACCTCAGTTTGAAGGTGTCGAAATAGTCGTTTTATCGCAGCGAGATTCAGGCTTTCTTCCACAACTTCGTGTAGTAGAACTTAGATTTGTTAAGGTAGCCAACCCACGATAATCAGGCTTCCTTAAGCGGATCCGAGCTTCATTTTCTAATTTGAGTCAGTATGGCGGGTCAAGGCTGGGGCGATGTGGTGGAAGAAGGACCCATTAACCCCCCCCATCAAGCCCATCCGCCCGCACCAGGCCCCCCTGCGCCATACATGCACCCCGCTGGCGGGCCTTCCGCCCCGGGGGGACCGCGCGGACAGGGACCAATTTTACGGCAGCCGATCTCATCGTACGTCCCCCCGCACCTGCGCGGCCGCGGACCAGTCGGCGGGGGAGATTTTGCGCAGCCCCCGGGTATGCCGGGGATGGGCCCACCGGGAGCCCCCGGCCCTGCGCCGGTAGTTTCCTGGAATGCGCCGGCGGGGGGAGCTGGCGGATCGTGGGCGGATCAGGCAGGCGCGGCGGGTCCCGCATACGGGGGACCTCCGCCGGACGGCGCATGGAACGGCGGAGCTTCAGGCGGAGGCGGCTGGGGTGGCGGAGGATACGGCGGAGCGGGTGGAGGCGCGTGGCAAGGCGGGGGTGCCGGAGGCGGGTACGGCGGCGGCCGAGGGGGATATGGCGGCGGGAGAAGGGGCGGCGGCGGTGGCGGCGGCGGAGGGCCTCTGGGAGGGTTTAGCGGGTCAGGCGGCGGGCGGGAGGAGGATCCGTTTTCGTCGCAGACAAAGAAGGACTCGGAGGCGGTGTTTGAGAACCACCAGAACACGGGCATTAACTTCGACGCGTACGAGGATATCCCCGTCGAAACCAGCGGCGACAATGTCCCCCCCGCCATCACTGCTTTCGACGGATCGGGGCTCCAGGTGCGTGGCGGACACGTGCTTTACGCGTGCACGCGTGTGCTCGTGTTGGATGTTCAAGCGTATTGAAATCAGGCGGCGCAGTGTGGCTATTGATTTGGTTCTTTCTCAATGTTTGTTATTTAGTTCGCTCAGCGCTGAAACGGACTCAATTTCCGCAGCCGTGACTGGAGCTCGTCAATTTTTGTGATTCCACGCCAGCCTTCGTTTCGCGTTCGTTTTCCCCTTCCCCAGTCATTCTCCACCTCGGGCCCGCATGCAGCGGTTAGGAAGAATAAGCGGCGTTGCAGCGCGTTTCATTCGCTTCCTTCGTTCCGTCTTTCCCTCTTCTCTGTCCTACTGTTCGTCCTAACCGCCCTCGACTGCGCAACTGGCTGTGATGAATAACGTGCGGAGCTTCAACTCCCTTGTTTTCGGCTTTTTCCTCTCTCCCCTTTCGTCCTGGCCTTCCTAAACCCCGCACGCAGCCCGCGGTGATGGAGAACGTGAAGCGCTGCAACTACTCCAACCCCACGCCCGTGCAGCGGCACGCCATCCCCATCTCGCTCGGGGGCCGCGATCTCATGGCGTGCGCGCAGACGGGCTCCGGCAAGACCGCCGCCTTCTGCCTGCCCATCATCTCCGGCATCCTCGCCGCTGGCCCCCCGCCCGACCGCCCCCGCTTCGGCCGCAAGGCATTCCCCCTCGCGCTCATCCTCTCGCCCACGCGCGAACTGACCAGCCAGGTGAGTCGCCACATTGCGGCATCACACTGAAAGCAGACGGGGTCCGGCAAGACCGCCGCCTTCTGCCTGCCTTTGAGTCGACTCAAGCGCAGACGGGGTCCGGCAAGACGGCCGCCTTCTGCCTGCCCATCATCTCCGGCATCCTCGCCGCCGGGCCGCCGCCCGACCGCCCCCGCTTTGGCCGCAAGGCGTTCCCGCTCGCGCTGATTCTGTCGCCCACGCGCGAGCGCACCAGCCAGGTGAGGGATCGAGGGATTCGACGAAATGACGAGCTGCCGTCACGGCTGCGGCAATTGCGCCAGTTGCGTCAGTTTCACAGTTTCTGCTCTGAGATGCAACCCCACGCGCCCCACGCTCTGATATACGTTCTGTTTAAATGTTCTACTGGACTGGAAGCAACTGCCAACCTGTTTTGCGGAGAGGCTGGGATGTAGAGGACTGGGAGCCTGGTTTCATAGGTGACTTTTGAGTCGACTCAAATGCCACCTCAGTGGTCGAGGAGCTTGGTTTCAGCTGTTGTGCTGGTAGAAACAGTCTTAATAGGTTGCACTTGGGAGAGCCCACACGGGCCGGGTGCGAGCCTTGGCTGAATCACCTGCACTCCTCGCCTCCTCCTGTTCTCGGTGCCCTTCCCTGCCGCCATCCACGCTACGACTCCCGCCTCTCCCTCCGCGAATCCGCCATCCGCCATGCTTTGTTCCGGTTCCCTGTCTTATCGCCTCCCCGACTCCTCTGCGCTCTCGCCTCGTTCCCTCCTTCGTGCTTTCTCTCCCTCCCCCCCTCCCCTCCTCGCCCTTCGCCCCTCGCCCCTCGCTCCGCTCCCCTCGCCCCTCCCCGCTCGCCCCTCCCCCCTCGCCCCTCAACCCTCGCCCCTCCCCCCCTCACTTCCCGTTCCTCATCCCCTCGTCCGCTTCCTCCCCCCCTCCACCTGCGCCCCCTGCGCCCCTCCGCGCAGATCCACGCGGAGGCCTGCAAGTTCGCCTACAAGACCGGCCTGCGCGCCGTCGTCGTGTGTTGAGTCGACTTAAAACACTTCTCCCCCTCGTCCCTCTCGCCCCTCGCCCCCTCGCCCCTTCTTCCTCCGCGCAGATCCACGCGGAGGCCTGCAAGTTTGCTTACAAGACTGGCCTGCGAGCCGTCGTCGTTTATGGCGGTGCCCCTGCCGGCCAGCAGGTAATTATATGCTGCCTGACGGCTAGCAGGTAAGGCTTTGCCTAGGCGTTTGTGTCGGCAGCAGGCGTTGTGATATTCAATCGGTTGCAATGTACACTTAATGATTGTACGTTGATGTGTAGCAAGGATTAATTTAGAGTTCAAGCCAGTAGAAGGAGAAGAGTGGTACTTGCTGCTTGGGCTCGCTTTTCCCACGTGCAGACTGTCTCTGCGGGTTATATTCGTCTTTTTCTCATCACACACGTGTGTTTCCCTTTGTGTGCGTTCCCCATGCATCTGCTTTGGGCACGGCATGTCTGCTGGTATGCTTGCTGTGTCTGTGGCTATCCCGCCGTGTTGCTACGTGCGTGTGTGTGTGTGTGGGTCATTCATTCATGAATCCATGCACGTGTGTGGTTGCACGTGTGTGGTTGCACGTGTGTGGTTGCGCGTGTGTGGTTGCGCGTGTGTGGTTGCGCGTGTGTGCTGCATGCATGCAGATGCGGGAGCTGGAGAGGGGAGTTGAGATCCTTGTCGCCACGCCTGGAAGGTACTAGCCACCTCCTCCTCATCCTCCTCCTCATCCTCCTCCTCCTTCTCCTCCTCATCCCCACTAGCCTCTAGCCGTTTCTCTCACTCGCATCAACATGCACAAGTTCAAATTCTCGCTTTCCATAAGCTCTCATGCTCCGATGCGTCTTGTAGAGCACAAGCGTGAGGCACTAGTGCTAGTGCATGCGTCCACGAACCAGTTATCCGCCTCCTGCCCAACACCCGCTACTCTTACATCACATCACGTGACGTGCGACAAGCTGGAACATGTGAAGTGAAAACGGTGAGCAGGGCTTTTGAGACGTCTCAAAAGCTGGAACATGTGAAGTGAAAACGGTGAGCAGGGCCACAGTCCAGTACCCGGGCATGTGCAAGGCTCACTGCAGGCTCCGCATAGGCCTTACTGTTATTTGAGTTTTCCAAGAAACTATCCGTGCGTGCAGTGCCCTAGTGCGGCCGAGGCCGATTAAATGCCTCTCATGGGCCCTCATCTGCACCTCCTCCCTGCTGAATCTTGAGATGTCTGACGACTTTTGAGGCCAAGGCTGACGACTTTTGAGGGCAAGGCTGACTGCATGGCCCTCATGGGGCTCCAACCGCACCTCTTCTTCCTGCCCTCACTCCCCCGCTCCCTTGCGCCCTGACCCCTGGATCCTGCAAGCTGTGAAAAACGAGGACAAAGAATGCCGCGTTTGTATAAGACGAGCTGGTGGTTGTGGATCTCCAAACACCTGCTTGCACACCTGCTTGCACACCTGCTTGCACACCTGCTTGCACACCTGCTTGCACACCTGCTTGCACACCTGCTTGCACACCTGCTTGCACACCTGCTTGCACACCTGCTTGCACACCTGCTTGCACACCTGCTTGCACACCTGCTTGCACACCTGCTTGCACACCTGCTTGCACACCTGCTTGCACACCTGCTTGCACACCTGCTTGCACACCTGCTTGCACTCTGACCCTTGGCCCCCCAACCCCCAGGCTGTGCGACACACTAGAGCGCGGAAAGGTGTCCATCACATTGGTGCGCTATCTCGCCCTCGATGAAGCCCATCGCATGCTGGACATGGGCTTTGAGCCGCAGATCCGAGTGATAGCACGCACCCTCCACTTCCCTTGCCCCCTCACCCTGTCACCCCTGTCACAGGCTGTGCGACATGTTGGAGCGAGGCAAGGTCTCCATCACCATGGTGCGCTACCTGGCCCTCGTTGAGGCCGATCGCATGCTCGACATGGGCTGTGAGCCGCAGATCCGTTTCATCACACGCACCCTCCTCTACTCCTCATCATCCATGTGTCTACAGGCTGTGCGATATGCTGGAACGCGGCAAGGTCTCCATTACAATGGTGCGCTACCTGGCTCTTGACGAGGCCGATCGCATGCTCGACATGGGCTTTGAGCCGCAGATCCCCTCTTCATCACGCATCACTCTTATATTCCCTTGGCGCTCTCCCCCTCCCCAGGCTGTGCGATATGCTGGAACGCGGCAAGGTCTCCATTACAATGGTGCGTTACCTTGCTCTCGACGAGGCGGATCGCATGCTGGACATGGGCTTTGAGCCGCAGATCCGGCACCAAACCTCTCCCTCTCTACTCTCTTGTGCCCTGACCCGTGAACCCACAGGCTGTGCGACATGTTGGAGCGAGGAAAGGTATCCCTCACCATGTTGCGCTACATGGCCCTGGACGAGGCGGATCGCATGCTCGACATGGGCTTTGAGCCGCAGATCCGGCGCATCGTGGAGCAGGAGGGCATGCCGCGCGCGGGCGAGCGCCAGACGCTCATGTTCTCGGCCACCTTCCCCAAGGAGATTCAGCGCCTGGCGGCGGACTTCCTGGCCAACTACGTGTTTCTCACCGTGGGGCGCGTGGGGTCGTCCACGGACCTCATTCAGCAGCGCGTGGAGTATGTGCCCGAGCATGACAAGCGGTCGGTTCTCATGGACCTCATTCACGCCCACCACACCTCCAACGGCGCTTCTGGCAATGCGGTGAGTGCTGTGTGTTTACGTTGTATCACTTGCCTCAAATCTCATGTCCAATGAGTATGTCCCGGAGCATGACAAGCGGTCCGTGCTCATGGACCTCATTCACGCGCACCACACTTCAAATGGTGCTTCTGGCAACGCGGTGATTGCTTTAAGGATGTGATTCGCTTGGTTCCTACATCCCAGGTGGGTGGGGAAGGTTGAAGCTGGATGGGAGTGCCTGTTAAAACGGTGGGTGCAGATATACCTGATTCACGTGCTCCACACGTCAACTGGTGCTGCAGGCAAGGCTGCGAGTGCTGTGGGGAACAGGAGAAAGAATGGGTGGTTGATGGATGGGAGTTATGTGGTGGATGGTGCCTGCGGATCTGATTCATTGTCGTCAGAACCCCTCTCCGTCCTCTTGACCCTCTCCTCCCTACTTTCTCCCTCGTCTCACCAAGCATCTCTTCCCTTCCCTCCCCTCCCTACCACCACCCCCACCACAGGGCGGGCTAACCCTGGTCTTTGTGGAGACCAAGAAGGGAGCGGATTCTCTCGAGGACTGGCTGTGCTGCAACGGCTTCCCCGCCACGTCCATCCACGGCGACCAACCACCACCACGTTTCCCCCCTCCCCCCCCACCACCACCCCTTCCACCACAGGGCGGGCTGACGCTGGTATTCGTGGAGACCAAGAAGGGAGCCGACTCTCTCGAGGACTGGCTGTGCCGCAACGGCTTCACAATCCCCTCTCTGTCATATCCCCACCTCATCTTAACAATGTCCTCTTCTCTCCCCACCACCCCCACTGGCGTCACAGGGCGGGCTCACCCTGGTCTTCGTCGAAACCAAGAAGGGAGCCGACTCACTGGAGGACTGGCTGTGCCGCAACGGCTTCCCCGCGGCCTCCATCCACGGGGACCGCTCCCAGCAGGAGCGCGAGTCCGCGCTGCGCTCCTTCCGCTCCGGGCGCACGCCCATCCTCGTCGCCACCGACGTGGCAGCCCGAGGCCTCGACATCCCGCACGTGAGCCACGTCATCAACTACGACCTCCCCTCCGATATCGACGATTACGTGCATCGGATCGGGCGTACCGGACGTGCGGGGAAGACTGGTCTGGCGACGGCGTTTTTCTGTGACAAGGACACGAACCTGGCGCGGTCGCTGATAGAGTTGATGAGTGAGGCGAACCAGGAGGTGCCCGGGTGGCTGCAGAACTTCGCGTCACGGTCGGGGTATGGCGGCGGGGGGAAGGGCAGACGAGGAGGGGGTGGGAACCGGTTCGGAGGGAAGGATTTCAGGAAGGAGCGCGGGGGAGGGGGAGGGGGGTATGGAGGGGGTGGATATGGCGGTGGGGGGTATGGAGGCGGGGGAGGGTATGGGGGCGGGTATGGCGGAGGAGGGGGATATGGCGGTGGTGGTGGTTATGGTGGCGGTGGTGGTGGGTACAGCAACGCTCCTCCCAGCGCCTGGGATTAGGTCTGCCTGCCTTCTGCCTTCTTCCCTGTTGACTGAACAAGGGGGTTGGGGTGGGAGGAGGGAGAGGGTGGGGTGCGGTTTGGGGCTGTTCAGATGTGGTGAGTGAACTAAAGGAGTAGTGTGTTGTCGTTGCTACACGGGGCGCTATCTTTGGATAGTGGACATTCTAGGTTCTGGATGATGTACTTCAGCCTGCTGCTGCTGCCGCTTCTGCTGCTGCTGCCGCCGCCGCTGATGCTGTGCGTGAGTGCAATGGGAGCCGTGGGAAGGTGCTTTTAGCCGCTGGTACAGGAGCTTCAACAGGGGGAAAGGCTCCCCTGCCCTGTCTACACATCTTCTCCCATTTGCCGACATTTCTGCAGTTGAAGTGAATGTGCTGCTGTGGCGGCCTTGGAACCGACAAGTTCTGGGGCGTTGCAGCTTTGGTCTGGGCTCTGCAGGTGCTGCAAGAGTGGCACTGCGATAGCCACTCAAGGTGCCTTGTGCCTCGTGCTCTGTGTGTGTGCACAAGTCGCCAGCAGCCTTTGGTAGCAGCCAGGGGCTTGAGTTATGTGGCTGGAGGTCTTTCTGAAACTCTCTTATCGTCTCTCTACTTCTCCCCATCCCCTTCTTATGTTTCTTTCCCCGTCTCTTGTTCCCCTCCTCCACTCTTTCCCTCTCTCCTAGACGTTTTAGCCGTTTCTTTTTGGACCAAAAACCAAGTTCAGCATAAATTGGGGTAGGCAGATCTGTCAGGGCCTTCTCCCTGTCAAGGGGACGCTTTGGCTGAGGGATACTAGGGCACAGGCAATGCCGTTTCTTTAGACGTAGGCTTGGGGATGAGCCTTGAAAAGCCACTTCGGCTTTCACAAGGCCTTGTCTCTGGGCTTTCTCGAGGGCCAATCGGGCTTTCCTTCCGGGCCTGCTTTTGGGCCGATATGGTTTGCTATTTGCCTCTGTGCTTGTGCCTCTTGTACCCATGCCTTGTCCTGCAGAGTGTCTCTGCCTCAATTTTGATGAAGCCGGGCCTAGACCAAGAGTAATGAAACTCTTACCACCATTACCCTTTGATTAATCATCTCATTCTCACTTCTATTCACAAATGCCAACTTTATCGGTTTGTGTTATGTTGATTTTTGTGTCGTTGTATTGGCGTCACTGGCAATAATTGACGTCGCTGCCGTCAGCACCAATCCACGCAGCACCCCGTTCACGGGTCAGCTCAACATCTTTCTGAGACCATCATTAACCGTCGGATTCTTTTCACTTCAAAATCGGACGATTGTAACCAGAAATACCGGAGAGTCTGCCCGAAAGTCACCACGTTCCATTTGGGGTGACCCCGCCGCGAAGTGCGCTGCATACAAATCTCCCTGCCCCTGACACATAAATATATCGACGGCCACGATTCAGCGCCAGCATTCCCCTCCTCTCCCCCCCATTCTCCTGGTTTCAAATCCTCCATCCCTGTTAGCCGCGCATTCTCATGTGACGCGTCACATCACACGTCCCCTGTTAGCAAAAGCCGCTGGATTATCCTCATTCCGCATTATAGTAGTCCAGCAATTTTTGAATCCCCTCGCTGAGGTAGCACCTTTTGCCCGCATGCCAGCTTCGTGGTTCGCGTCCGGCGCAAGCTGGGCGGGTTGGCGCACACCAACAGTGCGCGTGCGCGCACCATTAGTGCGCATGCGCGCGCCATCAGTGCGCATTCGCACAAGGAATCGTAGCGATGAGTGGCAAACACTTACAAACCGCAGAAGAGAAGGTAGCAAGGGCGGATGAGCGAGTAGCTTCAAAGGAATTCGAGGCATTTTTTTCTGCTCGACTCCTGAGCCATCTCCGCGCAGTTTCATCTTCTGCTTGACTCTCGTGAGTCGACTCACCAAATTTCCTTTCCTGATTGACTCTCCCAGGAACGTGTTTCTCGAGCAGCCAATGACGACCGAAATCGCCCGAAAGCGATCCTTCGCACTGCCATAGCAGCTCTCAATAGCCGTCAGTATTCGAAATACTTTCACTCAACCATAGTACCCAGACATGCAGGTCACAAGGCTACTAGGAATTCCCAGTTTTTCCGTAATGCATCATGGATTCGGAAGAGCCTGAACGAGACGCGTGAACGGCTTTTAGACTCCGTCGACGTTCTTCTTTCCGTAGAACCTCTCAGCACCGCAATCAGCTCCGCCGTTCTTCATCTACCGCGAGCGATTCACCGCGATATCTAGGGAATCGATTGTAGCGCGGCAGCTGGCGTAGCCGAAGCGGCGAAAGCCGAAGAGTAAGGATCTAGCAGTGAAGGTAGTAAGAGAACGCGAGGACGTGGGAGGAGAACGAGAGGTATACGAAGCGGTGAAGCAATTCAGTGTCAGGGACGCCCGACTGAATTAGGTGTAGACTGCGTTGGCGTTAGGGTTGGCAGAGAGCTGCTTCAACTCAGAGAAGGTTCGGTTCGGAGAAGGTGCAGAGTATCGCCGTTCGAATCAATCGCACCGCCGAAAGAGGCCCCAATAACCGCCAACTTGAAATAACCGGCGGCGCCGTATTCTCAGGCACTTGGCTGGATTGGAGCCCAGGGTGGCTCGACGTGACACCCACGTGGTGACTTTTGAGTCGACTTAAAAGTCTCTTCGCAGGCACTTTGTTGGAGCGGAGCCCAGGGTGGTCGGACACCCACGTGGGCGGCGTGTGTCCGCTTGCCTCTTGAACGGGGAAGCAGGCGCAACCAAGCGCACGCAAAAGGCACAAGCAGGCGCGCGGAAAAGGCGCAACCAAGCGCACGCAAAAGGCGCAAGCAGGCGCGCGGACGCGGGAACAGAGGCGCGGACGCGGAAGCAAGCGCGTGCGCGGAGGGCGAATGGCGGCGATGTGGAGCTGGCAGGGGCAGCGCGGGCGGCAGCAGCCCCCAGACGTGGTGCCGCTGAGCGTGTGGCTCGTCCTGTTGCTGGCCGCCTGTCCCCACGCCCTCGCCTCGCACGCTGGTAAGCCATGGCGCATGGCGCACGGCGCATGGGGCATGGCGCATGGCGCATGGTGTTGGAAGGACGGAGAGGGTGGATGGCTGCTTGCGTCTTGCGAGCTCATGTGTCCGTGCTAGCGTCTCATCCCATGCCTCATCCCATGCCTCATCCCATGCCTCATCCCATGCCTCATCCCATGCCTCATCCCATGCCTCATCCCATGCCTCATCCCATGCCTCATCCCATACCTCATCCCATACCTCATCCCATGCCTCATCCCATACCTCATCCCATACCTCATCCCATACCTCATCCCGTACCTCATCCCATGCCTCATCCCATGCCTCATCCCATGCCTCATCCCATGCCTCATCCCATGCCTCATCCCATGCCTCATCCCATGCCTCATCCCGTACCTCATCCCATGCGTTGTCCCCTCATGTGCCGCCCCCCTGCAGGGCGGCTGCTGCGGGGCGTGGGCACACCGCCGCGGCGACTACTGGCGGACATGCCCCTTAGTGAGCCCCCCTCTCCCGCTCTCCTCCTCCTCTCCGTCTCCCCTCCTCGTGTCTCCTTTCCCACTCGCTTGCCTGTCTCGCTTGCCTGTCTCACTCAACGCCTCACTCCATCCTTTTCTCTCACCTCACCTTTCGCACCGTGCCCCCTCCACCCCACCCGACCCTCACCTGTTACTCCCACCTTTTACCCCTCTCCTCTTACCCCTCTCCTCTTGCTCCTCTCCTCTTACCCCTCTCCCCTGACCTCTCGCCAGCAATTGATGCACGTTTGTGAGGTTGCCATATTTCGGATCCCTGCCTCTATCTTCTGTTCCAATCTCTTCCCGTCTTTTCCTTTTCTTCTCCCTGCACTTTCCCCTTCCTTTTCCCCTTTCCTCCTCGCTCATTCTTCCCCGCGCCTCCTCACACCGCCAGCCTCTGTTGCCCCTATCTCCCCCGCTTCTGAATCCCCTGCGGCATCCCCACCAGCGAACACTCTACTCGCTCTCATCGTCACATCAGCAGTTCTCTTCGTGGGGGTGGTCATCCTCGTTATAGTCTTCTGCAGGACAAGGAGACGCTGTGAGTCTCCTAGCCAAACCTCCCCTCTTTCCCATCCCCGTTATAATCAAGAATCTGCTTCTCCTTGTATCAGCATCCGCTGTAAAGCATGTCTCGATATAAGTGAACCACATCTGGTGGTTCTGGCAAGTTGATCGCAACATCCACTTTTTGTTCTCTCTCTCTTTCTTTCTTGCTTTCTTCTGTCAACGAGTCCTCCAAAGCCCGCTGCATGAGCCACCACAACCACACCACTCACATCTCCGTCCTCTTTCTTTCACTCCCTCCCTCCCCAATCCTCCCACCCCCTGCCCGTCGCTCCCCCTCCCCTCCCCTGCCCTGCCAGCCCCCCAAGTGGCCCCTCTGGATGGCAAGGCATCCGGCCTAGTCGACAGTGACAGTGAGAAGGGAAACGGGGAGGAAGGGGAGGGTGAGGAGGGAGAGGACGGGGATGGGAGGTACGCGCCAGTGGAGCAGTGGAGCTGGGAGGAGGTCGAGACGGCAACTAATGGGTTTAGCGAGGAGAACACTATCGAGGACGCGGGGCACTCGGCGGTGTTCAGAGCGGTGGGGCGCGGTGGAGAGGAGCTGGCGGTGAAGCGCGCCAAGCGGGTGTCTGTGGAGGGGCAGCACCTCTTCCGCAACCAGGTGGGCCCATTCACACCTCTCTTCACTCATTTGCACCACTCATTCGCACCTCTCTTCACTCATTCGCACCTCGCTTCTCTGATATCTAAGCCTCGTCTCTCCCTCACCTCTCTTCAATCATCCGCCTCTCCTCACTCCCCTTCCCCTGGCGCAAGTGGAGTTCCTGGAGGGGGTGTGCCACTGCCACCACCCCAACATCGTGTCTCTGCTGGCGTTGACCGTCACATGAACATGGCCTCACCGCACTCTTCCTCTTCTCCCTTCCCATTGCGGGTGGAGTTCCTGGAGGGGGTGTGCCATGCCATGCCATCCCACATCGTGTCTCTCCTCGCATGCAGCAGCCTGGCAGTAACTCTGACATGGCCTCGCATTGCCATGCCCCCTCACTGCTCTCCCTCCGCTCCCCTCACAGGTCGAGTTCCTAGAGGGCGTACGTCATCCCAACATAGTGGCGCTGCTGGCGTGCATCAACCTCACATTGACCTTCACATAACCTCACACTACCTTGCACTCCCCCTCCCCTCACAGGTTGAATTCCTCGAGGGCGTGCGCCATCCCAACATAGTGGCGCTGCTGGCGTTCAGTGAGGACCGCAACGAGCAGATCCTCGTCTTTGAGTTCGTGCCTAACGGCTCACTCACCGACTGGCTGCGGCCGCTGGATGGTGAGTGCAGTGCCATGTGCCATGTGCCATGTGCCATGTGCCATGAGACCCTCTCCCCTCTAACGCTGCTGGCGTTCAGTGAGGACCGCAACGAGCAAATCCTCATCTTTGAGTTCGTGCCCAATGGCTCCCTCACTGACTGGTTGAGGCCGCTGGATGGTGAGTGCTGCCACGTCACTGCATGCATGTGCACAATGTGCCAATGTGCATGTGCGCCCATGCAACGAGCACATTTGAGTTCGTGCCTAACGGCTCCCTTGCTGACTGGCTGCGTCCGCTGGACAGTGAGTGACCTGCTCTTGTTGAGCCTTTAGGTAGCATAGCATGTTGCCTCCCACCCACCTCCGACCGTAGTGCACATGCATATCTAACCATGCAACGAGCAGATGCTCGTCTTTGACTTCGTGCCCAACGGGTCCCCTGCCGATTGGCTGAGGCCTCTAGATGGTGAGTGGGCTTGAGCTCTCTAGGTCACCTCTCCCCCACAACGGAAGCGTACGTGCATACCTATCCATGCAACCAGCACATCCTGGTCTTCGAGTTCGTTCCCAACGGGTCACTGGCTGATTGGCTGCGACCGCAGGATTGTGAGCGAGCGAGCTGCTCCCGTGAGGCCTCTAGTTGTCACCCATTCCCCCTCAGCGCGAGTATATATGCATATTAATCTATCCCATGTCCCTATCCGCCCATGCTCCCCTGCCCCTCGCCTCCCGCCCTCTGCCCAACCAGTATCCAAGCCTGCGTTGACGTTCGGGCAGCGCCTGGCGATAGGAGCGGAGGTGGCACGGGCGATCAAGTATTTGCACGCCAAGGCCCCCCCTGTGCTGCACCGGGACATCAAGTCCGAGACCATTCTGCTGGATAACGACTTCAAGGTGCCCTCATGCCTCGTTATGAGCTGACCCCTTATCTGCTATAAGGCAGCGGTCCCTATGGGAGCCAGCTGGCTCTGCTGACGTCCACTCTTGCTCTTCCACGTGGCTAACCTCTGTCTCTTCTTGCATTGGTTTCATTTAAAGGGTGGGGGATCTGGGCGCTGCCAGGGGCGGCCAAGCGGTTGCTTCCGCTGTCTCTCCCTGCCTTGCTATCAGGTCAAGCTGGGGGTACTGCTGGGCCTGCTGAAGCACCTACCAGGGGAGGCGATGCGGCTGCTTCTGCGGCTGCTTCTGCGGCACTTTGAATGCACTGCAGCTCATACAATCACTCTCCTAACCTCTGTCTCTTGCCTCACCGCCAGGTCAAGCTGGGCGGGCTGGGCGTGCTGAAGCACCTGCCAGGGGAGGCCATGCGGTTGCGCATGCAGCGCAAGCGAGGCTACCTGGACCCGGAGTACTTCCAGAGCTTCCGCATCACCAGCAAGTGCGACGTGTACAGGTGCGGCCGTGCTCATGTGTGCGATGCATGTCTTCTATCGCATGCAGCGCAAGCGAGGCTACCTGGACCCCGATTACTTCCAGAGCTTCCGCATCACCAGTGGTTGCGATGTGTACAGGTGTGGTGGTGCTCCCATCACATGGGTGTGATTCGTTTGTGTGAGTGAGGTGTATGAACGCTGTTGCATGGGCCCTGTATATATCCAGAGCTTCCGCATCACTGGCGGCTGCGGAATCTTTGGGTGTGCATTTGTAAATAATACTTGTATTATATACTGAAACTCATTACCTTCTCGCACTGGTTTCCCATCGCAGTTTCGGAGTGGTACTGCTGGAGTTGATTACAGCGAAGCTGCCGATAGTGGATGAGAAGGACGTGGTCATGGGCTCCCGCACCAGCAAGCGATTCGTTACCCTCGTGCAGTGGGTGAGTTGCGCTGTAGCATCTTGTTTCCAATGCATTGCCTTGTAACACTGACACATTGCGCAACAATAGTTTTTTCCTGTGACACTTCATCCATTCGCAGAATCATCTAATCGAAACCTCAAACATTGTTTTCCACTCACCTAACCTTATTAATACCCAACTAAACCCCGTCCTACCTTTCCGTGCCACCATTGCAGGCCCTTCCGAAGATCAAGGAGGGGCAGTACAACGACATGGTGGACCCGCGCCTGGGAGCTTACCTGGAGATCTGATGAAAGTGGGCTGCAGCATATGCAAAATAATCTCAGCAACTCTCTTTCACATACACTAAACCGCATCCCACCTTTCTGTGCCACTTTTTCAGGCCCTTCCGAAGATCAAGGAGGGGAAGTACAACGACATGGTGGACCCGCGCCTGGGAGCGTACCCCGGGGATCTGATGGAAATCTTCTGTGGCATCGCTGCCGAGTGTGTGACCCCGCAGCGCAAGAACCGACCGGACATCGATGTGGTGTCCGCCTGGATGGACGAGCTCATCCAGAAGGATGCCGCATCGCGAGAGCCGCTCTCTCGGTTCATGCGAGCAGTGCCAGAAGAGGAGGAAGTGGAGGAGGATGAGAAAGCGGAGGAGGTAGGTGAGGTGGTGAAGGGAGGGAAGGAGGGGAGGGAGGTGGTGGTGGTGATGACAGAGGAAGCTGGTGATGGGGAAAAGGGAGGGGAACGGAGCAAAGAGACGCGCAAGGATGGTGCTGCTCCTGATGGTGGGACTGAGGTTGCTGCTTCTTCGGCTGATTCTGTTCGTGCCAAAACAGATATTGGCATCAGTGCAGGTGCTGCTGATGTCACGCCTGCTGCTGGCGCCAGTGCTGAGGTCTGCATCGGGGTCGATCGAAATGTGGTGCCAGCTGAAAAAACGGACAACCATGTGGGTGTAGAGGTACATACTAAAGTTGGGACTTAGCTCCTGTTGCGTTGTACCATAATAATGCCAATGTGGCATGGTTGAGACATTGTATTGAATCTGGATTGTGGGGCTGGGTTTGGTCAATATGTTGTTAGGATTGCATGTGTGTGCATGCATTCTGTAGTTCCATTCCAAGTGTGTTTGTCTTGCAAGTTTTTTGCTGATTTTGGAATGCACAACTGTACTACTACCACAATAAATATACACCTCTAGCAAGAATGCTTCCCAGTTCAGAAGTCAGCTGCACCTAGAACTCTACTCAATTCTCGAATTTGCTTCAAGCTTGGATTGGAACTTCAATGGAGAACCACAGGGATGATGAGACGTAATAATATGGCTCTCACAGGCAAGAAAGCCAGGCGCTGCAGGTGAGTAGCAGGATAACACACCGTGCAACTCAGAGACATCTACAAAACAATGCAAATTGGGAGCCCTATGCAAATCATCTAACACTGGCAAGAGACCAGCATAGAAGATATCAATGGGCTCCAAGAGTAGATCACCAGGATCACTCTCATCAACTAGGAAACAGTGCGACCGTAGCTGATGGACGAAATGTAAAGATTTTTCGCCCATTTTTCCTGCAAGTGGTTAAGATTCATTGTGGTAAGTACACACGTATATGCACAACAAACAGCAGGCAGCAATACACTGAACACTGACCTTAACATGTGTACTTGGGAAGGCTGAAGTCCGCAGAGTCTCCTGCGTCTCATCTGCAGGACGGCGCCTCGGGATGCTTAACAGAAAGGCAGCTTGATCCCAAGTTGCTGCAGTTGCTGTAATCCGGTAACCAGCATCCCATCGGCGATGGATCCCTTCACTAGGGTACAAGAAGTCGAGCTCAACCACCTGATCCGTGAAGCCAGCATTCCGTGACATAACCACCCCCCATCTGCTGCCAGCAGTTGCCATGGATGTGACATAGAAGCCTTCCCTCCATTTCTTGTTGATCCATTTGAAAGGAAAGGAGTCGCTTACTTTGTACGATTGTTGTGTATAGGACGTTCCTGTTGGCAAAAAAAAAAAAAAAAAGATTGAGCTACAATTCCTGATGCCAACCATGACAAAATATGGCATACCTCACCTTTAGACATAACGACCAAGGAGTTTCCATTGCTGGCCCCTGCGATTGAGGTAATGTAGAAATTCCGCTCCCATTGCTCCATAATCCATTCCTGTGAGATTGAAGTCAGCCATTAGCTTGTGCATTGAATCCAAAAAGGATAGCAGAATAGATGGATTGAAACCTGAAAAAGCATACCTTTGGAAGGAAGACATGTGAGAGCTCATAGACTTGCGAAGTGAAGTTTGTGCCGGCATCCATGATGAGGGCCCACAGATTCTGGCATGATGCCACACTGCTAATAAAAAGTCCGTCCTCATTTCCCTTCTCCACATGTTGTGCTAGTCTCGCGTCAGCCACGTTGTAGTGGTATCTGAAAAACAAGGCAAAATGCACAGGAAAGAATCGTGCTTGATAAAGCATAGGCAGGGCTAAGCAGGCTGCGAGGTAGTGCAGAGAGGGTTTGGGTGGATGAAGGAGGAAAAAGAGGGATACAGAAGAGGAAGGAGGAAAGAAATACAAAGAGTAACATAGGGGGTGGGGAAGTATGCCGTTGGTTTGTCAACCATCATTGATGTCTTTGTACCTTTGCTTCATTGGCCGACGAGCACTGTACACAGAGATCCACTGTGTGGCAGGCATTCCAAGCCTAACCTTCTTCTTTGGTTGGTCGTCAGCTTCCTCTTCCGCTGTCAAACGCCCACGCTTCTGGCCCACCTGCAAAGTATGCATAGATGTTCAGAATCCTAGCTGGTGAAATTTCCAAACGACACGCACAACGCCGCTGGCTATGGTCACCTTCAAAGCGCCTTCTGTGTCAATAGGCCGATGTGCCGGGATGGGGCCCAAAACAGGGTCAAACATGGCAATGCACTTGCCATAGTTTGGTTCCTCATCAAACTTCAGATCCACATACTCCAGAAAGAGCTTGAACGGAACTGGACAAAAGCAGCACAGCATTTCAGGAGATGTGGCCATCTTCTTCTTGCAAACCAGGAAGCCCTTGTTGTCTCCCTGCTCAGTCAAAACAGTTCCCACATTAGCAGCAGCGGAAAGCGCTAGCAGATGACCTTTCAGTCAGAAATACTCACCTGATAGCCCTGCCATGGCAAGCGACCCCGTAGAAGGAAGACCAGAGTGTAAGCCAGGGACTATAGATCATCTCTCCTACTGCCTGTGCGGCCAAGATGCGCATGAACACTGGCATATCGGACGGTTCCCCTGCACGAGAAGAAAGGAGTCTCACATTGTCACACGGGACCGAAAGCACCATAAAAGGCAACTCGGCTAGTGCACGGACATCATGAGCACCTGAATATGTCTGGACGTTGATCATACTCCACATGCTGACCAGAAGTCGCGTCTTTCCATCGTGTTGCTGCGTACACCAGTAATTGATATTAGTACAAACGTAACAGCGGAATACCTGGCGACATAATCGTTTTATATACATACCGAGTCCGAGATCAACAAGGTATAACTTCTTCTCATCGGGAGATCCTGGTTGGCCTAAAAGAAAGTTTTCTGGCTTCACGTCTCCATGGACGTATCTGAAATAGCAACGAGCAGATATATTACCCCAGTTTACGTTTCGTGGAACAAGGCAGACAAACCAGCTCGCATTCAACTTACCCCCGTGCGTGCAACTTCTCGAGAATAGAAAGAGCTTCCACGGCAATGCATGCTACCATTTCCGTTGACATCCTGAAATCGTCGATGGCACGATGTTAGACCAGCTAGCAGTGTAAGAAGGTTAATCGAAATAAGAAAGTCCCTTACGCTTGATTGGAATTGTTCCAGACGTCCCACAAGCTCGGTCCGAGCATATCCATGACATGTACGCGATTCATAGCACTTTTAGGACAAGGCTGGAATTCGGAATAAGAATGACGTTGAAGCTCTGGGACATGCGCACCATGACGTAATAGTCGCCTTGTCTGCCTTTGTAGTGAACCCTAGGAACTCCATGACTCCCTCCAAGCGTGCTGTCATGACGGGAATTCGTGAAGTTAAGAGGTGCGGGTTTCGAAGAGACCAAACGTGCATAAACGACGTTGCCTTACTTGTAAACTTGCCACTCGTACGGAGGCCCATAATTACATCCCTTGCTGCTTCTATGCTCGAATTTCAGTGCTACCTGCGATCAGAAGAACGATCTACTGAAGTTTCTGGGACTAGTTAAGAATCACAAGGACCGGAAAAGAAGCTATTGCGTTCACTACCTCGACAGCATGACTCACGCGAGAGGTAAATTCCTATCCCCACCCTCATCCCCGCCTTTGCTGGCAGCTTTCTGCCGGCGCTGGTAAACTAAGGGGACTTGGTGCTTTAATCTGAGGTGCTTTAATCTGAGGTGCTTTAATCTGAGGTGCTTTAATCTGACCAAACCCTGCTGTTCATCTGTCCCCTTTCCACCCTCCCCACTTCCTACCTACCCCATCCTTTCTCCTCCCTCCCCCCCACCCCCTTCTCCCCCACTGTGGCAGCTACCTGCCTGTGCTGGTGGAAGCGTCTCCAAAGGTGCTCCCTGCCGGCCCAGATGAGGCATCCATACTTGCGTCCCTGTCACCACCGCGCTTCCCCTCGCTCGCATTCCCCTCCCCCTCCCTCCCTCTTTTCCCTGTATCCCCCCTGGCAGCTACCTGCCTGTGCTGGTGGATGCATCACCAAAGGCGCTCTCTGCCAGGCCAGACGAGGCATCCATCCTCGCTTGCATTCCCTCTCACCACCCGTGCCCCCCGCCCTCCCTACCCTCTCTTTCTTCTTGCGCAGCTACCTGCCTGTGCTGGTGGATGCGTCTCCAAAGGTGCTCGCTGCCGGGCCAGACGAGGCATCCATACTTGCTGTCCGCGAGAAGGTGAGCTAGCTGGCAGGGAGGGATAAGCTGAGGTGGCAAGGAGGGAGAAGGTGAGGTGGCAGGGAGGGAGAAGGTGAGCTAGCTGGCAGGGAGAGATAAGCTGAGGTGGCAAGGAGGGAGAAGGTGAGGTGGCAGGGAGGGAGAAGGTGAGCTAGCTGGCAGGGAGAGATAAGCTGAGGTGGCAAGGAGGGAGAAGGTGAGCTAGCTGGCAGGGAGAGATAAGCTGAGGTGGCAAGGAGGGAGAAGGTGAGCTAGCTGGCAGGGAGAGATAAGCTGAGGTGGCAAGGAGGGAGAAGGTGAGCTAGCTGGCAGGGAGGGAGAGATAAGCTGAGGTGGCAAGGAGGGAGAAGGTGAGCTAGCTGGCAGGGAGAGATAAGCTGAGGTGGCAAGGAGGGAGAAGGTGAGCTAGCTGGCAGGGAGAGATAAGCTGAGGTGGCAGGGAGGGAGAAGGAGAGGAGGCAGGGAGGGATATGGTGAGGTGACAGGGACCAGGTGAGGTGGCAGGGAGAAGGTGAGTTGGCAGGGAGGGAGATGGTGAGGAGGCAGGGAGAAGGTGAGGAGGCAGGCAGGGAGAAGGTGAGGAGGCAGGCAGGGAGAAGGTGAGGTAGCTGCTTTCTTCCGTCCCTGTGTCACACCCAACCATGTCACAACATCACCCGCCCAACAGCCCCAACGGAATCACACCTGTACGGCCCCAGCAGATGAGTCACTGTGTGGCCGTCTGTGGCCTCTGGTGGATCGCCCTCTCTGGTGGATCGCCCTCTCTGGTGGATCGCCCTCTCTTCCTTCACCTCCTTTGCCAGATTCTTAATGCCTAAGGCGCCTCATTGATATACCTCCTCCTCTCCCCCCCTCCTCCCCTCCCCCCACTAGGTGGAGAACAAAGCTTCCCTGTCAGGCCTGGCAATGGGCACGCTAGGGAGCGTGCTCGCCATGCTGCTCTCCTTCGCCATCACGCTGCTCATCCCCAACGACCTCCTAAAGCTCCGAGTCACCGTGGCCGTGTGCGGGCTCTGGTGGGTCGCGCTCTCCGCCTTCACCTTCACCTGATTGTCAATCCCTGAGATGCCTCGTTTAATATACCTCCTCCTCCTCTTTCCCCCCCTCTCTCCCCCCTTCCTCCCCCCCTCCCTTACCCCACCAGGTGGAGAACAAGGCATCCCTGTCAGGCCTGGCAATGGGCACCCTGGGAAGCGTGCTCGCCATGCTACTCTCCTTCGCCATCACGCTCCTCATCCCAGACGACCTCCTCAAGCTCCGAGTCACCGTGGCCGTGTGCGGGCTCTGGTGGGTCGCCCTCTCCGCCTTCACCTTCGCGTGGCTGCACCCGCGCCCCGGTCCCCCCATGCCCAAGACCGGATTCTCCATGCTCAACCGCTGGCGCCACCTCTTCGGTCTCTTCAAGGAGGCTTCCCGGTACCGCTACACGTTCATCTTTCTCATCTGCCTCGTGGCATACAGCAGCGGATTCACGACCATGCTGCAGATGGCGGTGCTGTTCGGACAGAACGACCTCTGCTTGACCGTTTCCTCCATGGCTATCATTGCGCTCACCGTCGCTGTCGTGGCCATTGCTGGCATGCCGCTCGCGCTGCTCTTCCAGCGGAAAACCCACGCGACGAACAAGACCATGGTCGTGATTCTCCTCACGTGCCTAGTTCCCCTGCCCGTGTGGGGATTCATCGGGTATTTCACCGCGGACGGGGGATTCGGGCTGAAATCCGCGTGGGAGATTTACCTGTGTGCGGCGTGGCTGGGGTTCTTCCTGGGCGCGCTGACGTCGTACTCGCGCAAACTGTTCATTGATTTCATCCCCGTGGGTCGCGAGGGCGCATTCTTCACGCTCTTCTTCATCTGCGATCGCATCAGCTCGTGCATTGGCCCGTTCGTCATCGCTGCAGTCACCCAGGTCAGTGTTGCTGGGCTGATGCATTGCTGAGATTGTGGTATGTGGGTTTGTTGCGATGTAATGGGTGAGCCTGGGAGGTGTGAGGACACAGGAGGGACAGAGAGAGAGGTGATGATATGTGTGCATGTGATGCTGCTGATGAGAGTACGCACAGTGGGATTACCGTATCTGGATTTATTGATGGCTCTGTTCTTCATGGGTCTGACATGCTATATTGGTGTATCCCCCTGCCCTTCCATTTTTGTCCGTTTCTCAGGTGGGGGGTCAGCTGCGGCCTGTGTTTGGATACGTCTTTCTCGTGCTCGTCATCCCAGCGATCTCCGTCCAAATTTTCGTCAACTATAACAAGGGGGTGGCAGAGGCTGGGAGGGCAACCAAGCATCAAGAGAGATTACAAGAGGAGGGTCTTCATGAAGCCAGCCACGCTCATGGCACTCAAGTGGTTCATGCAGAGCCGTGAAGCTTTAGTCCATGCGTTCAGGCCCCAATGCCTTGTACTTTTCTTTTCCAATATGAGTTGGCTCCTCACCAACTTATTACACTTGTACTATATGTTAATGCTTGCTACCGATATATCGGTATTTATAGTATATTTACTCTACAGCTGAACATATTAGTTCGCCTTATATTACGTGGATTCAGCAATATCTGCCAAAAATATTTCGCCATCAAGCCAATCGCTTCCCGACCCGACCGACCACATCCCGTTGGGCTCCCTTGACTCAAACCCCGAGAAAAACGTCGCGTCGCGTCGTGATGGTGGTGATTCCGAATCGCCCGAAATCTCAAATTCCACGCAGCTCTCAATTTGCAGAAATTTGGCATTTCACAATTCACCTCCCTCACTGTCTCTGACATGATTATGCATCTCTCACAGCAGTCACCTGAGTGGAAATAGCGCAGCAGAGAGTTCAGGAGGATTCCTGCTTGCTGAAGCAGAGAAATGCCGTCGGTTAGTGGCTAGAGTTTTTGCTTCTCGCGGCCACCAGGTAGAACCGGGGTCATATGCTTCTGACAATTCGATTTAAAGCAGTTAGAAGCGTTCTTTGTTACGGTAGACATTTAAGTCACGGGAAAGCGCATTTTTTGTACCAATCGTACTGGAAGGCACTCAACAGGCTGCGTAGCCAGTACAGCGTGTTACGATATGACCGCATGCAGCGTCGGGACCTCTTCTGGACTGGCTGGCTAGCTCTGCCATCTAATTTGAAAGGGCTGTTAGACGCGTCAAGCAGCGCCTGAAAAACGATTAGTAACCTCTGCTCGTACTTTCCTGACATCGACGCCAGGGGACGCAGGAGCTCGTCTTCCCAAAGGGTTTCGACTCGTTGAAGCACAGGCCACCGATCTCACGATATTCGTGAGGATTCTCTGTCTTGTCGAAGCCTAGAGTATCGACCCCACGATAGTTTTTGGAATAATATAAAAACCTATCGTTGAAGCCTAGACTATCAGTTTCACGAACGGCGGAAGGGCATGGCAAAGGTCGTCCCCATACCCGTTATAGTGTCGCGACTGGAATACACACCCAAAGACGAACAGATGCGACAGAAATCCGCTAGCGCGTTTCTCGACCTAGACGACCCTGGCGGAAGCGGAAAGCGCGCAGGAAGCGCGGGAGGCGGGGAATACGCGGAAAGCGGGGAATACGCGGGAGGCGAAGAATACGCGGAGGGCTCAACGGTTCCCTTGACGAAGCGGGAGCTATGGGGGTGGTACTCGTACAACGTGGCAGCGAATTCGTTCAGCGCCGTCGCCATGCCGATCTTCATCCCGCTGCTGCTGCTCCTGCTCGCCGACGCGCAAGCCTGGAACGACTCCGGTGCCGCCAAGCCACCGCGGTGCACCGATCTGATCACCGCCGACTGCCTGCAGTGCGTGCCGGGGAAGGGGAACCAGCTGGTGACGTCAGCGGGGGGGTACAGCGAGCTGGAGCAGCCAGATGACCACTCTTCGGGTGCTGCTGCACGTTGCCGCTCAGCGTGACTACGAGCTTCACTCTCTTGACTTCAGCACAGCCTTCTTACAGGGCAGCCTGCACGAGGAGATCTGGCTGCGCCGCCCACCTGGCTTCACTGGGTCGTTCCCTCCTGGTACCCAGTGGAGCCTCCGGCGGCCGGTGTACGGTCTCCGCCAGGCGCCACGTGAGTGGCACGACACACTGAGGACGACACTTGCGGCTCTTGGGTTTACTCCGTCGACTGCTGACCCGTCGCTGTTTCTGCGCACCGACACTTCGCTGCTGCCGTTCTACATCCTCGTGTACGTCGACGACTTGGTCTTTGCCACTGCTGACACTGAGGCTCTCGCCCTGGTGAAGTCGGAGCTGCAGAAGAGACACACGTGCACAGACCTGGGTGAGCTGCGCAGTTACCTTGGCTTGCAGATCACCCGGGACAGAGCACGCCGCACCATCACCCTGACTCAGTCACACATGGTGCAGCAGGTCCTTCAGCGCTTCGGTTTCACCTGGTCCTCGGCACAGGCCACTCCTCTGGCTACAGGTCACTCGCTCTCAGCTCCACCTTCGGACGAGTCCGTAGAGCCGAGTGGTCCTTACCCAGAGCTAGTTGGCTGCCTCATGTACGTGATGACCTACACTCGTCCTGACCTTGCGTACCCTCTTGGCCTTCTGGCTCGCTACGTGGCTCTTGGTCGGCACCGAAAGGTGCACATGGATGCTGCTAAGAGGGTACTACGCTACTTGTGCAGTACATCGGGCATGGGGCTCGTGCTTGGAGGACGGGGCGACGTTGTCCTCACTGGTCACTCGGACGCTTCTTGGGTTGACGACCAGGCTACGCAGCGGTCGTCACAGGGTTACACCTTCAGCCTTGGCTCTGGTTCAGTTTCTTGGCGTTCTACACGCTCGTCTTCAGTTCTCAGCTCCAGTTGTGAGGCTGAGATCTACGCCACAGCCATGGCTGCACAGGAGTTACGCTGGCTCACCTACCTGCTGACCGACCTGGGAGAGCGGCCTCGTTCTCCTCCAGTGCTGTAGGTCGACAACAAGGCAGCCATTGCCTTGTGTCAGGAGCACAGACTGGAGCACAGAACGAAGCACATCGCTCTGCGTTACTTCCTGGCTCGAGAGTTGCAGCAGCGGGGTCAGCTTCGTCTTGCTCACGTGGCCACTCGGGCCAACACTGCTGATATATTCACCAAGGCACTTCCGTCTGGTGATCATCAGCGCTTTTGTACTTTGTTGGGCCTTGTGCCTACGTTTCCACACTTGCTGTAGATTCTGCTTGTACTGTGATCTATACATATATACCTGCATGCTTGCTCTTGTTAGGTAGTGATCACTGTGCTATTGCTGCATATACATCTCTGCATGTGAACTGGCCTTGTGGCCTCTTGCTTCTGCTCAGAATGTGTGGTGACTTTGTGATCCACCCTGAGCTGTGTTTTGTTTCTTCTCTTGACTGGTCTTGTGACCTTTGCTTGCTCTGGCTATCCCCCATTTCGCCTATGGGGGTGTGTCAAATCTGACAAAGTTCTTAGCTAGGCTTAGGAGCCATAGCTAGTGAGGTAGGAAGTTGAGTTCGAGTTTAGGAAAAATGTCGAGAGGAATGAGGGGTTTCACTATAGGTTCAAGGGTACAAATATGAGACAACAAGCAAGAAAGGTGCACCACCAAATAGGAAAACGCTATAACTACAGTAACCAATCCTACAGGCAGTTACATATAGAAAATATTAAATTATATTTTCCGACACGCCCCCATAACTGGCTGTAGGAGATGAGTATGCAGTTAGCGCCCTCCGAAGGGGTACATCACGATTGCGCAGGAGGAGAAAAGTGTTTCAATAATACCACTCCCCTGGCTCCCCCACACCCTCACACCCTCTCACCCTCCCCCTCCCCTTCCCTTTCCCCCTCCCCCACACACTGCTGCAGGAGCAGCAGAGGGGGGAAGAGAGGAGAGGTGGAGGGACGGGTGCTGGGTGGTCTCACACCCGCCACCCCAGTGCCACTCCCCGGGCTCCCCCACACCCTCACACCCTCCCCCCCAGCGGCAGCTGTAGCAGTGGGAAAAAAAGGAGGAGGAGAGGGGGGGGGGGGGGGGGGGGGGGGGGCCGACGCACGGCCTCCCCGGGTGCCAAAGCAGGCGGCAGAGGGGGCGACGCCTGCCCCCCCCTTCCAGGTCGCCCCTCCCGGCACCTGTCGAGGTGACCTGAGGGGGCCGCGTGCGGCCCCCGAAGGAGCCGCGACGGGTTACGGGAAAAGGGGGGGGGGGCGGTGCACGTGCCCCCGGTGTGCCGCGGCTGGCGACGGGGCATGGCCGGGGCGGGGTCGGGGCCGCAAGTGGGCGGGGCCGTAGGTGGCATCGGGGCCTCAGGTGGCGGGGCCGCAGGTTGGCGACGGGGCCGTAGGGCCGCAGGAAGGGCGGCGGTGGGGCCGCTGAAAGGGCGGGCGAAGGGCTGCTGGTAGGGCGGCGACGGGGCCGCTGAAAGGGCGGCGATGGGGCCGCTGAAAGGGCGGCGACGGGGCCGCTAAGAGAAAATTAAGGGGGGCACGCCACGGGGCGTGCAGAACACAGAGTAGCAGCGGAAGCAATAGGGCGGGTCCACAGGCCAGGACCGTGATCACTCTGATAGCATGACAAAGTTCTTAGCTAGGCTTAGGAGCCATAGCTAGTGAGGTAGGAAGTTGAGTTCGAGTTTAGGAAAAATGTCGAGAGGAATGAGGGGTTTCACTATAGGTTCAAGGGTACAAATATGAGACAACAAGCAAGAAAGGTGCACCACCAAATAGGAAAACGCTATAACTACAGTAACCAATCCTACAGGCAGTTACATATAGAAAATATTAAATTATATTTTCCGACAAAATCATATATGCATGTTTAGGTTATCTAGGCTGTATGGGGGTTAGCACTAGGGGGTACAACATTTCTCTCGACATTCTTCTTGTACCCCCCCCTTGACCTAATCACACATTCCTTCCTAGTATTCTAACACTAGGGTTTAGCTAGGAAGGGTGAGTATCGAGAGAAAAGTGTTGGCCAAAGAGGAGGATTCAATTTTGAGCAAGGGTACAAATAGGAAAGAACATGCAAGGAAAGAAGGTGCACCACCTACAAAGCATAATAACTACACTACAACTACAAGGAGTTATAAAAGATATAAAATATATTTCGACACGCCCCCATAATTGCTTGTAGGAAGAAGTGTAGTTACGCCCCCTGAAGGGGTTTACCATGCAGAGTGCGCAGCGGAAGAAGGAGAGAAGTACCAAGGAGGAGGTGAATGAGGGATGAGGAGAGGAGGTGGGGGGGAGCCACACGGCGAACCCCTCTTACAAACCCCCGTTTTACCAAGGGGGGGGGGGGGGGGGGTGAGAGGGGGATGAGGAGAGGAGGTGGGGGGAGCCACGCGGCGAACCCCTCTTACGAACCCCCATTTTACAAAGGGGTGGTGAGAGGGGGATGAGGAGGAGGTGGGGGGAGCCACGCGGCGAACCCCTCTTACGAACCCCCAAGTCCACACCCCCTTTCAGCCACCCCCCTAAACCACACCCCCTTTCAGCCACCCCCTTAAACCTCACCCCTTTGTTCAGGCGCCACCCGGAACCGCACCCTTCCGCCACCCCCTCACCCCCCCCCCACAGCGGCACGTGCGTCAGTGAGAGAGAGAGGAGGAGGGGCGGCAGCAGGTTTCTCACACCCGCCACCCCCAAACCCCCACCCCCCCCACTGCTGCACGCGCAACAGGGAGAGGGAGGGGAAGGCGAGCGGCGGAATAGCGGTGTGGCGCAGCAGCGCGCAGACCTGCGTCAACCACCCACGCCCCCCCCTTCCCCCCGCCACCTCCTCCCACAGCGGAAGCCGCGGCGACGGGAAGCAGGGCGCCCGCGGCGACGGGATGCAGGTCGCCCACGGCGACGGAAAAGAGGTCGCTCGCGGCGACGAGAAGCAAGTCGCCCGCGGCGACGGGAAGCAGGTCGAGCGCGGCGACGGGAAGCAAGTCGCCCGCGGTGACGGGAAGCGGGGCAGCAGGGCGTTCGAGGTGACGGGATGCGGGGCGCCGTACGGGGCTCGACATCGCATCCGTATCGGCCGGCACCCTGAGCGCCGTGAGGAGCACCACAACGGGCGCGACGGGTGCTGCGACGAGAAACGCGACGGGGGGCGCCATGGCTAGCGGTGGGCCCATTTATAAGGAACGTGATGACTCTGATAACATGTTAAAGTAGGCTCATAACTCACACCTTAGTGACCTAGGGTTTAGCTAGGAAGGGTGAGTATGGAGAGAGTTCTTTGTCAAGCAAAAGATGAATTGCATTAGAAAGTTGAGAGACTTATACAAGGAAAGCATAGGGAAGTGGTGCACCACCTACAAACAATGTAACACAACAGTAACCATCGCTACAAGCAGTTTAAATATATATAATATATTTCGACAGCACCCATCCGTGAACGTTACCCGCTCGCGACATTCGCCTCGACCACGACTCCCGCCACTATTCACGATGCGACCCAACCTCACGGTTCGGTTGGTAACCCGCGCTCCGGACCTTCGCCTCGACAATTCCCAACCTCGGCGCTAGGCCCGTAGTGCACCCCAATTTCCCGCATTACCGTTACCACACTAGCTTCGCTATATAACTTCGCTCAAACTTTTCGCTCAACTGTATTAATTGCTTCGATAGTGCAATTCTCACTCGCTCGTTCAATTGCACTTGTAACACTTGGTATCAGAGCCTACGATCTCTGCTCAGACCGCACCCACACCTTCGCTTCCCCACTATCTCGATTTTTTGGAGGGGGTAGACGTCTCTCAGCGTAAAAGCACCGCCGCTCGAAGTGCTCTCTCGTAAGCACGCACGGCCACGACTGAGGCTCTCGCTGAGTTTGCCCGACACCCCCGCCATGGCCGAAATTACTCTCGCGACATTGACGCAGGAGCAGCTCGACCGTCTCGTGCGCCAACTCGAAGATTCGGAGCTCGAAATCGCGACACTCACGGCGGAACGTGACTCCGCCCGCCAGCAATCAACGGTGAATGCACCAGCACCAAAACAAGCACCTGCAAATGCGCAATCAGACGAGCCGATTGTTATCTCATCTGGCACACCGTCACAACATGACAGCGTGGGACAGCGCTCAGGCGCAGCCAGTGATGGCGCCGCCCAATCAATGCCCGGCATGGGGAGGAACAGGGTCGCACCAAGCACGAGCGGACCTCGCGAAGCTCGTCGTCACGTTGAGTTTGCGGCGACCGTCGGCAACAACGACATCGTCGCGCCAATGCCGCTCAAACCGCAGCGCCCGCCCTGCTTCGACCCGAGCCAACGTGGAGGTCCGACGGTTCAATCGTGGGTCTTCACGATGAACGTGTTCTTCGACGCAAATTAAGTCGAGTCGGACGCAGCGAAGATTCGTTACGCCGTCTCGCTGCTAAGGGGCCCCGCCATGGACTGGTGGCGAGTCATCGTGACGTCGCCACGCGCCTACGAGCCACCGTCGCAAGAGGAAGAGCCCACGGGTCCAGCCGTCACCTGGAGTTCATTCTGCGAAACCGCCCAGTACAGCACGTGGGATGCGTGGTGCGCAGGGCTTCGGGAGCGCTTCGAGCCGATCGCGGCTTCTATTTCGGCGCGTTAGAAACTGCGTACTTGGCGACAGCTTGGGTCGGTCCAAGACTACACCAGCGGATTTCTCGCTCTGTGCGAACAAGTCGACTACATGCACAAAGCGGAACGGGTGGACCGTTACGTTGGCGGACTGAAGCCGGACATCTCGCACGAGATTATGCTACGTGGGCTATCAAATTTCAACGAAATCCTCGCGCTCGCGGAGAAAATCGACATCCTGCGCCGACCGAGACCGGGGTCCTATTACGGACATCGTCCTCGGGGGCCGACCGAGCACGCCACCGTACATGCCGTTGCGGCGAATGCAGCTGCTGCGCCATTCAAGGGGCGCTGCTTTGCTTTCAATAGGCCGGGCCATCGCAAGAGTGAATGCCCAGAGGAGCAGAGACGCCGCGGAGCAGAGCAGGGGAGGGAGTCTCAGAGGTCGGGAAACGCCAGCAGTCAGTAGAAAACGGGCCAACTACTGACGAGACAACCTGCTCGCCCAACCTCACCGACCCTCACCGAGTCACAGTACCGATTCACGCTATCGATCGGGCTCGGATGAATAAGGAGGGTACAGCGACGGATTGCCCGATACTGATCCACGGGAAAATACAGGGAGCAGCAGTGAAGATTTTTATAGACGGAGGAGCAAGTCACAGTTTAGTTAATACCGCAACCGCACGGAAGCTGCAACTGACACTTAGTCGGTGTTTACCGGAGATAGATGCACACTTAGTCGACGGCACGCCGATGGCCGTACGGGAGAAGGTGGAAAGAGTAAAAGTACGCTGCGGGGGGAACTTTGGGTTTACACAGGAAATGCTCGCGACGACACTGGATAGGCACGACATATTACTGGGACGTGACTGGCTACGACGGTATAACCCGCGAATCGACTGGACGGCGGGCAGCTGCACTGTGCGAAGTAGCGGTAACTGGGTCGTGCTACCTCGCTGGCAGTCGCCCGAGTCTTCAACGGTCCACGTCAACGCCATCACGATGAAACGGGCTGTCGCCGCTGGAGCTGACGTCTACGCAGTGGATATAGCGTTGGTAGGAGAAGCAGAGCAGCCGAGCAATTTTCAGAAACTGTTGGCAGCAGTACCGCCCGAACTACAGGAACTGTTGAAACGGTACCCGGGGATTTTTCCGGACGATTTACCGGAGGGACTGCCACCTCAGCGGGCACATGACCACCGAATAGAGTTAGAACCGGGGGCACAGCCAACTGTACAGCGACAATTCCGACTGACACAGCCAGAGCTCGATGAACTGAGGAAGCAGTTAGATTACCTGTTAGAGAAAAAAATCATCCGACCGAGCTCGTCACAGTTCGCCGCACCGATACTGTTCACACCAAAAAAAGACGGGGGTTTTTGCATGTGTATCGACTACAGAGCACTGAACAGGGTAACAGTCAAGTCGCGATACCCCATTCCCCGCGCCGACGAACTGATAGATCAACTGCGAACAGCACGGGTCTTTTCGAAAATTGACTTACGCGGAGGTTACCACCAGATTCGGGTCGAACCATCGGACTTCGTAAAAACAGCATTTAGAACTAGGTATGGGCCATTCGAGTACACAGTGATGCCATTCGGGCTTACCAACGCACCGGCGACATTTCAGATGACCATGAACGAGGCGTTTAGGCCGCTCTTAGATAAATGCGTGATAGTTTTACCTCGACGACATCCTCGTTTACAGTCGCGATAAGCAGCAGCACTTGGCAGATCTGGAAGCAGTATTTAAGGTTTTAGACGAGCACAGACTACTGACCAAGGGTTCCAAGTGCGAGTTCTTCCAGGATAGGTTAGAGTTTTTGGGGCACGTTATTCGGAGGCTGGAGTTGAGATCGACCCCAAAAAGCTGGACACAGTAAAAGCATGGCACCCCCCGACGAACATCACGGAGTTGCAGAGTTTTTTAGGGTTCGTTAATTATGTGCGTCGGTTCGTCCCCGACATGGCACGGTTAACCGCTCCGCTGACGGACTTACTGCGGAAGGGGGTCGCTTTTACGTGGGGGGAGAAAGAGCATGCTGCCTTCTCTGCCCTGAAAAACGTTATCTGTTCACCGCCCGTACTGCGTATCGCCGACCCGCACCGCCCATTCGAAGTAGTTACAGACGCAAGCGACATCGCCATTGGAGCCGTACTGCTACAGGATTTCGGCAACGGTTTACAGCCCATCGCATACGAGTCACGAAAACTGCATCCGCTCGAGAAGAATTACCCGATACACGACCGCGAAATGCTCGCGATCGTGCATGCGTTCAAGGTCTGGCGCTGTTACTTGACCGGCGCAGACGTGACAGTACGGACAGACCACAGATCACTACAGTACCTCCGCGCACAGCCCCACCTCAACCCACGACAGATCCGCTGGCTCGATTTCCTCGAGTCAAACTTCCACTACACGGTCACCTATAAAAAGGGAGCCTCGAACATTGCCGACGCATTGACCCGCCCAACTGCCCAGATCCACGCCATACTACTCGCACAGACCAGCCCGCTACTGACAGGCCTATTCACCCACGGGTATCAGACAGACCCCTTTTTTACCGGAGGCAACTCGCAGCAGTTCGCAGCAGCAAAAGGGGTGTATTACGTAAAAGCCGGCACCGACCGCATCTGGGTACCAGGCTACACTTTAATAAGGGAACTGTTACTACAGGAGGCACACGACGGGGTTACCTCAGGACATTTCGGGGTAGAGAAAACACGGCAGCAGATGCAGCGGTATTACTACTGGCCCGAGATGCTGACCGACGTGCAACGACACGTGGCATCGTGTCCCACCTGCCAGCTCATGAAATCGTCACGACAACGACCAGCAGGACAGTTGCAGCCGATACCACCCCCAGAGTGTGCTTGGCAGCAGGTGACGATGGACTTCGTCACGGGGTTACCGGCTGGAGCAAGTGGGAACGACGCGATCTTGGTCGTCGTCGATCGGCTGACGAAAATGGCACACTTCGCAGCCTGCAAGAAATCAATCACAGCCGAAGAAACAGCCCGCCTCTTCATCTCCACCGTCGTTCGACTGCACGGGATACCCGCATCAATTATCATCGACCGCGACACGAAATTCACCAGCAACTTCTGGCGAAACCTGTGGCAGCAGTTCGGCACGCGACTACAGTTCAGTTCATCATACCACCCCGAAACCGACGGACAGACAGAACGGACAAACCAGACCATGGAACAGCTCATCCAAGCCACGTGCGACGACCCGACCACGTGGGAACAGCAACTGCCACTCATTGAGTTCGCGTACAACAACTCGCTATCTGCCACGACCCAACAGTCACCGTTTTACCTGAACTACGGACAAGACCCCACAGTACCCATGACCCCAAACCCCGACAACCCAGTCCCACGCGCGCAACAGTTCGCAGAAATACTGCAAGCAGCACGGACCCGAGCAGCAGAAGCAATAAAAAAAACAAACGGCATCGCTAAGCGCAACGCCGACCGACACCGCCGCCCCGTCACTTACCAACCCGACGACCTGGTGTTACTCGACACTCAAAACCTCCGCCTGCCCATCACTCCAAAACTCCGCCCCCGAT